CTGGTCTTCCAATTAGCATCTTCTGATCTCGTGGCAGCCACCCTCACCAGCCGTATCGTCCGTATCGTTCGTCTGTCGTCTGCTCTTCTGACCACATGGCCAGCCCATCTAAGTCTTCTTCTTTCGATCACTTCCACTGGATCTCTGAGTCACCAGAGCTGACGCTTGTTCGTACTTCTTAGGCCTTGCTGCGTCTGCCTATTGTACCCTAAGAGGTTCCTTTCGAGGGCTCGGTGTGTCGTTCTCAGAGCACGTTCGGTAGTCTATGTCGTGGCCCAGTTCTCTGTCCCATAGCAGAGTGCCGGGAGGACAGTGTTGTCGAAGAGGTGTGCCCTAGTCTTTTTGTGATTCTTGAGCATCTTAGTGACTTCTTTGATGCTGTTGGGATGTTTGTTGTTGATGTTGATGCTTCTTCAGAGGTAGGTGTAGGAGCTGACTTCTTTATCGATGATCCTATAGAAAATATTAACGCATTCAAATTTTTTTTAACTAAATCCACTTAAACCTAACAAAAACTTAGTTTTTACAAAAAAAAACTGCAAGAAAAAGTTATTTAGTGGTTCAAAAATCCCAAATTGGAACTGCGACTTATTTTTTTTAGCCAGCCATTTTTGAGCGTTCATAAAAAATGATCTATCGATGCTATACAGGGTGGGCCAAAATTATCGTTATATTTAAAAAAGTCTCTCTACAGGGTGTCCCAGAATTACGGTAACCGGCTCTGCCCCGCTGCTTTGCCCGTTTTTGAGTTTTGAGTTGCCTGTGATTTAGCTTTTTTTGGTTTATTCTCTTTTTTTGAATGTTTTGTTAATGTTTACATCAAAATGTGATTTTAAATTTAGAATGACGAAGCCTTCTGCTCATCGTAACTCGATCATTCAACTTCACAAAGGCGGGACCCGAGCGATTGATATTTCAAAGCGATTGAAAGTCTCGAAGAAGCTGGTTTCGACGACTATTGCAAGATTCAAGGAACTGGGCACCAATTTCGATCGGAAAGGACGAGGTAACAAACGATCTGTTATCAACAAAGCCATCATCAAGAAGGTGCGCGACCGTGTCCGTTTGAATCCGTTCCGTCCAGTAAGAAAAATGGCCTCACAACTGAAAGTCTCAAAAAGCTCGATGGGTCGAATCTTGAGAAATCACTTGCACTTCAAAGCCTATAAATTGAGAAAAGCTCAACTTCTTACGGATGCGGTGAAAAAGAAGCGGGAGCAACGAGCTAAGGATATTCGACAGCGCTTCAACGGGATCGATCATCGCATCTCAATCCCGGATCTCAATCCAATGGATTTCTCTGTATGGAGTGTTTTGGAGTCCCAGGCTTGCGCAAAATCACATAAAACAGTGGAATCGTTGAAGAAAGCGCTTCAAAAAGCGTGGGAGGCGATCGATCCACAATACCTTCTCGCCACCGTCGACGCTTTTCCAAAACGTTTACAGGCTTGCATCGACGCTAAGGGATCTCACTTTGAAAAAACTTTAATTATTCTGTTGAATAGTGTTAAAAGAATAAATTTGTTCGTTTACTTTTCGTTCTTGGTCAATTTTGGCTTTCTAGTCCCGCTCCTTACAGGTTACCGTAATTCTGGGACACCCTGTATAAAAAGCAACTCAAAAGGTCAAAGATTTTTCTTAGCTCTTCCCAAGCCTTTTTTAGCGCTTTTTTCAAACTATCAACAGTATTGTGTGGTTGATAGTGTCAACGGATAGCATTTGTGATTTATTTTTCTTGTAGACCTTTAACTTGAGCTTGTTTTTGATGATTCTTCTAAGGGATGTTCCCTCTGTATCCCCATCTTTTTTGTGACATTTTCCGCACCGATTAGTTTGGCGTTTTCAACAGCCGATTCCTCACTTTTTTTTGACATTTGCTGAAGTTGTTACCGTTCGCTTTCGCATTTGCGCGTGAGTGAGCATTGTAACGGTAATTTTGACCCACTCTTAGTCATAAAATCTTGAACATATACAGAAAACGATGTGAATTTTTATTTTAAAAAATAAATTAATCGTTTTTGTATAAATTTTTGTCAATAATTCAACAAATCGTCAAAAGATTTTTAATCGATTTTAAAAAAAACCCCAACTCCTCAAAGAATTCTGTTTGAAAAGTCTGTTGATCTGTTGTCTGTTGATATTGGAAAAATTTCGGTTCATCGAATCCTCAAAACAGCCGGAATGAAAGCCAGAAAAGGGATAAAAGGTTATTTTTGACAGATTCAATGAAAAGAAAACGTTTGGAACGTTGCAAATAAGGTCGATAGACTTTTGTTGATATTTTTTCACCATAAATGTGGGATACCCTGTATTAGGGCGAGTTATTTCTGCTCACCCAGTAATGCGGCGAAGTCTTCATTTCTTCTTTAAAAATGATCTATTGTACTGATTGAGTTACGGTTTGCTATATTAGAAAACTCTCTTATTCAACTACAAAATATCTTCTGAAAGTCGGAGAAAAGCTTTGGCTTGGAAGTTTTTCCGAGGCAAGTTTCCGAGTAAAGAAAAATGATGAAAATTTGATGCAGCTATTTGAGCTTGATGCAGCTGTTTGAGCTTGATGCAGCTGTTTGAGCTTGATGGAGCCTATTTGAGATGAAGCTAGTTGAGCTTGATGAAGCCTATTTGAGATGAAGCTAGTTGAACTTGATGAAGCTAGTTGAGCTTGATGCAGCTGTTTGAGCTTGATGCAGCTGTTTGAGCTTGATGGAGCCTATTTGAGATGAAGCTAGTTGAGCTTGATGAAGCCTATTTGAAATGAAGCTAGTTGAACTTGATGAAGCTAGTTGAGCTTGATGAAGCCTATTTGAGCTTGATGAAGCTAGTTGAGCTTGATGCAGCCTATTTGAGCTTGATGAAGCCTATTTGAACTTGATGAAGCTGTTTGAGCTTGATGAAGCCTATTTGACCATTTTCCATTATCAAAAACCTATTTTATGGTTAATAGATAAAAGAAAGAGGACAAAAAGTTGAATAAGTAGTCAAATTTTCAGATCTATCTGTTTGATCATTCTCATTGTTCGTTTTTTTATAGAAGTTTCAGGAAATCCGGCTTTTTGATACAAATATGCCTGAAATCGGACTCCAAAATTGTTTAAGAGCCTAAATTAAATGCTAAATTATGATTTTATAAGAATCACAAAAGCTTTAGATTGTAACTGTTATTAGTCTTTTCCATGAAACATACTTGGCGCCCAGTTCTGATACGTCAGCGTCGTTCCATCAGCATACACCCAGCTCCCGTCCTCTTTCCTTTGAACTCCAATGAACGGAATCGAGCTACCAAGTTCTAAAATCAAATTTTAATACTCCTAGAAAATTTGAGAACTTTGCCGAATCATTTCCGACAACAAGGCATTCTCGAAAGCATTCGTGATTTTGGCCGCTATTCCGCCCAACAACTGGCACTCGTGGGTTACATCGTAATAGAATTTTGCTGAAAAACATTTTCAACTTCGACTCTCTTACTATTCTTTTGGCAAAAACTTGTAAACTTACGCTCTTTAATCGCATACATACACGTGTTTTCATTTGGTACACGATCACTGCCACTCGGGCAGTTGAACGACTGAGAACTCGCAAATAAAAAGCAAAAAATTAAAAAGTGAAGGAAAGGGTTCATTGTAGTGAATGAAAATTCTTATCTCTTGAAGTGTTCGGTCTAAAAATGTCCCCCTTTTTGTTCTTTGGTTTTTTCTCGGATTAAGGACTAGTGATTCTTATCTCTTGAAGTGCCATATTTCGGGAACAACAATGTTGATTCGGAGTTTTCAAACTGATAAACATTTTTTGATTTCAAATCCGAAAGACTTTAGGTGAGGGCACATTTGAAATTGATTCTAATTGATTCTAATTGATTGTGTTGAATGGCTGCGCCCTGATCGAACACATATCTTGGTCAAGTGAATGTTGTTTTGGTGAAAGCGCTTTGTTGAAATGATGAGCAGAGGCTACAGCGTATGACATCTTATGTTTCATAGATACCAGTACTGGACAACAGTGCATCTGCCGTTCATCTTCAGCGCTTAATGGTAGAGTGCTGGCCTCGAGATCCGGAGATGAATGGATTCGAATCCATTTTGGTAAAGTGTCGCCCTCTTATGAGAGAGACTATGAAGTTTCCCATATTTCTTATCTAGAACGTAACCACAAAAATGGGACCATGAAGATTGCGCCGCTGTATAAAGAAGGAAATTGCGCCGAATGAATTAAATTGGGAAAAATGAAATTTTCCTAATTTAATTGCTCTGGCTTAGGTTTATCGATTCAAATGATTTTTAATCAGATCTCCTTTCAATCTAAAGGTAAAGGGATACGGTAGACATGAGTCAGCTCGTTTTTGAATGATCTTTGCAATACTAAAATAGCTGGTGATTCACCGGGGCTTTGATTCACCACAGGAGCCCCATGAAAGTCACTTGGTGATTGCAAATAAAACCGAGCTAATTTTGATAAGCTAATGCCGAATAGATTCACGTATCATTAGAAATGTTGAGCTTAACTACAATTTCAACCCAATATTTGTCGAAAAACCAATTTTTCGATGATTTCCATATTCGAGCCATCTAGTCTGATGATTTTCCCATTTTTCGTGTACTTTTTTTCCTAACCAAATCAATCTCGATGTTGATTTTCGCGAAACAAATTTTTAGCGAAACAAATTAGCCTTCATTTGACGAATTCATTTTTGATTTGATCACATTCATTTTTGTGCCACTTGTCTATATAAAAAAAAACTCATAATAAAGTGCCTTCTAGAAATTGGAAAATATGAAACAAATGGCCAACATTGAATGATCACAAAAAAAGAGGGAAAATGATGGACAGGAAAACGATTGAGAGAACACTTTTCGTCGGGGCTGAGTCTAATTTTGGGGATTCGGTGGGAACGGCTGGAATGGTTGATTTTAACGCATACTTAAGTCACTTTGGATTTCGAAATTCAAAAAAAACCAAATTCGGCACATTCTCCTACTATTAGCCAATCATGGAACGATCTACTCTTCAAGTCGCCTTTTTGCCTTCCTACCTCCATGCCAAATATCGGTTTTTGGTTCCTCTTTGATATTTTTTGTTTTCTCCTCATTTCCATTGCTCTTATTCTTCGCAGCTTTCTCGTACTGATCTGCTAACTGAAATTTTAGTGTTTGGTGGCATTGGTCTTACTTTTCATTTTCATGGGACATTGGTCTTACTAGGGAACGGTGGCCAAGAAAACTTCTCCGACTTCGTCAGCTTTAATCGAGCAACTTCATCTCTGGATCGCCATCCGATGAATTACTCTGGAGTGTCTTACTAGCGAACGGTGAGATTTCGCAATTGCGAATTCGAACCAAAGCTATATGCCTTACGCAAGTCGGACACGAGCAACACGATGGCGTTTTTCGTTTTTGTCTAAACGCTCTAGATTTCTGTAAAAACGTATTTGAAATTTGACCCCCTAATGCACTGAGCGACTTATAAGGGCCTGATTCAACCCTGATTAAGGTATAAAGAAGCTGTATTAGTTGACTTTTCAGAGATCAACTTCTTAGGGCCTCATCCTTATAAGGGCCACCGTCGTTTGCCAAAAAAGTGACTCGGTGGTGCAGTGGTAGTGCCGCTGTCTCCGAGTTCGATTCCCCTTGGATCAATAATTTTTTTTTGCATTTTTATTTCAATGTTTTGAGCAGTAAAGTTGTATTTTGACTAGTTTTGACTGTCTTTAGCTTCGCTTGCCTTCTTTCGCAAGAAAGACTTTGTCTTTCTATTGTCGCAATACCCTACAAAAGATCAGGAAAGTGCAAGAGCTAGAACTTTTCTGAAAAGTTGCAAAATTGTTAATTGTTTGTGTTTTTGCAAGTTTAAAAAGTCAAAAAAAGAAAATGACACATTGAGCAATAGTCTGTATTAAATTTACAACTTTTTTTTTCAAAATTATTGCCTTTTGTACTGTTACTTGCCTAGAAAAATCTGAAACGCCTGCTGTGGTCTGGAGGTCGGATAAATTGCGTTTGTCACAAACTCTCGTTAAGTTTTCTTGAAAGAAACAAAAGTTAAATATAATTCCAACATTTTTAATGTCCCGTAGAATCGAAAATTCTTAAATAGTGAAGACTTTCTTATCGTTAAACAAGAACAAATGGGATCTGACTCTTTTTTGTAAAATTTGGTGATCGAGTTTCGATAAATCGCTTTCTGAAATATCAAATTTAGGAAACTGTAAAAATCATCTAGAAACTCGAGTTTTTTCCAGTGCTTTCTTGAGGTTTTTATATTGGTTGCTATATTGGTTGAGTATAGCTTGGATCATTTACTTGTGCTTTCTTGACAATTTTTTTTCATAAACCAATTTTGAGAGCAATAAACGACCTACGAGCTAAAAAGTCTCCATAGATATTGAACACCGGTATTGTGATCTTGATCCCACCCTAGAGAACGAGAACTTAAACTTCTGTTTGAACTCAAGCAATCGCTTTACCCTGTGCAAAAATTGTCTCTAGACCGATCCACAAAAAAGCTTACGACACTCGGGATTCCCAAGCCGTCTCCGATCCAAGTACTAACCGAGCCCAACGTTGCTTAACTTGGCAGATCGGACGGGATGCCGTGTTTTCAACGTGGTATGGTCGTAAGCGAGTGTGCGGCTGTGAGAGACAACTGAAATAGACGGCCGCCATGAGAGAGCATCAGCCCTCGCAGAGACGCGAGACGACACGACTCTGTGTACCATTTGTGTGTTTGGTAAGGAAATGCGGCATCTGGCACACGGCTCGTCCAGATACCGCGACAGAGACCCGACTCTGCGGTTTAATTACCCAAGTTTGAGGTTAGCATTAACCCCGAGACCGAGACCCGAGACTCAAAGATTTGAAAGGAGTCGGAGCTTTGATGGTTAATTTCATTTTGATCGTGATTTATCAAGTGTGTCAACTCTTCACTTCACTGGTGAAACGGTGGCGCGGAACCACACGGGAGATAGTCCACTATATAGTGGAGAAAATTCGATTCGATTTTGGATCGGTATTTACTACAGGGTGTCCCAGAATTACGGTAACCTGTAAGGAGCGGGACTAGAAAGCCAAAATTGACCAAGAACGAAAAGTAAACGAACAAATTTATTCTTTTAACACTATTCAACAGAATAATTAAAGTTTTTTCAAAGTGAGATCCCTTAGCGTCGATGCAAGCCTGTAAACGTTTTGGAAAAGCGTCGACGGTGGCGAGAAGGTATTGTGGATCGATCGCCTCCCACGCTTTTTGAAGCGCTTTCTTCAACGATTCCACTGTTTTATGTGATTTTGCGCAAGCCTGGGACTCCAAAACACTCCATACAGAGAAATCCATTGGATTGAGATCCGGGATTGAGATGCGATGATCGATCCCGTTGAAGCGCTGTCGAATATCCTTAGCTCGTTGCTCCCGCTTCTTTTTCACCGCATCCGTAAGAAGTTGAGCTTTTCTCAATTTATAGGCTTTGAAGTGCAAGTGATTTCTCAAGATTCGACCCATCGAGCTTTTTGAGACTTTCAGTTGTGAGGCCATTTTTCTTACTGGACGGAACGGATTCAAACGGACACGGTCGCGCACCTTCTTGATGATGGCTTTGTTGATAACAGATCGTTTGTTACCTCGTCCTTTCCGATCGAAATTGGTGCCCAGTTCCTTGAATCTTGCAATAGTCGTCGAAACCAGCTTCTTCGAGACTTTCAATCGCTTTGAAATATCAATCGCTCGGGTCCCGCCTTTGTGAAGTTGAATGATCGAGTTACGATGAGCAGAAGGCTTCGTCATTCTAAATTTAAAATCACATTTTGATGTAAACATTAACAAAACATTCAAAAAAAGAGAATAAACCAAAAAAAGCTAAATCACAGGCAACTCAAAACTCAAAAACGGGCAAAGCAGCGGGGCAGAGCCGGTTACCGTAATTCTGGGACACCCTGTATATCATGAATTCAAGGCGAGTCACAAATGAGCAATTCGAGCTTCTGCGCCATCATTGATTTGTCGATTGACAAATGATATCGGTGGATTACACTTCACCTCGTTTCTGCATTTGTTCGATTGATATGAGAAATGGTTTGGCTTTGTGGGTGGATCTGGAATTGAATTTATTTAGGCAATTCTTTCTCTTTTAATCAAAATCACCAGAATTTTGAAGAAGACCAAGGTCCAACTCAAAATGCAAAACATATCCTGATTGTGGATTGATAGAATTTTGCTTTGGGGGAAGATATAAATCTCTATATTACTATATAAGCATATAAATCTCTTTGCTCTCTAGCAATAAATATGAGTTTGCAATCGTGGACGTAGTGACATTCTAACAATCTGTTAACACTCTGCGCGTTGGCCAGAAATGGTGCCCAGAAATGCGAATGCCCAGAAATTGGGATGTAAAGTAAGATCCAAAAAATCTCTCAAAGTGAATTCAAAAAAACGAGAACAGATTCATAGAAAAACCTTTAAAACATTTCTTCATCTTCCAATTTGTGAGATTGTGATTGTGAGATTATAAGTGTGTGCTAAATATAGAACCTCTTACTATAATCGATTTCTGAAGTCGAGCTCTTTCAATTGATAGATCAATCTATAGAATTCAGAAACCCTCAAATAAGTAAATCAAATAAAACTGAAAGCATCGAAGCAATTGATTTTCCCAGAAGCAATCAATGAATGGCACATTTTTGTGATCAGCATCAAGGACTCAATTAAATAGGCTATAAGGCGCAATTCAATTCTTTCGGAACATTGGCCGTTTATGACCATTTTTAAATAGCCGGAATCCTTTTGAAAGTTGAAATATGAAGATAGAAGATTTCATTCATTTGAAGCCAAAGAATTGGAGCCCAGGTTTCTAAAATTACAGTTTTTATGGTTGAATCGACAACAATAATAGATTTTGATAATATTCGGAGTGGAAGATAGGCTAGAAAAGAGGAACTTTCTTGTCTCTGTCTGTCTGATCGACCGGGCATATGAGGTTTTTTCTTTGGATTTGCACAGTGCCAGTAAGCTTCAAAAGCTTAGTAACTAATGTAGTTTAAAAATTGAAAAAGCTTGAAAAAGGAATTCAAAAAACGAGAACAGATTCATAGAAAAACCTTTCAAACATTTCTTTATCTTCCAATTTGTGAGATTGTGATTGTGAGATTGTAAGTGTGTGCTAAATATAGAACCTCTTACTGTAATCGATTTCTGAAGTCCAGCTCTTTCAATTGATAGATCAATCTATAGAATTCAAAAACCCTCAAATAAGTAAATCAAATAAAACTGAAAGCATCGAAGCAATTGATTTTCCCCGAAGCAATCAATGAATGGCACGTTTTTGTGATCAGCACCAAGGCGATAACACTGAGAAGAGCCATCCAAAGGCCATTAAATCTCTCTTTTATGGCAAATTTCTCAAATCTCGTTTTCATTTGAGCCCCGAATTTGCGGTGATGGGACTTCAAAGGTGTTCTTTTATTTTTCTAGTTCTTTTACTTGAATACTTCGGTTTGATTGCTTGTCAATCGTGTCCCAATGGATCAATTCAACTCCTCGATGAACAGAAATGTATCTATCCATCAATTCGTGAGTACTTTTTCTGCTTTGCAGATCTTGATTAGAAAGAATTTTGAATGGAAATTGCCTTTTCACAAAGATTGATTTGAAGTTTCAATAAGAGGAAAACACTCGTCAAGATCGTCTCTTGAGATCGTTTTGTTTTTCTATTTGCCTCAATATTATTGGGTTGGGGAGAATGAGTCGGCGCCAAACTTTAAAGGGACTTTTTGCACACATAAAGCCTTCTTTAAACATACGTTTGGTTTCATCAAAAGGATCCACTATTTCTCTACAAAATGACTTTTGAGAGATTCCACAAAGCTTTTCTTTCGTGGAGTTTATGAACTTCCAAACGCAGCTGGTTAAAATGGCAAAGAGTCCGACTCATCATTTGAACAGTTTCTTTCACATAAACCTTCTTTGGTGTTTATATAAAAAAGATAGAGCACATTCAATTACTTAAGTTGCCAAATTTGCAGGAAGATCCCATCAATGGTTTTTTCTAGATCACAGTTTGTAGTTTTTGTGAAAAAATGGCTTTTTCTTGAGCGGAGGCGCTGTTTGAATTTTCTTTTAAATGTCATTTTGTAGAGAATTAGTTAACCATTCTACTCATATCAAACGCATATTATTTGACGAAGTCGAATAGAAGTTTTAGACATTTTTTTCATTTTCGGCGCCGACTCATTCTCCCCAACCCAATAGATTGGCCTATAAGTCTTGTCTGTTTTTTGACGTGCTTTTTGTCAAAAACCAAGGCATTTATTTATCCACTAATCATTAAGAGTTCTTAAGCATAAGATTATGCCATTTGTTAGACAAAGCATGGATCTATCGACCTTGGCAGAGAACAGGTAGCGCCTTTAGGAAAGACCAGGGTAGTTGCTTGGTCTCCAGAGAATCCCCAAAGTCTTCCTGTGTCAAATCGAGAACCAGGTTCTTGAAAATGTGAAAACCGGAAGGGATAGTATTCTGACTAATTGTTGGATAAGAGCCATCCCCCAGTCCAATGTCTCAAATTCTTTCTAAGCCAGATTTGCAAAATAAGGCCGTCGGTCCTCATTCAATAAAATGCCCTTCCGCAGATTGAGTCGTTTTTTCCAACTTTTACCATCAACCCTGATTAAGGTATAAAGAAGCTGTATTAGTTGACTTTTCAGAGATCAACTTATTAGGGCCTCATCCTTATAAAGACTACCGTCGCTTGCCAAAACAGTGACGCGGTGGTGCAGTGGTAGTTCCGCTGCCTCCGAGTTCGATTCCCCTTGGATCAATTTTTTTTTTGCATTTTTATTTATGGCACAAGAAACACTTAACAAAATCCCCTCTGATGGATCTCAGACTGGGGCGTAAACTTTGTTTTTCTTTTCTCAAAAGTGGTCGTTGCTTGAGTCTGAAAAGTTTGTACATAATCTCCACTGATTAACGTCTATAGTCCGGTGGCATTAGAACAACTGTTGTTTGCATCTTAAAAGGTGGGCAGCAAAGGGAGTCTGCCGATTTAGGGTATCGATGAGGGGATGTGAGCCTGTGTCCCAATTTTAGTCCATTGACGTATAGACCATTGATTGAAGGTGATTGTCCATGAGTGATTACATTTAATTGTCTAACTAATTCGAAGGCTTTTGGTTTCTTGTCTCCTTGTATAATTTGAGAGGAGTGACCTCATCAAGGCCACTCAGATGACGCATCTTCAAGCAAAAAGTAGTTTCGAAACGATGAAGCGATTTTAGGCTAATTCAAATCAAATTATCTTATGGTATCTGGTTGAATTTGCATGAATAAGCGAACAATCAAAGCATCATAAGAAAGAATATTGATTGTAGGGAGTAGTTTAGTAACCAATTTCTCGATTTCAGCTCTCATCTACGCTGAGGCCACGGCCCAGTGCCAGTCATTGAGTGGCTCGTTGGTGAAGATCCAGAACGCATTGGAGAACTCCTTCCTATATGGACATGGATTCGAATGTAAAGTGGAAAAGAGGAAGATGTTTTACATTTATTTTCTAGTTTTCAATGGTGACTCGCAGTATATTGGCGTTCGGCGAGATGCTAATGGAACGTGGGTTTACGAGGACGGATCACCGCTCACATATCGAAATTGGGGTCCCGGTTGGTAGGCTCTAAATGACTCTATGACTGATAGCTCTATCACGTGGCAGGTATGGCTTCTAAGATAGGCTTTGGCCCTATGATTTATTGATAATTAATGTTAATGGGTTATTTTGACATCTTTGAAATCAGGATCTCTTTAGAACATCCTTTAAAAGGGCCCAGAATTTAAAAGGACCAGATCCAAGCATTGAACTTAAGTTGCGGTCATCGATTCATCAAGATACTTGATTCTTGCTTTTGATCGGCATGAACTTGCACGAGGAATTGAAATTTTTGGACTCGATGTTCTGTATCAAACTTATGAATTTGAAAAATTGGCTCAAATAATCTTTACCTCTCAAGTGATCGCTTGATCGACACGTTTAATCAAAAGCGAAATTCAATGTAAATTTCTATAGGAGAACCATCGAACACATCAAATTGTGCAGTCCTTGCCTCACAAACTACGCAATGGAGATCAGCCGACTGTATTTTGGCAAGGCCATTCTTCTGTGCCGTCGATATAAAGAGAGGATGCCCCACCGATTGGACCTATGTTTCAGTCACTGACTCATGCTATTACTTCCAGGTTCTCATCTTTGTCCACGGGATGATATGTCCACGGAATTTCTATTTTTTTTATCAATAAGATCTATCAATAAAGCATTTACCATAAAGGTTCTCGAGAAATCAGAATCAAGCCGGCGATCAAAATTCTCTAACTTTCAGAACACAACCCATTTTGTTGATGGCTCTAACTTTACCACATATAATTTCACGGATGCTGAAATGGCGTGTCAATCATTGAACGCAAGAGCCCATCTCGTTTCAATTCATTCAAAAGATGAAGATGATGTGCTCATCGGTTTGTTGGGAATCACTTTTTCATAGCCACTTTTCAAGAATCTTTGATTTTCAGTGGATAAATTAGGCAATAAATAACCTCATAACCAACAATTGAAGGCACTGTTTTATGTTTCTTTTTCAGCAACCCAGCGCAGATTCGGGAAACCGCTTGTTTGCCAAGCGTGGTATACATGGATCGGTTTACACGGGAATGCATTGGTTGGCAGTGTGCAATGGACTGACGGGACTTCACTCGATTATATCTCCAATCAGTTGGACTGCAATGTTGGCGGATACTTTTTTGTAAGTCTCATGAAATCAGTGAGTAAATTTTCACTTTTTGGTTTATTTAAAAACTACCATAATCTTTTTTTAATCATAATTTATCAATGAATATTCAGTTTTCCATTGCATCAATCTTGAAATTCTTGTTTTGATACTATCCGGGGTACTGCTGTTGATGTCTATTTTGTTCGGTACTGTCTTACATGTTTAGACATGCAAGCCAGTCTAAACAGTACTGTACAGTACCGATTGCAAGCCTGCCAGTACCGCTTAACGGTGCTACTCAATTACAGCGACCGTTTTTCCCAAACTTTTCCCAAATTTCTCTCAATAAAGAACGGCCAATGCAATCGAAATGAATCATTTAAAGCAGCCTATATGCAAATCTTGGTATCTCTCAAGGTTAACATGAAATTTTGTTTTGATTAATTACCCTTCTGTTAAAAAAAGTTGAATCATGTGACGCGAATTCTAATAAAGAAAAGTGAAAAGTGATTCTAAGCAAAAAAAAAGTGCATTTAAAGAACCTAGGAATCAAATTTTATCTCAAGAAACGACCAGTGCAATCAATAAGTCCATGAAATTAATCGTATGCTAATTTTGTGCCAGTGTAATCGATTAGTTCCCGCTTAACATTAGCAATTACGTTGTGCCATTACTATTGTTGCATACAGGGGTTTCTATGTTTGAGCTCTATTAAATTCATTTAGTATGCAATCTCATCTTGCGGTTCGAGTGAATGGGCATGCACGTTGAACAAGGATACGATATACAGCCGATTCATTTGCAAGATGCCATCGACATAGGGAAAGATCAGAATTCTTTTACTGATAAAATCTTGTTCTCTCCGAAAATTTACAGCTGAATATCTACTGATTAAAGAATCCAAGACTTGAGTGAAGTTCAAAGGGTTCTCTCTGATCGAATGAATATGTAATCTTGATGCAAATCAATTCAATCAATCAATTATAACTTATGATTATTATAAATAAATCAACATTATAACATAACTTATTATAACTTATGACCACTACGTTCTGGAGAAAATATCAATAAAATCTTTTATATCAATTTAAAAACCCTTGCGTTTTTGAATTAAAGAATTAATCAGTTTTTGAGTTTTTACAAGAAACTCAAATAAATTCACTTTTCAGTTACACACATAAATTTTGTCAGTTTGTCCCTGCCTTCCAGTTGGGCTTATCTAAAACAGAAAATCTGTCAGTTTTGTCAATGGTGCAAGTGAAATAGATAAAACTTTCTGCTCTGAACATGTGCCGCCATAGCTCAGTCGGTTAGAGCGTGGGTCTAATAAGCCCAAGGTCGCAGGTTCGACCCCTGCTGGCGGCAAAACTTTTTTGCCGTTTTTTTCGTTACTGCAAAAGCCTAACGAAAAAGCCTAACGAAAAAGCCTAATGAAAAAGCCTAACGAAAAAGCCTAACGAAAAAAACGGCAAAAAAGTTTTGCCGCCAGCAGGGGTCGAACCTGCGACCTTGGGCTTATTAGACCCACGCTCTAACCGACTGAGCTATGGCGGCACATGTTCAGAGCAGAAAGTTTTATCTATTTCACTTGCACCATTGACAAAACTGACAGATTTTCTGTTTTAGATAAGCCCAACTGGAAGGCAGGGACAAACTGACAAAATTTATGTGTGTAACTGAAAAGTAAATTTATTTGAGTTTCTTGTAAAAACTCAAAAACTGATTAATTCTTTAATTCAAAAACGCAAGGGTTTTTAAATTGATATAAAAGATTTTATTGATATTTTCTCCAGAATCGTAAACACATTTATGTGCAAGGACCATCCAAATAACGTGTCATAGAGCAGCACCGCTTTTGGCGTTCAAGAACCGAGACATTAAACATTAAAGTTTGTTTTGACCAACTATTGTCCCGATAATCTGGCATTTATTGTCATATGTACTAGGTTGATGCAGAAATTTCGCTTTTTTATAAACATTAAATTAAATCAAAATTCCTTTAGGTAACGATTTATTCCAAACAATAAGCACCATTGTTATCTATAACATCTATAACAACAATAAGCCCCAACGTTGCTTTAGATTGCACATCCTCTTATCGAAGAACTCTTGATTCTGTGATTGAAAGTAGTTGGTCACCCAAGTCTCGACCATTCTTAAGCTGGCAATTTGCAAGGGAATTTTGCATCGATCTGAAGAGGTGAAAAATAGTTGGTGATAAGTTTGGACTATATCGCGCATGCGGTAAGACCTTCCATCTTGATTCCTCTAACTCCATACAAGAAGTTTCTGAGCCGGCGCGTTGTCACGGAGAAAATTGACAGTGGAAGGATTTAAGCCCTTTTGCCCCAAACTTGGTCAATCTTCTTGAACTGTTCAATAAAACAAGGTAAATCAACTGTTTTTCCGGCTCGAATAATTCGAAATAAACAGGCCTGTTGATTACACACAAAGTTAGGAAAAAAGAAATGGTTAAGAAAAAAGAAATGACCTCCGATCTTCTTTTCATGAAAGGAAAATCAGTGAGCTCGCTCGCTCGCCCTTTATCAGTTGTTTCCTTTCACCATGAACGATGGCGATGAGATCAATTTTCGCGATGCTACTCTAATTGGAAATGGAGCCTTTGGATGCGTATATCTCTTTCGGAATCCGTGAGTTTCTAAATAATAAGATCAGATTTCTATATTAATTCTGACATTTTGTTGAGCTTTCGTTCTATGTACTACCCATTAACTATCATTTTGCTTTTAGGAGTCTCCAACTAGAGATATTTACTGGAAGCTCTTGGTTAGAAAGCATACATCTCTCCTAAAGAGGCACTGGAAAGGATTCGAACCTCCATCTCTAGATCCGCTCTACCATTAAGCTCTACCAACGCTCTACCATTAAGCTAGCGACACTATGTGCGAACCCTTAAGAGAAAGTCTCATATGCCCAGTGTTTTGCCAAGAATAGTAGAATATAAAATATAAATAGAATGGCCTAAGTCCAGAGATCGATTCCCAAAACTCATTTCCAGAACGTTTGTGGTCAAAGTGATGCAATGTGAGGGAGACAGATTTCAGCAGGCGACAAAACGCAAATACTCTCAAGCTGAAGGCGAGATTTTAAGGAAGTTAGATCATCCAAATATCATTCGATCATTTCGAACCCTCGAGATTCTTCATCATGATCAAATGTCTTTTGCGATTGTGATGGAATTCTGTGAGCTGGGATCATTGGATCAAAGTAAGCAATCTCAAAAGAGTATGAATCTTCTAAGGAAAACCGCTCAAAGAAGCAGATAAACCTATGCTAGATAAGCTTGTTAAGTGGGTTGGATTGATCCGGATCGACTTTTTTAAAAACTCATTAAACCAGAATCGGAGGTCAATGAACCGAAAACTAGAGAAAGAGGGTGAACCGGGAGTTTCAAAAATAACGAATCAGTTTGGACCCTTAACAATGAGACTAAATTTGTCAATTGTAACCTTTATGAAATCAATTATAGTCGTCTTTACACCAAAATACATTTACACAATGAAAACGGTGGTTGAATGGAGCACACAACTCTTCTCGGCTCTCATTTATTTACATGAAATGCATCGTCTCACCCATCGCGATGTTAAGCCCGAAAAGTGGGTCTCTTTTCGCGAATTCATAAAACATAAAAAGACAAAAAAGACAACCGGAAAACGCACAATAAAAGAGCTTTGAATGGAAGATAAAAGAGTTGAGTCAACTACTGTAATTCATCCACTCTCACAATTCTTTTAAGTTCAATATTAGCATCCTTGTCACGGGCGATTTCATTCTAAAGCTCGCCGATTTTGGGACAGCAAAGAAAAACGACAACACTCGCATTGGATCTTTTATTGGAACGACTAGATACATGAGTCCATCAAGAGATCGGGATAATGTTGATCCATTTGATATGAGTCGAGCCGTGGTGAGTCATTTTAAGACACTAACATTAAATCAGTAGGCCGTTTCTTCTTTTAAGTGTTTTAATTCAGAGAGCTTAAGATCATTTCATCAAAAGGTGTTCAGATTTCTAACAAGAACGATATCTACGCGATGGGGTTGGTCTTGTGGGAACTTATCGAAAGAAAGTAATCTCCTCACCTAACTCTATGCTCTGTTTCATTTAGAAAATCCCTACTCGATTATGATACACGAAGACAAAGCTTTGATTTGGTGAAATTTCGTCATCACGTGCACCGGGATCAATTGCTTCGAATTGTGGCGCCGAATTGTGGAAAAGAGATCCAGAAGATCGTCATGAAATGTACAGAGTTTCGTGATGAAGTAAGACCGAGCGCGAAAATGGTGCTCCAAGAATTGAAAAGGATCAATAAGGTTAGTATTATCAGAAAGCATCTTGGGCTCTCTTATAAAAAGTTAGGGAAAAGATTCGAACCTTTATTTCTGGATCTCGAGACCAGCGCTCTACCATTAAGCTACCAGCATTATGTGCAAAACCTCAAGAGCAAGTTTTATATGTCCGGTGGCCGATCCGAGAGACAGAGACCCGTTCTTTGTGCCCTGGTCTATCCAATATTTCTGAGGATTGATCGGCATATTATCTAGAAAATGTGAATCGAATATTGAGGCCATTTTTCTAGGGTGACCGGTTCCTTCAGGGCTTGGATCCTTTGCCAAAGGTGGTTGATGAGCTAAGGCACCTTATTCGGCCGATCGGTTTCAACAATCAACAGAATCAAGTGGCGATTGGTGAGGAGACAACCGGAATGGCCATGCTGCCACCCACAATATCAACCTTTGCTTTACCAACTTTTTGCGTAAGTTTTTTCTTGTAAAAATTTCTAATTGATAGAACCGGGTATTTGTTATAATTTTGGCTTCATGAAGGGTTTATTGAAGATTAGTTTAGCCCGAAGAAAATACCGACGAATCATTCAAGAAATTTGGTGTCGATGAATCGCTACCAAAAACTCGAAATCAAAAGAAAAGCACCAGGCGTCTACGGCAACGATTTGATGGTCTCTTTATCTTGGACAGGAAGCACTACAAGATGATTCGGAATCTAGTGATTCTGCTTTGTGTGCTGATGCTGGTTGGATCAATTGTGATCCGTGAAATCCGTTCGACACCAAACGTGAACGGTTTGTTTGGATGCACCTTGTTTTTCTGTAATCTGCATATACGGCCTCTTTTCATTATACTTTCCTCAACTTATTGTTTATCTTGAAGTATTAATCTTTCCCTTCATTGAATTGGCATTAAGTATTTAGATGGGTCAATGGCGCAACCACCCACTACAGGCAACGGGCTGCGACCACCGGCACCGCAAGTACCATCATCTACGATCCAGCCAACACCACCGCCAACACCAGGACCAACCCTGCCCTCAAATTTCCCGCCTATAAGAAGTATAACATTTAAATTGCATAAAGCCTTCCACAAATCGACTATTGATAAAGAATCCTTTGGTACTTTTGGTATCCCCGCGAAACTCGTGCTTGGGGTGCATAACGATATTGATACAAATGAATAAATGAGGTTTTCATTTGAATAAGCAACCGGTTTTTGTATGGAAATTTGAGGATATAACCGAGAAGTACTAATCCTTTTCTTATAGCTGAACCTCCAAGTCAAATCACCACAATCACTGATGAAGAAGGGACAGAGCCACTCATCTTCTCGCAAAAGGTTTCAAATCAATCAACAATTATTGAGAAAATTTAGATCCATCGTAACTCGGACGGTGAGTGCTTTGAGTACTCGTGTCTGGGTTGCCCGGGTGGTGGTTGTTGTAACGTGCTTGTAAACCCTTGCCCGATGAGCAACGTACTTTTCAATCCCGGCAATAACCCAATAATCTACAAAAACTCGAATGGTGATTGCTATCGGAAATTTTGCAATGGGCGTCCAAGTGCATTATGCGATCGACCTATTGTTTTATGCATCGATGCGGCAATCTACGTTGGCAGAAGGAGATCTCGTTCATTTCGATCAGTCTACTCTATCCATGATTAGTGATCTAATGGAATCTCATCAATCTATGGCCTCTATTTTTGATAAATTTTTTTTATCATCCAAATGTTTCTCATTATAACAAGTATAACAATTGAAAGATGGAACTAGTAAAGAGAAATTAGGGATCAAGATTTGCTGCTCAGGAAATTTTCTCGTTCATGTCTAGAGAATCTCATGATGAATCAAATAAACTAGGCCTATCCCCGTCCGTTTACAACGTAAGAAGAGTTATCATTGAATGTTTTCAACATTCATAATTTGAAATTATTACATTCAAAAGTAAAATCCGGAAACATTTATTAAACGGTGCACAAATAGGCATTTCTAAAGTAACAATTGATTGCCACTCATTTTCCACTCGATGGATCGATTGCTTCACAGCCGACAAAATGCTTGCAAGCGGGTTCAAACCGGTAAGGTAAAGAACGGAATGCAAGCATACTAACCATTAGGTCACCAGCTTAACTTTTCAAAGCTGCGCAAAAGCAATTTGACTATCCATGATCGAAAAAATCCATGCTTAAAAATTCCGTCTAAATTTTGGAGCTGAATGTGCTGAATTTCAACATGTCACAAACGACCTAGATATTCGGAATTAGCGCAAAAAAACTACACCAGAAAAACGATGTCTAGGCTCAAAAGCCAGGTGTAAATCGAAAAACATCTCTAGTAAGATGATTTTGGTGCTTTTCGATTGAATTGGTTTTTATCAAGTAAAATATGGACTTTAGTTTCGGAGAAATGAACAGTCTAATCGAAAAATCCGATAATTTGACCTAAACGATCCAAAGAAAGTAAAGATTTCGTTATTCAACATACATTTTTAGACTCTATCAAAACACAATTGGATCGAGATTCCAATCGAGACTTATCTTGCAACATGTGATCTAGATTGGACTAGTGGCGATGAATGGTATTGTTGTTTATTGCATTTGTCCAGAATGTGGATAAATATCCTTCAATTAAACAACGAATTCAAAAACATGGTTTTCTCAAATGCCATCCGATGAATTAAAGTTGTTTTCGATAAACTTTTCTCGGCTAATCGGAAACGGAACCTCATAAAATGAAATCTAAAAGATATATAGACGACACTTCTTGTGCAATAACTTAAGAAGAAATGTAATACCTTCATGGTGGCTGCCGAGTTGTCGAATTGTACGCAATAGTGGGGTGCAGAGAAGATGTCGACCTAAAGCAAAAAGTTAAGTCAAATCATTTCAACTTTCAATGTTAAAAACCAAACATTACTATTTTGCGGTTGGCGAAGAACCTGTGTCCGTCTTGAACGACTTGAAGAGCGCGAGCCATGAGATGTTCATCCGCTCGCAGAAGTTCACCACATCTTGTCCAAAAAACGTACGCAACTCCACGGGAGGAGACCGAAAAGAGGTATCCAGTTGAACGTGCCTCGGAAACATTGCCGAATGGCCATGACTTTTTGGCCAACCTAATAGCTACTCCAACGAAAACATGAATATGTATACCCTTGCCTTTGACCTTTTTTCATTTGCCGCTTGCATTGCGATGATTTTCACAATTGTGACCTCACGTGGTAGAATCCTAAAGCAACAAATTAATGCTCTAACCGACAATTAACTAGGCTATCAAAACACTCACTTGTTATACGTCAAGGTTACACTGCACTTTGTTTCGGGGACCTTAGCGATATTCAGGAAGCTTTCAGGGTACCTAAAATCACAGCAGTTCCTCCATGCTAGATTATAATGATCATAAAGATTAAATACTCACTTGATTTTGTAGCAAAACATGAGCGAGATGGTTTCGATATTCTGCTGGCCACGATCAACATAGCCGCCCAAAAAGATGAAATTGGCGTCAGGTGGAAAAGTGGTCTTTTCGAAGATGCGCAAGAGGTCGGGATACTAAAAAGCAACAACAATTAACTGAGTACTTTCAAATAAGCATACCTCTCCATGGATATCCTCGCAAACAACAATTGGTGGCCCAACTTCGGTGAGTGATGGTTGATGCATAAAAACATTCTTTGCGAGGCAACACAGAGACTTCAGCTCGTCTTCTGAAACCTAAACAAAACAATTAAAATGAAGCCTTCTGAAGAGTTTCCGAAGTGAAGACGTATAATTTTTCTCAATTTTGAGCGATCTAAAGCGTAAAACTATAAGGAGCTGGCTGATTGGATTCGAGAAATGCGAGCGAAGAAAGTGCGAGTGACTTGAAAAATTATTGTGACATCACGTGGTAGAATCCTATTCGATAAAGTTCTCGGGAAAGCAAAAAGCACTCACGCATGCCGTCAAACGTCCTCCGATGATTCAAATCTTGAGAAGGCGGCTCATCATGTCGTCGATGTCGGCTTGCCCCATATTGATAAGAGTTCCGATCAGCTTTGAATAGATGATGCCATCTAAAGAGTTTGAACTTTCTTTCAATACGGATAAATACAAATTGCGTGTTTGAAGATGGTATTTTGAATTTTGTAAACCCATAAACTACATTTACCCTAGTAGGGTTTATGATGCATTACGATGCCATTAGAAAGTTTTGATCTTATGCCAGAAATCTCTTGGTAGTGACCCATATGGTGGTGGTGACCATGGTGGTATGAAAAATTTCTTGTATAGGGGTCATGATATGGTAAAAATCAGGACAATATATTAAAAAATTCCCACCCCAAAAAACCAGTTTTGCACCATACCTACCATAAATACTCTAATAGAAGAGCACCGCCCCCGTACACTCGCGTAGTCGATACTTTTTTCGAAAAGATCATTTTTTTCAAAGCCTCATAATTTTTTCCAATCGCACTTTTTGTTTTAGCGTAATGCTTCTTATTAAACAAATTCTCATTTTTATCCCTAGCTTTTACTTTGATGAATTTTGTAGAGCTTAGACTTAACTGCTCCTAAATCTGATATTTCTACAATTTGGTTCATTTATATATAGTAACTTTATCTTTAGTGTTCGCTCCATTTCTTATTGCTACTCATTTTAGGTAATTTCAATATGTCGTCCAAGAGGAAGAAAAACGACAATTCGGACGAAGAAAGGTATTTAAAAAATAAAATTTATTGTATATTATGCTATCGTTTTTTAGTGATGGAGTCAATTGGGAGAAGGAGTATTGGAAGAAGGTTGAGCAGCTGACAGAGCTGGAGCAAAAGCTTGAAACGAAGGACGAAGAGCGGAAGGAAATGGCTGAGAAGAATAGAGAGCTGGAATGGAAATTGGTATGTGCTTTAATACTATAGATTCTTGATAAAATGCCAATATTCTAGAAACATGTCAACGATGAACTCCTTCGATCCAAGTCCAAGTCAGGGCTAAGTGCGAGAGGTGTTATCGAGTGGCTTGAGAAGTTTGTGAACTTTTCTGATTAGTTTTTCGTCGTTTTGAAATATTATAATCTAAGCGCTACTAAACACATATGCTTCTTTCTAGAAGCTATAAAAGATTTGATATTTGATTTATTATAATTTGGTTTAGTTTAACTTTTAAGGCCTCCTTAGCAATTAGATTTAAATTCTATATAATTTTCAATTTCTTAAATTTTAGAAAACAGCGAACGCCGGATTCTGTCAGACGGGGTGTCCTACACGACCGATGGAAATGGATTTTCGCGAATGATCCTACATTCTGCAATGAAGTTCGCTCTTACGATTCTCGATACACTGCTCAACGAGTTGCAAAGATAGTTGGCAAGATTCTCTTCAATACTGCCGCCGATGTACAATCATTCGACTTGAGAAAAGGACTTGAGATCCCAAGCGAGTATTATACCACTGATCAACAGGATGTTCTTAAAGCGGTTTGTGCTACTATTCCGTGTAACTTTTCTACTGAATAAAGTTTTGTTTTGATTTGTCCGAATCCCCCGTTGAAAAATCTCATCGAATCATGGTGTTTTGGGTGTTTTTATAAAGAAAATAGATCGGAAAAAGAAGTTAAACAACGAGATGTGAAAATTAGTGTTTATGAACCCACACGATTTTATCGCATTCCCGCCGCACAGCTTTTCCTCTGTGTGCTCTCCTTTGATTCAGATTCAAATCTTCTCAACCCCTTTCTCGCTTTTCTCCGATACATTACACGAACAGGGCTCATCCAAATTTTGTTAAAGGCCCTCGTTTTGCGAATCTTCTTTTTTTGTGTTCTTCGTGGACTGGATTAGGATTTTTGCAACCATCGTTTGTCTTGCTTTTACAGCAAAAATTTTTTTGCAAAAACGAGATGTTTTTAAGCCAAATTATACCTTTTTAGTGCTAAAATAAAACCAATACTTGCAAAAACTCAAATTCTATTCTTTGAGCTTGTTTTCCTCTTCTCACTTCCTTTTTATCGTGTTTTTTACACGGTCGTTTTGTTTTTTCTTGACGGGGAGCTGTCGTCTCATATCGTGCCCGCATAAAATTTTCTTTCCGCCCGTTGACACTAAACTATCGGCGGGTGTTTCGAAGAAGAATTTCATAATTTTATTCACGGATTTTTTTGTTGTTTTGTTTTTCCGGCAATAGTTTCTCATTTTTAGGGCTGATTTTGGAATGGCGAGGAGTGACATCAGCGAGTCGTGTTTACGGGAACGCGAGCTATGAAATCTCGGACGACCTTCAACGGCGGACAACTGCAGTGAGTTTATATGGATATTTTATGTGTCAAAGTAAAAACTCGAGCTTTTCCATATGGATATCAATAAAAGATTAGAAACTTTCACAATAAAATGAGCCAGAATTTCGCCAGCATATTAGTTTTTTCAACTTAAAATGGTTCTTTATTTTTTAAGAGTTTATCATTTGACTTTGATTTTTCTTTTTAAAAACCCCTCTACGCGTCAAATAGTGAATCACTGATTGGATTTGCCGGCCCTTCAAGGGAAGCATTAGGGAGTAGAGAAGGCTGGGGGAAAGAGGAGTCTGGAAAATATAGAATGCATAGTGCTGCAAATGTTGTGACTTTATCTCTGAAAACTACAAAAAGACTCTAATTCTGTCAAATGTTTAGCCCAATGTAATTCATTTTGTCTAATCAACCCGTTCATGCGATAATTCATTTTTATTCCAGGTACTTGAAAGGCGGTACGATATTCGGGATCGGGCTCACCGTGCCGCTACGATAATTCAACGCGCCTACAGACACTACAAGATGAGTTCGAGGTTTAAGCAGGTTGGGATTAAACAATCTATTTTTTATCTATTTACTTACAAATTTAATTGTAAAAAAAGTTATTAAGGCTTTAAATATACATAGTAAATAATTCAAGCTTTTTAGATGACGAACATTCCCAAGGAGCGAGTTCGCATTCCAATGGTTTCACTACTCCAGATCGTACAAGGTAGGCCGTTCTTTGTTCTTAGTTGTAAAAAAAGTTAAATTCTTGGTCGTGATCTTTTCAATTACCCACGTTGTGCAAGCTCTATTCATTTGGAAATCTAAATCCCCGTGTTTTGTGTGTAAGCAAGCCCGTTAACAAGACGATCCCTAACGGATAGAGGAAAGAGAGGCAGCTTTCCGATTGGCTAGTTATGATGAGAACCGGCCTAGTTTTCTCGTTCAGATCGCTTGTCTCTCCTCGATTTTTTCATACGGCTCTAAGTGATTACGCAACGGTCTATCCACTCATTTCCATTTTTCTAGAAAAATTTGAGTTATTGTTTGAAAGAACTGTTTATGAAAATGATTTTGAGTTGTTATTATTTTAGATATGCACCAACGACATCATTGAGCGCCCAATTGCGAACCGATCGCACTACTCATTCAATGGTTAATGTAAGTTTTGGACTGGAAACTCTTGGAAAATATATCAGAGTCGTTAGATTTTAGTCAACGTTTTATTTTTGACTTTACTTGCCTAATTTTCTTTATTTAGGATCAATCACGAACTCGAAGTCCTCCATCTCCGTCACCGAGAGGCCGACAGGAGTACAATATGATTGGTGGGTGACTTTACAAAACGTAAAAAAGGTCTCTCAAACACTTTTTCTGGCATAATTTAACCTACTGATTACGTTTCTGATCAAATTGGAGTAAAATTAAAAAAAAATTTTCTCCAATAGTCGATGGCTTGGGCTCCATATAGTGATGTACACTATAGAAGCACGCACTTTGAAGCCCCGAAACTCGGCTTAAAACGCCTTTTCCCAAGTTCTCGTTGTGTTTTTCGGAATCTACACATAAAACTACCCCAGAAAAAGTGGTCTTGTAAAAAAAAATTGACCCCCCCCCCGCCAACTACCTTAGTACCAAAGTTTTTTAGCAATTTGGCACAAAGTTTTTTTTGGAAACCTTATATATGTGGTTACATTTTTAGATGAAGTCGTCGCCGTCGCCTTCGTCGTCCTCGAAGCCGCTCAAGAGGAAGAAAAAAGACAAAAGAAGGTATTAAAATAATAATGTAATTTATTGATATCATGCTATCGTTTTTAGTGATCGAGCCCGTTCGGAGGAGGATCGAAAGAAGAATACTGAGCTCAAAGAGACGGTAGAAAAGTTGGAGAACAAGAATAAACAGCTTGAAAGGGAACTGGTATGTTATTTAATACTATAAATTCTTGATAAAATGTCAATATTCCAGACAGAAGTCAACGGGGAAATCAAACGATTTAAATCAATGCTAAGTGCGCGATGTGTCATCGAGTGGTTTGAGAAGTTTGTGAACTTATTTTCTGATTACTTTTTCGTCTTTTTCAAATATTATAATCTAAGTTCTACTAAACATATGCTTCTTCCTAGAAACTACGAAAGATTTGACATTTGATTTATTATAGTTTAGTTTAGTTTAGTTTAACTTTTAAGGCCTCCTTGACAATTAGATTTAAATTCTATAGAATTTTCAATTTCTTAAATTTAGGTTCCATTTGCATATGAAGAAACCATGGATAAAACGTCATATGAAGAAACCATGGATAAAACGAAGTCGCAGGCAAATGGAACCACCTTTGCGCCTCGACAAACCTCCCGCGAGTTGCCCAGCGCCGCTTTCCCAATTTCAATGCCAACGATTTAACAATGAAAGTGAAAGGTCTAGTTCTGGATATTTACGAGAAGACTTCCGGTCAAATCCACAATTCGTTTCTCGGTCCTCGTTCGCGTCAAATTGGAAATCGACAGACATTCAAAGGGGTTGAAATCATCGAAACAAGATATAGCACTGACGAAGTCAAGTTTTGGAAGACCCTTTGTGAGCACATTGGTTGTACTTTTACTCTTTTGCTGTGATTTATTAAGAGCCCATGCCATATTTTTACGGAATAAAATAGTGCTTGGTTTGTCTTAAGATCTGGCCAAATCCCTAATTGAAAAATCCCATCAAATCATACCGTTTTGGGTGTTTTTACAATGAAAAAAATCGGAAAAAGAAGTTAAACAGCAAGATGTGTAAATTGGGAGAATGGGCTGTCCTAGAAATGCTTATAGTGCTTATATACTACTAATCACAATAAACGAAACAGATAGTGATTGTTGCATTTGTTTATTATGAATCTCATTATGCCCTCTCATCTCAACGTTTAGCAACTGAAGTTTGTGGGCGGGGCCTGTTGTGCGCAAAAGACGTTTTTCCACGTGTGCGCAAAGGTCGTTACGGTACTGTCATGGTCCCGAAATTTTTACGCGTAATGACCCTTGAAGCATAAAAATGGATAAATGAACCAAAACGCTTAGTTTTGAATGAACGAGAAGTTCTCCATTCTACGAAAAATTTTTGAGGAGCATCAGTTTGTGGCCCTTAAGAGGCCCGTTGGGTTGGGTGTTATAGCTTGACGAAGTCATTCGCCTCTAATCCGTCTCATCGTCCTTGGGCTGGCCAGATTTGTGCTTTGGAAGGAGAATCGGTTGAATGTGCGGGACAACGGAATGTGACATCGGAATCCTTGTGGGAATGTGACGCCATGCAGCAGTCTCTCGAGCTCCTCGTCGTTCTTCACAACCAGCATCAGATGTCGTGGACTAATAGTGGCCTTCTTGTTATCACGAGCTGCATTGCCGGCCAATCGAGGATTTCCGCGACGAGATACTCCGGCACAGCGGCGAGGTAGACGGAAGCGCCTCCACCGATGCGCCTTCCATATTTGCCTTTCTTGAGCATTCGGTGAATTCATCCGATGGGGAAGATGGTTCCGGCCCGGGTTGTCCTTGATTGCGCCTGCTTCTTTCCTTTTCCATATCCAGTCGTTTCGCTTCTCTTCGGGAACCGCGGAGTTAAGGCTAAAATTAAAAAGGCTCAGTTATATAGGGTCTAGTGCGAGGCGGCGGGGTTTAACTTGCCAATGGCAAATTCAACGTGTTTCTATAGTTTTTCTTTGCAAACGTGACAAACCAATGAATTCTTTAACCTGTAGAACTTTATTGCATCGCTTGCTTGTAATTTTTGTTCTTAATTTTACACAAATGGTCAAAAATAAGCAAATTTAACGAGGAAAATGTAGATGAAGAACATTAGCCCTTTGATTGAATTTCAAAGCAAAACACAACAATGATGACCATATTTGAAAAATTGAAAATATTTTTTCACAAATAACGAACTAAATCAACAGATTTATCATACCCGGGTTAAAAGGAAAAATGATCAAGTAGTAAAAACTTAACGATTATCTAAAACATACAAAACCAACAATTAACATGTCACAAACAAGCAACTCTCTTCAACAAAAAGCTTCAAAGCCAAACCGACCATCTGAAAATTTCTAAATAATTTCTTTTTTAGATAACAAAGGCAAGAAGTTAAAGATAGTTAATAATACAGAAACAAAAATCAATTAACCAAAATATACAAGATTAACAATTAGTGTGATTAACCATTTGGGTTCTATTGGGTTGGGGAGAATGAGTCGGCGCCAAACTTTAAAGGGACTTTTTGGACACATAAAGCCTTCTTTAAACATACGTTGGTTCACAAAAGGACCACATTTCTCTACAAAATGACTTTTGAGAGATTCCACAAAGCTTTTCTTTCGTGGAGTTTATGAACTTCCAAACGCAGCTGGTTAAAATGGCAAAGAGTCCGATTCATCATTTGAACAGTTTCTTTCACATAAACCTTCTTTGGTGTTTATATAAAAAAGATAGAGCACATTCAATTACTTAAGTTGCCAAATTTGCAGGAAGACCCACCAATGGTTTTTCTAGAGACAGTTTGTAGTTTTTGTGAAAAAATGGCTTTTTCTTGAGCGGAGGCGCTGTTTGAATTTTCTTTTAAATGTCATTTTGTAGAGAATTAGTTAACCATTCTACTCATATCAAACGCATATTATTTGACGAAGTCGAATAGAAGTTTTAGACATTTTTTTCATTTTCGGCGCCGACTCATTCTCCCCAACCCAATATTATAGGGATGGGGGTCGATTTTTTTTCATACTCTCTCCAGGGTGGGGTTCAATTACCGGAAATGCGGTAAAGCTATTAATCAGGTCGATTTTTTGTAGGCTTTGAGAAGTAGGACTCAAATACCTATGACGGAGTTTCCGAAAACTTATTCTATATTCTATTGTTGATGTTCTTTCATTTTCAAACAACGCTTGAATCTTTCTCTTTACAGACAGTGGCAGTGTCTGTTTGTTTCCCTACTCCAATTGCAAGTGGCATCGCGAATCTCTACCGCTGGCTTCCGGAAGACTTCTTTGCAATAGGTTCCGGTGCGTTCACTAGTAGTAAATATGAGATTTCAGTTTTCGGCACGATATTCTACTCGATTTGTCTCCATTCAATCGTCAACTGTTTGATTGTGATCTTTAGCGCAAAAACCTATAGACAATTTTTAAAGAATTTGGTGCTTCGATTCGGTGGTTTTAACGGTGTCACGCCTGAACCCATTTGACGTCTGCCATCAATTCAACAAGTTTCTTCGATCCCAATTTCCCAACTTATTGCGAAAGCTCGAAGGGTTTGAATCTATAAAATCTATTGTTTGGGTTTCGACCTTTTCTCTAAAATATGATCTTCACCAAGTAAAGATTTTCGTTATCAACAAAGAATCAAGAAATATTTACCGACAAAAAGTTGTGACGAGAACTTTTTCAGCGAATTGTCAATTTGTCCCCTATTTCAAGTATATATGTATGTATAGTTTCACTGAATTTTCTTATTAGAATAAGGAGCAATCCATGAATAAGAACCGTGAAGTAAAGGAAACAATAATCGTTTTAAAAGCTTTAACTTAACTGATGAGAATGGATGATCTAGTCTTATCTCTAAAATCGTTTTAGAGAAATTTCTTCAAGTTTCCAACGTAGAATGCAGTGACTTCCTTTAGCCTCAAACGTTTGTTTTCTTTGTAGTTAGAATATGGTTTAGGCAGTATTTGCGGCGATTAAATTTGTCTGATAAGAGGCACAACTGAGGTCTTATCTACCCCTGGAGAGACGTATTGATCATGTGAAAAGCATTGATTCTTTTTCCTTCCCTTTCCCTTCGTTTATTTCAATGCAACTTAGTTTTTTCATGTTTTTATATTTGCTTTATTAAACACTAAATCCCTTCAGATCTTCATTTCTCTCAGTTTTTCAGACATCTTGAATCAATTTATAATAATAGATTATATTATACATTTTATATCACATATAGATAGACTATATTAGGTTCACAAGTTGAACGTGCCTTCTATTTGTTAAGTTTTATAAGTTTTATGTTATCAAGCTTTATGTATGTATATTTAGGCTTTGATCAATTCTGCTGATAGATGATGGAGCGGCGGAAACGAAAGGAAGACGACGATCAGAATCCTTTAAAGAATCGTCAATTTTCGACCGAACCAAAAAAAAGAGACTTCGCGAAAGGTTGCAAATCATTTTGAGGGCCCAACTAGGGACCATTGCGGATTTAACACCTCGAATCGGGTGCGAATGATTTATGAGTATGTAGTATTTAACAACTAGTAATGAGTAGTATGGAAGTCCAAACAATAGATTTTATAGATTCTATATCAGCTGTGATATAGCTGAGTTTTTCGCAATTATCAAATCGATTTTTCGCGAATCTAGATGCGAAATCAAATGATCTGCAAATTCTGAAAACTGCACAATATATAAGAGTGCGCCATAATTGTCTCAACAAGATAAAGTTCTGATTTTAAGGCAAACAAGAGCAAAAAAAAAGACAAATTTTTAACTGAATAACATTTATTATACATTAACAATTATAAAATTTATAATTATAACCATTATAAATTTTTTTTAATGTTAATTAATATTGTAAAACTACGGTTTTCGCTATTAGTGCATTTGAGAACGCCTTGTTGAAGAGGCACGCACTCTACTGTCAAGACTATAAGCTTAGCACTCGATTCGAGCAAATCCACATCACCCTTATCTACTAAAAGAAAGAACACTTTATCTTTTCTCTTTCTCTAGAAAGCAACTAGATGAAACTTGTGAAAAGTTAGAAAATTTTAGTGGTTTCTGAATTCAATGGTGTTGGAAAGACTTTTGTTCCCGATGGATTGATAGCCGGGAATCCAGATGATTTGAGCATTAAGAATAAACCCCCTTTCGATCCCGTCGTCTTTATACTTTGTGCACTTGCAATTGTGGTTTTTATGATTTCTATTTATATGATCATTTCGTTAGATGATATTTGATCTGTTCATCGTGGAACCCTCATACGTAAACATTCATAATTCCCTGATGTTCACAATTCATAGCAATAGGAAAGAGCGTTCAGAATCATGCTCACAATATCTGCCGTTAATTCTATATTTCTCCTATTCTCAAGTTAAGCATTTGGTGCTCATCAAAACCTCAAATTACATTTTGCTATGTGCAACTCATTTCCCTATAAGAGACAAATGGTTTGTTGTTCTTGTGCTCATTGATTTGATCGATTAATAATAAATGTGAAACTGAGATAAAATCTTTGCAATTAAACCAGAAGTTCGAAAAATCAAAGAAATGATTTCATATCTCAAACCGAGTGATCGTTAAATTCACTCAGTTCGCTAAGTTCTTTCTTTTTTCAAAGTTCATTCACTTGACTCATTTAGAAAAATGGTCGTAGTCGCCATAGTCGCCTTAATATTATCAATTTGAATTCGAAGTTATTCAAGGTTTTTTTCAAACCGGGACTATAAGCTAATTATCAAAAAATAGAGTTATGGAATGATAAATTTGGGGAAGTGAAAAATGAAATGACATGCTAGTACACTTTTTTTTGAAATAATCATGATTTGTAGTGACTATTGGAATTGATACGGTCAATGGCTTGAGGTTTGCGGGTGATGATTGTATCTATTAGGGATTTTATCTATTAGGGTGATGGGAATGAAACCAGCGCTCGCATATCTTTCCAAAAATAAAAGGATTTCAAGCCTCAGCCAATAAGTGTTGTTTACTGTTCGAAAGTTCTGAATCTCCTTTACAAAACAGTGCAGAAAGATTGATTTTGAATTGGATTGATTATTGGGAACCTGGGTGTTAAAAAGTAATCGCATGTCGAGTCTCAACCTGCGCCTGCTGGCAACTATCCTTTGATCTTTTCGCTCACGGATCTTTTCGCTTGAAATTTTTCCAGTATATTAAGAATATGCATTACTCAAAACGACCAGCTTATAGATTCTATCTATAGGCATCCTTTTTTGGGAACTTCTCAAACCGAGGTAAAATTTGAGGCAAGTCTGAAGGTTGCTTTATGGAAACAAATGAAACGGCTCCGTTTTCGTTCTTCAGGATGGCGCAAGCTGCCCCAAGTCAGAAAGATCGATCGATTTTGTGAAGAACAACCTACACTGGAATATTTTTCCTCATGCACCGTAATCCCTGAACGGTGCCCCTTCTAACTATCACTTGTTCTTTTCGCTAAAGGATTTCTTATGTGATAAAGAGTTCAAAGATGAGAGCGAACTCGAGGACGGATTGAACGACTATTTTCGCTCGCACTCGCTTGAGTTTTACGAACGAGGGATTAGCAAAATGCAAAAGCAAAAACGTTGGAGAAGAGTTAGAAATTCAGCTGGAATATCATTTGTTTCTATGTGTTGAAAATAAATAAATCAAAATCTCTGGGCTCTTATGGGACAACCTGATATCATTGGGTTTTATAAGATGAGAAACAAATTATTGGGATAGCAAATGACATTTGACAGCAGCTCAAAGATGGTACAGGTTTGATTCAATTTCTTTGCTCTAATTTTCGCTACCCGTAATCATCAAGAGTCATCGAAAAGCGCTCATCTTGGATTCTTCTCCGAGATTTTCGTGTAGGCGGCGACGATTTTCAGTGATGCACCGACCGTAATCACTTTACACGCGATAAACAAAAAGTTCAACAATTCCATTTGTTCCAAGTTCCATCCGAAAGCGGTCTCAAATCAACCAATTATCCAAAATGGGGCAAGAAAACTGAATCTTCAACATTTCCCAAGCAAAATTAGCTAAATTCAAAAAGTTCAGGTAATAACCAGAGAATTGTACAGAAGGAAAAAGGAAAAACAACAGTCAACTATTACCAGCATATACTTTTATCTGCTTTTGTTGATGAGAATATTGTGAAAATTGATCACCGAACTTTTTGTTCTCTTTTCGCCCAATTAGCTTCGATTATTTTAGAAATCCTCAAGAAAATATGTTTCCTTTAACATTTCTATTCCCATTTCTATTCCCATTTCTACATAAAGGCGCCGTCGGAACTTTTCCTGGATTGTAGAATACGGGCTTTAGTCTCAACCAGCCGGTTGTTAAACCGATTTCGACCGCAAAAGATGGAATCACGTCAAGTCAAGGAATAGTCAAGGAGTCTGGACGGTCACTAAAGGGGTAAACTTAGTATTTTATTGTCAATTGGATTCTCTAATGTGCTACAGGATTGTCTGTATTTCATTGTTTCATGCTACCAGCGGTATCGTGCAGATTTTCTGTGCTCAACAACCGATTTAGCTAGTTTTTATTTTTCTGTTTTACAATCGATAAAATATTATTGAAAACTTTAAACTGAATTGGTTATTGGAGAAAAACTAACAGAAAAAGTTGGACAAAAGAAAGAAATGAAGGAGTTTAAAATAAGTGAACGTGAACGTGAACGTTGAAGGTTGAACGTGAACGTGAACGTTGAACGTTCAACATGAATGTGAACGTTCAACATGAATGTGAACGTTCAACATGAATGTGAACGTTGAACGTGAACGTTGAACGTGAACGTGAACGTTGAACGTGAACGTGAACGTTGAACGTGAACGTGAACGTTGAACGTGAACGTGAACGTTGAACGTGAACGTGAACGTTGAACGTGAACGTGAACGTTGAACGTGAACGTGAACGTTGAACGTGAACGTGAACGTTGAACGTGAACGTGAACGTTGAACGTGAACGTGAACGTTAACGCGAAAGATTTCCAAACAAACAAATGACAATTTTCTAATTTACCGTTCAACTATTCCTCGATTTATGAACAAAAAACTTTCGTTTTTCGTTCTCCGATCATTTAAGTGGCCATCTTTTCCGAAGAATCACTTGAATTTCGACAATCTCCTCGTCGATTTCCCTCCACCCGACGAGGCGTCTCTTCATTCCCTCAACGCTTCTCATCATCACCTCCAAATCCCCGCTTTTCCTCACAAAATACCCAATCGCCCGCGTCTGGACTTTCTTTTGAAAAGTGGACAATATCCGCTCGAATTCCCAAAACTCTTTCAATTTCGGCTCATCTTTCTCGTAAAAGCACAAGTCGAGAAACTCGACCTCATCAAGCGATCCGGGCTCTCCATTCCAACAGATACATTCAAATTCCTCATCATTGGGCATGGCTCCGAGGATCTCATGTAAATTCTCGTCGATCATCTCGACACAATTTCTATTCAGGCGATATTTGAGCATCAGGAGGTCAGCAGAAATAGTCGCGTGTTGTCTTATTAAGACTCTCATTGATTCGAGCATCTTTCCCTTCTCCCCATAGTGAAATTGATAGAAATTGGCGCTTGTTTGACTTAAAATTTGAAAATCGGGTTCCCAATTCAGGAACTCATAGATTTTACAGCCATTCAGCTGAGGTTTCTCGAATATTTTCCGATTTTTCTCTACAGAACCTCCAAAAAGCTTTAATTTATCGGAAACCATTGGGCAAAAGTGGTCAAATACATCAATAAAGCCATCACTGATCACTCGCATTCTTGAAACAATGCCAATTCTCGAGAAAAACTTCCTTCTTTTAAAAAGATCCGAGAAAGTTGCCGGTATATCCTCGATTGAGGTGTAAATTCCACGGACAATGCTCAGGGATTGACAGGATCGAATTGTTGAGAGAATGAAGAGAGGAAAGCGGAGATGGTTCTCGAATTTTTTCGATTCTCTTAGTTTCCATCCCTCGAGCCGATCCCGCAATCGTTGCGCGTCGAAGCCATTCTCGCATAGGCCCAATTCATAAGACTCACCCTTGGGCCAGACGATTTTCACATCGACAAAATAGCCATCTTTGTTCGGATTGATCTTCATTGTGATCTCGGCGATTCGTGGAGGAAAGAGCCCCTTCTTGAGATAATTCTGATGAGCCAGTTTAACGGTTCTGAATAAAGTGAGAGCATCGTGGAAACTGGTTCGATCGAATACTTGCGTTGATAGCTCTTTTGGAAGGGTCTTCAGAGAGAATTTTGGCATTTTATGATGAAAGAAAGATTCCTTTTGAGAAATAATGTTCCCAAATTGAAAATTCCATTTGGCAAAATGAAAAAATGCTTAGAGATTGGAAAAATGAGAAAATTTCCCGCAAATAATTGCGTAATCAAAAAAACAACACAACACAACTCTCTACGATTCGATCTTTATAGCAAAAAGTGGATTCAAAAAAGATTCTCATCTATTTTGCTAGCCAGTAAACATTAGAGTTCCTACTTTTACATTAAATCTTGTGGGTTTTACAATAAACTTTCATAGATTCGAAATAAAAGTGGCGAAGAAAACGTAGACTTTTTAATTGATGGTCTCTTCTTGAGAAAAGTAAAATGCTCTCGAATCGTTTGCTTTGAATAAATTGTCCTGAACGTTGATGTGGAAGTGACTCTCTCATTTGTTCACTCAAATGGGCCAAATTTGTGACATTTTTGCGAGATTCATCCCAATTCTCATCGCTCATCTCGCTCAATTCTCATTACAACGTGTTGACCGCAAAACTTTTCAATCTTTCCCCATCTTTTTCCTTTTAGCTTTATTGTAATTTGATCTTGAAGGTTGATAAACATGACATTGCTTTCTTTAAGGCAAAACTTTCACACAAATTCATTGCATTGCATTTTTGTGCTCAACGCCTTTTAGCCTTTAAATTCTTTTAACGCTAAGAATTATAAGGAAAGTTATTCATTGATTTATTCATTTATCCATACTTGCACTCAAGCAAAACTGTAAAACAAGCAAAACGTCGTCAAATCACAATCTCTCTCAAAGAACACTAATGCTTACATCACTGGAAGCCAAATTTACCCCCATCAAATGGAAGAAGAGCGTCAAATTAACGTCAAATTAACGGCATTATGAATCAACATGTTTACTTGGAAATCTTAAAGAATCAAATGTTACCAAATGCTCGTCAAATTCTGCCACCAAACTTCATTTTTCAAGATGATAATGACCCAAAACATCGCTCACGTCTTGTCAAGCAATGGGTTATCGCGCAAAACATTAACTTTTTGCAATGGCCGAGCCAGAGTCCTGATCTAAATTTAATTGAACACTTATGGGAAATCGTCGAGAAGATGTGTGAAGGAATAAAAACAAGCAATGCACAAGAAAAATTTGATGTCTTGGCTAAAAAGTGGATGGAGATTCCGGCACAGGCCGTCGATACATTTTTCGCCTCAATGAGCCGCCGATTTCAAGCCGTCGTTGACTCAAAAGGATTTCCTACAAAATATTGATCGTTTTGAGAATTGTTTTTCCTAAATCTTTAAGGTAATTTTTCGAAAGTCCTTGATTTTTGTGTTAATTTATAAAAGTTATTAAACTTATCAATAAAAATCAATAAAAGTTCTAAAAAATCTTTAACTGAAAGCCGGTTGCTTTTACCTTTTATTTTATAAAAATTCAACTAATTCTACATCTCATAGCTAAATTTTGTATTGATATGTAGCTTGGTTGAGAAGTTATCGACAAAAGCAAAAAGTTGTTCAACTTTTGACCGCTATTGTATGTGTCCTGGGCCCGGTTTCACCACCACTGTATTAGCTTAACACGCGTTAAGCTAATACAGTGTAGTAGAGGTGTATTAGCTTAACACGATTAAGCTAATACATAGCTTAATACGTATTAAGCTATATATTAAGAACGTCTTTTCATACATTGTATTAGCGAAAATCTCTAATAAACTGTATTTAGCTAATATGGTGTATGGATTTCCTAATACACCATTTCACCACCACTTAATACAGCTGAGCGTGCATACTAATGCATACTCGTTACCCCGGTCGATGTCATGACTCTAAAGTTTTCAAGCAAAGCCGACTCTACGACGATTTTCCTTGAGGAATCAAGGATGGTATTTTACTGGCTGACAGCCCAGCTGAAACGTTCTTGTTGAAGCCGATTTTATTTTGACCGCTATTGTAGATCTGACAAATTAAATTGAAGAATCAGAGTAAAGTTTTCCGCGTCAAAACTTTCCCAAAACTCTAGGAGGGATTGTTGGTGGTTAATGTTCTCATGTCTAGTAAACAAAAGTCAACTTAAACAGTAGTAAGTCCCTAGCTCAGCGAAAAATTCATGGTTGCTAAAAACTTTCTCCTACAATAAGATTCCCTGCTGAACAGAATATCTTTCAAAAATTGAAATCTACAATACCTTTCATTCTTTCCAAAAGACAACTTGTTTTTTGATTTCTTTCTTCAGAAGACAAATGCGAAACAAATTGCTTTTAGACTTGCGACCCTTCGTTTTACTAGCTCGAAAAACAGATGAGACTTTGCTTTCTTTGCTTTCTTTGCTTTCTTTGCTTTCTTTGCTTTCTTTGCTTTCTTTGCTTTCTTTGCTTTCTTTGCTTTCCTTTGATTAAAGCCAGAGATTTTGCTTCCCTTATTTGCTTAAAATATTACATGACTAGCTATAAAGTTCACTGAAATCACCAAAAAGTTTACGTCGCCGAATTTACAGTTTTTTAAAATTGTGGCAACCATTGTTTAGTTTATGGCAGCCAAATATAAACTTTACGCGATCATTCATTTAGAAATCGACTGAAGAACAAAGAATGTATCGCTTGTCGAGCATTTTCCTTCTTTTCATTTATTACTTTATATTTGTGGATTCAAATGACGGGTAGGGAAAGCGAGAAAAATGGTTTTGAATAACCTTCACAATGCATTTATGATATGTCCACAAATAGATGGGGTTTATGCGTTATTTAAGCTTTTGCAAGAGTTGAGACAAATTCTCTGTTTAAATTTTAAAACCCGACTTATTCTGATGTCAAACTCGTTTGATATTTGAAGCCGTTGAGCAAGAGCCGTTGGAATGTGTCTAATTGCCGTTGGAATGTGTCCAATTGCCGTTGAAATGTGTCCAATTTGATATTTAAACGGAAAAAACCTTAAACAAATCCCCTTTGTGTTCTAATTTTAAAAAATTTTAGCCCTTCTGAGTCGCCGATCGAAAATGAAACAACGGAAAAGTTAGTTTTCGCCTGTTCTCTGAATCGATTTTTTATAAAAACGTTTACAGACCGGCTTTCAATTTGGAACTGTTCAATGCGTTGAAGGCATTCTCAGACGAAATGTGAGTAGTTTCAGAAAACATGCAGTACTGGACAATGAAATATGATATTTGAAAAACGATCGTCACTTTCGCGCGTCTGTAACCCCATTGCCTTTGAGTTTAAACTATTAGTGTTATACATTTTCTGAAAGCTCTTTTCAAGGGCTACACAATGGTAATACTAATATTTAGAAATACGGTAAAGACAAGAGAGTTACAGACGCGCGAAAGTGACGATCTTTTTTCAAATATGATATTTCATTGTCCAGTAGCGTAACTTAAACTCAAAATTTGTCAAAAGACTTGAATAACATTTCTCATTTGACCACATTGCAATAATTACAGGGAGGAACGAAAAGCTGAAGGCGACGTGGTTGAGGGACAGAACGACTCAGCTTTGTAAGACAATGACAAAAGAAAAACATCGTCTGTCCATTCAGATTCGATCCATTAAACCCTTGTGCTCACTTCAGCGGCAATTGGACACATTTCAACGGCTCTTGCTATAAGGTTTTTTTCTGTTTTTTTTTCTGTTTATTTGTATCAATTTCTTTCGGTTAAACTTCGCCCTCAATTCCTTAAGGTTTTTACGTAGATCTTCTTCTTAATGACTTTCTCCTTAATGACCTTCTCCTTAATGACCTTCTCCTTAATGGCCTTCTCCTTAATGGCCTTCTCCTTAATGGCCTTCTCCTTAATGGCCTTCGCCTTAATGGCCTTCTCCTTAATGGCCTTCTCCTTAATGGCCTTCTCCTTAATGACTTTCTCCTTCATAGACCTTAATGTTTTTACATAGAAATTTCACGTGGACATGATGCACGCTGCATCGAAAGCTCTATGCGAGAGAAAGAACGCAAAGCTGGCATCGATTCACAGCCAAGAGGAGCAGGATTTCGTTTTTAACGGTAGTTCACAAGTGTATTTTAATTCATTTTTCACCTTTAGCCTATGGACACAGCTGGATCGGATTGGAGGTAATGGAAAGAAGTGAAATCACGAGAACAAAAAGCTTTCGCTTCAAAATGTCTTCACCAATAGAGAAGATCAAATTTAAGCTTTAAAAAACGATAGCTTTAAAAGATATACCGTATTCTCTCTAATAGTAATGCACCCTGCCGAGACGAGATGCTGACTATTTTACGGTTTCCAAGCTTTTGCAGAAGCTCAACACTCGAATCCCCCACTAGATCTCATCGTCAGCTACATTTTCCGACCCCACATCGATAGGTTCTGATAAGCGCTTTTCGAGATTTCGAACAATCTAGGCAACGCTCAGGGTGCACTATTATTAGAGAAGTTGTTAGGTAGCTGTTCTTTTTAAACTTTCAGTCCAGTAGAACCACAAAAGCGGTTTTTGAGTTGCAGAAAAACATCGAAATTTCATGCCAACTTGCTTGTCACATAGTTATAGTTATAGTTTACGTTTTCTCTCTAGAAAGTCAACGGCACGTGGACTTGGAGCGATGGGAGTGCAATGGATTATACGAATTGGGGATATGCTAGATGGGGAGAAGATCAAGCGACGGTTTGTTGAGCGAACGAGACTTCGTTTGGACAACGAATTAGACGTGATTTACGGGTGATAGCATAGGTTTCATCCAAAATTCTCAGCTTTTGCTTCAAGATAAACCCGATCCAATTCGAAAACTATGTCTAGAATATATGCTGTTTTTGTATTACTGAAATTGCTAGATCTCACACATGTTTTTTGCAGATCTCCAACAGTGACACGGGCTTCTGGAGTGAGAGCCGAGCCGTCATCGTGACTGGGCCGATTTGCAGGAAATCTCCTCGGTCATAAAAGCAAAATAAACGGTTTTAAAAGTTTCCCATTAGAGAGTGATGCTTTCCAAAGAAAAAAAACTATAAAACTCAATCCACCAAACAATTCAAAAGTTGAAAGTTTTGAATGATCTTAAAGGAAAATTTAGAACTTTTTTTGTAATCCTTCCGACAAATGTTTATCAAAAACGAAAAACGAAAAGCTTCAGCTTCAGCTAAATGAAATTCAGACAAGCTTGAGGGCTTTGACACCGGTAACACCCCAACTCTCAAATGAAGAGATGTCTGAGCCGCGAAGAATCTGAAAAAGAAAGGACATTTTTTGGATCAAAGCTGAATCAAAAAAAATATCTGACTGATGGCCGGATTGACTCTATTAGTCAGTCCGGCCATCAGTCATTGACTCTATTAGTCAATCAAACTAAGATTTACAACCCAATAAGTCTTGTGTTTTACAGTGGTGTTCAAAGCTGACGAGCACCAACGAAGCTCTAACCTGAAAATAGCCGGCTTGTCCCCAACCCGTTCCCCATTGGTTTCTAACAAGCCAATAATCGACTCCGTTGCTCGTTGTCCCTAAAAACAAGAAAATGAAAGCAAAAAAAAAAACAGCGACTTTTTCGAATAAAGCTAAGTCCATAAAGCGAGATCAAATAAAGCTTGTCTTTCTCAAAGTTTTTTGCTTTACAAGCTTCCACAGACTATAGGCTGGCTGAAAAGTTCTGTCCACGTTAATAGACGTGTCTTTCCAATAAAACTTTGTAGATAAATAATAAATAATGCCTAGATAAAGGGCTTTATTTTTCTATATAACACTTGGTACTTTGGTAAAAAGTCAGGCGTTTGCCAGCAACTTTTCCAAGAAAGGTTTCGCCATAATCTTGCATCACCGTGGATAAAATTGTGTAATCATTAAAATTTGAGACACTTTAGGCTTTTACAAGTTTATAGAGACAAAAATCTACAAATGTGGACAGAACTTTTCAATTATTTCAACCGTGTATCCCTGTGGACACGGTGGCGCACAATTACCCGCACTCAGTTCAAATTCACTTTGATTGCACTTTGATCCCTAATCGAAGTTCATTGTTTTCTAGCAAAAATGAGCTAGACTTTTGGAAATAATAATTAAAAAGAAGTAAATAAAGCTGATTTGAGGCATTAAAACTAGTTACAAAAACCAGAAAATCCCGATTCCGCCACAGGAAACGCGTGTCGCAACTTTGCAGCGCTCTAGCAAAAGTTTAGAAACCCAAAATCCAGAAAACACATTGCAGGAGAAATATTCAATTTGATAATAAAAAAAGAATTCGATCGATTGATTGACTCTTCTTCGCTAAGCTGGAGAATCTGAACTGAGTGCGGGTAATTGTGCGTCACCCTGTATATTATCTTACTACTTACTAGGGAAGAGTACTAGGATTGATGCTCATGGTGCTAAATTGCACTGATCAAAATTAGATAAGAAAATATAAGGCAAAATAGTTTAAGCATTGGTGAAAATCAAAAATATCTTTATGAAAGATAAAAAGAAAGAAGTTTGTTAACTAGGGAATTCGAACTTGCTACAAAAATTGGATCCATTGCGTAGACAAGCAAACTATCCACTGCACCACGATCATCGTTTGAAAGGGAAGCGTAAACTCAGCTCAAGAGTGTATAGGAAGAACTTTGATGCCAGAAATCTCACGTTTACGAGCTATTCAGCAGATTTTGACTACAGATTCAGATTCTCCGTTCGATTTTCTATCAGATGAGATAGGTCTCTTTTTGAAATCCCACGGTGACCTAGTACTCTTCCCTTAGAAAGTTTAGAAACTTTTCTGATCAAATCCAGAAAACACATTGCAAGGAGAAATATTCAATTTGATAATAAAAAAAGAATTCGATCGATTGATTGACTCTTCTTCGCTAAGCTGGAGACTCGGAACTGAGTGCGAGTAATTGTGCGTCATCCTGTATATTACCTTACCACTTACTAGGGAAGAGTACTAGGATTGATGCTCATGGTGCTAAATGTGTGCATGTGCACCACCCTGTGCTTTGTGTGCTTACCATAACCGATCACCGCTACCGCATGCCCTCCTAAGTAATCCGGATCGTCGGGCGAGCAATCGGTGCTGTAGACACCGCCCGTGTAATGCATGAAATTCTCGCAAACATAAAAACCTAAAGCAGCATCATTTGGGTACTGTCACCAAAAAAAACTATTCAGGCTAAATTAAACTGTGAATAAGCTACCGTAGTCTCACCTGGTTTTTCCGCAATATAAACCGCTTTTTTGTACTTTTTTGTACTTTTTTGTTCGCTCTTCTTCAGATTTTTTCAAGTTTTTCTCTAGGATTTTGTCTATAAATCTGTTTATTTTTCCAGCATCATAAAATTGTATTCTGCCAAAAGCTTGATTCTGTTTTGAAAGCTTTGAAATTACACAGAAAGTGCACTCCAGTCACGATAGGTACTTAAAAGTATTGGGTTTTTATCGAATTTTTTTAGTAAGGCTTTTAGTCGAGATCTCTAGTCTTTCGTACCAGCAGTAACGGGTCCATTGTTCAAGATATATTGTTGAATGGCGATGGGATTGCCGGTAAGGTCGACTTGTCCGCTCACTGGCTTGTCCAATCCCTGAAAAATTTCTTCGATCTGCTAGGAAAGACTAAGACTTCATAGACTTTATGCTTCATTCTCGACTTACTGATGTGTTACGAGGACATTTCGTTTCCCTCCCAACATAGACGTCCGCTTCTGCCCGAGCGAGCCCACGCGATTGCACATAACTTAAATCATGGCTTAACACCGATATTCAAAGAGTTGCCCATGATAAACTTTCCAAGATTTGGTTTTGCTCCAGAGCCCAGGCTTGTTCCTGGCCCGAAAAGCCCGAAAGGTTCGTTTTAAATCTGGCCCAGTTGCATGAGATTGATGCCAGAATAGATTCATTATTGTTTTTGTTCACCCCAACTCACGCAATGGCATCAGATGGCCATCCACCGTCACATCCATTCCGCGTACTGCAATCCAGTAGCCACTGCGATGCGACAGAGTGAATCGTTGAAAAAGTGACCGCTCACCTGTTCTGAGTACGATCTACGCTCCGTGTTTAGGCGTCCATTCACGTAGTTTGACGTGGTCTCGATGGCGGCCACGGCACTAAAAATGGATAACAATGATCGTTACAGGATTAGCCCCTGGCTCGTTCAAGGGTAGATCTGTGCAGGCTGAGAATAGTCCCACTACCAGCCACACGAAAATCTTGTGATTATCTGACTAAAAGGCGAAAAGAGAGAAAGAATCGCTCACGCAAACGACCAGCAGGCACCGCATTGCCCTTGATCACGGATCGGGTTCACGGCTCCGGTTGTCCGCCAATCGAAGTCGCCAACATCCATTCGCTGAGGGGTGACTGGTGTCGATGTAGTGCGATAACGTCGATCACCACCGCCTCCGTACCAAAAAAAGTATTTGTACCTGAAAAGGGGCTCAAAAATCTCTGTTTTTTATACCAATATTTTGGCTAGCTTCAAACTAGGAGCTTGTTAATTGAATGGAAATCACCTCCACCGTTTTGAGGTCCAACGTTCCAGTGAGCGTCGCTTCTTTTTTGCTTGTTGAAACTTTGGTGGATGCGGCAATGCAGACACGTTCATTAAACGCTAAACGCTAACTAAACGATTGAAAGAAAATTGTTCCTCGACTAGAGTTGTTTACTTGTTGAAGCTCGGCCTTCGAATGTCCCGATAAACATGTCCAACCGAGAGTGTGACTGAAATAGAGGATAACGTCAGAAAGAAATTAATCTTCTCTTTCGTTTACTTTCTTCTAAATACTGACTTATTCTGACATTATTTATTATTATTTTATTATTCAAACTCACAGGCACACAGAATCAACTGTGCAAGACTCGTTCCAGCTGGCCAACTTCTTCATATTTTCTCCGAAATTCATTTTTCTCTCTTTGCAACTATCCATGCATTCCATACCGCATCTGAATAAGCTTGATTTGGTTTGGATTTGGTTTTGCTCCAGAGCTCAGGCTTATTCCTGGCCCAAAAAGCCCGAAAGGCCCGTTTTAAACCTGAATAGGCATGTGGCTTTTATTTTTATTTGTTCAGGGTATTTGCGGTCAAAGTTCAAAGTTTTCGGCTAATTTAGGGTTTCTAGCCGAACCGTCTTACTCAAAAAGGAGGCTCCGAGCTCTAAATCCTCAAATATTAGGTTGTAAACTATTGACCCTCTCAGCAAAGTTTCGAAATTTCCTTTACTTTTAGTGAGGGCACGCTCTGTTTTCCCTCAAAATATTGGCTTATCAGTTCTTTATTCATAAACTCAATCCAGAAATTCTAATGATCTTTTATATTTTTTTATTGATTATTTATTCAAATGTTACTCCAAATCTACCAACCGGGCATTTCCGAGATGTAATTTTATACGAGTTTAAAAAAGGATCTTCTATTTCTGTTGCTCTGGTAAATATCAAGAGCGTGTATGGGGATGACTCTTCTTCCAAAAGTACAATAAAACACTGGCTCTACAAGTTCAGAAATAAAGACATTTCTCTCGAGGATCCCTTGATCACCAATCACTTGATATTCATGCAGATATTCTTCTTCGAGAAAACCCCCCGGATTTCTTTGCGTGAAATTGCGGCTGAGGTTGAATACTCTTATGTAACAGTTAAAAAGCACCTTCTTACTATTGGTTTTAAACCGATTTACGGTCAATGGGTGCCCCATAACCTTATCGACCACATGAAAGAGCAGAGGTCATCAGTTGCTGCTGTCCTTCTTTCCAAATACAAGAGGACATCTTTCTTGCAGCGTGTAGTGACGGGAGATGAGAAGTGGATTATGACTGCAAAATTTCAGAGAAAACGACAATGGGTGTTTGGAGTTATACCAGCAAAGGATGTGCTCCCAGGCCCCCACCAGAAGAAGTACATGCTATTAATTTGGTGGGATCTCTTAGGTCATTTATTGGGAGCTTCTCAATAATTCTCAATAAGCAGACAATCAATGCTCTATTATACAACGAACAGCTCAAAAAAACTCGATAAAAAAATTAAAAAATGCTCTAATTTGAAAAAGATCATCCTCCAACACGACAACGCCAGTTCACATAAGTTGAGCCGCTCCACAATTCACGAGTTAATTTGGGAACTCTTAGACCACCCACCATATTCTCCTGACCTCATTTCTACAGATTACCATCTTTTCCAATCAATGCAACACGCTCTGGATGGAAAGCACTTCCAAAATCAAGAAGTCCTCAAAAAGTGGCTCCAAGATTTTTGACTCAAAACCAAAAATTTTCTATGAGAGAGAAATCCGTCAATTGCCAGTAAAATGGACGAAAGTTATCGCAAATAATTGAGACTAAAATAATGGAGACTATTTCAATTAAAATGCTCTTTTGGTTGTCAATAAATATTGTTTTGAATTTGGGGTCAAGTTTACAACTAAATATCTCAAACAAATGGCCCTGAACCAGCTCTGAACAGGAACATATATGGTTTCGTCTTAACTATTAGGTTGTCCAATAAGTAATGCGTGTTACTTATTTCGAAACTATTGCGAAATCGCTTCGAGCAAATATATGCTCTTTTTAATCATCAGCATCTTGTGTTTATTTTTATATATTATTTAATTCATTTGCCTTTGTTTTATAATACAAAAAGTTTGTTGTCCGCGCATCAATGCTGTATGATTTCAAACGAGGTAAAACTGCAGCGGATTGCCATCGAACTATCTGTGCCGCATTTGGAGAGGATTCAATATCAATCAGCCAGTGCCAGCGCTGGTTTAAACGATTTGCGGACGGAAACGAGTCGTTAGAGGACGAGGAACGCGCTGGGAGGCCAGTCGTTGCTGACTTGTACTCTCAACAATTGGAAAGAGTGCAGCAAGCTCTTTGTCGTAAAAGAGAGGACACTTCGATGATTAAACTGCAGTTTGACAATGCTCGTCCTTTTGTTAATTTTGTGATATTTTGAAAATCGTGTCAAAACACGCATTACTTATTGGACAACCTAATACAAAAATACTAGTAGACTTTTGCATATGAGAGTATCTATTCTCTAAAGCCTGGTCGCTTTTTCGTTTCATTTTTCAAAAGCACCTTTCACTTTTCCGAACATAGCAACCGCTATTCTTATTGGTAGGCAATGCTGCGTGTGTTCAGAGTTTTAATATATGAAATAGTGATCAAATCAATGACTGAATTAAATCTCAAGTCTCATATCCACCAAAGTCTCAAGTATAAAGAAGCAAACTTCTTCTGATAGTTGATGAAATGCTTGAAAGTCTCTCGATCCAAAATCTTGTCCTCATCATCAACATCGTTATCGGACTCTCTATGCCTCTCTCTCTGGGTGTACATTACCGCAAAGCCACCGATCGCTGAAAATTTACACATTTTATCAGCACAGAACTTGCAAAAGTCAAATAGATAAACGAAAACTCGAATATAATGAGTTATTCATAATTAAGCTGAAATGATACCCCACCGATTAGACATAAAAAACCGCCAACAAGCAAGAATATCCAGGATTTCATTTTACAATCATCACCCACACCTCTGGTAACCAACCAGCGAAATAACAAGAGAAAAAGACGCCTTTGTCATGTCTAAAAAGACCAAAAAAGAAAGAAAAGAAAGAAAAGAACTGTTGTTAATTATTTAGATCATTTCCCTTTGAAATTTTTCAACAAAAAGAGCCAACGAGTCAGTGCTTTCTGAGTTTGGTGACTGTTTTGCTTGACAACGTAAATTTTTGTATTAGATGAGTAAAAAGGCTGTATTAGATGTATTGGACAAGGCTCAGGACTGGGCCAAAACCCTTTTTGATATGCTCACATCGGATAACCCGATTCACTTCCACGAAATTCGCATTTCCCCTAAACTAGATGCACCGAATTTCCCCATTTTCCCCACCGGATGTTGCCTGAAAAGGGATGGGAATTCGGTTGTTGCTGTTGATGCTATTGTTGTTGCTGTTGATGCTATTGTTGTTGCTGTTGATGCTATTGTTGTTGCTGTTGATGCTATTGTTGTTGCTGTTAATGCAAAAGAAATTTCGCTTTTTTATAAACATTAAATTAAATCAAAATTCCTTTAGGTAACGATTTTAATTGTCTAGATCATTTTCCTTTTGAAATTTTCCAACAAAAAGAGCCAACGAGTCAGTGCTTTCTGAGTTTGGTGACTGTTTTGCTTGAAAACGTAAATTTCTGTATTAGATGAGTAAATTTGGACAAGCCACATCCTGGACGCCCTTTAGAAATCTTAAATGACGATTTGCTCAATGCTATTGAAATTGATCCCACATTTACGCTTCGAAAATTAACAGAATTTTTCGACGTTAGCCATGTGACATTGGAAAACCATTTGCATCAACTTGGGAAAGAGGTTCGACATGGAAAATGAGGTCCACATGAGCCAAGGTAACAAAATAGCTTGTGTCACCGTGTGCTCCATCTCGTTTCAAACGTGCAATATCACACGATTTTTTCGAAAGAATCTTCATTAGCCAATGGGTTAAAATAAAAAAAAAATAATTATGAAGGCTTCTATTCTGATAGTCGCAGCCACCAAAGCTTCAACAAGCAAAAAAGAAGCGACGCTCACTGGAACGTTGGACCTCAAAACGGTGGAGGTGATTTCCATTCAATTAACAAGCTCCTAGTTTGAAGCTAGCCAAAATATTGGTATAAAAAACAGAGATTTTTGAGCCCCTTTTCAGGTACAAATACTTTTTTTGGTACGGAGGCGGTGGTGATCGACGTTATCGCACTACATCGACACCAGTCACCCCTCAGCGAATGGATGTTGGCGACTTCGATTGGCGGACAACCGGAGCCGTAAACCCGATCTGTGATCAAGGGCAATGCGGTGCCTGCTGGTCGTTTGCGTGAGCGATTCTTTCTCTCTTTTCGTCTTTTAGTCAGATAATCAAGATTTTCGTGTGGCTGATAGTGGGACTATTCTCAGCCTGCACAGATCTACCCTTGAACGAGCCAGGGGCTAATCCTGTAACGATCATTGTTATCCATTTTTAGTGCCGTGGCCGCCATCGAGACCACGTCAAACTACGTGAATGGACGCCTAAACACGGAGCGTAGATCGTACTCAGAACAGGTGAGCGGTCACTTTTTCAACGATTCACTCTGTCGCATCGCAGTGGCTACTGGATTGCAGTACGCGGAATGAATGTGACGGTAGATGGCCATCTGATGCCATTGCGTGAGTTGGGGTGAACAAAAACAATAATGAATCTATTCTGGCATCAATCTCATGCAACTGGGCCAGATTTAAAACGAACCTTTCGGGCTTTTCGGGCCAGGAACAAGCCTGGGCTCTGGGGCAAAACCAAATCTTGGAAAGTTGATCATGGTTACTTGAGGATGTTGTTTTGTGTTTTCAGTATGAATATGCGCTTCGAGGGGACTTCGTCACAGCTCTAAGATCACAGAACGGAAGTTAAGAAAATGAAAAGCTCTAAAACTGGAGAAAATTAAAGTCAATATCTTTTCAAATACTTTGAACAGGTTTAAAAAGGGCTTTGCTTCGGCTTCGCGAGAAAAGAAATCAAACAGATCTCATCTAATCGTTCTTCGTCTTGAACTCAATCTTTTACTTTTTGTGATCATCAAATAAACGATGAGGATCAAGGTTTCAATTAAGAAAGAATGATGAGTATCAGTTGGTTAAATTTGTCCATCAAATTGTAGAAGAGATATTTGTGTGCTGTTCTTTGTGCTTTTGTGTTCAAACTATCAAAAAAGTTGTTTAACTTGAAGATTTCTTTTTAGCACAACGGTGGAAGACAACAGCCAATGGGGCAATTGAAACGATCGGCTCGGACAAACTGTAATAGATTCTTGATTATATAGAGCGATCAGAGATGAAAGAAGCTCGTTTCTTGATAAAGACATTACTAAGTTCCGCTGAGAAGTAAATAAGTACAATTTAGATTAGATTCAAGGCTACCAAAGTCGAAACGATTGTAGAATCCACTAAAAAGAGGCTCAATGGTTCTCCCAGCATCATTCTTAATATTTTAAAAGTAGCAGACTGAAACCAGCCCTATCCTCCCTATCTCTTACAATGGAGTAATGGGAAAGTACCAGATAAATTATAGTATTTGATTAATAATACAATAGCAATGATCTAGTTAAGAGTTTTACCCTTTTAGCATTGATATCTTCAGCCACCGCCCAGATGACACTGACCGCGAGATGGAGGAGAATCACCAAATATTTCAGCATTTTTGAAAGATTTAAAATTGAAAGTTCTTTCTGAGGCTTTTGTTTTGATTGAGTCCGTCATTTGTATTCAATATCGGTTCATATTTGGCATCGAGAGCTTGAAATAGCCAATCTTTAGTATTCCTGGTTCTATTTCTATTCTCAAAATAGAAAAATGATGTGAAATAATATTTCAAATCATCGTTGCCTAAATCAAGATTGATAGAAAGCTAAATTTGTGTTCTTTACACATTTGAAGAGCTGATCTAATGTCTAGGTGTCATTAAAAGTTTGCCAAAACAAAAGATTTAACGATTAAATGATCAAATACATTGAATGGATGAATGGAATCGCCTACTTCCTCATCTTATATTAGATTTATAGTGTTACCTTTCGAACCTTTCGGGCTTTTCGGGCCAGGAACAAGCCTGGGCTCTGGAGCGAAATAAAATCTCGGAAAGTTGATCATGGTTACTTGAGGATGTTTTTTTGTGCTTTCAGTATAAATATGCGCTTCGAGGGGATCTCGTCACAGCTTTAGAGCTAAGATCACAGAATGAAAGTTAAGATAATAAATGATTAAATCGTTTATTAATAAAGTTAATAAACGATTTAATCATTAATTATCGTTAGCTTTTGATCAATACCATTACCCCCTAACAATAAGAAACATTTTATAATGACAAAATCGAAAGATTATGGAACAGTTTCACAATCTGCGAATTTTCATAAAATCTATTCAAGCCAATGCATGTGATCACAATTTTATTAAAGAAGTTTAGAACAAATCCATAAGAAAAATTCGGAAATCTCCCCAGCTTGTTTCTTATTGTTTTCTTTTTGCTGAAAATTGTGATCCACATTAATTTCATTTCACACGGTGAAATTCAAGTGGATAAGTGAAAGTGATAAGTAATAAGTGAAAGTATTTAAAAGGATACTTTTAAAAGAAATAAAAGTATCCTTTTGGGTACTTTCGTAAGAAGTAAAAGTATTTAAAAGAGTACTTTCAAGAAGATTTTTTTTACTAATTCGATGAAAACCTGAAAGAAATATCTGAAATTCGGTATATTTATTACTTTCAATCCAAAACCTAGTGAATTGGTAGCAAAATGGTCGCAAGCTCGAGAAAAATCGATGAGTAAATGATCATTGAAGTAGAAGATCGAGGGTTCGACTCCTTCTCTAAATCATTTCTCTGCCATTTCTTGCTTTTCTCAATCAAGATAAAAACGAATGTCTTTTTTTAATTATAATGTTCACATTTTTTTTTGTATTTCTTTGTAATCTTTCGAGTATTTTTTTTTTGTATTTCTTGATAAATTTTATGTGGAAACTAAGAAAAACAAACGAAAAATCATTTATCGAAAATTCTTGATAGATAGATTAGATAGATCTCGATAGATAGATTTCTTTATCTTTCTGTTCTTTTCTTAGTGGTTCTTTGGAACCACTAAGAATAATAATGATTGATTACGAAAATACGAGACGAGAAAAACAAAATCGCCATTTTTAAAGAGAGTCACGCATTCGAGGGTTTCCAAATTGAAATCATTGAATAGAGTGATTAAATGATTCGCTGAGAGGTAGGATTTGATCGAATCGAGCAAACAATTTCCCTCAGTCGATTCACTGTTCACTTCTTCTGGCGCAAATCTCTCATTAACAAGTCGCCGTATGATTGCCAATGCTTGGATTCCATTCAAATCCTCAAAACCCATTAGGCCGCCGATCACCATTAGAACCCTTTTCTCTTGTCGATTCAGATGATTGAGAATATAGCGTACGTCGTTCACATAATCCTCCCAAAACCATTTACATGCGATCAAGATCTTAATGGACGTTTGCGAGAGTGACTCCCAAAATAAGTCGATTTGTTCAGTGAAAAATGATGAGCAATTCCTGAGTTGATGAGACATCTCTTGAAGAAAAGATTTCTCAAATGGATCCTTAAATTGTTTAAACTTCAAGCAAAACATTGTTGAGACTTTTGGTTTAAACAATTTATTGATTATTTGAAGGGTTGTCACTTGATCAATCTTTAGGGAAAGATCTCTTAATTGATGAACTCTTGGGAGGAATCTGACGAGATGATAGCGATCGTCGAGATTCACTCCAACCTCCTCACCTCCCATATATGAGATATGCAATACTTGAAGCTTTCGAATTTTTGAATAAATCTTATTGCAACTTGGAAGATATTGAGGTGAATTGCGGGGTTCTTTAGAGGAAAACTTATTTAAAATATTCTTTGAATCGGGATAGATCGTTACATTCGCCCTGCTTTCATCCCAAAATCGAATCTTCATCTTGTAGATATTCTTTGAGAAAAACGGGCCAGCAAAAAGGATTCGATTTCGTAGATCCGCTGAAACTTGAAGGAATTTGAGGGAATCTTGAGGATCGACATGCTCAAGAATGGATTCCTTGAAAATCTCGGGAAGTGTATTGATCATAAATCTTTGTTGAATCATTATTTCTTCAAATGTGTTTGAATAGAGAAATATTTAATGAATAGACTGGTCAATCTTCTCGAAAATAGCGATTGGTATTTGAGCTGGTTGAACGCTCTTATCTTTCTTTTCAATTGACCCCCTGAAACACTTTCAAAAACAAACTCGATCCCTTTGAAGGACTCCATCCCATCTCCATCTTATCTATAGAAGAGGTGACAGGCCGATTTTTGATTTAAACATAAAAATATGAAGAAAGAAAAAAAGACAATCACGTGATAACTAAAAGATTTATCTTTAAATCAGGTTCAACACTTCAGTTGAAGGCCATCAACTCCTATTCCTATCAATCAAATTCTATACCTATCAGATCAATTTCCAATATTCTATTCGCCAAAAACTTCCTCAGGCGAAATTCTTTCGAAAAACCGTTTTGGGTACAATTGGTTGTTAGGGACGGAAGTTGTTGCTGAGAAATGAGTAGAGGTTGTTCATCTGAAAACGGTTGTAATCAATTTCGGAATCACTCAAACCACAATTCACCAAAAACCGCCGAATATCTTTACTAGCTTGCTGAAGATTACTCGCATAAAAGGCAATTAAAATTTAAAACGTTAACGCCTTAGAGCTCTATTAAAGCAGCTAGGGGGGAGACAATCAAAACGAACCTTTTTCAGTTTTTTATACTGAAACGCGCACCCCAAAACGGGTTAATTCAGTGTGTTGGGTAATTTTTTGAAGACAAAACTAGGCACATGTTTCACCTTTACTGCACTGTAACGTGATCGGATTCTTCATAACTGTCCAATCAACACACGTATTAAAACCATCAGTAGTAAGACTTCTCGTATAGGCCAGGAATTGGGTTGAAGCTGAAAAGAACCCCTGTTAATATTGGGTTGGGGAGAATGAGTCGGCGCCGAAAATCAAAGAAATTTCTAAAACTTATAGCAGACTTTGTCAAATGATATGCGTTTGATATCCATAGAAGGGTAACTAATTCTCTACAAAATAATATTTAAAAGAGAACTCAAACAGCGCCTCAACTCAACAAAGGATCATTTTTTTTTCACAAAATCGATAAACTGTCATCTAGAGTAAACGGTTGGAGGGATCTTCCTGAAAATTTGGTAACTTATGTAATTGAGTGTGCTCTATCTTTTTTATATAAACACCAAAGGAGGTTTATGTGGAAGAAACTGTTCAAGCAATGAGTCGGACTTTTTGTCATTTTGATTAGCTGTGTTTGGGAATCCATAAAATCCCAAAAAAGAAAAGCTTTGTGGAATCTCTCAAAAGCCATTTTGTAAAGAATTAGTGGACCATTTTGATGAAACAAAACGTGTATTTAAAGAAGGTTTTATGGGTGCAAAAAGTTTCTTTAAATTTCGGCGCCGACTCATTCTCCCCAACCCAATAATAATAGGAGTTTTAGGAAGTTCTTTTGACTTTCGTAACGAATATTTTTGCAAGAGATACGCTAACTTTTCGAGTCAAGGTAGTCGCGTGACGTCGCATTCCAATTGACGTCGTCGCCATTTGGAGGTAGTCGATGGGAGCGCCGCGTCGTCATTTCTTTTTTGTTTTCAAATTATTTGTTTTCGTGAGATTGATTGAAAGTATTTTTTACCAGATAAATTTTTGTGTTGAAATGAGAAAGCAATCTATTAGGTTGTCCAATGAGTAATGCGTGTTATTTATTTCGAAACTATTGCGAAATCGCTTCGAGCAAATATATGCTCTTTTTAATCATCAGCATCTTGTGTTTATTTTTATATATTATTTAATTCATTTGCCTTTGTTTTATAATACAAAAAGTTTGTTGTCCGCGCATCAATGCTGTATGATTTCAAACGAGGTAAAACTGCAGCGGATTGCCATCGAACTATCTGTGCCGCATTTGGAGAGGATTCAATTTCAATCAGCCAGTGCCAGCGCTGGTTTAAACGATTTGCGGACGGAAACGAGTCGTTAGAGGACGAGGAACGCGCTGGAAGGCCAGTCGTTTTTGATAACGAAGCTTTGCTTAACACCATGACGGACTTCACTCTTTGCTCGGACGATGGAGAAATATTGTTGATTGTTGTGGAGAATATATCGATTAATAAAGTTCTCTTTTTTTAATTTTGTGATATTTTGAAAATCGTGTCAAAACACGCATTACTTATTGGACAACCTAATATTTTCATTTGGGAGCCAAGTGGAGAATCCGGGACTTTTCGTAGCACGAGCACAATGAATACCAAAACTAACTGTAAGATTGTGGTTTGCGGAGTTGCATGAAAACAACAAAAACAAGGCTCATCTTCTGGACCGTTACAAAACTCGTTCTCTGGTTTGTGTTTTGTGTGCATGAGCTCATTTTGAGCAGAATTTTATGCAAAATGCGAAAATCGATATCATTTTGCAAACCTTTCAAATAGATTTTTTCAAATTGTTAATGAACACTTTAATGAGCTTTCAAAAATACACTCGAATTTTGTTTGCAATATATTTTTCTAGTAGACAAAAAAGTGAACCGAAGGGTGCTTTTCGATGATCAAGTAGCATGTAGGACTCAAAAAAGAAACGCTTAGTCCAGGCTAAAAGCCCGTGACATCACCACTGACCGATCCACGCGAAAACAGCTACACACAATAGTGAAAATTTGAATTTGTATGCTTAGTGTTGGTGTGCAAAACATTGTGCTCAGTGTAAACTTGTTAGCTTTTGCTAATCCGACAATAGACTTTGCTAGGTGATTGGTCAAGAAACACAAAGAACGATGAAACAAGTGAAGAAGAAAACCGTTTCATAACAAAACACTTTATTTGCCAAGCTTCTTGAAGAGCTTTCAATTTTTCTAGAATCTAGAGTCTCAATCTGCCGAGAATCTGCAGAGAATTGACAAAGAATTCTTTTCAAAGGTCGATGATGTCAAGTCAAGATTTATTTTCAATTAGTTGACCTCAAAATCTAGTAGCTATAAAATAGCTATAAAATTTTGATGATTTAAAGGAGTTTTGTTTTAGGAAAAAGGAAAAAAACTGCAAAAGAGAGAATGATCATCGTGGCTATCAAAACGGGTTGACCTCATCTAGAGTTGTCTACTTTTATACATATTCTTCTCCCGTCAACTTCAACTATTGTTGAGGTCAAAGGAAGATGACTCGAACTCTAAAACAACCCGATTCTTCAGAAACAATGACCTCAATAAATCTAAAAACAAAAAAGAACCGCTTTTTGGGAGGGCAAAAGGAAAGAAAAGTTTTCTAATTAGCAACGTTCTAATCAAAAAAATAATGAGCTTACTTTGCGAACCCGAGTTTGCGTAGATCTATCGGAGCGGGCTGATAATTGCTTCTCGTTCCAAGTTTTTTTTCAAAATCACATTCAATTTATAGTTATATATTATGGGATAAACTGAGGGTTACTGTAATAACTGTAATAGTTACTGTAATCTGTAAATAACTGTAATCGTTATTGTAATCTCCTTAGAACAGTAAACCAGAATTTTCTCGGAAAAAGTTGAAAATAAAAGTCCCTTAATCAAAGACCTTTCATCGTATTCTGAGAATTTTGAGAAAAGTTTAAAAGTTTTTTTTCTTTAATGGCTACATTTTTCACTCAATCTTGAAATGCATCTATCTTTTTCCATTGTAGTAAGCTTTTAGTTGTTCCTCGTAAATCTGTCGTCGAAGATGTCCAGAAGGATCTTGCAAGTATCCATTGAAACGTCCGATCAGATCATTCGTCTCCTGTGTCATTGATTGAAATGTGAATGGTTTACTCGTTGCAAGCTCTCCACGTAAGCGCTCTAAATCTCAGACTTTCAGCTTTCAGCAGACATAGATAGTTTTATTGAGACTTTTTTCAAAAACCATTTTGAATTATTACCATAGAGAAGAGAAGGGTGCATCGATTGAGGACTCAAATTTTGCAGATTATTCAGATATTGAGCATTAAAAAGTGACAAAAAGGCAACGAAGAGAATAGATTGAAAGAATCGCTTTTGAAAGATCATTGTAGAAGGGGAATGAAGGGAAGCTTGGGTGACAGCCGAGGAGAGAATGAATTGCCAATGAAGGCTTAGGGAACGGGTTTTGGAGATTTCTCTTCCAGGAAAGACATGGAATGGCTCTTGCCGTTCTCTTTCAAATTCAACCATTCTTTCAATCGCTGAATCATTCAGTTTTTTTAGATCAATAATTCTATGCCAAATTTTTTTAGATGATTCGATCAATGATTCGATTTCATTTATTAAGGAAAAATGAACGTCGATGAATCGAAAATCTGCCTTGTCATTGAATTTTGTATTTGCAAAAATATAATAGAAGATTTTTGTATGATAGCTTCTAGATGTAGATGTTATCTGTATGAATGGAGGAAACTGTCTGAACTGATGGAACGATTTATCCTCTTTTTACTCTAACAATAGACCTTTTTTCTTAGTATTGCTGATATCTTATACAGGATGGCGCACAATTACCCGCACTCAGTTCAGATTCACTTTGATCTTTGATTCAGATTCACTTTAATCTTTGATTCAAATTGATTGTTTTCTACTAAAAATGAGCTAGATTTTTGGAAATAGTAAATAAAAAGAAGTAAATAAAGCTGGTTTTCTTTGAGTTTGAGGCATTGAAACTAGTGACAAAAACCAGAAAATCGCGATTCCGCCACAGGAAACGCGTGTCGCAACTTTGCAGCGCTCTAGCAAAAGTTTAGAAACTTTTCTGATCAAATCCAGAAAACACATTGCAAGGAGAAATATTGAATTTGATAATAACAAAGAATTAGATCGATTGATTGACTCTTCTTCGCTAAGCTGGAGACTCGGAACTGAGTGCGGGTAATTGTGCGTCATCCTGTATATTACCTTACTAGTTACTAGGGAAGGGTACTAGGATTGATGCTCATGGTGCTAAATTGCACTGGTCAAAATTAGATAAGAAAATAAAGCAAAATAGTTTAAGCATTTGTGAAAATCAAAAATATCTTTATGAAAGATAAAAAGCAAGAAGTTTGTCAACTAGGGAATTCGAAATTACTACAAAAATTGGATCCGTTGCGTAGACAAGAAAACTATCCACTACACTACAATCATCGTTTGAAAGGGAACCGTAAACTCAGCTCAAGAGAGTATAGGAAAAACTCTGATGCCAGAAATCTCGCGTTTACGAGCTATTCAGCAGATTTTGACTACAGATTCGGATTCCCCGTTCGATTTTCTATCGGATGAGCTAGGTCTCGTTTTGTAATCCCACAGTGACCTAGTACTCTTCCCTAGTTACTGAAGGAATCGTTATTGTTATTGATATTGTTATTGTTAGAATATTGTTAGAGAATCACAGTTAAACATAAAGGCTAAGAGTAGCTTGAATGACCAGAAAAGAAAAAATTACTTAAAGCCCTATGAAACAAAATTAGAATCTAATGCTTTTGAAAAAGATCGACAAAAACTTTTTGTTACCAAATTTATTGCGTCTTAAACTATTAAAAAGCTCATTTTTTTATCAAATGACTTTTAAAAAAAGCTCAAAGCTTGTCTTAACTCGATAAAAACTCATTTTTATATAAAATTTTCAATTGCTATTTTAAAGAAAATCGTTGAATGGATCGTTTTCAAATTTTGCAGACTCATTTAATCAAATGAGCTCTATCTTTTTTTACTTTAATACTAAAATAGATTTGTATTGAAGTGTTCAAATTTCGACTTCAACAGTTTTTGGTGCCTTTTTTTGCATTTGAAAATCCATAAAACTTGAAAGCACTGAAAGCAAAAGCACAAAGAACAGCACACAAATATCTCTTCTACAATTTGATGGACAAATTTAACCAACTGATACTCATCATTCTTTCTTAATTGAAACCTTGATCCTCATCATTTACTTGATGATCACAAAGAGTAAAAGATTGAATTCAAGACGAAGAAAGATTAGTTGAAATCTGTTTGATCTCTTTTCTCGCGAAGCCAAAGCAAAGCCATTTTTAAACGTGTTCAAAATATTTGAAAAAATGTTGCCTTTAATTTTCTTTAGTTTTAGAGCTTTTCATTTTCTTAACTTTCGTTCTGTGATCTTAGAGCTGTGACGAGGTCCCCTCGAAGCGCATATTCATACTGAAAACACAAAACAACATCCTCAAGTAACCATGATCAACTTTCCAAGATTTGGTTTTGCCCCAGAGCCCAGGCTTGTTCCTGGCCCGAAAAGCCCGAAAGGTTCGAAAGGTAAAACTATAAATCTAATATAAAATGAGAAAGTAGGCGATTCCATTCAATGTATTTGATCATTTAATCGTTAAATCTTTTGTTTTGGCACTACGCAAACTTTTAATGACACCTAGACATTAGATCAGCTCTTCAAATGTGTAAAGAACACAAATTTAGCTTTCTATCAATCTTGATTTAGGCAACGATGATTTGAAATATTATTTCACATCATTTTTCTATTTTGAGAATAGAAATAGAACCAGGAATACTAAAGATTGGCTATTTCAAGCTCTCGATGCCAAATATGAACCGATATTGAATACAAATGACGGACTCAATCAAAACAAAAGCCTCAGAAAGAACTTTCAATTTTAAATCTTTCAAAAATGCTGAAATATTTGGTGATTCTCCTCCATCTCGCGGTCAGTGTCATCTGGGTGGTGGCTGAAGATATCAATGCTAAAAGGGTAAAACTCTTAACTAGATCATTGCTATTGTATTATTAATCAAATACTATAATTTATCTGGTACTTTCCCATTACTCCATTGTAAGAGATAGGGAGGATAGGGCTGGTTTCAGTCTGCTACTTTTAAAATATTTAGAATGGTGTTGGGAGAACTATTGAGCTCTTTTTTAGTGGATTCTACAATCGTTTCGACTTTGGTAGCTTTGAATCTAATCTAAATTGTACTTATTTACTTCTCAGCGGAACTTAGTAATGTCTTTATCAAGAAACGAGCTTCTTTCATCTCTCATCGCTCTATATAATCAAGAATCTATTACAGTTTGTTCGAGCCGATCGTTTCAATTGCCCCATTGGCTGTTGTCTTCCACCGTTGTGCTAAAAAGAAATCTTAAACGACAAAATAAACAACTTTTTGAGAGTTTAAACGGAAAAGCACAAAGAACAGCACACAAAAATTCTTTCTACAATTTGATGGAGAAATTTAACCAATGATACTCATCATTCTTTCGTAATTGAAACCTTGATCCTCATCGTTTACTTGATTCGATGATCGATGATCGATTTCGACACAAAGATTTTACAGACTTATGTAATCAAATCAGCTCTATCTTTTTTTTACTTTAATACTAAAATAGGTTTGTACTGAAGTGTTCAAATTTCGACTTCAACAGTTTTGGGTGCCTTTTTTGCATTTGAAAATCCATAAAAACCTTCCGAGAATTTCCAAAAAGCCATTGAAGAGAAACAATTAACACAAACAAATTTGATATTTTAAATAGAAATTTTGTTGGTGGTGGCGTTATTTTTAAATGACGTTTTGAAATAATACTTCTAGATCGACAAACGACAAATATCTGTAATAAATTTCTTTGAGAAAGCTCACGTTTAGCGAAAGAAGATTCCACATCAGAGAGTTTAAGGTAAATTAAGAATATGAAGCTATTCTCGAATGAAAGATTTGTGGATTCTTTGAGAAGGACATTGATTGAATTGATCATTGTTTTTTTTGCTAAAGAAATGCGGAAATTGTTTCATTAATGCCAATGAATATGATTGTGATGAAGATAAGACGCGAGAAATATGAAGAAAAGAAATATAAAGCAAGAAAAAAGAAATCTGTTGTAAATGAAACTAACATAATCAGAGAAAGTCAAGCTGATGGTTACTATGTTTCTCATTCTGATTGCATAGTTCACATTCTCAGCTTTCATTTTTGCGAAACGATCTCATGTGAACTTAAAGCTTTAGTTAACTTGCTCTGGAATAGAGATCAGGCTTGTTGTGGTGTAATGGTTAGCACAGTTGCTCGGTAAGCGAAGGGTCGAGTCCCGGTGGAGCACAAGTTTTTGATCTGCCCTAGTTTCAACTCTATATAAGGGATCATCGATTCTGAAACCTCACAGAATCTCGTCAATCTTATTGTTGATCTTGTGATCCAAATGTCATCATTTCTCAATACAAATCATTGAAGGATTTCGAAATGTCTCAATCCCAGAGTTCATTATCGATATTTTTAGATTTCCGCTGTTTCCTGAGGTTAGTAAGTTTGGGTTGATCGAATCAAAATCGAATAAACCTTCTCAAACACTTACTCTTCTCCATCAAAACAGCTTTCAAGTGCGAAATCATGATCTTTGTCTTTTGACAGCAATCTTTAACTTTCTTTAACTCTTCATCAACCTTTAGACTAGTCAATAAACAATGCACAAGATTTTTACCATTCTTATAATTTATGCTATTCAGAAATATTTTTCCTGGATTTAAATTCCCAAAATCTCATCGTTTTTCTTTTCTTTTGACATCATATTTCTAAATTATCGCTTTTTGCTGATTCTAGTCTAAGAAACAAAGATTTGTGGCACAGAATACGGACAAGATTTCATTTTATGGTACTTTTGTACTTCAAGACTGCCCACTCAGTCAATAAAAAGCATTAGACATTAGACAGAAAAAGAAAAAGCATTCTATTCATTTCTTCTCTTCCATTATCCCTATACACAATAAAGCATAACATGATAAAACCTTTTAAAAAAAAGAAAAAACAGTTGAAAAATGATTAGTGAACAGGGATCTTTTGATTCCTTGGCAATCCCTTGACAATTTTGAACAGTGATCGTTTCATTGAACCATTTTTAACGATAAGCGTTTATTGAACATTTTGAGGAAAAAAAACGAAGAGATTGCAGACAATATAAAAGCGGGTCATGTTTTCGGAAAGAAGGGAATCCCCAAGTCTGACTGAAGACTTTGGTTGGCCTAGTGGACAAAGCATTAGACTTCAGTTCGATCCCTGATGCAGCTTTTTGTTTTTATTTTCGAGTTTTTCTTTTCGAGCAACTTCTAGCATTCTAGCATGACCTTGATTTGAATACCCAAACTTTACTGAAAAATCCCTGAATCCCCGAATTTCTCAGCCATAGCTTTTCCTTTTTAGTCCCTCGGCTTCAAATCAGCTTTTTTTTCATTCAGAATTCAACTATCAGTACGTCGGTTCGTCAAATTTGTGAAAATTTTGTTTTTCATGAACTTTTCTTGCTTCAACAGCCATGATTTAATGTAATTCAGAGAAAATGAGCCGAAGATTCTTGTTTTTTGTTTATTTTTGTGTGATTTATGCCGATGTGAATGGACCGTTGACAGATGATTTCACGAATTGGTTGAACAGGTGAGAGCTCAATTGGGTGAGAGTGAGAGGGGTGATTTTCAGCAATAATTATATCTCGGACAATTTCACTCGAACCGATTACAAGACAAAGGGCAGTTATGGTGGAAAGAGCAAGGCGAATCCAGTGGTGAGATCTATTGAATTGCATGCTTTTTGCATGGAGTTTTGCATCTTAACCCTTTTTTGGCAAATCTATGATCGACAACTTTTTAATATGATAATTTGAAGCATAATGGAGATCGATGTTAAGCTATTTACAGTAAATATTGGATTATAAGCTTCATTGCTTCAATAAGACCCGAAAGAAGTGCAAAATCGCTAAAGAAGCATGCTTAAAAGAAATGATTTCTCGAGGGGCTCAGGCGGCCACCGTGGCGCAGTGGGAAAAGGGGTCTTCTCCGCTCCAGACCATCTGGGTTCGACCCCGGGTAGTGTCGCTAAATCTAATTTTTTTGATTTTAAAGACCACAATCACAATATATTCTAAAGTTTTCTAAAGAAGTTTTAGCTTTAAAAAATGCCCATACATACAGACAAACTGATTCAAAAGGAACTGATTTTCAGACTACGAAAACCCCGGTGATCTTTATTCATGGAAATTCGGATTCGGCTCTCCATTCGAGTGCAACAGCCACTGGGTGAGTGTGAAAATTGTAAGGACAATGAGATTTATGGGGATTTATTTCCTAAATTTCAGTTGGGATAACACAATCGCGTACTTTCTGGCTAGAAACTATACCACAGCTGATCTTTATGCGACGTCGTGGGGTGACTCAAATGCATTGAATGCGGATACGAGGTTTAAGCCGATAATCTGAGATATTATCAATAATAGCAAATTTTGATGGAAATCCAATTTCATTATGTTTTTTATGTATTTTATTCTTAGTTCAATTGGATCCATTGATCCTTATTGGAAAGTTTGGAACTTTGAAACTGAAATTGGAAAGTTAAAGATGATATTTAATATTAAATTGACATCTATATTTAATATTATATTTAGTGTCATTTATAGTGTTGAAATTGTTACGAATTTCTTTATAAGTTGATAATGAAATCACAGTAGATCTTCTCAATAGACTTCTTGATTCAGAACGCATAACTGTAAAGAAGTGCTCCGATTGAGGCGATTCATGGAGGCTGTCCTGAAGTACACCGGAGCTCCAAAAGTATCCAGAGTTTTCTTTCTCTTTTAGCTATTGGCTTTTTCCAATAGCTAAAAGAGATCTGATCAAATTTCAAATAAGAATTTTGTTATCGCATAGTAATTACTTAGGTCAGAAAATATTCGTTTAGACATCAATGACCCAATGGAAAATGCTTCCTTAGGAACTAGAATTATATTATAAGGAGCTCTCACGTTCGATTATAAGGAGCTCTCACATTCGATTCGATTCGACAATGTTTTATAATCAGAGAAGAATATAGAGTCAAAGTTGATTAAGCTATACAGAGAATAGGAAACATATTGGGTTTCCCATAAAAAGGGCATGAGAAAGGATTCGAATCTACTAGAGCTTTACCATCAAGCTATTGGCAAACCCTCAAGAGAAAGCCTTATATAGATGCCCGAAGGCAACAGAGATCCCCTTCTCTGTGCCCTGGTTTATATGGATAAAACATCTGTTATAAAACATCGTCGAATCTAATGTGAGAGCTCCTTATAACAATTGATAGATAGATAGATAGATAGATAGGCTTTTACAGCCTATCTATCTATCTATTGTTAGCCTATTTTCAGGTTTCATTCATCACTCATTCGATGGGAGTCACGTTGGGCAGAAAAATTATCAAAGGAGGAAAGATCTCAGCGAGCGATGGTTTCTTTCACTTTTCACTTCAAACTTTCCCTCTTTCAGGAAACTGTGATGTTGGTGCTCCATTGACGAAAAACGTAGACGTTTTTGTGGGACTTTCGGGTGCAAATTACGGTCTCTGCACTTGTGAAGCATCGGGCGTATCGATAGCCACTTGTAATAAAGATGTCAGTGTCTCGCATTCCTATATTAAGTTGTAAATTAATGGCTCAAATAGGTTAATACTATTTTTTTTTACCGTGTATCGTTTATGCCTTGTGCCAGCTGTAGAATGAAAATAGCCATGTCTAACAATAGCTCTAGAAGAAAAATGTGAATTCTATTAATGATCCTGTACTACAACATCGCTAGATTATCATATATCGCTAGATCGCTAGATAATCTAGCGATGTTGTAGTACAGGATCATTAATAGAATTCACATTTTTCTTCTAGAGCTATTGTTAGACATGGCTATTTTCATTCTACAGCTGGCACAAGGCATAAACGATACGCGGTAAAAAATAGTATTAATTTATGGTTAGGTTAGATTATCTTCAATTATCTCTGGTGATTCAGGATGGTCTTTGGCCGGGTGATACGTGTGGTTTCAATATGTATGTGTGTGCCGAGAATCCTTTGATGTTTCCATGCAGTGGGCCCACTTATTCAAAGGTGTGTTCTGAGTCATATGTTAAACTAGTCTTACTATGTACAGTCTTACTATGTGCGCCATAATTGTCGTAACAAGCTAAAGTTCTGATTTTAAGACAGATAAGAGCAAAAAAGACAAATTTTTAACTGAATAACATTTATTATATTGACAATACATTAACAATTATAAATGAACTATCAAATTCGAATCGGCTACTATTAGCATTTGTGCAGGCTCGCAAGCGTTTCGGGAAGGCGTCAACGGTGGCGAACAAATAGGTTGGATCAAGCTTTCACTTTCAAGCTTTCCACACTGTCAACAGTGATTTCTTCAAGCTTCTTGTGCGGCTTTGAATAAGCTTTGGCTTCTAGAGCCGATCACACTGAAAAATCCATTGGGTTGAGATCTGGAGAGCTAGGTAGCCACTCAGAAAAAGAAATGAAATCCTAGAAGTTGTTTTGGTAGAACTCTTGGACTTTCTTGGATTTGTGGACTGGTGCGCGATCTTGCTGATAAGTTCAAATGCGATTTTCAAAATGTTTATGAGCACAGGGCAAGAGTTTATCCTCGAGAAGAGTCAGGTAGTTATCGGAATTGTTGCAACAATTATGGCGCACCCTGTATAATAGATAAAGCATGCAGTCTCTATTTATGAAAGCTTTCTTAACGAATGAAATCCCACTAGCAATAGAATTTATGCCGAGTTCTAATCTTAAATGCTTTCAGTTTCTCACCACTTTGAACACAGATACGACACGTGAGGGATCGTATGTGTTCAGTGCTTGGAGTGTTGGTTAGTGAATATTATTATGATTATAGATAGCATCAATGACTTGCCAATTACCTCATTCAGCTGATGATGTCATTTTGGGCGGTGATATGGTTTGGGGAAGACCGACGAGTTTGATCCCGACTTCTAATGATCACAAGGTAAGCGAGAAAAAGGGGAAGAGGCTGGTTCGGTTCATCTTTCCAGAGAACGGGCTGGCTGGATCTTTCCAGCGAACAACTATTTCTCAACTCTGACTTTCGATTCAGATTCAACATTTAACTCTAATCAATGGATTTTCATCAATCAACTCAATAAAATTTTCAGAATTCATTTGGCTTAGCTAACTTTTTTTCCAAAATCTTTGTGGAAACGGTGGATTTAAAATTAAACAACACTGCGAATCTTATTAGATTCTATCAGCAATTCTTTGATTATTGATAGAATTGAAAATTGAAGACCAATTGAGCAATTGAGCCAAATGAATTCTAACGTTTTATCTGCGTTCGAGTCCTTGATTTCAAACTATGATTGATCCATTTGCAGACCTATCTATCCTACGGACACATGGCCACCAAAGAGTTGACGGCCGACGATCAGTATGGAATGGTTGTCAACAAGAAGATCCCCCAATCGACAGGACATACGTTGCTACAAGATGGGAAGAAGCAAATAGAAAGATCGCCCCGATTTGTACGATCTTCCTTCTTGACTTAAATTGATCTTTTTGTGCAGGGTGTCCCAAAAAAAATCCGCTTCGGGTCAAATTTTAACACTATTTCCGGTGGCTCAAGGTCTATCACCTTGAGCCACTGGAAATAAGCGCCCCACTGGAAAAGGAAGATCGTGCAAATCGGAGCGTACAAATACGACACGTGAGGGATCGTATGTGTTCAGTGCTTGGAGTGTTGGCTCTTATTTCCAGTGGCTCAAGGTGATCGACCTTGAGCCACCGGAAATAGTGTTAAAATTTGACCCGAAGCGGATTTTTTTTGGGACACCCTGTACATTGCATTAATAAAGTATGAATTCTATATCCATATGATCTATTTAAGAGCATGCGTTGCAGAAAAGACCAAATTTGGGACCTTGTATCGAATAAAATCAAAATCGAATTTTTTAGACACTTTGAGGCGAGCGAGTGCTGTTCTTTTAGAAATTATAAAAATCTTTTAGAAAATTTATTGAATGCAATATCGTTTTTAGAAATTTCAATTTTTCTAAAAGAAAAGAATTAGAAAATATTGATGGTTATGATCAGAAAATCGATAAGATAATTGAATGAAAAAAATTGATTCAGATCACAAATGTTTTGTTCGATTCGGAAAAGTTGACGACCATTGGCATATCGTCGCAACAAGCCCAGCTTGCCAACTAAAAGAGTTCTCAGTTGAAAGCTGAAAGCATTTGAAGCCGGCTGATTGACTATTTAGATAGAGCACCTCAAAATTCGAGTACGATTGCATATTGGGGATTCTCTTGTAGTTCAAGTTTACAATAGCCGTTTCGCGAAGATCCTCCATTGTCAAATTTTTCATCTCGGCAGCGGTCCTCCATCCTGAAAATAGAAGATTCAATGCTTTGTCCATCTAATGGAACGTTTATTTCTGTCGACTTTTCGAAGAAGAAAATATCGTAGAGATATTGAAATAAACAGATTAAATGATCAAAAAATGCAAGGATGAATATTATAATCGTTAAGAATCACTAGGGGCCGATAGCCGTTCTCTTTAAGGATTAGGTGGACCGTTAGAACCGGCACCGTTCGGGACTAGTACCGTTAAATTCATCGTTGTCTCTTCATGCCACACTAAACCCAATACCAACCCTTAACTCGCATCACCGCATAGAGGGCACCATTCCCGACGAGTTGTTGATCGTTTAGCGCCTGATAGTATCCCTTGGTGTTCCTCGTTCGATTCGACATCTCGAAAATGCACGTATTTCTCTTGTCCTCGTCGGTCATGTTGCCGATCTCATCAACTCGTTTCCAATCGGCCACCACAAGCAGATTCGATAGATTGCTCGGCGGCCACTCGTTCGTGTTAATGGCTAAAATTTTGTCAGGCTAAGCTATGGAGTACAATACACTTCAACACACTTCAAGAATCTCAAGACTCAAGAAAAAACCCTTTGAATCACTCTTCATCTTAATAAACCATTCTAATTTTATTCTATTATTGTATTGCATTCAACGAGACATCAAAATGATTGATCCGATCAAGGTAAAGCCAAAAATATTTACAGTTATTATGATAGTCAAACATGACAGTATACTCTAAATATCTTTTTATCGCTATTGAAAGAGCTTCTTGGTTTTAGTTTTTTTCTAGTTTCCTCCTCTTCCCTCTCAGTCTCCAGAAGGGAAGAACAGTAACCATAAAGAAGTGAAGGAATTGGCAAGAAAAGGGAAGAAGAAAGAAAGAAGTTAAAAGCAAAGACTTACTGGTCATCTGTTCTAGTGGTTAGTTTTGGCAAATAAACCAAAACTATCAAAATATGCTGTTAAGAAGCAAATATTGCAGAGAAACTAACGAATTCCAATTAGTTTAGCTCGAGTTTTCCGAGATTCTGGAGAATTGTGCGCGTTAAGTCATTCCTTGACTCATTCCCATTGTTTATTTTTGCTCTATTTGTTTGTAAAGTTTGAGGAAATTGGGGATAAATGCAAACACACTCACCCCAACAGATCTCAATTTCAATGTGTATCAAAAAGCATTTAAATCCTAGGAAACAGTCGTAAGTTTATCTCAATGAAAATTGGAATATATCAGAGAATTTGAGTCTACTATCCGGTATTTGGGATTTTGCCTGGATACCGGATAATTATCCAGGATTTTGAAATGGGTACCGGATACTGGATAGTTAGTATCTGGTATAATCCGGATACCGAATAGTGGAGCCAAATTTTGTTATATATTGAATTTTTTATTAGAGATAAATCTAAGACTTAAGATTCGATTTGGATCGATCAAAAATGAGTAAAGAGTGAGAAATGATTTTCGTCAACACAAAAAATAACTACAAGATAGTATCCTTTTTAGTGTATGTTTGTCAAGCTTCTTAGAAAAACCTTAAATTCTCTTTGTATTGAGGAGCTGTAAATTAGATGTTAGAGATCGAAAACCATGTTGGGTTAGAATAGACATAAAAGACTCCAGTTTAAAAATTTTCATCTATTCTTTATTCAGATCAAAGCTATTTGGATTTTATCCGAAACAATAAACCAAAATAAATAAATTGCCAAAAGTTCACATAAACTTTCCTATTCGGATTTCTTAAGATCGGGGAACTCGTTGAGGGTTTGAATCAATTGCTAAACAAATAAAATAAAATTCTTTTAAAACCCTATTAACTCACGTTAACTCCTGCGTCGAATTTGCGCAAATGAGGCAAATAATCCTCAGCATATGATTCGAATGAGGACTTTATTTTTCTAAACAAAAAATGTGTTCTGATTCAAAGTGCCAAAAGTTACGTGAATGATTCATGCTTTTCCTTTAAATCAACCAAAGTTGAAGCGTCTTTGAGAGCTTCTACTTTCGAAAACAATCTCTAAATAAATATTAACTTAATAGGATTTTCGGTAAGAAAATACGGTTTCATAGATGTTAATGCTCTCGAGAAGTCCCTTGTGCAGCTCAGGAACCAAATCGTCGTACGTCTCAATAACATTTCTTGCTTCTTGTTTAAGCCCTTTCAACATTTGATTAGCCTAAAACAAATTGAATTAAAAAAGCAAGCTTTTTAATTTCAAACTAATAACAACAACTAACAACAAGATGCAAAAGATACCTGTTTCTCCAACAACGGAGTGGCCCCATGTGGATGATGTCTCTTGTAAGCACAAAGAGCACAAATCTGTAAATTAAAAAGTATTTTTCAATGCTAGCAACCACTCACTTCAAAGCTGCATTCACCACAGTAAAACATCTCATCGATAATACCCTAAAATATCTACATAGAAATCAAGTTAAGTAAGTATGCCTTTTTGTGACATTCACTGCAGCTACAATCATCTTCGGAATTCTTTAAATAACTCATTACAGCATTCATCGAAACTTTCATTTTGGGATTATCCATCGTTTGAATCTGTCGAGTCATTTCGGGTAGTTCATTTAGAAAGTCTAAATAAAGATTAATAAATGTAAAGGGGATTCATCTACCATGAAATTGATCTTTCCGTTTATCGAGAGGAGAGAGCGTATCCATGCTACAAGTTGGACATGTTGTTTTGATAAAACTTCTTCTCTTCAAATAGCATTGCGTACAAATAACATGACCGCAAGTAAGAGCAAACGATTTCTTCATCTCAATTTCATTTGAATCTAAAGCAAAAAAAATGTAGCAAATCATCAAAACTCACATTCATCAAGACAAATTGGACATTCCGGAATTTTGAAAGGCTAAAAGAAGCACTATGATTTGTAAATCCCAAATCCAACCTTCACAAGCAAATATCCCATTGGAGTAAACACCAAAGCGCTTTCTTGTGACAAAAGATCTAAAATCATTCGATTGATTAATCAGCTTTTACTCAAAACAAAAAACATAACAAAACTCACCAATCAAAAAATAGGCAACGTTGAGGTTATCGAAGCAATTAAAAAGGCCACATTGATGATTTTTCTTTTCTTTGCGCAATTCTCTCTTCTCTTTCTCGAAACATTCGCTGCACATCGCCAATCCACAGTTCAAAGGTCGTGGAGATCGAGGTTGATTAGCAACTCGAGCAACTAAAATTTAGAAAATGAAACAAGCACAACATTTACCCCTTAAAATCCAGACTAATTTTGAAATTCATTACTAAAATCAAACTTACACGGTTCCTTGCAAACAATGCAGTTGAGCGATTCGAACACCCTCATTCCCTAGAATGGAAGCTTTAATCAGTGAACAACCAACAAAATAGTAAAAAAAAAAGAATTAATGCGGGGGTGGGACAAATGCGAGCTCGACTAGAATACGTGCTGTTGTAGAAGTGTTGTTGATTATACGAATTGGGAGAATGGACATCCAATCTTGCTCAGAAGTTTGACAAATGTGAGTCTAAAAGAACTAAGTCTTAAAAGAACTACTGCTTCAATTTTCTATACATGTATAAATCAAGGTATTTAGATGCGACGTGACACCGAAAAATGGGAATGTAAAACGACGTTGGATAAAAACTATTTTATTTGCAAGAGACCCAAATCAATGATTAAAAATAGAACTAACGCACAATGATCTTATGTGAGAAATCAATTGTGTTTTTAGCTTGACTGCTAGGTTGTAAACCAGGTTGTATTAGGTTGTAAACCAGTCTTGATTTGGTAAAAACTTAAGCAGAACAACGCAGTAGTTTTTGATTAAATAGCAAAATATCAAAAAATACCAAATAAAATTTTATTTAAATGTACGCATTCTACGCTGAGATATTAGCAACTAAAGAAAGGGTCAAGATAGTTGAAAACCTAATAGCAGTGGTACTACATTTGGTATTTTTGGTATTTTTTGGTATTTTTTGATATTTTGCTATTTAATCAAAAACTACTGCGTTGTTCTCGGTGCCTCAGAGCCGATCGATCCACTTTCTGGGGGTCGGCCGCTTCTTCTCTTTTGTTTGATCCTTGTGTTGCCTGTCTTGAATCTGTGAAACCATTCTTATGCAGTACTCATTCCAATCATTTTGTTGCCTGTGTGGCGATGACTGCGAAAAGTGAAAAGAAATTGTAGAAAACAACGTCAAATTCCATACGAAATATCGGAAACAATCCAAGTCAAAAGAAACTACTTGTGAAGCGAATACCGGCATGGTCGGCTTCCTCTTTCGAACATTATCACTCACGATTAAATGTGGATTTTCTACGATGCTCGAGTGTAACAACGACAGTGGTTGAAGTAGGAAAAACGGTGCCAAAACGGAACATCCACGGAAAGAAGCGAATGTTGTGTGTCTATTGGTGTTCGACAGGCGTCCTTTTCTGGAAACTTCTTAAAACGAGGCAAAATTTCAACACCGATGTTTATCTATGTCATATGCAAAAAGTGGAACAAAAAGTCGAGAGGTTGCTCCATGAAAATAAATGAAATTCAAAATCTCTCGGTTTTTATGGAACAACCTAATACGAGCAACAGAAATCAGTAACAACATGTGGAAAAACATCAAATGGATAACGAGGACAATTTTTTCCTGTAAAGTTTCAAACTTTAAAAAAATTACCGGAATTAATTGCTTTTTTAGACAAGAAGAAAGAAACGTAATTGCTAAAAAGGAAAAGCCAAAAGAAATCGAACTCGGACATACTGCGCATCGAAGAACAAATTACACAGATATTTCAGTGGTACATGTTTCATTCGGTTCTCAACTCTACATGACAAACTGAGTAAAAGTCTTTCTAAATGCCAAGCAATACCCATGTGCTTTCGTTTTTAAAGTGCTTTAAGATTAAAATATGCTCAAAAGTTTTCATTGTTTCGATTTCTCAAATTGCTCTTTCATGGTGAGACCGGCACGGGCAATGCAGTGGGGCTCGAGATCGAAATAGTGGATGCCAATCTAGATTGAATGCAACGATTTCTGTGAAATCTAATTTCCCGTTTAATCTGGGGAGAAACTAACCCGATCATTTGGTAGTTTCAGCTTCTCGGCACAAAAACCTGTGATCTTCGCCGTCAGATTTGGCGTTTCGAGTGCTGACACGCAACCAATCGATCTCACCTGTGTGCTTTTGAGGAATGCTTTTTGAGGAATGCTTTTTGAAGAATGATTTTTCTCTCTAATTTTCTTTATTCTTCTTTATTCTTCTTTACTCTATCATTCTTCTTATAAAAAATCTTTCTTATATTATTTTTCTTCTAAAAACGTACAGTGATAAAAGCGGCTGGGTCTCGTGTGCCACCGAGAGTCATTCGAGCATCGGTGACGAGCTAAATTTCTTTGTGTTTCTTTTGATTAGCAAAGATAGCACAGATACTAGCTAGCATTTTGGGTTTATTGGATTGTCTACAAGAGTTTTTTTGATTTCCCTGGCTGTGTACAAAAGGTGTTAAACTATGTATAGATTTGGGAAGAATTGTGATAGCCTTTTTTTGCTCAAAAAGTTTTCTATTGTACCTCCAGCCAGAATTTGCCGATTTCCTTGTTCATGACGGCTCCGATCACTCGGGGAAGGCCCGTTTCAAAGTCGACAGGCACTTGTCTCGCAGTGAGATTCGTGACCACGCGTAGAATTGGCATATAAAATATAATGATTCAAAATTTCAGGATTTCAATTTTATCAAGAACGGCTAAAGCCAGCAAACGAAATATAAAATCTGAATAAAGAAAAAGATCAAAATTTGTGGTGATAAACAAACATAAACAAACATAAACAAACATAAACAAACATAAACAAACATAAACAAACATAAACAACAAACATAAACTAATAAACAAATATAGCCGAGTTTTGGCTAGCAACATTATTGAAACGGGATCTTTTAGCTATTTCCCCCCACCAATCGATTGCTCGCTGTGCCACTAGAGATAGAGATATCTTATTCTCTCATTTATCTCCTATTTATCTTTTATTTATCTCTTATTTCTCTCAATTTCTCTTTTTGCAATTGTTTCGTGTCTCGATTGTGATCCGAAATTTGTGCAAATGTTTCGAATCTCTCTATTTATGATCATCTCTTTTAAGTTTCCCTAAACTTTCGACATTTCTGAAATGCTTTAGGTTTAAGGGATATTTATTCACTGAGAATAACTTGTCTACATTAAGCGGACTTTCACGGGACTGCTCCTGACCTCTGGCTTTAAGGATGAACAGGTCTACTAAGGGGATCGAACTAAAGCCTCCCCAATACCAGAGACGGGCACACTACCCTCCACATCGAAAGGGATTATATTAATTTATAATTTATATTAACTTCCCATTTAATGAGAGCAGTTTTAATGTCTGATCGAAAGAAAAAATAGCTGAAAAGGAAAGATGAAAGCGGAAAAAAGCACTTTCCTACGGATTGTTGCTAATAAGAGATTTTTTCCCTTTTTTGCTGCCTAAACCTGTTTCATTTGATCATTTTCAAGAACTCTTTCACCAGACAAAGGCCAATGCCTGGAATTTAAATATATAGAAAATGAGAGAGTTTAAAAAAATTGTAGAATGAAAAGTAAATTAAAACAAATTTTTTCAAAAATAAAGAAAATCAGCCCGATGCGGGGCTCGAACCCGCGACAGCCAGATTAAGAGTCTGGTGCTCTACCGACTGAGCTAACCGGGCTACGAGAAGGGACCGCGAGAAAATGGTTTTGAGGGCGCTAGGAAACAATTATCATACCAAATTTGAATACAATCGACTTTCGATTTAACGATTCTAAAACGTGCCTCAAATTTCTTTCGTAACTGCTCTGGACGGTCAACGATTGCGTGTTTTAGAATTTCAACAGCTGAGCAGCTACGCAGGAACCAAGGGCGTGTTTTAGAATTTCAACAGCTGAGCAGCTACGCAGGAACCAAGGGCGTGTTTTAGAATTTCAAAATCGTTGTATCGAGAGTCGGCTGTATTTTCAAGCGTGGGAATGGATGAAATCTTTGTCAAAATGCGGACTTTCACGAGATGGGCTACTGCCACTAGGCTTCTGGCTTTAAGGATGAACTTCTTCATTTTTGTTCTTACATTTTACATCTAAACAAGTTCGAAAGAGCAAGAAATTGAAGAAAATAAGACGAAAACAAAGGGATTACATATTGATTTGTTTTGGAGAAGCTTTTAAAATAAACGAATTGAACTTTTATTACAGAAATTGATTTGTGGAATCATGAAATGTTATTGAGTTTGCTCTTGTTGAACTTGGACACAAGTGTCACCTTGAAGAGAACAACCGGCTGGACAACCGAAAGAAGTAGCCGCTGAAAGGGGATCTTGTTTCTATCTTGTTATATTCAAAAATCCCTTAACAGATTAGTTCAATTTTTGAAATTAATAGGTCTAAAATGAAGCTTGTTAGCTATTTTGTGTATAATAAGTCTTAAATAATAAAATTGTTCTACAGAAAACGGGTATTATAAACCGTATTATTAACCGAAATCAATTACAACTTTCAATTTGTGTGAAGTAATCTAATTTCTACGATAGAATGCTATTCGTACTATATCAAGTTTCATATTTTACAATTTTCAATAAATAAGTAGCTTATATTTAACAATCACTTGATTTTTATTAGTTCTTAGATCAACTATAAGCTATAATTTATACGATAGTGCAAAAGGATCTCAAGTTCAACGTCTAGGCATCCAATTTAGACATCAAATTTGTCACCTTTTCCACCTTTTTCGTCTTTAAATCTCAAGTATTCTTTCAAAATTTTGAGCTTTTGGCTACAGTACTGGACAATGAAATATGATATTTGAAAAAAGATCGTCACTTTCGCGCGTCTGTAACTCCCTTGTCTTTACCCTATTTCTAAATATTAATATTACCATTGTGTAGCCCTTGAAAAGAGCTTTCAGAAAATGTATAACACTCATATTTTAAACTCAAAGACAAGGGAGTTACAGACGCGCGAAAGTGACGATCGTTTTTCAAATATCATATTTCATTGTCCAGTAGTGTAAATGCCTGCTAAATGGCATTCGTAGCTTCGTTTATGAATGTGAACCTTTCAGCCTTCAATCTAAACTCACGTCCACAAATTGCTGATGGTGAAACTCCGAAGATACACCGAAGACGATCTGGAGTGAGAACACAGTTCGTTGGACAGAAGCCAAACATCGGCTCTGAATGATTCAAATTTCGAGGTGAACTTGGAAAGTTTCGTTTTAAAGTGTTCAAGTTCTAATTGTAGAAAAGTTTCTAAGCATTCATAATAGTTTACAATAGTCAGTTTTCAGCTTTCAGCTCAGTTTAGTCAGTTTTGGATTAACGCGATAGATTTTGTAGCAAATAAAGCTTTAAGGATTCGAAAAGAGAAGCCTTCTATACTAGACGAGTATGCCAGACGGCAGGCGATTAAGCGGCCACATAAAGAACAACTAACCAGTCATTTACATTTAGCCGTAAATTTGTATTCGGGGGTTTTTAGGGACGGGGAATCGATTGGTGGTATTCATTTTCTCGTGATACTGGTAATAAACCGATGTACTTGTAATAAACCGGTAATAAACCGATGTACTCTGTAACAGTCAATGCCGGTTTTGAAAACAGCATAAGTTAAAGAAATTTCATTAGTCAACGAAGAAATAAAAGTTTTCTGCCACTGCTAAATCAAGTCATTTCTATATAAAACAATTCTCACCGCCGCAATCCTTTTGAACAGCGATCTCCACCGAATCTTGATTCTCAGTGCTATCATCATTGTTGTCATTGCCATCTTCATTCTCCTCAATACTCACGCTTCCCGATCCTGAGCCTGATCCTGAGCCTGACCCTGATCCTGATCCTGAGCCTGAGCCTGACCCTGATCCTGAGTCTGCTCCTGATCCTGATCCTTAAATCAAGCTTTACATTAACAGTTTTGGTTGCCGGTTTTGAAAACAGCAAAAGTTAAAGGATTCCTTTAACTCGGAAGAGCACCAGACTCTTAATCTGGCTGTCGTTGACTAATGACTAATGAGAAATCATTAGTCAGCGAAGAAATAAAAGTCTTTTGCCATTCAAATCAAAACCATCAATCAACACCAAACAGTCAATCCCACCTTCGAAGCTCTCAACACTGTCAGATTCCGTATCGATATCTCCACTTCCCTCATTGCTTGCACTGTCCGATCCAGATCCTTCGACATTCATCACACATTGATCACCGCTGACAATACAGTTTTGTGGACAAGAGCCAAGCCCATCAGTGAAAGTTACCGCTAAATTTGAGTTAGTGTTTTGATAAAAGCTTTGAAATGATATGTTTTAAAGAGAAATTTCAAAGAGATTTTTGGATAAAACTCACGTCCACACGATGTACTTTGAGCAGCAGCCTAAAAACACATCAAAATAGGCATGAAACTGTTACAAGATACAAGATGATGGTAAGATTGTTAGCTGTTAGTGAGATTAATATCTCATGTACTTTGTACTTTGTGCTTAAAGTTGTAAAACACTTTCCTGGTGCACTTAATTTCTTCTTTTTAGTTGCAAGGCCAAGGAAACTGACAATTTGGCTGTGTCAGACAGGAAATGTTTCAAATTTTTGAGCACAAAGTACATTATTGGAGCAAGGGAAAAGACTTGATCTAGCACACCAAATCGTTCTTTAAACTTTTAAACTGCACATTCCAGTGTGTCAGATCGTGAGCGTTTACGCTTAAAGCTGAAAAATGAGCACTCAAGTGCGCTAGAAAGAGTGCGTTTATTGAATTTGAGCACAAACTACACCAATGACAAGGAATTCTCCTCAAAAAAAAAGAAACTTCTTTACTCACCACTCCAATGCAGAAAGCGAGGACCAATAACTTCATCTTTGTTGTTTTTGTTCAGGAATGAAATCCCGCTTTTCATTTTGTGTCAAATGCGTATATATACCGATTACGTGGCTGAATCAATAGATTTTGAAGGATTTTTGTGATTCCTTTCAAAATTCCCCTTCACTCTACACGTGTCCCATCCTCAAGTGACCGGTTTGTGTAAATTTAACTAAACTCTTTTTTTTTGCATGAGCTTGAGGATTTCAAAACTCTAAAAAAAACTAAAAAAATTCGTAGATTTGAGTTTTGTTTTTGTTTTGATGGTGGAATGAATAACATGTTTTGCTTGTAAATCAATAAATATTGGTGTGACCGCAGTTTTGACAAAAATATCCTTACAAAGGAGTACTCTCTGCTGGCCGACTTCGGAACCAAAGCCTTATAGAATCAGCTACGCTGAGTCTTACAGTTAAAACTTTGCTTGCTGCAAGGCAATTGCTTAAAAAGTAAATATTAAGTGGATAGAAGAACGTTATATTGGGTTGGTGAATTGAAAACTGCGGGACTTTTGAACTAAAATTTATTCAATATAAAACCATCAGTTCATTCCAATAATTTCCATTCTTATTGACGACTTGTGCCCATTTTACAGGCAATTTGTGGATTCCTCTTTCGTGGTAGGATTCTGGTTTGTGTGTGAGACAAGTGTGAGACTCAAAAATCGAGGATTGAAGATGTCAGCTGTCAGCCCAGTTTGAGCACTTTCTTCAAAAGAAACCCATTTTGGTGTCAATAGAAAAGCTGTAGAGAATCAAAAATGAGGCTTATAGCAAAATTTCCAAGAAGATACACTTCGTAGTTTCGCTTAAAATGCAATTTTTGTGAAAATTCGTAAATTTGGCATTTCTTGAAAACCACTTTTTGAATCGTTCTGAAAATTTGGATATAAGCTTGATTTTTGATTCTCTACAACTTTTCCATTGACACCAAAATGGGTTTCTTTTGAAGAAAGTGCTCAAACTGTCACATATGACAATAGCCGGCAGTTTTCAATTCACCAATCCAATATAACACAAGGAAGTATGGGCCTTTTGTAGAAAATGAGTCAGTTCCACGTTTTAGCAAACAGCTTTTGTTTTCGAATCGAAATAGCATTGTATTCACGCTTTAGAAAGCAAGAGTTGTTGGCTAAAATGTGGAATTGACTGGGCTTAGGCTCAGGCTCAGGCTCAGGCTTAGGCTCAGGCTTAGGCTAAGGCTTAGGCTCAGGCTTAGGCTCAGGCTTAGGCTTAGGCTCAGGCTCAGGCTAGAAAGCAAGAGTTGTTGGCTAAAATGTGGAATTGACTACAAAAATCCTTTTCTTTTCGACAAAAACCCCATATCTACAAGAAAATCTTCAACTTCAGCTCTTCAGCTCTTCAGCTGAGTATTTCAAAAAAGATATAGGTAAATTTTGAGGCTATAAGGCTATAAGGCTATTTGAGGCTATTTCTTTTATTCAAGTTTCAAGTTTTTTTATTTTTATTGTTGTTTAATGAAGTTTTATTTTTTGATAATCAGCAACTGCCTTACCAGAATCAGTAGAGAAAGGAAAGTATACAGAAAGATATGAATAACTTCACTTAACTAGAACTAGACCGTAACTTATAGCGATTCGATTCGATTCTTGTTTCAAGTTCAAGATTCCCTACATCAATTCCCTATTTCTGTATTAAATTCTGTGCTTCAACGATCATTTTAATATCAAAATAATTATTGAAAGGCTGATTGTTCAAACTTTTTCTCTAGCTGTCATTATTCTTTTCTTCAAACCAGTTGAAATTGAAATTGCTAAGTAATCGATAAAGTTTTTAAACTTTTTAGACAATTAGTACATTTTTCATTTCTATCTGCCAACTGAATAAATATCAAAAACGAAAAAAAAATTACGACTCACCATAAACAAATAAAAGTTTCCGCCAGTGACGACTCTTTTTAATAAAACTTTTCAAAGAAACGGGGCTGATATCGTCAAAAAAACAATTTATCACTGAATATAATAGAGCAATGAATCATCACAATCCATTTTACTTTGATGTCTTGTCGGCAGAGAATCTCCCGCAAAAGCCACACGTCTTCATACCCCCGCTTCTAGGTGTCATTGTAGAAAGTTGACGAGCAAAAGCCGCCAATGGTGTTCCAAGTGGCACAACTAGTTGATGAATTGAGTATTGAATTGAAAGAAATTGTCATTCAAAGGTTTTCAAATTTACAACCCTTTAAAAAACAACTTCTCAGCTGCATCTTTACATGGATAACAGGAGTCTTCTTCTTGATAACTGAAGCACACTAATTCCGAGTTATAAATGCTGAATAGTGCTGAAAAGCTGACAATAAAAGTAATTCTTGAATGTTATAAACTTAGGTCCCTCAGAAGCTGTAAGAGGAGGGCGCGCTTGCCACTTGGAACACTGTTGGTGGCTTTTGCTCGTTAACTTTCTACAATGACACCTACAAGCAGGGATATTGCGCAAAGACGTGTTGCTTTTGCGGGGGAGCCGGTGCCGACAAGAAATCAAGATAAAAATGAATTGTGATGATCACAAAAGCAAAAAAGTCCAAAGACAGAAATCATTTGCCGGATGCGGGGGTCGGACCCGCGACCACCTAAGAGGAGTTGCCTCCTGAGCGCTCTTCCGACTCAGCTAACCAGGCTCTGGGTCAAGGCGCGAGAAAACGGTTTTGAGGGCGCTAGGAAACCATTGGTATATCAAATTTGAATACATTCGACTTTCCATTTAACGAATTAAAATTGAATTAAAACAAATTTTTTCAAAAATAAAAAATCAGCCCGATGCGGGGCTCGAACCCGCGACAGCCAGATTAAGAGTCTGGTGCTCTACCGACTGAGCTAACCGGGCTACGACTGTAGGCCGCGAGAAAACGGTTTTGAGGGCGCTAGGAAGCAATTGGCATAGCAAATTTGAATCAAATTTAACGTCTACAAAACAGATTGAAGCTATTCATTTTATTAATTCTACAATTGAAACTCGGGTTTAATTGGTCTAATCTTTTAGTAGAATTCTTTTTTTTAATAGAGTTAAATCATTTCACCGTTTCCTTATTTTATTGCTCTATTATAGTCATAAATTTTATTGCTCTATCAGTCATAAATTATTTTTTGATGCCAGCTAATTGTCCCCCTTTCTTTGAAAAGTTTTCACCAAAAAGAGCCGTCACTGGCGGAAATTTTTATTTGTTTACAGAATCTCGAAATTCATCCTCAGAGCTGCCAGTTACCGTCTTTGCTTTGAACGTTTGATTATAGTTTCTTTAGAAACAAACGTCCAAGCGTCACGAATCCATTTTAAGTAGAGATGCATTCCTGGAGTCTTTGGATTTCCAACTGATGTCAATTCATGGCATTCATGGCTTCCAGTATGCATCCATCATAATACAGTAAAAAAAGTATTATCAAGGAGTGAAAAATGAAAACTAGCAACTAGATAACTGAACAAGAGAATCCCAAGAAATTTTTCTTACCGTAAATACTGTAATAGTATTCAGATAATGAGAACAACACAAAGTTATTCAGTTAAAGACAATAACTACCGTAAATACTGTAATAGTACCCGACCCCCCTCGTACAGTCGCGTAGTCGCAAAAGTTTTTTAGTATTTAATTTTTTTCAAAGCTCCCGTACTTTCAAAAAATGCGTCTTTGGTATCAAAAAATAGCTGAAATTCAGGGCTATTTTTTGATACCTAAGCGCGCATTGTAGCATAAACCAGTGTCGAGAAAGACTCGTTCAAAGCTAGACTACGAAACACTCCGCACCGTCATTATGGGGGTGGGGTACTATTACAGTATCTACGGTAGGTATTTTCAAGCAGTGGGTCATTTTAGCGCAAAACAGAATTTGTGAACATCCTCTAATAACTTCCGCAGCAGTTATTTTTTCGATCGCTTTCTAGATGCGGTGGTTATTAGAGAGCAACAGTGATTATTGCGATAATTATCCATATGATTCTGTGTCGAATGTTACTAAACACTTGATGATTGACTTGAAACTTGAACACTTGAAACACCTAGACCCAGACCTAGACCTAGAGCTAGACCTAGACCTAGACCTAGACCTAGACTAGACTCACTCATTCAAAATCGGCTACGGAGAATCCCGCCGAGGGATGAATTTTGAATGAAACGTTGTAGGCAATTTTTAAATTAAACACAAATTTGGTAGAAATCGAGGCAGAATTGAGTTCTCTACAAAATGATATAATATTTCACTCTACAAAATGATATAAAGGCTTACCAAAAAAAGATTTCATTCAAAATCGTCTACGAGATATTGATAGAAGATCTCAAAGCAGTAGCTCAAAGTATAAACTAGTTTTTCTCTTATTTAAAATAGTCTATGTCCTTGTAAACTTTTTCCGAAGGTAGACTCTTTAAAATCGGCTACCGTAACCAAATAATTGCGATACACTGGTTTTTGAATAAATTGGCCAACCTCAAAATTAGTTACATTATATCGGAAAAGCTTATGAGAAAAATGATATTATGTTTATAGCGAGTAAAAACTCGCACAGTTCGGCGAGCAAACATAAATGGAATTAAGCATCAAAGCTTCACGTCATTTCAAATTTTCGACCTCTTTTGTGCATCCCCTAGTGGGGACGCGTTCCAAAATTTTTTCGAGACACTGTTGGAAGGTCTCGGGGTTAATACTAACCTCAAACTTGGGTAATTAAACCGAAGAGTGAGGTCTCTGTCGCCCTATCCGGACGAGTCGTGTGCCAGGTGCGGCTTTTACCTACGAGACACACGAAAGGTACACACAGTCGTGTCGTCTCGCGTCTCTGCGAGGGCTGATGCTCTCTTGTTCGCTAGTGGCCGCCTATTTCAGCCATCTCTCACAGCCGCATAATCGCTTACGACCATACCACGTTGAAAACACGGCATCCCGTCCGATCTGCCAAGTTAAGCAACGTTGGGCTCGGTTAGTACTTGGATCGGAGACGGCTTGGGAATCCCGAGTGCCGTAAGCTTTTTGCTTTTTCGTGGATCGATCAAGAGACTTGGGAATCAATTTTTTCACAAATTAATAGGATAAATTGCTCTTTGCTTTTTGAATTGTTTCTTTATTCTCGGAGCTTTACAGTACACAACTTACAAGATCAAAGTGTTAGGTCGAGGGATTCTTTTGGATTAGAGCTTCAGAGAGGATTCAATTGCTGACTATGAGATTCGTGGATTTCTCAAAAAGGGAAATCCGTTCCAAAATTCCTAGAGACACTGTATGTGGGCCTCGGGGTTAATATCAACCTCTAACTTGCGTAATTGAACCGTATTTGGCGGTCTCTTTCTGGATATCTATCTGCCCCGTGGGCCAGAAGGTGTGCAATTGTGAGATCCCCAAAAGCCCACCTTCCACGTTCACAATTCACCGCCATTTCAGCTATAAGTTTCGAAATTCTCCAAAATTCGAAATCAACACTCGAAGTCTTACTCATCTGAAAATAACAAAATGATGCTGGGAATCAATTTTCAGGGAAGCCGTATTTTTCAAAATTTTCTTCACCATATAGTGAAAGATCTCCGGTGTGATTCCACCGTTTCAATGGAAGCGAGGTGAAGAGTTGATAAATCACGATAAAAACGAAACAAAGCATCAAAGCCTCCAATAATTTCACATTCTCAAGTCCATTTGTGCATCCCCTAGCGGGGACACGTTCCAAAATTTTTTCGAGACACTGTTGGAAGGTCTCGGGGTTAATGCTAACCTCAAACTTGGGTAATTAAACCGAAGGGAGAGCTCTCTGTCGCCCTATAGAGACGGGCCATGTGCCAGATGCCGCTTTTTCTTACGAAACACACAAGAGGTACACACCCTGGTATCATCTCGCGTCTCTGCGAGGGCTGATGCTCTCTCGTGTTCTCTGGTGACCGCCTATTTCAGCCGTCTCTCACAGGCACACACTCGCTTACGACCATACCACGTTGAAAACACTATGTGGCGCTTGTATATACAAAAAGCTTAATCACACGAGGTACAGCTTCAAATTACGATTATACATGAAAATGCTGCATTCTAAAAGGTAATCCATAGATTTTAGGCCAATCAAATGTCGGAATGTCTTCACCTTCAGTCAAATTCGTTGTCGAAACTTACAAATAATTTTCCCCGATCTTCACAAGGAGCTCAACGATGACGCACAGACATTCAAAGAGATTTGAAACGCTGGTATCATTTCAAATTTGTTTTAGAAGCTACTCGATAAAGAAGAAACGCGTAAGAGGGCCAATACCTTCGAAAGTTTGTGGATGAAACATGAGAAATGTGTGTGAGTGTTCAATTTTGATTTGGTTGCTTCTATCATTATTTTCAGGAAACGAAAGTCGGACTTTGAGACGTACTCAGAAGATTACATGTCTCATGATATGGTCGTAAGTGATTGTCGGGCTGTGAGAGACGGCCGAAATAGACGGCCATCAGCGAACACGAGAGAACATCAGCCCTCGCAGAGACGCGAGACGACACGACTGTGTGTACCTTTCGTGTGTCTCATGGGAAGAAGCGGCATCTGGCACACGGCTCGTCCAGATCGTGATGAGACCTGATTCTTCGGTTTAATTACCCAAAGTTTGAGGTTAGCATTAACCCCGAGACCTACCAACAGTGTCTCGAAAAAATTTTGGAACACGTCCCCGCTGGGGGATGCACAAAAGAACTCTAAGATTTGAAATGGCTTGAAGTTTTGATGAATGTCCGAATAATTGCGATTGTTGGGGAAAATTCCAAGCCGAACCTAATTCGGAGGTGAAATTAGGTTCGGCTTGGACTTTTCCCATGTCTAATGGCAGTGTCTAATGGCAGTGTTTAATGCCAGTGTGTAATGCCAGTGTCTAATGGCTGTGTCTAATGGCAGTTGTCCACGTACACTGCTTCAACTAATTATAAAGCCACTTTAAAAATATCAAGAGAAATTTATAAGAATAAAAAGTAAACAAGTTAAATGATAAATTAATAACCAATAGCCTGAACATAAAGTTTTATAACCTGAAAAACTCGATTATCCATACTTGAAATGAGGTTCTCGACGATTTTTTTTGATTAATCGTATGCCAAGCAAGAATAATGACCCTTTTCAATTCTCCAAGACCTGCTTATTGTCTATTATTTTCGTAAATTCAACATCCTTTAAATTAAAGTCGCTACTGAGTTTGAAAAAACGTAAGTGACTCTATAATTAGTTGGAGCAATGTTGTCGACGGATTACTGTAACATCAACTCTATTCCTTCAACTTATTCCAAACGATCACTTACTGTTAGCTAGCTTTATATGGTTCAGCTACCGGAGTCCAATAAGTAGATGTTGCAATAGTCCACGCAGTCTTCTGTAGTCATAAAGATTGCCGTAACAGCAACAAAACTAAAAACCAAGCCTAGCTTCGAGATCAAGACAGACTACGGTAGCTAAGGTATGCCTTAGAAGTGATGATCTCTATTCCTTCAACTTACTCCAAACGGTCACTTACTGTTTCAGATCCTTGCCCTCCTCTTTCCCTCGTCAAACTTTCTACAATAACGCCTACAAGCAGGAGTATGAAGGCTTTGCGAAGGATCCTGTGCCGACAAGACATCGACAAGAAATAGATTCTGATGATCAAAAAAGAAAAAAAAAGTCCAAAAACAAAAATCAAAAAGTATCAGCCCGATGCGGGGCTCGAACCCGCGACAGCCAGATTAAGAGTCTGGTGCTCTACCGACTGAGCTAACCGGGCTACGACGGGAGGCCGCGAGAAAATGCTTTTGAGGAAACTAGGAAGCAATTGGAAAAGAAAATTTGAATATTTTAAAACCTACAAAACAGTCAAAATTTAATGTAAATGCAAATTTCAGCTGTGTCTGGAATCGAAACGGTTTTTGCAACAACACGTACAGTACTGGACAATGAAATATGATATTTGAAAAACGATCGTCACTTTCGCGCGTCTGTAACTCTCTTGTCTTTGAGTTTAAAATATGAGTGTTATATATTTTCTGAAAGCTCTTTTCAAGGGCTACACAATGGTAATATTAATATTTAGAAATACGGTAAAGACAAGGGAGTTACAGACGCGCGAAAGTGACGATCTTTTTTCAAATATCATATTTCATTGTCCAGTAGTGTACTATACAACATCTGAGAAATTGTCTCTTTGTGGAATCACATGCAAATTGTGTTAACCACAAAGGAAGGATCAGCCTTGTAAATTCTTGTAAACTTGTCAAATAAAAGTTTTTCAATTTTTATTGGTTTTGGAAACAGGGAATGATTTATTCGATAGTGTTTTTCGAAAAAATCAGCTCGATCCGGGATTTTGGTGTGTTTAGCCAGATGATACGGTTGTCTGAACCTAAAACCCAGAATGGTTGATCCAGAAAATGTATTCGAATTTTTAATCCTAAAAGATTAGCCGAACTAGACTTGTTCTTCGGTTGTGACTTTGTGGTTAAAATTTGTAAACGCATTCTATTTGGTGCACTCAATTTCTTTGAATCTTTCAATCGTTGTCAGTCAGCCAGTTTCTTTGAATCGTTATCAGAAAATTAAGACCTGAGTACACCAGAAACGGTGCGTTATTCGAGAGTTTTTCGAAAAAATCAGCTCGATATGGGATTTTGGTGTGTTTAGCCAGATAGTAGCTACCGTAAATACTGTAAAAGTACCCCACCCCCCTCGTACAGTCGCGTAGTCGCAAAAGTTTTTTAGCAAAAGTATTTCATTTTTTTCAAAGCGCCCGTACTTTCAAAAAATGCATCTTTGGTATCAAAAAATAGCTGAAATTCAGGGCTATTTTTTGATACCTAAGCGCGCATTGTAGCATAAACCAGTGTCGAGGAAAACTCGTTCAAAGCTAGTTCAAGTTCAAGTTCAAAGTGCAAGTTCAAAGCTACGCAACACTCCGCACCGTCATTATGGGGGTGGCGTACTATTACAGTATTTACGGTATGAATATTTTCTCACGAAAACTTGCACACAGGGGTTTTTGACTATGCTGAATTGATCAATAATACTTTTTCATAATGTTTTTAGTAAAAACTTCGAGAAATTGAGGTTATGAAGTGCGCTGAATAGGGGAAATTTGCCGAAAAACAGGTCCTAAACTGTCAGGGAGTTCTTTTATAGTTATAATACTTAACAGTTTATATTTACTGCATCCCCTTTGATAATATTTTTACAGAATTTGTAGAAATGACAACATAATTCTGAAAACTTGATTTGCTTGATGAAAAAAGTTTTTCTAATCGTTTCAGCATAGTCAAAAACTCCTGAGTGCAAGTTTTCATAGACAAAATATTGATTTTTGGTCAAGTTCTGCCACTACTCTCGCGTCCTATGGCCTTTCGCAATCCCATTCCAAACCTGTTCCTGTTCCAGGCAAAGACCGAAAGCTCCAAGAATATAATCCGGTGGACAATAACCATTCTCGGAGACTAAAATCGGTTTTATAATTTTAACTTATAGTTTTTTTTTAAAACCTATAAAAGTTCTTGCTTCAGTTTGAAAATATTCCCCATTCGAGTCACAGAAAGCACAAGTTTTTGCGCAATTCTTTGCTCGAATCTCAAAATCGATTGCCTGATTCGCGCAATAACCATTAATTTTCAGATCAGCGCACCTAAAAACGAAGAAATTTTGAGTACTTTTCTATTTGGGTTTTATGCAAATTTGCAAATTTTACAGTTTTATGCAAATTTGGATTTTAATGGATTTCGAACTTAAAAACTCAGCTTTGTTAGGAAATTGAAATAGAAATTGAAAAAAAAAAAACTTTTGAAACTCACTTTGTATTCGTGTCCGTGCACTAAAGAGAAAAATTATCGAAAAATTTGAAAGAAAGAAACGCACGGCAAAGCATTTATCCGTGCCCGCATCATTGATACAAACGGTGTTCACTGGACAAGCACCACCGGCATTTGGGACTTAAAAATTTCCTTTTGTCTTTTGCCCGACCTCACCTATAAGGGGGTGCCACGTCAAAGGGATTCAAAGCAGCGATGGCCTATGGGATAGTGTGCTAAACTCAGAAGCCTGGACCTTATTTTGCTCTCGGGTTCAATTCCGCTTGCCGCCAAATTTCTCACTTGTTTAGAAGTATAAAAACGTTTTTTGTGAGGATTAAGATGTTTTTAAATTATAAAAAGTTCCAATAAATGTTTATTGTTCTAATTTAGCTTTTCCGGTGTTTTGTAGCTACCGTAAATATTGTAATAGTACCCCACCCCCTCGTACAGTCGCGTAGTCGCGTAGCACTATAACAGTATTTACGGTAGGTAAGTTTCAAAAATCGGTGATAAGTTGAAATAGTTTCCTAGTGAGGCAAGACTACGATAGTTGATGTCTTGTCAAAAGTTGTCAAAAAGTAGAACAAAGTGTAAATAATATTTTGTTTTTTTTTTTTTTTAATATTTTTTTTTTGGTTTTTTTTTTTTTTTTTTTTTTTTTTTTTTTTTTTTTTTAAATTTATAAAATATAAAATTTTTTTTTTTTTTTTTTAAATTTTTAAAAAATTTGTAAAATTTATTTTAAAAAAAAAAAAAAAAAATATTATTATGTGTAAAAATTAAAAAAGAGAAAAGAAAAAAAAAAAAAAAAAAAAAAAAAAAAATAAAAAAAATATTATTTTAAAAAAAAAAAAAAAGAAAAGAAAAAAAAAAAAAAATTATATATATAAAAAGGTAAAAAAAACAAAAAAAAAAAAAAAAAAAAAAAAAAAAAAAAAAAAAAAAAATAAAAGAAAAGAAAAACCGCCACCCCACAAAGCTCAAGTTTACAATTCCAGCATGGCCTACCTCCAACGCTTGTGGCTGATGAGACAAAATTTGGCTTAAGTGGGCAACGGGCGGCGGTGACACAAGACAGTGAGCACTGAAAAAGGAAAGCTGTTTTGTAGAAGTGTTTGATTGCTAAGTCATAGAAAAAATGTACCGTAACCCACAAATGTACTGTAAACAGGCGGTTTGCTTAGGGTAGTTTTGGAGAATTGGTGCTTTTTAGAAAAGCCTTATTTAAGAGCTTCAAGAAAACCGACCAAGAAAGCGACGAAAAACGCGATCACTCCCGGAACGAGCATAATTCCCAGCCAACGCGATGGAGAGGAAATAAAAAAAATAAGATAGAATGCCTAGTGACCTTTTAAGAATTTCCGGTCTCAGTCACCCCGAACTTCGATGTCAAACACCGAACACTGCTGTAACTCTCTGTAACTCGGCTGTGCAAATGAAATGAACGGCGGATTTATGTGGGATACAAGGAAATCTTTTTATATAAACGTGTCAGGGTTTTTGCTATGCACTTTTTTTTCTCGAATCTATGACCAGACCCATTTTTTGTTGTTCGAAAAAGTATTCTGAACTCGTGATTTGCTACGAGTTTGACCGCTTTTTTAACTATCAGAGAGCAATTATTGTCTTGATTTTACGACCATTCATATCGGTTCAAGTCCATAGCAGAGTTATATTTAACAGTCATTAGATAGCAAGCGTTGAGTGCAGTTGTTAGTAGTGTGATTGTCTTCAAGCCCATGTTGCAAGCAATTCAAATTCAACCTAGAAACGTAGACTAGTGGCCATAAAAGTTGCTTAAATTCTGGGCAAACCGGTGTACTTAATGCAGCCAAACTATCCATCGATGGATAGCCAAACTATCCACCGAGCATGGAATAGCCATTACCAAATATAGCCATATTGTTTACGGTAAAAGAATTATATTTTAGACAATGGCAAGGTAACTTTTTTACAATTTGGTTCAAATCCATCGCTGGCTTCAAATGTTTTTTTTTTGTTTTTTCTTGACATCAGTAATCAACAAATTCTAGTACATGCAATGGCTAAAATTTAAAAAAAAAGAAATCATCATGTTTACTATAAAATATAAAGCTAAATCTCACTATTAATGTTTAAATTTTAAAATTTAAAAGGCCAAATCCGTTACAAGGTACAATGTTTGTTTTTTTTTCAATCCAACCTGGCACCGAGTGTGGATTCCAATGAACGAATTTATGTCCATTTTCGCTTTCTCCACACAGATCAAACCTTGTAAATGACTTTTTTTTCAGCAGAACTAATTTTAGCTTTCAAAACTGATCAAAGTCTGTTCAGTTACACTTCCTATCTCAGTTTAATCCCGAAAGATGTAAAGAAAGTTTATTTCACAAGATATTTCAGCGAAATTTGAGATTTGAGATCTTTCAGTAGCAACAATCAAAAAGATAACAAATTCAGTTAAGTTTTCTTTTCGCTCATCAATTCAATATCCTGTTTCAATTTTAATTTGATCCAATGTGGCGGGAAGAAATCAGTCGTGTTCAACTCGCGCTCGATTCCACTCGGTTTCGAGAATTTCTGAGAAACATTTAAAGTATCATTATTGATCAATCCTAAAATATTTAGGTATCAATGATGTGATTCAAATTTTTATTGTGAGGCAAATTTTGTGTCGGCAAGCCTGGCAAGATCGACAAGCCTGACAAGATATCCCGGATTTGTAGCTTTGGTACTGGAAAGTTGTCCAAAGTGCAAAGTGTCCAAAAGTCCAAAGTTGTCTATATATGAAAATATTCAGGGAATTGAATATTTTTTAATACTGTTACAATTATACATTTCGAGTATCCCCCATTGTCCTCCTAGTCATTTTTTAACGTTTTGCGTTAAATTTCTCGACTTGCAAGAGTATCCTAGTTTGTTTTTTGCTTTGTCGATAGAAAAACTATAACGAATGCAACTAAAACAGTCCTGCAGCAACAATTCCCACGTTTTCACCAACATTTATGGGAAGCTTAAAAGGAAACACGTCGTTTTTTGCATTTTTTCAGAACTTTTCGATTTCTTTTTACATTATTAACTGTTTTTCTTTTTAGAGTTGCAAAAAATGTCGATAAACCGCATAAAAACCTTTTTAGAGTTGCAAAAAATGTCGATAATGTGCCGCTGCTCCGCTGGGACAAACGAAGTCAACCTCGCGCACAAACTTCGAACATTCGCAAAGGGAAAATGTAAGTTTTTAATGATTTTTGCTTTCTTTGATTGATATTAAAACTTTACCTGCAAAAATTGTATTTTTAGGCAGTCTCTAAATGGCGAAAATGTCATTGCTGCAAGGAGAGCGCCGAAAATGATTCAGCTCTCTGCAGAAGATTATCACGCCAGTCTTGTCATTGCCTTGTTCAAGTGGGGAGAGCAACGGCTCAATAGGTTTTGTGTACTTTTATATTTTCTATATTTTCATTTTGCACTTAGCATTTAGCATTCTTGCCACGTGTCCTGAACTGGCCTCCTTTCGCATGTCTGCAGAGCGTTATCTTGACGAGTACTGGGAGGTTGTCTTTCGACATGAAGCTCTTCAAATGGCCTCATCTCAGTCCAAACACGTTGTCATGTATGACTCCAGTTCAACGTTTGATCACCAAAGCAAACGTCGGAAAGGAACCAGGTGTGTTTGTTCATTTTGTGTTTTTCTAAAGTAGAAGTTTAGGTGTATAAGGCGCTACTACACGCGGAGGAGCTTCGTCTCTTTCAAAAGGAAGTTATTGGAATTTCGGTCCTAACACCAGAAATTTCTACTCAAGTAAGTGTTTTAGTTGTATTGTTGAGCAAAGTAGCTTTTAGTTGGCAACTTTTGAATCACTGGTGGAATCGGGACTTGCATCGCACGTTTTCCGTCCGCACTTCTGGTTGATGCATAGGGACGCGCTTCCTGTTCTTTTTAATTTTGGCACGAAGTGGTATTGTGTTCACGGCTCGTCCGTTTCTGTTGAACGTTTGTCCAGGTCAATTTTTGTTTATTGGAATATCTCTGTTTTTAGTCGCTTGGGAGTCATCTTTGGCAACAAACGGAGAACGACTACTGCCCTCATTAGTAGGTTCGATGATGATTGTTCATGATGCTGGCCAAGACGATATTACTAAAAGGTAGGTTTCTTTTCCTTATCTATCTTTTACTCTGTTTTGTGCTTTAGGTTTTTTCGATACTCTGAAGTCTGCCGAGGCACTTTTCGAAGATGCCCACTTTGATTCCATCGCTTGTAAAATCTTCACTCTTCGATCAAAGTGAAGGAGAGGAAAGCGATATGTATGCGGAAACTACAAGTGTTGATGTTAAAAATTAGTTTGTTTTCGTTTCTGGTTTTTGTGTTTTTGCACATAGTTCTACTAAAACAGTTTGTTGTTTAATAGAAATGTTGTTAAAACACTTTTCTTTGCCTTTGAGTTGATTTCAGTCAATTTCTTACCAATTGAAATTTTGCAAATGATTTGCAATTCGTTCGTCAGAAGCTAGAAATTATTTTTGGATACGCAGTTTAAAAAAAATTACGACTTGTAGCAATAAAAAAGTTGAAAAAAACTGCCAGGGAAACAAGGGGGATGACTCGAAATGTATAGTTACAATTGGACCACTTCGACTTTTATAACCATTTATATTTACCTCTGAGTAGAAAACAGTTGCATTTCCACCTTTTCCCAAAAATCCCATAAACCAGCCGAAAGTCGATGCCGGTGCTGAAAGTGGCTAATGAAAAGACAAATGACTAAAAAACGGTTTTGAACTTTCAAACTCTGTGGTCAGAAGTGAGCTGTCGAAATGTCATTTTGAAGTTATAAATGTATCAAATGATAATAAGCCATGAAAAGGTACCTGTCAAAATAACTTGATTGCACAATTTGTGAGCGATTCCCAAATCTAGCTCGGGTTTCATCGACGATACAAGAATGAGTCGGAATTCGGGAGCGTCAATGACTTTTTGATCCTCGTGCTCAAAGCTGGAATATTTAGATTAAAAATAAGTGATCATTGATGTTTTTGTAAGTTCAACTCACGTGGGTACATCAATCGAGTATCGAAAAACTCCCTTCAGCCACTCTTGATCGTTTGACATTAGCAAAACAGTAGGTCGAGTGTTTGGATAAACTTAAACGTGAAAATTATGTGAATATGAATGAAAGCGTGCATTTTCTCGCGATAAACTCGGTCGCTAATCTCGTGAAATCGGGATCTGAAGGCATTTGCAGTGGGGAAGTGACAAAGTCTCCACGACGAGCATGAACACAAAAGCTGAAAAATGGCTACTATGAAATTATGGGAGCAGAACATATCTAGATCATTCTAAAATGAAAAAGATATATTCAGAATTGTGTTTCAGAACTGTTCCTACATTCTTGCCAAATACCAAAGTCCTTCAACAAGCAAATTTTCAATGACTTGCACATTATCGGTGATAAAACTCCGTGGAAACGTTGTGTTGACAAGTTTCTCGATGAACGAGTTCGGTCGAAGCCACTCAACCACCGATCGCCGAATTGACCAGAAATACTTCCAACTCTAGAATTCTAGAAGTATATTCGTATTAAATGCGATCTGTAGATTGCTATTTTTGGTTTTCTATAAAGTATTTTGACTAAACCTGAAAATAGACTCCATAAGCGCTGAGCATTCGCTCGGGTTGTCGCCGTAATTTCTCGAAATTCTCCTCATTAAAGCGACAGCACGCATCTCGACCAATCGAGAATTCGTAGAATGTCGTTTTCTGAATAAAATGGAGATCAAATGAAGAGAAGAAAGAAGAGAAGAGAAGAGAAGGATTTGGGTTTTTAGAAGTACTGTCAAACACAAAATTAAGTTGTATTTTGGGAATTGGGATTCAAGTTAATATCCTAATCAAATTTTGACTTCAATTTTGACTCGTTTGACTCAAAATCTTTATCTAAACTTACGGGTAATAACGCAAAATTGAGTTGATTGATGAGATCGGGGAAAACCTGACTCAACGCCATCATTTTCTCCATCACTCGCACGTTTTCGATGTTGACTAGTGGAATGCTAAAGGTTTTTTTTCATAAATTTTAAAGATATTCAACTTATTTTAGAGCTAAATATGGCTAAGCTTTAATAAATTAAATTAGATCTCCATTTTATTCAGAAAACGACATTCTAATCATAATAATTCCAAATAATCAAAAAGAATTACGGTAAGCAAACCGATTTGTATGATTCGCCATTCCCAACATCGAGACGATCTCAAAGAGCTGATTGCAAAGACCGGCTCCATATTGAATCGCAAGAAATGGAGCTGTTAGAATCTTTTTGTCTAAACATCTTTTTTTTTTATTGAAATTGAATTCAATGTTAATTTGTTATTTAACACGTTGACGACAATGGCGTTTTTGCACAAACAATCGCATGGGACAACGTTGTTTTTTTTCGACAAAAAATGTCACCTGACATCAGGTGACAATGTCCCAGGCGAACGAATATGTGTCAGACAGCATCAGGTGACAATGTCGTCAACGTGTTAAACACGATTAACCACGAACTAGCCCTCGGCGGGTTACGGTAAACAATATAAGTCACTCATCAGACACCTCAGCACAGTCTAGATCGATTGAGTTTTAATTGCAGATAAATTTAAAAGCAAAATAAAAAGCACAAAAACAATAAAAATAAATTGTTAATCTATAATTCTTCCTCTTGCTCACTTTCATCTTCGCTCAAGTACAGCAGTTCCTCAAATCGGCTTCCTATCTTATCAATTTCCAGCGCATCTTCACCAGAAGTGACTGGATCTCCTCCACCGTAGGACGTCTTCAACGCTTTGATTGACACAATTAGATCTTTTTTCCATTTGTGGTCGCTTGTGGTTTTAGTTTTCTCAAATAGGTGCCTTTTAGCTGAGGTGTCTGATGAGTGACGATCTTGTTTTTCTCTAAGCCTTGCAGTGTCTCCAAAAATTTGTAAACCCATCAAATCACTCTAGCCGGGTGATTTTTATTCTTTTTATAATAAAATCAGCGATATTAAAATAAAAAAACAGGTGGTTGCCGTAAAAAAAATTTTATCGTCACCCGGCCGCGATTAATACCCCCCTTTAAGGAAAACAAAGGATAATCAATTTTTTTTTTGATTGAAATTTTGATCATAGACTTACTGGAGGATCTATTCCAATCAAACACCTTCAGTGAAATCTCATTTTGACATGCACTGAAAAATCTATTGATTATTGTATCAAGAAATCATCGAAATCATTTCATTTTCCTCAAAAACTCATCATTTTTCTTCATTCTTCTTACAGCAAAGAACTTTTTTCACAAGAATAATGAAGAATTCAGTCCGCTAGAAAGGCTTTACAAAGCTGCGTTTACAAAGTTTTAAGCACAAAGTACGCACTGGATTTTCTCTAGTAAACGACTCGATCTAGTACACCAAATCGTTGTTTAAGTCGCATTTTCAGTGTCTCAAGTGGTGAATGTTTATACAAATGTTTATGCACCTACTGTAGTTTTAGATGTCTTTGCTCAACTAGGTTGCCTTTGCTCTTTGCTCAACTAGGTTGCCTTTGCGCTTTGCTCAACTAGGTTGCCTTTGCTCTTTGCTCAACTAGGTTGCCTAAGCACACTAATCTGCTATTTATGAGCAAAAAGCAAGAACTTAGTGCGCTAGAAAGGTTGGGTTTCGATTTACGTCAAAGTACGTCAAAACCGACTCGAGTTTCCTTGCATTTCCATTCCTTTCCTCAACAAGATTGTGCAGTAAATAAAGCATAGGAAACGTAGGTAAAATGAGAAGAATTGCATAGAAAAGTGATCGCATCGTGAAACGCGAGAGAAGTTTTGGGGTTTTCGAAAAGATTTTCGTGTATCTGATGAATGGGAAATAGACGATGGGCATTGTTTCGATTTGATGGAAGAGCGTCCAGATCGAGAAGCGAGAATCGAGAATTTTCAGCGAATTTGCACAGCTACACGGTGAAAATCTCCCCTTTTCTCTGGAAAGTGTCCAATAAATAGCCGTTGTTCTCATTGAAAATCTCTCTTTTTCTCATTTTTTCACTATGGAATTAACACAAGGATTTATTTTTGATTGGATTTTTTTTTCGAAACTAGTTTCAGAAATGGATTTATACATTTATACATTTCGTTTATTCAAGTTTATTCAAGCAAACTCTTCAATGTCACCAAAGCGTTGCTAAGAGAAAAATGAAAAACTGAAAGAGTCAGATTTTTCTTTAAATCTCTCTTTTTTTTCACTCAATCAACAAGAAAATCCTTTTCGTTTCAAGTTTCAACAAAAAAAGTGACTTTATTTCAAAGTTTAAAAAGCCTTTTGATGTTTTGAAAAAATTTCATTTACAATTTCATACCGAGCAAAAGTCTTGCAACATCACTTTTTTTGTTTTGTTTTGGCTTTAAACCTTGAAATTCCCAAATTCAAGTGACAGCTTTGAGTACAGGGTGCGCCAAAATTATGGTAACGCGCCCGAATTATCTCATTTTTTCACTTTTTTTACGTTTTTGCCTTTTTTTTCTGCAACACTTAATTCTACAACTATTTTTCAAATATGAAGTCCAAAAAGGCTCTACGCCCGGCTATCATTCGTCTGCATCAGCAAGACAAACAAATTGTTGAAATTTCGCAACTTTTGCAAGAGAAGAAAGAGAATGTTTTCCGAGCTATAAAACGCTTCAACAAAACGGGAACGAATGAAGACCGCAAAGGAAGAGGACGCCCATCTACAGCCAACACTTTGACAAATCGAAAAAAGATCTTCACAAGACTCAAGAGGAATGCAACTACCACAAAGAACTTGACTCGGAAAATCGCCACCGCTATTGGCATCAGAGCAACTTCGGTTCGACGAATCCTCAAAAAAAACTGGATTCAAGGCAAGAAAACAAATAAAAGGTGATTTTTTGAGCGATGAAATGAAAAAGAAACGTTTGAACCGATGTAAACAACTAACAAGACGTTTTGCTGCAAACCGTCATCGTCAGATTCTCTTTACGGATGAGAAGTGGTTTGACGTCGAACAGGCGCATAACAGTCAAAACGACAGAAGTCCAAAAATCCACTTCCATTAAATGATCGGATTGTTTCAAAGCAACAAAAGCCATAACAAATAATGGTTTGGGTAGGAGTTACGTACAATGGAAAAACACCATTAATTTTCATACCGCCTAGGGTAAAAGTCGACAAAAAGATGTACTTGGAGATGTTCAAGGATGAAATTTTACCCTGGTCTCGGGCTCATTTTGTAACTAAAAGCTGGACATTTATTCAAGAAGGAGCTCCTTCTCATAAAGCTGCCGAAACACAAGACTGGATAGCCAACAACTTTCCTGATTGGATTATAGTGGATATCAGCTCGCGGCGCCCAGGAGAAAGGCCTTCAAATTCTCCAGATTTGAACGTTTTGGATTATTTCATTTGGTCGATCTTCGAGAGCAAGGCATGTGCAAAGTCCCACACATCGGTAGACTCTTTGGAACGGGCACTAACTAAGGCTTGAAACGATTTGTCCATCACCACAATTCAAAAGGTTATCGGTGAATTTCCAAAGCGTTTGAACCAATGGTATTGCTGGTATTGCTGCTAATAGTGGTCAACCAATGGTATTGCTGCTAATAGTGGTCAACCAATGGTATTGCTGCTAATAGTGGTCAACCAATGGTATTGCTGCTAATAGTGGTCAACCAATGGTATTGCTGCTAATAGTGGTCAACCAATGGTATTGCTGCTAATAGTGGTCAACCAATGGTATTGCTGCTAATGGTGGCCACTTCGAGCAATAATCGTTGTTTACATAATGTTTTTGTTAAAGTTAATCAAAATTATTGTTTTCTAAAAGTTCTTACTAAGAAAGATTTGTGTTTTCCGCAGTTACTATTTCGTTACCATAATTATGGCGCACCCTGTAGTTTCCTTTTAAAATCGAAATTTTTCAGATTTCAATGCTCTTCAATGTTTGATTTCAAAAGATTTTCACCCCGAAAGACGATTTATTCCGAAGAATTTCTCCGTTATCTCTTTTTGTTTTTAATTTCCTTGATCATTTTCATCTTTTTATGGTCAAATACATGGAAGACAGGTGAGTTTAAGATTTCAACTCAAAAATCTTCCCATTTCGGCTCTAATCACCTTTAGAACTCTTGATCACATTGCCGAATATCTCAATTTGTGCAACGAATTTCCCAAGATACCGGAAACCCTCTTATTTATCGCATTTCGATTGTCAACGCCTATTCGCCGGTGATATCGATTACATTGAAGAGTTAGAACATTATGGAAAGATTAAAGCAAAGGTATGCTTAGGCACTTCGATAAACTTGTGACCTTTTTGTCGAAAAGATCCTGGGTTGGCGCTTTAAAGCATGGTAAAACTACCGTACCCCTTCTAATTTGCAGGACAAAAACAAACACCAACCAAGGATTTTCTCGGAAAACGTGGCAACTTTGAGACGCCATTCTTTAGGATACTGTACTTTGTGCTCAACATTTTAAACACATCCTCTTTAACGCACTAAATTCCTCAAGTGCACAAAGTACAATTGTAAAGTTGTATTCAGGAGCTTCCCGTTGAACCAAATTGCTCGAAATTGCGAGCTCGAGTCATTGGCGATCATCCTGCTCCCGATTTAAACTATTCAATCGCTTTCGCAAGAAATGTTTACACGGTGGGATTTCTAGAATATTTTTGATATTTAGATTTTTCAGGACTACGAGTTACTCGAGACGATTCTCGGTGTCACCTATTCACCCACAAACCATTATTGTTTCCACGTTGACATCAAATCGACACAGAGATTTAAAACTCAAATGTCTTATCTCGAGAAATGTCTACCGAATGTTCATCTTGCGCCAAGTAAGGGGGAAATATTTTTTATCTGTCTTCGCACTTAGGGGTTCCTATTTGCGCAGCTCACAACCTGCTTCCACATTTCTCTATCCCTTGCTATTGTCATCCAGTGTTTCCTATCTTGGTTGTTCCTGGTTCGAAGTCTCCGACTTGCTTGTGCTGGTGGTGGTTGCACTCTAGCCATCCTTTCTCTGACCGTCTCTGCCACTCTTGCGCTCCACCTCGTTGCTGGTCTTCCGATGGGCCTCTTCTGGTCTCGTGGTAGCCACTCTGTGATCCGTATCGTCCATCTGTCGTCTGTTCTTCTGGCTACGTGGCCGGCCCATCTGAGTCATTTTTCTCTCGATCACTGGGGGAAATATTTGATTAAAAAATGTTGAACGAGCAAGGAAAGATCAATTAAATTTGGTTCCCTATCTCAACAAATATGGTTCCCTATCTCTACAAATTTGGTTGCCTATCTCTACAAATTTGGTTCCCTATCTCGATAAATTCGGTTCCTTATCTCAAAAAATTTGGTTCCGGCCAAATGCGATCTATACAATTCGCAGATTTTTATGCTGTTTCCGACTATTCCGTATAAATTCCGCTTTTGCTAAATGACAACGTGCGAAGAGTTGTAAAAATATAAAATACTTGATGCTATAGTAATTTTTACGGCTACGGTATAGACATTTTGGTTACTCTACAGCTTTCCAGACTATTTAAACACAACGAGCAGTGGTCATAACAACAATCGAGCTCATCTCTTGTGTCTAGAGTTGTTGTTGAAATATCAAAATTGGGAATATGTACTCATGTTACAGGTAATTTTATGAATTATCAAATTATGAGATTTCTAGAATTTAGAATCACGACTTGGTGGCTCACACAAATTCGGAGCTTTCAAAAATGTTGTCGGTGAGTTGAAAGGTTTTTGAAACTTGGATAACGATTGAAATTTATTTAAACATATTTAACAAATAGAAGACATTCGTTTTATCTAAACTTTCAGCTACTCAATGGTACAAACGATTTCAATCTGGACAACATGATCTGGGGTCGCGTTCGGGCGAATCAATCCTTCACAATGGATGATCTCAATTTTTTCACAAAACGTTAGGCTAACGATTTTCTGGAATTTTCAAAAAATTTCAGACACACCATTATCATTTCCCGAACGAGAAACGGCAAAACTCGATTTCGCTAAGGGACTCGAACAGGCGACATTGAAGTCAGTTTATAGAAATTATAGAATATAGAAAGTTTTTGTGAGTTCATGGTTCTGCAGTTTGTTGCGTTTACAAGTAACTAGGGATTTTCTAAATCAATTTTCTGAGTCTCAGAGTCTCAATCGTAGTCTCAGAGTGAGTCTCAATCGTAGACTCACTTTGGCCTAATCCTTTGGCTTGACATAGAAGTTAACAATTGTAGCCAAAAGTCAAGCATGTCTTTGAAAGCTTTTTGTTTTCGCAATATCTTTTAAACATTAACAAACGAATCCCAAGGTAACATGGCAGTCAATTAGCGAAAATTTTGCTATTTTCGAATCTTATTTCACATGAACCTAAGTCTTGGCTTGTCAAAAGACCCATGCAAACAAACATTTTTCATTTTTCAGTTTCTGTTAAATGTGAATTAAATAAATAAATGCCTTTAAATAAGCCTGTAACCAAATAAAACTAAATTTAGCGCTAAAAGTTTTTGACCATGACCATTATAGAATATAATGACCACCAAAATTTTTGTTAAATCCTAGAAAAACAAGTGCAACTCCTGACTGCCAACTTTGAGGTTCTATAAAAAAGAAAGAAAAAGTTTTTTTTCTATCAAACCTAAGAATCTAAAGTAGAAAAATATTTCAATTTTCTATTAAAACAAAGCGTGAGATGATTGCATATCTGAGTGTTGAATTACACTTAAAAAACCGAGTCCGGGTAGCGATTGAACACCCTGTTCCTGTCATCAATCTTTTCTTGGCTTAAACCTTCCTCTGACTTACAGTAGACTTAACATTGACTTTGACGTGGACAAAGTACAGTATCATACAATTTTTAGTAGTGCTTTTATAGAAGAAAGTCAAATCTTTCCTTCAGTCAATCCTTCAGTACTTCATTTCTAGTCGAGCCGCTGTCGATTGGATGATCAATCGAGTGAATATCAGCACATTGTTGGACCGTTTCGATGATCGGGTTTGGCACAAAGATATTTTATGTTTATTGTGTTGTTATTTGTAAAGACTTGAACGAAATTCAGAAACTTTATGCCGTTGATGAGCAATTCTTCGCAACTCTTCAAAACTCGGAGACACTGCGTATGCCGGGCGGGTACCATAGTTCATGTTTGCGGAATCGAGGGAACAAATTCTTCACTTACTTAACACGGTATGGCTTACTTGCTTAATAACGTCAAAATTACATAAAAAATCTTTTTCTTGTTACCAAAAAGCCAGTAGGGTTACGATAGCTTTTACCGGAGGGCACCTTTTAGGAAAAGTAACCGGCTACCTTTTTACAGACACACTCGGTGGACATTCGATCGATCCTGTAAGCACAATCGACACTGGATTTGCCTCTACGGGATTGAAGATCTCTGGGAAGCGAGGTAAGGATTGGACTTTGTAACGGTAATGGCTACAAACGCATGCATTCAATTCTGGAGATCTAAATCAAACTTAGAGAAATCGCAAGGAAACACTTCACTTTGAACAAATTCGTGGCATCTCACGATTTCGGGGCAATCATTTGCATGGCCGAATCGCTTTTCAACAGAACTCACTACGGCGATGAGCCTTTCGATTTACTTCATATTAGGAACCATTCTGGAGTTGGTTCAGTTTGACGTAATCCAATAAAAGTACAATTTTTCAATTCGATTTCATATTAAACTCAAAACAATTTAGGTTCGTTATCAGAAAGCTACTCGTCAACCGGGATTTTATATCAGCAATTTTACGTGCAATGGGATCTGATTGAAATAAAGCTTGTCAAAAGATATTCACCAATATTCTTACGAAGAATCGAAAAATAACACAAAATGAGTCAAACGATATATGATTTATCTCACATAATTGCACAGCATCTCTTTTTCTTCTTGTTTTTCGGAGTAATTGACTCGTGCTGGGAGGGCTAAATTTAAAAGTAAATAAGATGAATTGCTATAAACTATAGCTATAAATAAACTATGCGCAACATAAAGATGAACTTTCGACTCCCTATTGCTAACGTAAGATCAAATAAACAAAAACTAACCTTATTCTCCTTTGATGGAGTGGTGGTAGTCGGAGTGGAGGCTGGCTCTTTCTCTTTCGCGTTTTCTTTTCTCTTTTCAATTGCCTTGTCCTTCTCGATTTCCTTTTTATCCATCTTGTCTTTCTCCTTCTCGCTCTTGATCGTCGCTTTGTTCTTCTAAAATAATATTATCAAAGTGTTATCAAAGAAGCCATTACACTAATAGTAAATTTACGAATGTGAGGTAGCTTTAAAATATTAACAAAGTCACAACAAATGATTTCCTAACATTTTACTCAATTCAAACAATTGCTACTTAAGCTAAAAACTTCTTAAAACATCAAAGCATTCAATCAATGTGCTAGAACTTTACTAGAAATTCTAAAAATCAAAAATTCAACCTTTTCCTCGCCCTTCTTTCCCTTTTTCGATTGTTTTCCAAGCGGCTTTTCATTTTTAAAGCTCTTCTTTATCGGGTCATCATCGTCATCTAACGAAATCTCGGGTACATCGTCGTATCCTTTCTTCGGCTTTTCACCCGGCGCATTCTAAAGTAACACGTGTAGACCAAAACATGAAGAATAAAGGTTTAAAATAACAAAAATTTTAAAAACCAACCTTTCCAGCCAATTCCTGAGCGTTCGGCATTGAAATGAATCGATCGAAAGTCGAATAATAAAAACGAATGAAAAATTTCGTTGTCCATTTTTCGCGGCCGTCGATGCTTAAATGGTAATTCATATTTTAAATACAAATTGTTGAAATATGAAAATTTTATGCGATCTCTATAATTAATGAAACTATGTTCTTGTGTACTGAGGATACTGAGGATACTGAGGTACTGAGGTAAGAATGATGCTTTTCGTCGTCGTTTTCTGCAAATCTAGTTCAAAATAGCGTTTTTTTTGTGTGCAGACAATCATCTGTATTTCATATTCTATAAAGTTTAAGATCTATTTCAAGATTTCCCCCATCCCCATGTTTCGAAAACATAGCTACAAGGCAAAAAAAAAGGAGAAATTCTTCTTAAACCCTGTAAAATGGAGGCAATCCGTTGTGCGAAGAAAATTGCAATGATGTTCGAATTGTTCAAAGTCGCTAAAGGAAGTCAAGAGTTCGTGTTCATTTTAAGTCTCCATGAATAAACTGTGAGCAGATTGAAATTTGAAATGTACACGTAAAAAAAAGCTATACTTTACTCTTTATTCGGGGCAGAAACATAAATTTGTAATTAAAAGAAGCGAGATACCTTTTAAAAGTAGGCCGAATTGTTCCCTCCTTCCTTGTCTTTCTCCTTCTCATGGCTGTTCTTCTCGTTGTCCTTCTCCAACAAGTTGCTCGTCTTTGTAGGTTCACCGGGTACCGGATCTTAAAACCAGATATATTTGCGCTCTTGCAAAAAATAAAATCCCAAGGTAAAAGCTACCTTCTGCTCTTCATCCGCCTTCTGTACTGGTTTCGCTGTTCCTAAAAACCAAAGTAAATGCTTATAAAACAAAAAAAACATACAGACTTATCGTGACTTTCCCTTTCAAACGTTTCCCTAGCAGGGCTTAGGACATGGTGCTTCTTTTGACGCTCCTTGTGAGACGTTCGTACTTTGTTCTGACGTTCATAATAAAAAAATTTACCTCAAACATGATAAGAATCAACTTCTTTTAGCGACGAGGGGAGTGGGACAAATGAAATAGAACTTGTCGAAAGATTAGAAATTAAAATTTGTTAGAATTTTTTATGTGACTAAGTTTCTGAAAATTTTTTATTTATATAGCATAAATAGCTTTTTACAGAATACCGTATTTCTTTGAATAGAAGACCGGGTAAAGAGTATCATCGCGTACTCCTGCGTAGCAGCCCTTTTTAAAATTTCTTTTCTGCATAAAAGCTTTCAATCAAGTGTTATAGAGCTGGAAAATGACTCAAAAATACCACATGAGCTAACAGATTTTTGAGCCATTATCCAGCTCTATAGCACTTCATTGAAAGCTTTTATGGAGAAAAGAAATTTTTGGGCTGGTACGCAGGAGTACGCGATGATACTCTTTACCCGGCCTTCTATTCGAAGAAATACGGTACTTGCTGATCTATGGAGTCTTTTTAAGCAAGTCCGGAATCAATTTTCAGCCCTAGGTGAACCCGTATTTTCCAAAATTTTCTCCACCATATAGTGAATAATCTCCCGTGTGGTTCCGCGTCAGAGAAGAAGAGTTGACACACTCCTTGATAAAAAGAAATAAAGCATCAAAGCTTCAACTCCTTTCAAATTTTCGACTTGTTTTGTGCATCCCCTAGCGGGGACGCGTTCCAAAATTTTTTCGAGACACTGTTGGTAGGTCTCGGGGTTAATGCTAACCTCAAACTTGGGTAATTAAACCGAAGATTGTGGTCTCTGTCGCGCTATCTGGACGAGCCGTGTGCCAGGTGCCGCTTTTTCTTACGAAACGAAACACACGAGAGGTACACACAGTCGTGTCGTCTCGCGTCTCTGCGAGGGCTGATGCTCTCTCGTGTTCGCTGGTGGCCGCCTATTTCAGCCGTCTTTCACAGCCACACACTCGCTTACGACCATACCACGTTGAAAACACGGCATCCCGTCCGATCTGCCAAGTTAAGCAACGTTGGGCTCGGTTAGTACTTGGATCGGAGACGGCTTGGGAATCCCGAGTGCCGTAAGCTTTTTGCATTTTCGTGGATCGGTCTAGAGACAATTTTTGCACAAATTAACGGGGGAAATCGATTGCTTTTTGAATTTCCCACTTTAGTTTTTTTATCCTCGGAGCTTTACAGTATACAACTTGCAAGTGCAATGTATTGGGTAGAGGGATTCTTTCTGGATATTCACGGGAAGTGGATCAATGAGGTGAAGAAAGCCGAACTGAAAATCAATGCTTCAAAGACAACCATTTGGCGAGCCGTCAAGGAAAACCCGAATATCGACTTGGAGAAACCAAACAAGTAATCTGTTTTGAAACCTGAGCACAAGAAAGCTCGCTTGAACTTCGCAAAGAAACACATGAACTACGACCAGGTTGGGCTGGGCTTTTTATAATTAAGTTTTCCTGTGCTTAGGTAGTCTTTAGCGACGAAAAGAAGTTTAACCTCGAGGCACTCATGGTGTTATGCATTATTGAAGAGATCTGCACAAAGAACCAAAGCTTTTTGGCACACGCAACTATGGAGGAGGTAACGTTATGGTTTGGGCCGGTTTTTCTTTCCAGGGTGTCGTCAATTTGAAGTTCGTGTCAAATCGGATGAACAGCCGCGATTACATCAAAGTTCTGGATGATTGTCTCGTGCTGTTTCTTGCTCAAAAGCAACTATGACAAATTTTCAACAGGATAATGCGTCCATTCACAAGAGTCAACTCACGAAATCTTAGATGATTGTCAACCACGACCCGGTAGTCCTGCAGAATCTCACTGGAAGTATGAGTGGTAGAATTTTTCAAGTGATAAATCGTAATGGTGTTATTACTGATTATTCTCCAAAATTCGAAAACCAACTAAATTTTCTTCACCATATAGTGGGTGATCTCCCGAGTGATTCCCCGTCACTGTTTCATTGAAAGTGAAGAGCTGACACACTTCTTGATAAATCACCATAAAAATCAAATAAAGCATCAAAGCTTCAACTCCTTTCAAATTTTCGACCTGTTTTGTGCATCCCCTAGCGGGGACGCGTTCCAAAATTTTTTCGAGACACCGTTGGAAGGTCTCGGGGTTAATGCTAACCTCAAACTTGGGTAATTAAACCGAAGAGTGAGCTCTCTGTCGCCCTATAGAGACGGGCCATGTGCCAGATGCCGCTTTTCCCTATGAGATACACGAAAGGTACACACAGTCGTGTCGTCTCGCGTCTCTGCGAGGGCTGATGCTCTCTCGTGTTCGCTGTTCCGCCATCGGCCGTCTCTCACAGCCCGACACTCGTTTACGACCGTACCGCGTTAAAAACACGGTATCCAAGGCATCCGGCACTTTTCAACAACTTTCAACACGGCATCCAACACTTTTCCAAGGGCAAAATTAGAGCCAAAACCATTTTTAAACTAAATATTTATTTTCCGACTTAAATTGACTGGTAGGGGCAAAAGAAATTGAAAAAAATTTTGAGATCTTGACCGATTTTGTGGGGTTTTTGGTCGGTGAGGCATGTAATCTTCTGAGTACATCTCAAAGTCCGACTTTCGTTTCCTGAAAATAATGATAGAAGCAATCAAATCAAAATTGAACACTCACAAACATTTCTCACGTTTCATCCGCAAACTTTCGAAGGTAACGGCCCTCTTAAGCGTTTCTTCTTTATCGAGTAGCTTCGAAAACAAATTTGAAATGATATCAGCGTTTCAAATCTCTTTGAATGTCTGTGCGTCATCGTTGAGCTCCTTGTGAAGATCGGGGAAAATTATTTTGCAAGTTTCAACATCCGAATTTGACTGAAGGTGAAGACATTCCGACATTTGATCGGCCTAAAATCTATGGATTACCTTTTAGAATGCAGCATTTTCATGTATAATCGTAATTTGAAGCTGTACCTCGTGTGATTATGCTTTTTGTATATACAAGCACCACAAAGTGTTTTCAACATGGTATGGTCGTAAGCGAGTGTGTGGCTGTGAGAGACGGCTGAAATAGGCGGCCACCAGCGAACACGAGAGAGCATCAGCCCTCGCAGACGACACGACTGTGTGTACCTTTCGTGTATCTCATAGGGAAAAGCGGCATCTGGCACATGGCCCGTCTCTATAGGGCGACAGAGACCACAATCTTCGGTTTAATTACCCAAGTTTGAGGTTAGCATTAACCCCGAGACCTTCCAACGGTGTCTCGAAAAAATTTTGGAACGCGTCCCCGCTAGGGGATGCACAAATGAACTCTAAGATTTGAAATGGCTTGAAGCTTTGATGCTTAATTCCATTTTTATCGTGATTTATCAATAACTGTGTCAACTCTTCACTTCACTGACGCGGAATCACACCGGAGATCTTTCACTATATGGTGAAGAAAATTTTGAAAAATACGGCTTCCCTGAAAATTGATTCCCAGCATCATTTTGTTATTTTCAGATGAGTAAGACTTCGAGTGTTGATTTCGAATTTTGGAGAATTTCGAAACTTATAGTTGAAATGGCGGTGAATTGTGAATGTGGGAGGTGGACTTTGGGGGATCCCACAATTGCACACCTTCTGGCCCACGGGGCAGATAGATATCCAGAAAGAAATCGCCAAATACGGTTCAATTACGCAAGTTAGAGGTTGATATTAACCCCAAGGCCCACATACAGTGTCTCTAGGAATTTTGGAACGGATTTCCCTTTTTGAGAAATCCACGAATCCCATAGTCAGCAATTAAATCCTTTCTGAAGCTCTAATCCAAAAGAATCCCTCGACCTAATACTTTGACTTTGTAAGTTGTGTACTGTAAAGCTCCGAGAATAAAGAAACAATTCAAAAAGCAAAGAGCAATTTATCCTATTAATTTGTGAAAAAATGATTTCCAAGTCTCCTGATCGATCCACGAAAATGCAAAAAGTTTACGGCACTCGGGATTCCCAAGCCGTCTCCGATCCAAGTACTAACCGAGCCCAACGTTGCTTAACTTGGCAGATCGGACGGGATGCCGTGTTTTCAACGTGGTGTGGTCGTAAGCGAGTGTGTGGCTGTGAGAGACGGCTGAAATAGGCGGCCACCAGCGAACACGAGAGAGCATCAGCCCTCGCAGAGACGCGAGACGACACGACTGTGTGTACCTTTCGTGTGTTTCGTAAGGAAAAGCGGCATCTGGCACACGGCTCGTCAACATAGCGAGACAGAGAACACACACTTCGGTTTAATTACCCAAGTTTGAGGTTAGGATTAACCCCGAGTCCTTGCAACAGTGTCTCGAAAAAATTTTTGGAACGCGTCCCTCCAAGGGATGCACAGATGGACTCGAAAATTTGAAATGGGTTAAAGCTTTGATGCTTAATGCTCGATTTACCCCGTTAATTTGTGCAAAAATTGTCTCTGGATCGATCCGCAAAAAAGCAAAAAGCTTACGGCACTCGGGATTCCCAAGCCGTCTCCGATCCAAGTACTAACCGAGCCCAACGTTGCTTAACTTGGCAGATCGGACGGGATGCCGTGTTTTCAACGTGGTGTGGTCGTAAACGAGTGTGTGGCTGTGAGAGACGGCTGAAATAGGCGGCCACCAGCGAACACGAGAGAGCATCAGCCCTCGCAGAGACGCGAGACGACACGACTGTGTGTACCTTTCGTGTGTTTCGTAAGGAAAAGCGGCATCTGGCACACGGCTCGTCAACATAGCGAGACAGAGAACACACACTTCGGTTTAATTACCCAAGTTTGAGGTTAGCATTAACCCCGAGACCTTCCAACAGTGTCTCGAAAAAATTTTGGAACGCGTCCTCGCTAGGGGATGCACAAAACAAGTCGAAAATTTGAAAGGAGTTGAAGCTTTGATGCTTTATTTCTTTTTATCAAGAAGTGTGTCAACTCTTCACTTTCAGTGAAACGATGACGCGGAACCACACAGGAGAACATTCACTATATGGTGGAGAAAAAATACAGGCTCTCCTAGTGCTGAAAATTGATTCCGGGCTTGCGTGAAAAGTCCCATCCATAAACCAGCAAGGATTCTGTAAAAAGCTATTTATGCTATATATATAAAAATTAGAAAATAGTAAAATGTACTTACCGTAACAAGGTTCTTGATTCCCCAATCACTATCAAACAAAATACCGAAGAAAACAAAAAGTTACCTATTTGCAGTAAGAGCCGTTGAAATCGGCGACAAAGTAGAGCAATCATCAACGAATTTGCGGAAATCAGTGGAATCAGTGGCTCCTAAAGATAAAAATTCTTCCTTTTGAATCAAAAAACCGATATAAAAACTTGACTTGTTTGACTCCAGGTGTGCTCCTTGTGGATGATTCTCGGGCGCCACCCAAACCTAAACAAAGAAATGCGTTATCTATAAGCTAATTGTCGAAGAAAAATACAAAATAAGCATTAAAAAAACGAGATTTTGGGGCATTTATCATAAAAGTGGCAAATTTCTTTTTCATTTTCCTCTAAAAAATGGACGACCCGAGCTAATTTTGGCCGTTTTTTCGCGCATTTGATGCATATGGCCGCGCTCTAGGTGTAATAGATGAAAAAAAGTGCAAAAACATTAGCGAAACCATAGAAACATGCAAAAACAAGACGAGAATCAAGGATCTTAAAATCTAGTGGCGCTAAAATTAACGTTTTCAAGCCTTTTTCGCGCGCCGCTGAAATGAACGTCTTTTGGCCTTTTTTAGGCGGTGCTGAAATGAACGTTTTCGAGCCTTTTTTGCGCGGCGCCGAAATGACTCGCGCTGAAACGAACGCGCTTTTCTAACTAGATCCCGAAAAAAGGTACAAATAGAGAGCCGGCAAAAAGCATTTAAATAGCAGAATTCAATTGCAAAATTTTAAACTAAAGCATTTACATTTATTGATTTACATTTATCGATGATTTATAACCGAGCGAATTGGGGCGAAAACGCATACTATCTTCTATTCAACCATCAACTTGCAGCGCGAATCGTCTTCAAAGATGAGAAACGAATTGGAAAACAACGATCAACATGATGGAGATTCAATGGCAAATCGACCACTTCGTCCGCTCAAATCATCGCCAATTCCACCGCCAATCATCCCTTCGTCAACCCCGGCACCCACCTATGCTGCTTCGAATACGTTCGACAAGGTTTCTTTTTGATTTACTATATTTTCTTTTGTTTATTGGTTCACTTTGAACTCAGCAGCTAGTTTAATCTTGTTGTTAATAGCTTAATGTTGTATAAGGTTTTTGGTTGTAAAGGTTAAAGTATTCAAGAAAGTATTCTTGAATACTTTAACCTTTACTTTCTTTAGAAACTTGTGTTACCTGATCGTGATCGTTGGCGTGTGCCCGTAGAAGATGTTTACCTCGAAGGACAACTCGTCATCTATGTCAAAACGAAATCGCTTCTTTGGGAATCGTATTCGAATGTGAAGACTCGTCCACTCACGCTCACTCGTCGTGGATTTCTCGTCATTTACATGAAAGGCAACAAAGGTTGTTGGATATTTTATTGCTTTAAGAAATTTTTGTTTGTTTAGGGTACATCATTGATGTTGGTGCAGCTAAATCGATCGAATCTGTCACTGATAAACGAGGAGCAAATCCCTATGTGGGTGATTTGGAAAAATATTATTTGTTTCGTTGAACGTAACTGTTTTTTTAGTACCGCACTCACATCAAACTGCGCTACAGCTTTGGCAATGTTCACTTGTGGGGCTTTCATGAGAATGGACTCGATTGGAAATTGGCTGTTCAAAAGGCGTTCGAGCGATCGATTCCACCATATCGTTCACCAATCACATCCACTCCAAAACGTGTCATGTATGAATCATTTTTTTTAAATTTTCTTGAATCGTTGTTCAGTTTGTCTCCACCACAAACGGACAACGCAATCACCCCACGTGGCAACGATGAGAAGAATGAAGAGACGGAGATGTTGAGTGCTGCTGAATACCTCGCTAAAATGGCAGATGTGGTCGAATCGGAGTATTTAGCTCCCGAGCTTCGTCCCATTACTCAAACTGGTTTGTTTTATTTTTTGTTAACCGTAATTTATCAATTTTCTTTAGAGAGTGCCGTCACGTGGATGAGCTTGACCGATGTGATCAATGAACAAGAAGAAGAAGAGGCCAATCAAGAAAGTCCCTATAAGAAAACGACCGATTTTCAAGATGCCGCTACGGTAAGCTTTGCTTATTTAATCTCTAATACATTTTTGTTTACAGAACATTCCCTCAGACACTCATATGCAGCGTGTTCGTCGATTCCTTCGCAAAAGCCTCCCAACAGTTGATCGATCCTTTTCCGCTCCTCATGTAAGATAATATGATCTTGTCAGTTATTCGCTTACTTAGATGACAGTTGAAGAAAAGCCAGCCAAGCAGCAATCTCGAACGAAGCCAGCCAAGCAACAATCTCCAATGAAGCCAGCGGATCTTAATACCTCTGCCAATCAGGAAAATGAGTGGGTATTCTTAGTCTTTATTATAGCATTAAGTATTCTGGTCTTTGATCAAGTCATTTTAGGCAAAAATCATTCATGCCAAAGCACAATGTTGCCGAGATTTGCGCCAAGCTTGAAAAGACTCTTTCAACTCGTCAACCTGTAAGCGAATTTATGATACTTTACATTTTATCTTTAGTCACGCGAGAAGAAAGGTTTCTACCGTTGGATCAAGAAGACAACGCGTAGCCCAGAAAAGAAAGCACAGATTGAGGTGGGATTTTTGAAATACTCCTTGAAAAAACTAATTGCCAATGTTTAGATGAAAGAATCGATGACTTCAATGGTTGGATATGAGAAGTCACTCGGATGGGAAAGGCCGATGATTGGAACCGAGTCGGAGACAAATGTTTGAATGAAGCCGCCAGCCTCCAGTAACAAATGAAAACAATCACTTCTGCAATATTTCATTTGAATCTTTGATACTCGGATACTAATAAATGGGTTTTGGGGTTGTTTCTTTAATGATTTTAATCAGAAAGAGATTGGGTATTACAATAGTTATAAATAGTTAGAATAGGCATTCAGGTTTAGAAATTACAATTGAATGCTTGTTTCAAAGCTAAATTGGTACTGTATTGTTATTTTACAGTGCCATTTCTTTAGATTAAAGCCTCTTCTCCAAAGATCAACCACTCGACGGTGGAAACAAAATATTTTGGAAGTGAAAGAAACACGGAACCATTCATTGCCTCAGATAAATTTCTTAGTCTTTGTAAAAACTAATTAAAAGCAATTATCCAATCAAGACTGAATCCTTTGTAAGCCACAGAGTAATCCGTTTGGAAATAAAGAGTGAATGTTGTTCCATTTGTGATGAATGATGGTGGAAGGGTTGTGTAGCCAGAATAGCTAAAGATTAAAGTAGAAATTGTTAAAGAATGAAAAATCTTATCAAAAACTGTCTTATCAAACTATTTAGTTAATCGTTAGCCTAGTCAAGGTTATTTTCAGTTGTCAAATCGGGACCTGGGACCTAGTAAGCCAGGTCAGACAGGCAAGCTAGGGCTAGAGCCTGGTCAGAAGTTAGTTCTAGTGACTTTCTTGGTCAGACATCAGTGACTTTCTTGGTCAGACTTGCAACAAAGCCAGAAACCAGGCCAGCTTTTGTTCTTGGTCAAAATTGCTTTTGGAAAAACCCCGAAGTCTGGGAGCTTATGTAAAAGTAGATCCTCTCAACTACGGCTGATAATAGTAGCCTTATTTACCTTGTAAAACTTATGCAATATTTTGATCTTTTTACTCTACTCACTTTCCAATGACAGGCGAGAATTGATCAGGTCCATCATAGACAACGAGATAATCCCTGTTCACTTCCGTGTCAAAAACGGTGAAAGTACCTTGGAGCTGGAATGGATTATTTGATTTTTAATAAAATGACATCTTTTTGAGTTTTACCTGAAAACCATCAGGTCCAGTCACATAATAGTACATCTCGACATCGTTTGGATAACTTTGGGGGTAATTCGGGCTCGTCACTGTGCCTGTGGTGCCATTTTGGTAAACGGGATCGGTTCGATATCTAGAAATAAAGCTTGAAATTCTTTTTTACAAAAGCAGTGTTTTCTAAAAGGCACCTATTTTAGAAAACTACTTTACCAAAATTTTTCACTAAAAGTACGACAATTTTTTTCCCTTTCACACTCACAAAGTTCTATATGATGCTTTCCATCCAGGGTACGTGATGATCGAATCCGTTGAGAAGATTACCGTCATTATATTCGATTTAGTCTAAAAATGTTCAAAATTTATGTACGAAACTGATCTGGCTAGTAGATCTGGCTGTCAGTACTCCGCAGATCAGTGAAATTTTATCTAGTACAACAAAATATTCTTTACGAAACCCTACTTGAAATCCATTCTTGAAGGGCGATACGGTGTCATTCCTTGGATCTATTGTAATGCTAAAAGTCTAATATGTAAATTTTTGCGGCTTTATCCAGTACACTGTACTGGTGACTGAAGCTTTTTAAACCGACTTGGCCATTTGAATCGCATTTGGTCCCGGGAAATATCCATCATAGATCACAACAGTATCGTAATTTCTAAACATTAGTGTTATTTAGATTTCCAAAATCATCTCACTTTTCCACCACCCAAACATCGAAACTGAGGATGACGAAATAATTTGAGCTGTTTGCTGTAATATAATAATAACAGAGCTCATTATTTGCATAGGCGTTTGGATAATTCGGCGAGTTGAGGGAGCCGGTTTTGGTGGTGAAGTTCTGCGTGGGACATCTGAAATTCGTATTATTTTTTGATAGAAATTGATCTTATTTTTTAGATAGACACCTTTTGAGAAATAAAAAGTCAATAAGTATTCTCCGAATTTTACCGTTAAACTTTCAGAAAATGGTTTCTAAATCATGGCCCAGGGTACCATTGTCACGCGTGCGTCCAGGCCAAGATTCATCTACTGTAGGAATAACGATTACTATTCCCGTGCTTAGGTTACGGTAATTCTTCTCAATTACTTCCCTTTGCAAGTACCTCAATTACGGTAATCATTTCCACAATTTGGGTTACGATAATCAAACAAATATTCAAATATTTGATACGGTTAACCCTTAAGAGTAGAGTGTTTTCCTCGGGAGTAAGTAATTACTCGAGTAAAATTTGAACCAAGATTTACCGTGCCCGAGCAGTGAGGTGAATTAGAGTAACGACAGCATACTACTAACAACAGAACAGTACACCACGATTTCTTTCTACAAAATACTAATAAAGTTATCTAAAGTATTAATCTTTTAGTCTAATAGTCTGACAAGATTCTATTAAGTTTTCAAGTGAACTATTAGAACTATTAGTGATTATTTCAAGTGAACTATTAGAGTGTTTTCCTCGGGAGTAAGTAATTACTCGAGTAAAATTTGCAGGAGTAATCTTTACTCGATTAATCGGCGTTTTTAATCGAGTAACTACGAGTGATCCTCTTTACACGTCGAGTAAATTGAATAGCTTTACATTTGATGGGAATTTGCCACCAAATCAGTTGAACGGTTGAATATCTTTAAAAAGAGTCGTATATAACGTGGAGCTCGTGATTTTCGCGCCAATTTTTTTGCCATAATTTTCACGAAAAGTACGGTAAATTTTCTTAAGCTTGCGATTTAAAAAAAGGCATTACTCGCGAGGAACACACTCTACTTAAGAGCTACTTGGGTTACGGTAACTCCTTTCCAGAGTTGCATTAGATTAACCCATAAGTCTTTAAGCACTTTATTTATAAATCTGATTTTTAGTATTTGCATATGTAAATTTTCTAAAGCTCACCAATTTATCTACGGTTTCTTTCAAAATAGATGTTTATTGAACACTTTTCTATCTTTTTACCCCAATCTGCACCCGTTTCAAAGAAAATCCGAGCGCAAAAACTTGGGGTAAAATTCGATAGAAGATAATATAAAGGAATTGGCTAAAAAGATTGAAAATTTAGCTATAAACCAAACTTTTTGCGCTCTTTCTTTTTTCTATTGACACCAAAATCGATTTCTTTTGATTAAAGTATCGAAATCGTGTAATCAAGTCGTTGCTCTTTTTGCCTTTTTCACACCTCCGAACAAAAGTCCAAAAAGAAAATATTTCTTAAGATTTCAACGATCTTGTATAGAAAAATATTAGTCCTTTCTAATGGAGCAAACCGTAGGTCAATTGGTGAATTGGTTACTTCTAAATAGCTTAAATGAAGGGGCTAAAGACTTATCAGCTAATCTAATAGTAACCCTCTATAACCCATGTACTTGAAGTAGCTCAGTATCGCTTAATTTACATAAAGATTAGGAAAAAGTATCCCAGGATTCCCAGAAAACTGAAGAACAGTAAAAAAACACTAAAAAACCACTAACGAGGCAATCTTTTGTGAGCAGAGGAAGGGTTGAGAATATTGACATCCGAGCGCAAGATATCCGTCTTGATTTGGATCCGATGATTTACGAATCGCTCCACAAGCACCGTGTCCACTGTCCGGTTCTCCTATAACGGGAAAATTGAAATGGAGAAGGAAAAGTCTTTACAGTCAGGAAAAAATCTATTAAGCTCTTTTTGAGCCTTATAGAAACATTACAATGAAGTACACTGTAGAGGCGGCGACTTTGGGCCCTCAAAAATCGTCCTTAAACGCATTTCCCTAAGCTCTCACTACGAAATTCGTAATCTACATAAAAAACTGCCCTAGAAAAAGCACTTTTGAAGAAAAAACAGTTATCCCCAACCCTACAAGTACCCAATTATGTATACGGTAGCAATAGTTAACTACTATAGTACTTTATATAGTATATAATAGGATATAGTAGTCAACAACTATATAGTATGAGTCTATCGACCAACCCTTTGCCCATTGTTGATACAAGTAGGCGTTTGTGGTTCGATCAAAGAAAGCCCAGGTGGTTCCATTTTTTGTGAGACCTGTCCAAGTTGAGTACAGTGATCCGGTGATTAAATCTGGAAATAGTCTTTTGATTAGTTGATCCAATTAAAAAAAACTTTCAACTTGTGCCAAACTGCTTTTATTGTAGGTGCCCGCTAAAGTACCGCCGATTCCATAGCAATATTGATTGGCGGCTGCCCAGTTCTAAAACAAATATCTGGTGAATACCAATGATTTAAATAGATTGAATAAAGAAGCAAAGTTTTCGAAAGTTCACTTGTTTTAGAAAACAAACAAGTACCCGCAATTAATTGAGAGAAAACTCTTTACCTATCATACCTAGCTAGTTTAGTTGATTATTAAAAATAATAATAGGTTGATGCAAAAGTCTTTTCGTTTTTTTCGTACTTCTGTTAAAAAGTAACAAATTCACGAATTAATCTATAGTTTGCTCTATAAAAAAAGTGTTTTTTTGTTCAATTTGCATCTTTTAAAATGAATTTCGGCTCACTTTCAAGCAAATTCGAGAGTGAAAAACGCCTTTTTCGTAAAAATCTATAAAAAACTCTACGGAAAACTTGGCTGAATGAATTTCTCTGAAATTTTGGCGAAATATCAAACGTTTTTTTCTCTATCTTTTATCTATTGACACGAAGATAGGTTTTCTTTAGCTAAGGTGTCTAAACCGCATCATCGAGTTAGCCCTTTTTGACTACCCGACTTCATACTCTCAAGAAAATCCAGGCATTAAATATTTTTAAACCCGTTTTAATGTTATTTTGCAGAAAAATAATTGCTTTTTCTAATGAAATCGACCGTAGTTTAATTGGTGCATTTGTTGGCTTGAAACGGCAGACGAAAAGGAACAAAAACACTTATGCATCAACCTAATAAAAGCTACCTGCACTACATTTCCCGAATACCAATAGCACATCCTATCGATTTGGGTCCAATTTGTGGCGCATGGCGGTTGATCGGTATTGAGTGATCCTTAAAGTTTTTGGTTTCTTACTGATTTGACTACAAAGTATTCATATAGATAGCTAATAAATTGCTTTAAAAGTATTCAGATAATGAGAACAACACAAAGTTATTCAGTTAAAGACAATAACTACCGTAAATACTGTAATAGTACCCCACCCCCCTCGTACAGTCGCGTAGTCGCAAAAGTTTTTTAGTATTTTAGTATTTCATTTTTTTCAAAGCGCCCGTACTTTCAAAAAAACGCGTCTTTGGTATCAAAAAGTAGCTGAAATTCAGGGCTATTTTTTGATATCTAAGCGCGCATTGTAGCATAAACCAGTGTCGAGAAAAACTCGTTCAAAGCTAGACTACGCAACACTCCGCGCCGTCATTATGGGGGTGGGGTACTACATATTACAGTATTTACGGTAATTCATTTAAAAAAATCTAGATTTTCAAGGATCAAATTTCTTCAGCTTATTTCCATTTTGTCAGCTTCCATAAACATTCACAAAACAAACCATAAATTATTGACATCAAAAAGAAAAATAGCCACCGCATTTTTCGAGAATTACGAGAAAATGTTTGAGAAAACCCACAAACACTTATCACTGAAAGTTTGGCGGAGAACAAGCCGTCGAAATTTACAACCAATCAAGCCAGTTATAAAGAAAGAAGAATTTTATCGCATGCGTTTTTGAGCAAAGATGTGTAATGAAAAAAAAATGAGGTTAAAATTTGCAAAATACAGTGACCTCTGATTTAGAAAATTTCCTAAAAGGTGCCCTCAAGAAAAAGCTACCGTAGTACAAATGTATTTTTGGTGAAAATTATTGGTGCTAGTTGGCTAAAAATTATTGCGCACTTTTTTAAGGACACTTGAAATTTTAAAAACCTGCTCCGGTAGCTTCTTTTGGAGTGCATTTTAGAAAATGCTTAAACAGGGAGAAACTATGACAAACACTAGCAAAAAGGACTGGTATGCAGATGAAGGTGCGTGAAACTTTAAAAATTTGATTTTTTGCGCAAAATTTCGTTTCTTTTGTTAAAAAATGTTTGAGAGAGACGTATTTGCAAACACGAATCGCCCCAATCTCCGTCTGTCCCAAATTCAAAATCGTAATTTCTATCAATTACAGCCAAGTAGCTTGTAGCTTTTCATGTTTTTCCTTGTTTTCATTTTTGACTACTTCTTGAGCTAGTAAAATTTTTGAATTTAGATCCAGATGCAGCTAGAGCGGAGGGCAACTTCATTTCTCCATGGTGGTTCAAGGTAAAGTTTTTTGAAGTGCTAACTTATTTAAAAGTTTAAAAACTATCTAGTTGTAATTATCAAAACGTAAACTAGTCAGAATTTATTGAATTTGTTAAAGAATGAACATTTTTGCTTAGATTCTTATCAACTGGACAGCTGACGCTTTTGAGAAAACTTGTTTCTTCTACTGAGGTGAGGCTTTTGCTTTTCTAAAGTTCATAATTTTTCCGTAAAGCTTAATAAGCACAGTACTAATAACAAGTTTTAAGAGATTTTCCTCAATCAGCACATCATCAATAAAGCCAGCATTTGCTACAAATCAAGCCACTCAGTTATACAGGTTTATTCCAACTTACAATTCATGTTAGAAATTCTTTTAGTGTTCCATCACAAAAAGTTCCTGATTTTCCCGATCTTCCCGCATCACATGGAAACTTGACGCTTACTTTCCAAAATGGTGTGCCAATTTTAGTGGTACGTTCTAGCAAATATTTCCATTGCAGAAAACTTTTGTTCAGGTTCCACTTCCATCTCGAACGGAGCCTTGTCAATTTACTCTACGACCTTTTTCAGACACAGTATCGTTCAATGAATGTATCACAAAAATTTTCTGTTTTAGGTGGGCAGTTTTTGTGAACAGTTGAAGCAGGAAGATCGCGGAATTGACCATGTTGGAATTTATATGTCATGTGTGTTTCTTTGGTGTTACAAATAGCGTAAAGTTCTTAAACACAACCTTTGGTACTATTGGCTTTGGGGGAACCACTTTTTCTGGGGTTGTTTTCGAAAGACACAACGAGAGCTTAGGAAAATGCGTTTTAAGCCGAGTTTCGGGGCTACAAAGTGCTTCAAAAAAAGTGGCTCCCCCAAAGCCAATAGTACCCAACCTTTTGAATGTTATTTGATTTATGATTAAAAAGGTTTTTTAGATGGCGTCAGAGTTGCCAATGCCACGTCGATGGAACGTCTGATTCAATTCCGAACGTTCCGTTTGCGCATCAACGATCGCCATTTTGATGTTGATGTGGCTAAATTGGAACTGGACCCAATTAGCGATAGGTAATCTTTGTGAATTGTTTTATAGATCAGAATTATAAGAATTTAAAGCAAGGAACTAAAAAATTAGACGGAATAGTAAGATATTATATTCTATTCACATGTTCGTTTTAGGGTCCGTTGCATTGATGACATGCGCGCCGTTGTAGCTCAACTGCACGGAGTTTTGAATATTAATGAATACAAAGCTGAAAGGGAACGACGACTACAAGAACGCCTGGAGGAAACTGAAGAGGAGTTAAAACCATTGCAAGAGGTGGAACATGTTGCTTGTTCTAAAAAATTAAAATTCCAGGCAAAAGAGCTAATTGAATGTGAGTGTAGGACGCATTCGGAGCGGCTGATGATCACTGGATTTGCTGCAATGGGCATTCAAACGGGAATATTTGCTAGGTGAGCGTAGTTAGCTGCTTATTATCTTTAACTAACACTTAAGGTTGACTTGGTGGGACTTCTCATGGGATATCATTGAACCTTGTACATATTTTGCCACCTACTCTACCATTATTGCTACGTTTGGCTATTACCTGTACACTAAACAGGTAATTTATTGTTGGTTATTTTATTTCATTTAATCTAGCAACCATTCAGAATGATTCTTTTTAGCCTTTTGAATATCAGCAAGCTCAAGAGCGGATCTTCTCCAAGCAATTTTACAAAAGAGCTGCAAAGCACAACCTCAATATCAACCGATACAATGAATTGGTTGCTCAGGTTAGCTTTAGGAGTTTTTTTCTTAATTTTATACACAATTTTTAGAGGGACGAGATTCGTAGATTGCTCGGATGTATTCGTGATCCTCTTAATTTGCATATGCCAGTCCCCTACTTGTCAAAATACGAAAAGCTCTAACTTGCGTGTCTATGTCTGATTTTAGGTTATGCTTTTCAATTCTCAGTGCTCAGGAATTAAACTTATATTCAACTTCGAGTATAGATAGTTAAATTTAGTGTTAAATCTTATTTGCCTACTTTTCCTTTCTTTATAACCTTTTTAAATACTATTGTTTTCTAAGGTTTGTTAGAAAATTTAGCTTTGTACTTTTATAGCTGTGATTGTTATTGTTTATTTTGTGGCTGGTATATTTAATTTGTGATTTCCTTTCGTTACACTAATGAAGTTTTTGTGGAGAGCGCATACATGTAGCTTGTTCACACAAAATTGGATGGAAAGATTTTGTAACTCTTTGTTTGTTCATCTCACAAACTACGGTTAAAGTTTTTAGGAAAATTGTTGACGCAAGTTGATTGCATTTTGTAAAAGCCAAAGAGTATGTTATTTATATGACAAACAAAGGCATGCATTTTGTGACTGGTTTGCATATGATTGAGATCTAATTTGAATTTAAAGGTCAAATAAAAAGAATGCCAGCTGATCTCTCACCATCATTCCCCGTATTCTCTCTTCTCGACAAGAATGGACGGATGGTGCTCGGGAACGTCTTCTCGCTTCGAAGGCTCTTGGAATTCGTGCTGCTCGTGCATTCGCCTCATCATCGTCTAGGAAAACGTGGCGATAGTGATGACCTTCAAACTACGTAAGTGTTCATAGTATTTTATTAATCAGCTTTCGTGTTTCCCTATTGACCGGATTGGCAAAAAGTCTTTTTTTGTTAGCCGGATGTGATACAATTTCTCAAGAAATTTTACCAATTCAGCCTGCCCTGAGCAGTCTAATCTCTCAAAACAATTGAACAACACAAATTTTAACCTCTTTATTGCATGAATATCTTTTCACCTATTCATTGAATCACAAAGTTAGCAAAAATATTTTGTTTTCAAAGAGCTTTTAGATCCACGCTTTAGAAAACAAGCTGTTTGCTAAAATGCAGAAAGAGCGACTTGTTGTTCATTTCGCGGTAGGCTACTTTGCGCCAAATTTTTTGCGCAACCCGCCATAACTTTCTTCTAAGTGAACCAATCTTTATGATTTCGGTGTCATTTTGTTGCACTTATTGAGATCTACAAAATGAAACCAAAATCATAAGGATTGACCGACTTAGAAGAAAGTTATGGCGAGTTTGATTGATTTGATTTGATTGAAATCCCACAATAAATTATTTATTTACAGTATGTGCAAGAAAAACAATTAGTAACGAATAAATACTTTCAAAATGTTTCCTAAGCAAAATCGTTTCCTGTCATATCGGTTTCAGTCGCGCTTTTTGGAGGGATCGTTGTTTTCTTCTTCGTTTTCTCTTTTTCCTTTTCCAATCGATCATTCATCAATTGCCGGGCTTCTTGCGAGATCTGAATGGCTTTCGTTGGAAATGAAAGGAGCTTTTTCTATGGCTAAAGTTTAGTTGTGGCTCTCAGCTGAAAATCGATCTCTTAAAAAGAACTTTGATCTGATTTCAAGAACCAATTTCAGTTGGGTTAGCAGTACTATAGCAGTCAGAGACCATACTCATTTCGCACGACTCAAAAAATCTAGGCTTTGTCAATTTTGTCTCAGAGTTTCTGGAATTGCCTTTCTAGAAGCTTGCTAGAAGCTTTTTAGAGTTGATAAAAAGATTCAAATCAAAATACTCACTCTACAGTATTTAGTAGATCAATAGCTCGGTCTAGATAATTTCCTCCAAACCTCATTTCTTTGATAAATTCCGCAAGTGTGTGGGAAATCGGTGGGTGGCTTCGGGATCTCGTCATCATCTCCGATTCTGCAAATGGGATTTGATTGATTTGATTGTGAATAGGGTTTTAAATAGCTTAGCAAACTAAAATAGCAAGTAAGCAAGTATTTCAATCTCTTACTTGAAAGCATAAGCAGCTCCGCCCATCATGTGCAACTCGAGGTGACAATGCGCGATCCACCACCCGGGATTTGTAGCCCGGAATCTGAAAGAGTGGATTTTGTTCTTGTTTTTTTGTTGTATTGTGAAATCGACGAGTTTGAATCGATCGAAAAGCTGTTGGCTGACAAAATGCCTGACAAGAAGGACTTCCTCCTTTACACACCTTATAGTCGCATATCCACCAACGGGCACCAATACCGTATCTCGAATCGACGCTCGTTTTCTCATCCCGGGCAACGCTCCACCCAGCCAACCGTTATCCGCCCATTTTAGATCATTGCAATCTGACTAAAGATTAGCATATTGTTTGCAAACCTAGTTAGATACAGAAATGAGCTGTAAAGAATCTGTTCTCTTATCACTATAGTTCATAGAGTGTGTTCCTCGCGAGTAATGCCTTTTTTTAAATCGCAAGCTTAAGAAAAATTACCGTACTTTTAGCGAAAATTATTGTAAAAAAATTGGCGCGAAAATCACGAGCTCCACGTTATATACGACTCTTTTTAAAGATATTCAACCGTTCAACTGATTTGGTGGCAAATTCCCGTCAAATGTAAAGATATTCAATTTACTCGACGTGTAAAGAGGATCACTCGTAGTTACTCGATTAAAAACGCCGATTAATCGAGTAAAGATTACTGCTGCAAATTTTACTCGAGTAATTACTTACTCCCGAGGAAAACACTCTAATAGTTCACTTGAAATAATCACTAATAGTTCTAATAGTTCACTTGAAAACTTAATAGAATCTTGTCAGGCTATTAGACTAAAAGATTAATACTTTAGATAACTTTATTAGTATTTTGTAGAAAGAAATCGTGGTGTACTGTTCTGTTGTTAGTAGTATGCTGTCGTTACTCTAATTCACCTCACTGCTCGGGCACGGTAAATCTTGATTCATCGTCGTGATCATCCCCGACCCATTGTACGATGGCCAGCCCATCTGGAATAAGGATTGAAGATTGAATTTCAGAAGAAGATTTGCTACTTGATACTAGGATACTTGAGCTTTAGAGTAAACTTGAGGAAAAGCTTCCCCCATCTTTCTCACCTTGACCAAATAGGTGTGCGTCGAGTGGATGTGAAATGGATGCGCATAGCCGGTGGCCATTCCACCGCCCATTCCCATATTGTAGATCGTTAGCTGGAATATCTTATGTGAGATTTACGCGTTTTAAACATTAGCATTATTAACTGAATATCATTTTTAAAACTAAATCACTTGTACAATGTTGTTCAATTTGTGCTTTAAATGGTAGAAACAGAAGCATCGTTGATCGTATTTTGTGTGATTTTTCGGGCAATCCGTCTAAAAAAAATCTCGATATACAATCGATATTTAACTCTATCTTTAACTCTATCTTTAATCAGTCTAATTGTCAATTAGTGTACAACGGAAAAAAACGATATTTGTTCAATTAAACATCAACTTTTTCAGGATTTCTACATAAAGATCGATTTTTTTTAAAGCTTTATCTTTTGAGCTAAAAAAACAGCTTTTGAACTGAAGAAATCTCGTTTTTCCATTGTACACCTATTGACAAACGAAATAACAAATAAATCGAATGAAATCAAATTCAAAACCCATCAACCTTTTCGCAATTTATCGCCACCTCATCCAAATTCTCTCGATAATAATAGGGCATTCCATTGGGTATCAAGAATTTGAAACCATTCACGTGACTATCATAATGCATATTGATGAAATGCTCCTGGAAAAGATAGCATATTAATCATTAGCATATTAACTGAATATCATGAATATCATGAAAATCATGAATATCATGATGATCATCAAAGATCATCATGATCATCATTTAAACTAAATCACTTGTACAATGTTGTTCAATTTGTGCTTTAAATGGCAGAAACAGAAGCATCGCTGATCGTATTTTGTGTGATTTTTCGGGATTTTTGAACTATCATTGAAAGGATTGTTGATTGTATACCTCGAAACCGGACTCGAATTTCTCACTCTTCAACACTTCGGAGTCCTCGAGTTCCAATGGGGATTCAAGAGTGTCCACAGCGATGCACTAAAATAATTTATCAAATCAAAATCTCAGCATTCAGTTTATGAAGAGGACTCTAATTGTGATTTAGATTTAGATTTAGATTTAGATTTAGATTTAGATTTAGATTTAGATTTTGGTTTTGATTTACATTTAGATTTAGATTTAGATTTAGATTTAGATTTAGATTTAGAGTTAGATTTAGAGTTAGATTTAGATTTAGATTTACATTTAGAGTTAGATTTTGATTTTGATTTTGATTTAGATTTAGATTTAGATTTAGATTTAGATTTACATTTAGATTTAGAGTTAGATTTAGATTTAGATTTAGATTTAGATTTAGATTTAGATTTAGATTTAGATTTAGATTTAGATTTACATTTACATTTTATCAAATGTCAACTTTAAAGAAAGATTCCACAAAGAAGGGATTTTAAAAGTTTGAAAAAACTTGAAATTTTTTAATGTCAAAGATTAGAAGCGAGACTTTTCCCTTCACCAATTCTTTTTATAAATACTAAATTAAAGATTCTTTGTTATTGATCTCAAACCTTGAAAGGAAAGCCGGGTGGATATTGCTCAAATGGGCAATTGAAAACAGAGCATGGGGATTCTTTTGTGCAAGTCGGGTGATCGAGTTTGGCTAGAATTTTATGGAGATTTCAGTCATTTCTAGAAATAATCTTTTCAATTACTTCAATTTCTTCTTAAATTTTCATTTCTCACGTTTTTTCGTTATTCTTTCATCAACATTTTCATATTCAAGATTCGCCAATCCGAACATTGTTTCAACACGAGACCAATCGAAGAAATAGTACTGGAAAAAGATTTCTAATGTATTTATCTGACCAAGAATACTGTAGCTTTAAAGAATCACTATGAAAGATTGGGTACTGTAGTTTTGAAGCTTAGCTTATAAAAGCCTTTGAAGCTTAGCTTATAAAAGCTTTTGAAGCTTATAAAATGATTGCGAGCACTGTAGCTTTTAAATCCCCTCACCTGCACCGTTTCCGCGATCACATAGTAGTTCTTTCGGCTCGGATTCCTCAATCCTTTCACCAAAATATCGTATCTCTCGCCAGGGAAAATGATCAATTTATCCACCTATTCGAGTTCGATTGAAAGAATCGTTTGAAAAAAAAAAGAAAAACCCAACCGTAATCGGCACCACCTCATTCCCGTCAGCTGCAACGATTGTCAAGTTGTGATCCTCGATGCTAAAAGGCTTTAAAGTTTAAGGTTAAAAGGGATACGGCAACGCACCTAATCATCAACTCTTGTGCCAATCCACCGTTCACGATTCGCAGAAGAATATTTTCATCTAAACATTTTAATAATAAATGACATTTCTAGATACTAGTTACTAGATTTTATCCGATACGTCTCTAAAGGCAATTTTTCGGGATTCTTCCGGATGTGGGTCTGATTGTGCCAACCCTGAAAGGTAAGGTAAAGATTTTGCTTGATATTTACTTGATATTTCCTTTATATTTCCTTTATATTTGTTTATATTTATAACTTGCTTTAAATCTACCAGATTGAGATGATTTATAGCTCAAAAAATAGAGAATATAAAGAGCTTTTGAATACATCAAAGAACACGCAAAAATATTTGCTATATTTTGCTATATAACGATTTAACCTTATCGTTGAAAAGAATTGCCGAAATTGGGATCGCTCCACCGACATTGCCTGAAAGTTGTTGATTGTAAAAAGTCTCCCTTTCCACTAAGCACTATAAACTACAAAAAATGACGACCTATCACACTATAAACGCTTCTAAATTGCTTTAAATCTACCAGATTGAGATGATCTATAGCTCGAAAAATAGAGAATATCAAGAGCTTTCAAATGAGTCAAAGAACACTCAAAAATCTCAATGCTATAGAAAGTTACAGTAATTTGTAGCCTGACGGACCGTAGTCGAAGCGATCATAACTACAAACCACTGTAACTTTCTATAGCATTTGATTTTTTGAGTGTGCTTCGATTCATTCGAAAGCTCTTGATATTATCTATTTTTTGAGCTATAGATCATGTCAATCTGGTAGATTTAAAGCAAGTTAGAAGCGTTTATAGTGTCGATATCTACATTTGCCACTGACCCCCATCCTCGACTCTCGTCGGTAGCCAGCATTTCTCCATTTGATCCATTCCATACATCCATTTCATCGTTTTCTCTTTCAACGCCAACCACGTATCACCAGCATCCTCGTTTGACCAATCCTGAAAACGTTTTTATTTGATGTGATCGAAATGCTGATTGATTTTTTGAAGTTGTCTAAAAAGAGCTTCAAGAGAAGCTATCGTAATCCTATTCATTGATATTTACTTTCCTTCTCTTTCTTCCTTTCTCTTCTCCCTTATATTTCATCTTTCTTCTCTCGTGAGCGGATACTGGATAGCTCAGTGGCTAGAGCATTTGTCCGGGGGTTCCCCAGGTCTCCCAGCTCGAGGGTTCAATCCCCTCTCCGGAAGTCTTTGTCATATCTCATTTTACTTTATTACAAGGGAATAGAAGTCGATATCGATTCAAAATCCGGTACATCTTATAGAGTTTAAGATTCTGTTTTCGAATATTCAAATAGATTAGCTTTCCTATTAGCGGTGTGGAAACACTCATTTGAAAATTAGCCTATTTAGATTAAAAGAACTTTTAGAAATTGCTAAATTGAGAGGAGCACAGGCTACAGGATAGAATTTTTGTTTATTAAATCTCACCTGTAGCAGAATGAAATATTGCCTTGATGGGATTTCCCTCGATCCATCATCCATCGGAACACTTTGATCTTCTTTCAAAACCACGAATCCACCGACAAGACCGTCTCCTCTAAAACAAAGCATTCAAATCTTTCTTTTCTTCTTCACCTATCCGATTGTAGATGTCCATGATACCAATGTGTTCCCCATCTATCAGCAAAGAAACGATAATCGTATCTGAAAGAATGAAAGAAATTTTGAGGTTAGAGCTTTAAGTTTTATGAAAGCTTACGTGGACATGGTGGTTATTGGGCATTGTTGAATGAAAGAGACACCATCTTCGTACCATAGACCCTAAAAAGGAGTTGTATTTAGGAAACAAATAGGAAATGTGTACTGTAATGATTATTTCACGTATATTCCCAGCGCTATCAACGCTATAGATCTACTATTGTCAGCAATGCAATTCAAAATTTAATAGGCTTAAATGAATCAGCTACTAGACTGTAGTGGATCTTTAACTAGGATTGCGAGGTTGCAAGAGGATCTGAACCGGCGAGAAAAAGAAAGTTTCAAAGTCAAGCACACCATCTACTAGGCCAGCCAGTCATTTTCGAATGTCGAGGCTTATCACCGAGCTCCGAAAATTTTTCGCGTTCTCAATTTTCACTCGTTTTTTTGCACGGATTAAAGGACTTGGGTTGATTTTAAAACCAGGTTTTAGCTCAGTATTTTGCGTAGAATCCGATGCATTAGGTCTAAGCTTAACTCGATGCAAAGTTGAAACAGTTTTAGTTGTAGTTTTAGTTTAGTTGTAGTTTAGTTGTAGTTTAGTTGTAGTTTTAGTTTTAGTCTAGTTTTAGTTTTAGTTTAGTTGTAGTTTTAGTTTTAGTCTAGTTGTAGTTTTAGTTTAGTTGTAGTTTTAGTTGTTGTAGGATACAATGTATGATCCGGTATAAAATCCAGTATTACAGACTAATCTCTTTTCTTAAAATCATTATCAAACATTCGTTTAGATATCTTTTACACCTGTTTATCGATTCCATGAAAATGAATGCTGAACGAGTCAAGCATGAGATCGTTGTGGACTCGGATCAATACCTCGGCTCCATACGGGACAACGAGTAGTGGGCCAGGGCTAAAATATAAAACTTAGATTTTAAATCTAATGAGATAAAGTAAATAGCTGAAGTATTCCTCTATGAGCTATCAAAAGCTATCCAAAGCTATCAAAAGCTTACGTTGATCCATTCACAGCCAATACTCTGAAATGCAATCCATCCAGTGTCATCACCTCTTTGAAGAGACTCTGATAATTTAAATAAAAGGCTTAAATTGGATAGAAGTCAATATTTTATACCTGCTAACGATTTACGGTAAAGTTAACAGATTTTAGAATCCTATTACCTATTAGACCTATTACCTGAATGGTTTCATTTTTGACATCAAGCAAATCCCGCTTGTTACAAGGAGTCAACTGATCCGGATCACGGGAGTACCAGGTTTCCTAGAAAAGAAACAAATAAAATAAAAAAATCCATAGACGAATTAATTCTAAACCTTTTCCACATCGTAATCAATGAGTGTTCGATGTCCAAATGGTGGCTCTGAATAGCTCATCGTCAACGTTCTCGACACAATCAATGTGAACTCGTAAACGCCATCCTGAAAGTACGGTAGTTAGATGATTACGGTAATAGAAGAGATTAGAAATGGGAAAATTCCAAGCCGAACCTAATTCCACCTTTATTTTCTTTATTTTCTCAGCCATTTCTTTGGCGATTGCTCTGTAATTTTGTCTAAAAGCAGAGAATACCAATTTCTATTTGTAAACAAAATTTTAGAACAATCGCCTAAGAAAACGGCTGAAAAAATGACGGTGGAATTAGGTTTTGGTTGGAATTTTTCTATTTCTACTTCATTTACCATTCAACTCACTTTATTCGGCTTTGCCATCTCCAGCGATCTCGCATATTTCTCATAGCAGATCGCAAAATTGAGTAGAAAAGGCAAGAAAAGTATAGAAATCACATGCATTGCGAAAGAAAGCTGGAAACAAAGAAATTACATGAGAAATTAAGAGGTAAACGAATCGCAAGAATGTTCGTAAACCACTTTGACCAGACTCAGGCATGTTTTTCTCTTTTTCGGTTCGTTTATCATTAGCAATCTATTTTGCTCGTATCTTAACCGGATTTTTTTTGAAAAATGTTGATTTTTCTTTCATTCGACTCTAAATTCAATTTTCTATCGAATGAAAGTAAATTGAACATTTTTCAAAAAAAACCCAGTCAAGAGACAAACAAAATTCGTAGATTGCCAACCGAAAAACGAACCGAAAAAGGGGCGAAGCTTAAGATGGCTAATTTGACCTACCGTAAATACTGTAATAGTACCCCAGCCCCATAATGACGGTGCGGAGCGTTGCGTAGTCTAGCTTTGAACGAGTTTTTCTCGACACTGGCTTATGCTACAATGCTCGTTTCGGTATCAAAAAATAGCCCTGAATTTCAGCTATTTTTTGATACCAAAGACGCATTTTTTGAAAGTACGGGTGCTTTGAAAAAAATGAAATACTAAAAAACTTTTGCGACTACGCGACTGTACGAGGGGGGTGCGGTACTATTACATTATTTACGGTAGATGAAAAAGGATATTCAGCTAATAGATGAAAGTTACAGTGTAAAAACTTGAAGCTTTTCGGAAAAATGAGTTTCCGAGCGCAAATCCTCTTCTATATGCCCGCTCCTAATCACTTTATATGTGACATCAACGAAATAAATGTTTGTATGTCAATAAAATGATCACTTAGAGGGAATCAAGTGATTTTTCTCTCTCTCTCTCTTTCTCTTTCTCTTTTTCACACACCAAATTTGTCTCTTTAAAGATGTTTATACAGAGAAGAGACACCGTGTTGTGCCACAGACTACTCATTTCTCTCAAGTTTCTTTCGCAATCAAAAATAAAGATCAAAAATGCATAACAAACAATCTTTCAAAGCTGATCGCTTATCAGTTTTCTGTCTGGGCTTTCCCCGGTATTTTGGCACAATTTAGTTCTTTAAAAGTGCATTTGACGACAGGACACTGATAAGTTATATTTTAACTCCGGAAATTCTTTTCTAAAGACGTTTACTAAAGTGTGTCAACTTTCGATTAAAACTAGCGTAACCTTTCCTCTGTCCACTTTCTCGATTACCGTAATCTGATCAATTTTTATCAAATCCAAAGGGTACGGTAGCTTTCGAGAGTTGACACGCTTTAGAAAACGTGCTATTTGAGAGGAAAACACTATGTTTTAAGAAAAGGGAAAAATTCGGTGCACCAGGAAAGATGTGTTTCCGTTTTTTAGACAATGATCTATGTTGCAAACAAACCAACTACTTGGATTCAATAGTAGCACACATTTTAGAAAGCTTAACGTTTACGGTAAACTAGTAGGTAAGTCACCAATTGGTCTAAGCATGAAATGGATCTCTGACGTACATTCTTCCCGTGTACTTTGTGCCCCTTACACAGCAACGATCCCTGTCTGCTCTCTCAATCCAAAAATTGTTTGTTTCGTTCATTTATCATTTGGAAACACCCTTGTCTACCTTTTTTCTCTTCCAAAATATTGTAGTGCGTGCTGTTTATTTGTTCGTCGAACTCCCATATGAGACATCAACAATTACTTTATACCTAAATTAAAAAACAAAGAAAACTTTAACAACGCACAACTTATTACAAGAAATGAGACCATCTTCAGGGAAAAGAACCGGCATTTAACACCTAAGAGAACAAACAAAACCGAACAAGTGACTAAAGAACAAATGACCCAAAAGAAGTATAAAGGAATCGAGAAAAAGCACCAAATCCAAGAAAGTGATTATTGATTAAAGGTGTGCTTTGAAGCTTTCCACCATTCTTTTACTTTTTCGTGACCCTCTTCGCTGACCACGGCTACCTAAAGAGACAAAATTTGTAAAATGACAATTTGATAGCAACTTAAAACAATATAGTAAAAACAAACCATCTGATTATGTGCTTCATTCGAATGTAGCAAAATCTCATTTTCTTCTGCGTATTGCTTGACACCTAAAAAGTAAAAAAGCTGGATTTGAAACAATCCTGATTACAAACCTTCATACTCGCGCGCCGAATCAAAGCCCGAATAAAGAACTGCATCTTGGAATTTGAGTCGTCTTCTCTCCTCTTCCCAAAGTCTAAATAAAAATAAATGACTAAAAAATTCCAAAGCAAAGATACTGTATCTGTTCGGCGACGGTAATCGGCACACAGTGTAAAGGCCCGTTTTTCGTGACAACATTTGCGTGCGAGTTCATCCGAAGAAAGATGATAATTTGTTTGGCCGTGATTCCGACCTAAAGGTTTCGATGTAATAAAAATGGAAAAGCGTAACACTTCAAATCTCTCACCTGTAGAGCTTTGCGAACCGATTCCCGCGTCAAAATAGCCGCCGACATATTGGGAAACCTAACAAAATGGTATAAATTTTAGCTGGAAATCACAAAATACCTGTATAATATCTCGGCAAAGATTGAAATGATCGACAATTGCAAATTTGAGGATGTGTAGGCATAGAGTCGAAAATTTGTCTCTAAAACGAGGCATCCTTCTCGCCGTTTCATACTCTAAAAGAATATTATGTAAGCCTTAAAGACATAAACTACCGTATCTGTATCATCTGAAGGTATGGTCAAGTTCGAGAGCAACGGTGTCAAGAAGAAATGGCTAAATTAGAACTTGATCCGTCATACGGTATGTCACAAGTACCGTGCACCGTACTTCTGCAAGTTTTCCCGTGGATGTAGCACTTTTTAAACCTACCCATCTTTTCGTTTCCGAATATAGAGCAATCCGAGCTCTCTCAAATGCAGGATCAATTCGTTTTGTCGTTCACTCCACGTTTCTTCGAAATGAAAAGGCCGATATCCCATTTCCGAATCACCCCTTGAGTCAGCACATCTAAGCAAAGTATTTATTCAAAGAATTTCAATTTAGAAGTTCCCACTTTAACCTTAAGTTTTTATATTTTAAATTTTAAAAGTTAACTCACAAAATAATGCGAATCAACAAATCCAAAACTGCAACCACTTTGCGCTCCCTAGCCTTCTCCAGCTTCAGGTATTCTAAACTTGTCGTAAAGGTTAAAGGTTAAAGGTTAAAGGTTAAAGGTTAAAGATTAAAGATTAAAGATTTAAAGATTTAAAGATTAAAAAGATTAAAGATTAAAAAATTCTCATCTAAAGCTAGAAATTATTATTTTCAACTAACCTATCACATATGTCCACATTTGTTGAACCGGGCTCAGCAAGAGAAATTGAAACCCGCTCGAAGTTAGCTCTGGTGAACCATCAGATGAAGCTGTGAAACCTAAAAAAGCAGTTGTACGTAAAATAGTTTTACAACCTGCAGCATCGAAGAGTTGCCTCGTCGTTGTCGAGATGTTGGTTAAATTTTGGTCCAGTGGCATGGTCAGGTATCTAAAAAGGTAATTGAAACAAGTTCCAAACAACCAAGTACAAAACTCACCTCAGAACCAATTCCCATCGTTCTGTGCTGTTTTTATTGATATCTTTCTTTGCTTTCTTCTCGTCGCCTTCGGGAACGATTCTGAAATTGATCAAGTTGCGTTTTAATCGTAAAATTACCTCAAGCCGGAACATCCAAAAGCACCCAAAACCGAAGCTTTCAGGTAAGCTTCACGAAAGTGTGGCTAAAAAATGAATTTTTTTTCTTTATTCAAGGACTAACTCACTTGTACTTCAATTTTATTGTGTTTCTTTTCGATAATTTCGCATTGTTGAAGAATGGATAAATGTTTTTGAATGATCCCTGAGCTTTCCGTTAAAGAACCATTGCTAAAATGTATTGCTCATATAAAATTATATCAAAAAAGTAAACTCACAAAATATTTGAATGCCATATTAGCTTCAAGACAATCGTTTGCGCATAATCAGGAAGCATCCGGAAGATGAAGAAAGCAGAAGATGGGGTGGAAAGGAGGGTGAAACGTTCATCCTAAATCAACTTATTTTTGTACCAAATAGCCGCCTCAAACACCTTCAAGCCCACACTTTGCAGCACAGAATAAATTCTTCAGATAATCTTTGCTAATTTTCAAGCCAACCTCATTCAATTCTCGAAGAAACTTCAGAAACACAGATCCATCCATATTTTCTCGCTCATTTTCTGCATCTGGCATAACTTCTAAATTTAATTGAATAACAACGCTAACGTCACTGGTAAAAGACATTTTCAAAGTGACACTTTGCAGCACTGTTTTTTCAACACTCTTTTAATCTAGAAAAATTTATTTGGGAACACATTTGTCAAGTTACGTGCACAAAATACCCGAGACAAAACAGCAAAAAAAAAGTCAAGACTTCGAATTTAATTGCTTTAAAATGGCAGTGACTACAAGGAGATTAAAAATTACAAGAAATGTTAACAATAAAACGCCTTGGAGCTAAAATCCTCTTTCACAAATAAAAATTAAAAGATACGAACACATAAAAAAGACTTAAAAATCTTTATTTGCTTTGAGTTGTTGAAATAAACTTGAGGTTGCATGATTTGAGGCAAATTGTAGACAAAACATGTTAATGTCGGCGTAGAGCTCCTAAAAGGAACTTAAGTTAGTTTTTCTTAGCAAGCTAACCTCTGTTTTAATCACTTTATCCTTTAATAGAGTCGCTACGAGCATTGCTGTAATTCTGACGAGTCGTATCTAAACAAAAGAGAACTTAAAGAGAAATTAAGTTTTGAAACTGAAAACTATAGATATCTTGTTTTGTGGTAAAATAAAAGATTTAGCTTTACGAAGTTAACCTGTAGATATGGCTTGCTTGAATCCTGACAAACTTGAAATAGATGTCGAATGTAGATTATTAATGGTTCGACTGGCAGATCAGGTACCATCTAAAATGTATTATTTTTTAAAGTAGCCTTGACAAAAAATACCTTGTAAACCTTCCTAATCAGATCTGCACATTGAACCGAGAAATCCATCGTCATTAGAACACCAATAATCCTAAAAGCGCATAAAAAAATTATAACTTCGAAAACTTACGTATTTATCCGGTCCTTTTCAAATTTGAGAATGTAGCTTAGAACTTCGGTCGAGACTTTCGAATTGTTTTCGATGAGTGGCGGAATTTTTCCCGGCGATATGCCCTAAAATTGTAATTTCAAAAGAAAATCATCTAATCAAGATTTTCAATTACGTTCGTGAAACAAACTAACCATCAAGCGATCCAGTTGCGCGGAATGATCGAAAGAACGCGATAAAATTTTGCAAAAATTTCGACTTTCTGTCTGCCTGAAAAAATTTCATTGGAAATAACTACAAAATTCACAAACGTTAATAAGTTATTGGTGAGAATTTTATCCACCAATGCTGCAACTTCTTCTGGTGAAAACGAATCAGGAGACAGTGAAGAAAGTGTGGGTAATCCAACCAACGAAGGGGTAGAGTCTGGCTGAGAACTAAAATAGAAGTGTTTCAATAAGATCAATTTAACCTTACGTTATTACGTTCGAGACTACTTTTCTTAATTATCACCAACAAAAACAAAGTATTGACAAACTCCAAAAATCTCAAAACCTTGACGCCGAAAGTCTTTCTAAAGACGATGAAGCGATGCTCGTCGATGGGACGATTTTTGGTGAGTCGAGGCCAAATGACTAAACAATTGATGTTTAAACAACCATAATGCAAAGCAAAATACTTCAACTTCTTTTAAAATTGATTATCCAAAAATCTACCTCTCTTCTTTCAGGTCTCAGCAAAGTATCAGGGGGTGTATTTGTCCATCCAGTGACATATCGCAGAAGTTCCAGCAGATTTTCGGTCATTTTCCTAAAAAAGAAAGTCGTGAGCTGTTTCCACTAGATATTTGCTTAAAACTCCCTAAGTGACTCCCTAATCAATCTTTCTCTTGAAGCCGTGAAAATTGTTTCTTATTGTTAATCGAGCTCGGTGCTTCCTCAGCGTCGATGATAGCAAATTGTGTTACAATTTCGTGTGCGAAGTGTGCTTACATGAGACCCTTCACTCGGTGGACCAATATCCAATTCTACCAAAAACAATTCAAAAACACACCTCCTTTCTTCGTCAATCTGCAAATCGTATGGTGCATCGGCGGGAAACTCGGGCCGATCCCTCCTCGATGACCCGCCTTCTTTTTCTTCATAGCTCATCTAGCATCGGTTTTTGCGTGAAACGACCGGAAAAATTGAAGGAATTATTACCGAAAGAGCTTACAAATAACAACGATATCTAATTTGATCAAAAAGTCACAGGGTTGACCACAAACAACAACGGCCTCTTTTTCGCATTTTAGTTTCGTGTTCGCGAATTGGCCTCCTAAAAGGTGCCCCACTTTTTTGCTGAATACCTATTTTCAAAAATCTACGCACGAAAGAGAAATATAAATGGCGGCAATCAACCTTGATTTTTGCCTTTACGCGAATTTACTCCGTATTTGTGCAGTCTTTTATCAATTTTCAAGGTTTCAGCTAATTTTAAGCTCTGCTTTTTTTAATCAAACCTTTATTTAGACAAAATATAGAAGCATGTTTGTAAACTAAAAACTGAAGCTAAAAGTTTATCTGGAGTTGTTGACCTTCGCATACTATGTTAATGCCCATGCTCTTGACAATACAGTCAAACATCGATATAACGAACCTCAACCAACAATACAGGCTAAAAAGTTCGTTATATTGAAGTATTTGTTGTTTCGAAGGCCATTTTTAGGTAAAACCCTTCGTTGGGACCAAAAATAGTGTTCGTTGTATCGAAATTCGACTCTATTTAGCCTTTTGGCTCTTATTCTTCTTTGTTTTTCTCAAAGTTAACTTTGAAATATACATTTGATGCTTTAGATAACGCCAACTTTCGCCTCGATCTCATCTGATGCTTTTCTACTCATTTTTCAAAACGCTCGTCGGTAAAGAAGTGGTAGTTGAGCTGAAAAACGACGTGTGCTTGCATGGGACCCTTCACTCGGTGGACCAATATCTGAACATGACCCTTCACGACACTCAAGTCACCGATCCAGACCGATTTCCTCATCTGATCGCCGTGAAGAATGCTTTCATTCGTGGATCTGTCGTTCGATATGTGCAACTGCCTGAGGACCAAGTGGACACCGAATTGCTAGCCGACGCGAGCCGAAAAGAATTGCTTACGTCGAAAAAATAAAACCATGTTGATTGAATTTTTATGACTTTCCGTCTTATTTATTCCATGTGATGCCTAACTTGCAGGGGTTTTAAAGTTGTTCATTGTTGAGCGAGTCTTTTGCCCTGTTTATTTTTAGGTTGCATATTGATTGGGGTCTTTTTGATTTGCGTTCATTTCCGTTTTGTCATTTTTACAGAGCTATATTTAGAAATGCTATCCTGTAAGACTTGGGTGTTTTTGCTCTTGTTTTGGACGGTGAATGGATACAAATTGAATGTGCCTCGACTCTTGTTGCCGTACCATCCGTCGGTTCCGATGCGTTTCGAGCTAGAAGTGGGAACACCTTCTGGAGGATGCTTTAAATGGTATTCTAAAGATTAATTTCTGACTTTATCGGTTGACTTTAGGAGATCAAATCGACCGGATGTTGTAAAAGTGAACCCACTTGGTCATCGAGATTGTTCGGATCGCGCTGAAGTGGTGGCAACGGCAAAAGTTGCAGGAACACATAATGCAGTGATCTTCGCGGATGATACTGGTTGTTTTTATTATTTGTTTAAGACATGCTTGATCTAGATGGAGGAGCCACTCTAAGTTGCGTTGTTACAATTGATGAGGTGGCTACGATAGTGATTGAACACACGACAAAAGTGCTCTACGTGGATGCCGCTCCTGCACCGATTACCGTCGTTGCTTTCAATGCTGATGGTGAATTTTTCAACTACGATAGAACATACCTTTCATGATGGCCGCATCAAACAAAACCTGAATTTAGGCGACAAGTTTTCGACTTTGGGTGAACTACCATTTGAATGGGATGTCAGCGATAATGGAGGAGAGTTACGACCATTACGTATTGTGCCATTTGAGCAGAGCAAATATCGAGCGCCTCGAGATATTCAAGAACTTGAAAGTCAAAAGAAGAAAGGTAAAATAAAACAAATTCTAGTCTGGAAGGTAAATTACTTTAGGTTATCTCGTCTTGCTTGAAGGTCTTTCATCTGGCTCGTCGACTGTGCAGACAAAATTTCAGGATTCATATTTTGCAGTACGCTTTTACAAAGCAATTAAAACCAATTTTATTTAGAAAGTTGCTGCAAGCAGCCTTGATTTGGTTGTGGTTGCGAATTTGTTACTCGAACCGGCATACGATATCTTCATACCTGTTTATTCCGACATACATTTCGTTGTCAAGATCGTGAAAGAGCAAGGAGTCGAAGGTTCGCTTCAATATTTTTATTGTTTAAAGTAAACTTTAGAAGTTCCGATGCCTTCGCCTCTTTATACGTTGAGGTTGGAGGACAATAAAATTTGTTCACTAAATTCTGCTCAATCAATTGTGACTGCTCTGAGCAAAGGAACGACAAATCTACTTTTACACACAGAGAGTTTGTTGATATGACCTTTAAAATTAAACACAAGCTTTAGACATCGATGCAAAAACAACGAAAAACGCGGCCGTTCGACCTCCATCTACAAAGATTCAAGTTGTTGATCCAGAGAGTCTACAGTTTGCGATTTCCGGAAGTAATTTCATTCTCAAAGTCAAGTAATCAATTACTTTTAGATAACTGGGTTTTGGAGAAAGACCGTGTTTACACAATTGGGATAAATTTGTTGGATCCACATGGGAATCACATGTTCATTGCTGATGTAGGTTTGGAAAAAAAAATTTGATGTTTTTTTATTTAGAATGCTCGGTTCGAAACGGTTTTGCCATTGGACTACTTTGAAATTGTCAAGACAACGAACAACGGAACTCACTTTGAAGTTAAAGCTAGAAAATCTGGACGAGTAACGCTTCGATCAAAGTTGACTTCTTTCATTACAGAGGTATCTGAACGACAGTTTTCCGAATTAATTTTTTTTAGGGTGGTATTGAGATTTTCATAAAACGCAAAGTCGTCGGAGAGCAACAATTGGAAATTGTTGATCCAATCACTGTTATTCCGAAGCAAGTGATCTTCCCCTATCTGGTGCAAAAGAAGTTCGAATATCCATTGAAGGTAACGGGTTGTTTTTTGATGCGGGTAACTTTCTTTTTTTAGGCAATCGGTGGTAGCGGCTCATTCTCTTGGCTCTCTGGCAACAGAGCAGTATGTGATGTGGATGATACAGGGCTGAGTCGATCAGGTGAACTTGGCTGGACGCTAGTCACTGCCGTTGATCGAAAAAATCCTTCAATCTTTGGGACTTCAAAGGTTTTAATGTTTCTTTCGTTCGAATTTAATTCTTGTTTAGATTGGCGTGCTTGAAGCAATTTCACTTGACTTTGGGAAAACGCGGAAAGAAGTGGAAGTGGGCAAAGTTCTCTACTTAAACGTGCAACTCTACGGACTTGATCGAGAAAAAGGGCAAAGACATATTCCTTTCACTGACTGCCGAAATGTACCGTTCACCGTTGAGGTGCAAAATCACGCTTATTTTCATTATGAAAAAGGTTTGTGCAAAGCGGTAGCTGGTTAACCTATTTCCATTATATCAGATATTCCGTCACAAATTCCTACGGAGGGGACGGGATGCGGGACGATCGCTTTGAAGGCTATCAAATCTGGAGATACGCGTATCACTGTCAAGTATGACAAGTATTCGGCAACGATCGATGTCTCTGCTTTTCCAGCTCTGAAGGTAAGAGATTTGGTAACGTAAATAAAAGGAATACTTTTATTTAGATAATAGAAGATGAACTATTAATTCCGATTGGTGGTGCATTCAAACTGATTGTTGAAGGAGGTCCTCGTCCTTGGCTACTTGATCCATCACAATTCTTCATTGAAGGTATATTTTGGAAGAAAGGTAAAAAAAACAATGTTTTTAAGGAAAATCAGCGAACTCGCAAGCTGTTTCCAGCAAATGGCATGAAAAACTACTTTTCACGTGTGGACAGCAATCAGCAACGGTATAAACATAGGCAATTGCACTGTCAATACTTTTTTAGACCGTTGATGTGGTTGTTGGAAACCAGCCTACCACCTCGAATGAAATACCAGCAGTGGTTTCGTCGACGATTCGGATTTGCTGTGTGATGCCATCGCGATTAGGACTGAAAGTGGAGGAAAAGAAAAAAGAGGGCAACGCCCCAAAATGTCCATCCTCGGCTGTTGTAAGTGCTTAAACGTATATAATTTTACTCTTGTTGTTGGTGTTTCAGACACCGATTCTTTCTTCCGAACGCTTCAACATTGGAGTTACTGCTTTTGGCCGTTGTGATGAAAGCGAAGAAGAACGCTCGATGGTTGGAATCGATTCAATGGAATTGGAATGGGGCCTACCTGGTGATGGGAAAAATTTTTTGAGCTTGGGAAAAACAACTCAATTCACTGACGATCAAACAAACAGAGGTTTTGAAAAAAAATAATTTTAGACGGTTATCATATCTAGGCTGGATCGATGCAACACCAAAAGGGAAGGTTGGCAACGTGCGTGTTTCTGTCAAATCAACACGATCGGGATCACAACGACTTCCCAATCCAGTCGCTGGCAATCTGGACATTAAATTGGTAGTTTGAAATCAGAACATCGAATTGTATTTACTTTTCAAAGGTCAATCGGGCGAGCACGGTTCCATCCTCTTTGGTTCTGTGGAATGATGTGACTGCAACGGCAAAGTTGAGCATTGAAGGCGGGTCGGGACACTTCCATCTTGTTGATCGATCCGAGTTTTATGACGCACAAGTTACCAGCAAAGAAATTATTGTGGGATGTTTTTAGAAAATGTTTTACTACTACAGTCTAGGTTTCACCTCGTAAAACTGGCAGTGCTCCGCTTCGTCTTCTGGATTTGTGCCTTGGTTCGGCTTTGTTAGAAGTGCCCATCAAGATTACGGACATTCATTCGCTACGGATTCGAGCGCCTTCTCACGTATGGTGTTTAGGATATAAATATGGCTTATGATTTTTAGGTGGAAGTTTCTTCTCGCGTGACTGTCAATGTTGATGTTGTTGATGTCGAAGGAGAACCATTTTCCGCGGATTACGTTTCTGTGATGAATTTGGAACTCGAAACTGATAGCACTTCCGCAAAGATTACAAGGTAGCCAGAAAGCTTATTAAGCATACGATAGGCGTGTTTTTAGAGATTCTGGAATGCGTTTTCACCTTGATGCAAAGGCGGTCGGTGAAGTAAAATTGATTGCCTCAGCTCGAGCATCAAGTGGCAGCCCGATTCAAAGTCGGCAACATATTTTGCAGGTGGCGTATAATAAATTGGTTACGACTATGATTAATGTTTTAGATCTACGCACCAATTAAACTTTATCCAAGAACGGTGACGTTGATTCCGGAGAGTACATTCCAGGTATTACTTTAAGAACACTTGGGCTGAAGTATTTAATGATTTAGCTGGAAATTGTTGGCGGCCCTCGGCCAACTCCACCAGTTTCTTTTACGCTCAATAACACAAAATCGATGCGAATTGAATCCAACGCTCTCATCACTTCGTTGACCACACTCGGAAATACTCTTGTCACGGGGACAATCAATCAAGACAATGGACAAAGCACCTCGGTAAGGTGTTATGGATAAACTGAGAGTAAATCGCTATTTAGGATTCTGTTGTGGTGAGAGTGGTTTCCCTTGCCGGTATTCGACTTCGTGTTTCTACCAATCGAGCAAAGACGGGAGCAAAGGTAGTTGCACTCTTAAATCATCATGCTTATTATTCAATAGGTTTCGGCCCGTGTGGATGGTCTGCAAGATGATGAAACTCCTTACTCATTCGGTGGCGCCACTTATCCATTTAAGGTATTTGCGTTGGTTTAGTTTGTGAGTATTTCTGACTTCAGGTGAAATGGTCTGTATCTGATCCAACGGTTCTTATGATCGATTCGTCATACCTTGGCAACGCTTTGACTGAAGGAGAACAAAATCGATTCGGCGTGTCATTATCAGCTAGGGCAGGGGGACGAGTGGCGATCAAAGTAGAAGTGCAGATGCATCCTTCAGCTCGCTTACACTTTCAGGTAGCACGCTAAACCAATTAAAAATATATAATTATTTTAGAATAAACAGCAATTGTTCGAGGCCGAGACGACAGTAATCGTTGACGAAGCTCCTGCCTTAATTGATCCAAAGTTGCCGATTTCAATGATCAATATCGCTCCGGATGCCGAATACAAATTGAAGAGCACATGGTGAGTAAAAACTGAGCCTTGTTAGACAAGTTAGGAAAACTAAGAAAAGTAATGTACATTTATTTTCCAACAAAGTTGCATGATCATTCTAGTTTAAAATGTTCGTTTGAGTTTCCTTGAATGTGGCTTCCTGCTCGAGTTTCCTGTTGTTTGTTCGAGAGGCTTGGGGTTCACGTTGAGCGTGTCTTGAGAGGGTACCGCACCTGTAATTGCAGCTTGTGATTTTTTTTCAGCAAGTCCCAACTTTTTCCAGTCAAATCAATGCTCAAGAGCGGCTCGCAGTTTTTCGCATCTGTTTTTGTGGCTTGTACTCGACAAATTGAACCCTCAACATTTGAGTTGTAAACCTAAATTTTAGTTTTAACTTAAATTTTACGAGATTGCACCTTCAACGCTTGATTTAACTGTTGGGCTCTCTTCTCCATTTCTGATTTGTAGATTTGCAAATTGTCCCGAAGAATTGGCATTGCTAGTTGACTCCATGATCCCAATCCCTGAAAGACTTTTTTTGCCTTGAATCAATAAAAAAACCACTTTTATCTGCATCAAGGAGTTTCTAGTCATGATAGCCAACGATTTGCTTTGCAATAATAGAGCCTCGATAACTTTCATTGCACTAATTCGGGAAGCTTCGATCTAAATTTCCCCTCAATAATATCTTTTGAAAAGTTATACCTCAGCACTCGCTTGATAGGACTGCATGTTCAACATATAGCGTTGCTGAACAGTAAATACGGTTAGGGTTCTGGCTATCAGAATAGCCTAAAATGCTTACTAAAATGGGACTCATTAGCTTGTAACCTGTTGTGCTTCGCTGGCTTTTGCTATCACGAGTTTCAAAGCCGTGTTGGAGTTATTGACTGCTTGATTTTCGATCCCTTGTATGTAAGCTTCGGCAGCCGCAAGGGAGTTTTGTAAACTTAGCTGGTTGACAACGGACCACGGGTCATACCATTGGGTCAAAATAGGAGAGATCAATTGGAATAAAAGGAATAGACGGTGCATTTGAAGTTTGTGAAGAGTCGAGTAATTTTTCAAACGTTTGAAACGTGTTTAAGTTTGAAATGAAAACGAAAATTGTTCCCTCGAGTTTTTGTGTCGCTCATCCCTGCCTTTTTTGGATTGCTCTCAAATTTACTTGGTTCACCATTTAGTTATCAATTTGTCAATCTTTTTTCACATGGTTTGTCTTTTTCTCTCCCTAATGCGACCAGTTTTCTGGATGGGCGATTTTTGATTCTTTCAAATTGAACGCGAGTTTCGCGGACTCTTAAAGTTTTGAAATGATAAAATGAAAACGATTGATATGGTACTAACATTTTTTGTCGGGAATAAAAGACTGACTGAACATAAAAAGAAATGAGCTAGTGAGCGGGATAGAAGCTTATAAAAACTTTTCATTTTAGGAATGACGGACAAACGACTTTTTCGGTTCCAACAGCTTTCTCTTCGCTTGCAACCGTCTCAAAAGCTGGTCACCTGCGGACTCATTCGATCACCGGATCTGCTGGAATTCTTTTGGCACGGACCTCGGCGGAACTCAACGAAAGTGTAATCGTGCCTCTACAGGTTAGTTTTAAAAATTTTATTTGTGAAATCAAACTAAAATTGCTTTGATTTGGGAGAACAAGAAACTTTAGGTATCGGCTGTCGGATCACTATGGGTCGACGTTGTGCCTCCATTGACGAACGCACATGCCCATACTTTAATGGCTCTTCCCGTTGGACTAACTCTGAATCTCAAAGTTTACTTCCGTGATCGCTCTGGGCTACGTTTACTCGCAGCTGCAAACAAGATTCAGTATCGACCTCATAGGTAATAAAAATGTTCGGTTTTGCAACTAATTTCCTTTTAGATTCGATCTGACCGACATCAGTGCTTCAAATCAAAATCGAACGATCACAATCACATTGAAAACCCCCGGAGAAACTGTGCTGAGAATTTGGGACTCCGATGAAAGAAATTTGCAAACATTTATCAGAATTTACGCGCTCGACCAATTGACGCCAAATTCAAAACGATCCATTGTTGTTTCGGATCTCATCTGCTTTGTAAATCCTGTTGAGGTAAAAGATTACGTAGTTTTTATTAAGTGCGTTTTCTTCAGGGAGTCGCTGAGTGGAGAATTGATGGAGAAGAACAACTGCAACTTTTACAAGGATCAATCGGCCTTGCAAAGAAACCTGGAAACGTTGTTGTGGAAATGAAAAGCGATCAGGGATTGAGTATGCATGCTACGGTAAGTATAAAAGAATGATGATGATGATGTGTTGTTTAGATTTTGATTAATCCTGTTGGCTACGTTGGATTTTCTTCAAGTCAATCATCAGCGTTCGTTTCAAATTTTGCCGGCGAAAGCTTTGTTTTTCCACTACACATTGCTCGACACTCCAACGAGTCAACCAAGGAAACTAGTGTAATTGGTGAGTTTATTTGTTATTTTTAAAGTTGACACTTGAACCGAAATCACAAGTTTCGTTTTAGGATGTGCAAAGGATCAACCACTACCTCGTTTGAGTGCTCCTATCACTTGCTCAATTCACTTTTCGAATCAACTGGCGTTTTCTGCTTCACATCTTTTCACTGCCAAAAGCACCTTTGACGAAACAAAGGGTTAGTGTTGTTTTAAAATGTTAAAGGTTTAGTTTATTTTAGGTTTGTATGCCTGTGTTATTCAAGAACAAGTGGCTGGTCGTGTTCCTCTATCGATCGTTGACACAAAACCTACGGATATTATTGTCACTGCCAACTGGAACGATAAACATGCTTCAAATGTAACTTTACCATAAATTACTAGCATACAAAGTTTTATAGATTCCGGATGCTGTGATCACGCGTCCTTTCTACATGGCCTTTGAGATTTTGGATAAACAAGTTAGCCACTTACCTTTTCGTAAGTATCATTTTTTAGCTGACTCTTTCTTCGCTTCCATCCCATCAAGCACCTGGAGCAGTGCTATCGATTCGTGTCCCACCCGCTCAATTGTCAAAAATTGCAGCTTCTGGTTGCGCGGATTGGGTTACGATTACAGAGACGACTGGAGCACATTCCCTCAATGCCAACAAGCACTACCTCATTCAGGTAATCTTTAATTTTTGTTAAAGTTATCATTCTCTATTTCTTCCTTTTAGACAAAGCGTGGGAACTCTGTACAACCTGGTCACATTGAGAAATGTGAAATCACCATTAGCAACGCGCTCACAGGGCAAGCAGGCAGTGTGGCAATAAACATTCGAGGAATTGACAAGATGACCGCTCAATTAACAGGTAAACAATCTATTTTCGCCGTCATTTAAAATTTTCCATTTAGGCGCTGAATCAGCAACTTTCCTTCAGCTATTGTTCTCCTTGGCACATTCATTTTCTTGGCTGTTCATCCCATTGATGACACTCTGCATTGCCGCTATTATTTTGATCGCAGGTAATTGATATTGGTCATCTAGTTTAAAAGTTTAATTTAGTGTGGTTGATACTTCGCTCAGGCTCGGTCAAGTTGGGAACTGCGGCAAACAATGTTGCTGGTGGAGTTTTTGCTTCCGATCGGTCCAATCCAAATATCTCCTATCAAAGCTCCGCTGGGTCATCTCCTTCAGGTGGATACATTAAGTTTTTTGTTTAAATAGTTTGTTTTTAGCAAGCTACGTTTGGCGTGAATCACCACCGCGTTATCATTCAACACCAATCGACAACACACCAACAGTGAGTTTTCTCAATGAGCCTGCTACATGGAAGCTTAACATAGCAATTAGCTCTAAAGGGTTGTTTACCTTTTATGAAAGATAATTTTAGCTTGGACCGATCGGCTCCGGAGGCTCTCCCCAGCTATGGACTTCATCGAATATTCGTCGGCGATTGTAATTTGATTTCAAAATCTTCAAATTTATGGCCACTTTTTGTTGTGATTGTTTGTTTGTCATTGATCTCACGTATCCCCGATTTTGCCCTATTGTTGTTTAATCCTCTCATTTTGTTAGTTGTGTGTTTTCCTTTCCGTGCACAATTTTATCAATTTTTTTGACCGGTGCTCAGAATTTCTCCTGACGCGTTTTTTTCCAGGTGACCTTTTCCGTAAACGATTACATATTGCTGCCACGTATTGATACGGTTTTCAAAGGCTTAACTATTCTCTTCTATGTTATTTTGCTTTTCAAGTTTTAGGAACTGCTTGTTGCTGTTAGATTTAAATAAATTTTTCTAAAACAGCTCCTCTTAAAGAATCATAAGCAAAGGTGATACTGACGGTATCCTTTAGATATAACAATACAGTTGCAACCGTAATTTCAAAATGGCTTTCCAGGAACCACAAACAATGCGCGGTGCGATTTTATTTAGGCAGGTAATGCCCATACTAAAAATCTCGGCTTTTGCGAGAAGTAAAAACATTCTTAAACACCTTGAACTACCCAACTGGATTTTAAAAGTTAAGTTTATTTTCTTTAGTTGTTCGAGAAAACCTCATCGACATACACGTACATTTTGGGGTGTCGAGAAACGCGAGAGGCTTTGATCATTGATCCCGTTGTAGAGACTGCACAAAGAGATGCCAAAGTGGGTACTTAAACTATTGATCTTCAGATTGAGTTGTATTTACCGGAATCTCTATTTTAGTTGATAAGCGAACTCGGTCTACGCCTGAAGTACGCGCTCAACACGCACATTCACGCTGATCACATAACTGGTACAGCTGCTTTAAGAAAAGTTTGTTTTTAACCAACACAATAATGCCCAAAACATTTGTCTTGTGATAGATTTCTCAAACATTTACTTTGTAGCTAGTCTCCGGCTTCGAATCGGTGATTGCTAAAGATGGTGGTGCGAAAGCTGATCTACATGTTACCCACGGAGATATCATTAAGGTCCGTGAGTTTTTTGAAAACAACCTTTATTTTCTGTTTAGTTTGGAAAAGAACAATTGGAAGTACGAGCCACTCCAGGACACACGAATAGTTAGTTTTGGAATAATAAATTAAGATGGATTTTAATTTTAGGTTGCTTAACTTATGTCGATCATCGCAATCGAATGGCCTTCACCGGGGATGCGTTGTTGATCCGAGCTTGTGGGAGAACCGATTTTCAACAAGGTTTCAACAAAGTTTTTCAATTTTAGTTACGCTATTTTTAGGTGATTCGAGAAAGCTTTACAAATCGGTGACCACGCAAATCTTTTCGCTACCCGATGATTATTCGCTCTTTATCGGACACAATTACGATGGAATTGGGGAAACCACTGTGGCGGGTATATCTTATTTGTAAATAAGTACCTTCTATGTTTATCTTTAGAAGAAAAACAATGGAACCCTCGGCTTACAAAGAGCGAAGAGGAGTTTGTGGAGATCATGAAAAATCTCAATTTATCACCACCAAAACAAATCGGTGAGCATTTTAGCATTTAAAAAAAGATTTAGATTTAAATTTTAATTTAAAATTCTTTTCAGACCGGGCCGTGCCCGCCAATTTGGTTGATGGAGACATTTAAAATTAAATTTATTTATTTCTTTTACTAGGAATTTTTGTGTATTGTGTATTTGAATCATTTTTAGTATTGTGCATTTTGCAAATGACCTGTGATAGTTGAATTGTGGATAACGGTGTATAAATGTTTGGAAAGTTTTTGAATTTGTATGGAATGTTACACTACTCGCTATCGATATTTAAATGAATCTTTTGTCTAAACTTAAAAGGTTGCTGATTGTTCCATTGAACATAAAACTACTTAAAGCTTGAATTTTTGCAAAAGAAAGTTAAATGTTCTAGGAGGAATGGTCGAGGAAGAATTGGGTCCCTCAATTGGGGATCGAATCACGAAAAATGGAAAAATCGACGAAAGGGGGTCCGTTCGATATGTGGGACCGGTCGAGGGGCAAAAAGGTAAAAGTAGGAATCATTTGTGTTAGTTATTCGAAACTTTTAGGAACATGGGTTGGAATCGAATGGGACAATACGAGTCGAGGCCGACACAACGGGACAATCGAAGGGAAAACCTATTTTCAAACTGAGTGAGTGTTGGTCATATTTCTTCCAAAAGAGACGTAGTTTCTTGTCAAAATACACTGACTATCAAATTAAAACTTTGATTAGGCATCCAACTGGTGGCTCTTTCATCAAGGCAAATGTGATCGATGGTGGACGGGATTTACTTGATCAGGTGACTTTGGGATTCAGCGTCTAATTAAGAAATATTTGTTTTAGATAAGAGAACGCTATGAAATCAATGACAACGAAGAAAACGAGAAAATGGGTGGTGTGACGATAGAAAAGATTGGGATGAATAAAGTTCACGATAGGCAAAAGTAAGTTGTCTTTAACGGTTGATTAAATATTTGCGTAGATAAGCTGAAGTTTTACCTAGATGCTCGTTGGAAGATTCTTTCGTTTTCAGAAACATTTTCTATCTCGGTGTCATTTGTTTGGCCGGAATGCGCGTCTCCAGTCCTCCACCCAAACTTACGCCACATTTTATCAATTGCACCGAGTTAAATCTGCACGGAAATCTGTTACATAGGTGAGCTTTTTTTTTTTTGAAGAAAATAATCGTATTTTAGGTGGAAAGATGTCTTCGAGATTATCAACTTTTTTCCGAAATTGAAAGAACTGGCTTTGGGGTTGTTGTGCTCTCATTTTACATTATAATGCCAAGTTTCAGGAATAACATTATGGAAAATTTGGCCGATGTTTCGTCGCTTTCAAATTTTCCGATTGTTACGGCTCCCGTGTTTCATCTTGTGCTCAACTATTGTAAAGTTACGGAGACAACGGTGAGCAAAGTTGAGTATACTAAATTATTGCTTCTTTATTTCAGATCTCAGCCGTTTTGTCAAGATTTCCGAATGTGACCGATTTGTACGCGAGTGGAAATCGTCTAACGACGTTTAATCCGGGACAAAATGGACAAAAACTGCGGTTTGTGAACTAAACTTTGCCCAAACAAGCTTTGATTTAGACTTGTTGATCTGGAACTGAACCCGGTCAAAAGCCTCGAGGCCATCGATCCGGAGAATTTCATGGAGAAGTTTATCTCTGCATCTGAGCCAAGAATAGATCCTATTTTCAGTTTGGAAAACTTGAGTCTACAGAGTTGTAATGTTGTGACGATTTTGGGACTAAACGGACGTTTTCGACGTCTAACAACGATGAATTTGAAAGGAAATCCGATCAATGAGGTTAAGTAAATGTTCGTTTTTATCTTTAAACGTGTTTTAGTGGGCATCGATTAATAGCTTGGCCGATTTGGAACGACTACAAACACTTTTTGTCACGTCAACACACTTTGAAGGATTAAACGGACTCGATGTTAGAGAGGTGAGCTTGTTTAGTTGATTAGGTAGATTTTTTGGTATAATCAATCAAACATCTGTTTTTAGATGGTTATCGCCAAACTGTCGAAACTGACGATGTTAAATCGAGGAGACGTCAGCGCTATTGAAAGGAGATCGGCTGAATTGCGGTGAGTCAATAATTATGCACAGACAACCGACTAAATTCAAATTTTCACGGTCACTTCACCTATCTTTAGATTTATCAGCAAATGCAATGGCTTGGAGGAGACTTTAAAAGCGCCACATGAAAACGATATTAAGCGGCTGATTCAGGTTTTGTTTTTAGGAATCAAACTGACTTAAAAAGCTTTAGATTCATGGTGAACCGGTCGCTGATAATAACAAGGCGAAAAAGATTAACGTTGTCAAAGTGAGCATCTCGTATCAGGGGAAGTCCCTTCTGCGGCCACTTCCCACATCGTCGACGGTAAGTGTTTTCCAATAAGAGTTATAAGGGTAGCACAAGGCACAATAACAACATTTTTTAGGTATCAAAGGTGATCGAGATTGCGGCTCGTCTCTTCGCTCTCGATCCGAAAGCGGTTACTTTATGGATTGAGCCAAAAGTGGGTAATTTTGTTGTAAAGTTATCTTTTTTTGTCATTCCATTTTAAAAGGAAAATCCTTGAGATAAGTAAAAAAAAGCTAAGTAAATCCTTATATTTAGGAAGGTGCGGCAAGTAAGCTTTCGATTCCCGCTCGACAACTTTCATTTTATTCAGTGGAAACGGGAGACACAATTCGGGTGGAAATGCAATAAAATATTTTCATTTTTTCTTTGTACTATTGATCTCACTTCTGTGCATTCTAGTCATTTTTGAGCGTATTCATGTTTGAGATTCGCGATAAAGGTTTTTGTCGTCGAGGGTTGTTTTCAATTGAGTCGATTTATCGTGTAGATTCTGAATTTTATCGGAGTGGAGTTGATTTTTATGTTCAATACATTTGTCTTCTGAGCATTTGAGATAAGATCTCATACTTTATTTGCTTGCTTGTTCTTGTTTACTACCAATCTGTATCAATTTTTTCACTTTAGATGTCCAATTCGGATGGTGATGACGGATGTGAAATTGTGGCTGTTGTAGCAGGTCCATCAACGAGTTCTTCCGACGATCCCTCAACATCAAATCTCTCTTCAAAAGAAACCCCTCGACCGCGACGAATCTACGAGTTCATCATTCGATGCTGTGAGTTTTATGAGAAGGTTTTGATTTGACAAATATTTTAAGGTTTCCCACAAATTCCTAGTTTCTAATTTCTAATTTATAGGCATTCGCCTCGAGGCGCTCAACCGAACCGCGTGCACGTCGATTCTTTTGATGAAACGGCTGTACGAGCGGCAAATTGTGAAATGTATCTGCAACTATGTAAGGCTTGATTTTTTTGTTTTCAAGCTTTCCTATTTAGTCTCTAGCCACTGCGTGTATTCTGATTGCCTCGAAAAGCGAAGAGGATTCGGCTGTTCGGATACGAGATGTCGTCAATTGTGCTCATCGGTAAGCTTTGCTTCATTTTGATTGTCTAGATAAACATTGTAACCTATAGAGTTGTCGTGTTATGCTATGATTTATTATCGCTTTTACAGAATTTTGAATCCAGATGAGCCGGCAATGGAAGTGGATGACACGTTTTGGACACAGAGGTTTTAAGAGATTCATGAAAATTACTACTCTTCTTTCTTTTAGACGATCACTTGGACGATTGGAATTTGTCGTTTTACGCGAGCTTTCTTTTGAGACATACTTCGAACATCCGCATCAGGTGTGGTTGCTTAAATTTTTTCTTCAAATCCCCAAGTTTAGTTGTTGTCAATCTATCTCGATACACTCGTTTCGTGGATGCCCCAGGAATTCGAAAAGTTCGTGGAAATTACGCTACTCATTTTATGCTAATTTTATCAGATTTCCGATAAAAGATGAGGTTTTCTCCGTGCTTCGCGATTGTTATGTGATTCCCGAGTTTGTGCTAGAGCACTCAAAAGAAAGTGTCGCGCTTGCAGTTGGGTTTACTAAATATTTGGAAAGTCTTCAATTTTAGGTTCTTTCTCTGGTCCTAAAGGGGCACAACATCACGGTGCCAAGTTGTAGAGACTTTTACACGGTTGGTTGTTTTAACCGTTTCAAAATGAGCTTTCTTGCAGATTTTCTCAAAGCATATGACCGAGAAGAAGTTGCGTTTGCTAGAAGAGGAAATACTACAAGATGTCTATTATCAACGACTTAAATAATTGTTGTGAAATAAATTTTAAAAGTTTCTTGAAAGAAAAAGGATTAACGAGGAAAGGTAAACCGGATATGTTGGCCAAACGATATGAGCCATAGACCATTCGTATTCTAACCCACTGCCACTGCTTCTTAAAGTCTCTGGGAAATCTGTTTATAAACTCGCGGTTTGATTTTTGAAATCCCATACAAAACTTTGCACACTTATAACTTTCGACAAAGTGACCAGAGCAGAAACGGAAAGCAGATTCGGAATCAGCGTGAAATTCTGCCTGGAATGGTCTATGGCTCGTGTCATTTAACAAACACATCGGTTGACCTTCCCTTGTGAGTCAGACGATCTATACAGTCTTGTCGGTTTTAATGCTTTCAAGACAAGAAATGTTCTTATTGTTGAGTACACTTAGTCAACTTTTGTTCAGGTTAGACTTTATCTCGAAATAAATTTATTCCCGAAGACAAAAAAAAATGAAGGCATTAGAAACAATACATCGAGGTCAACGATTTTTATTGGCCGGCCTGTGAGCGGAGCATCGAGAAGATCTTCTCCTTCATCCATTCTCGATTGTGAGGCACATAGCTCTTCGTCGCCTTAAAGAATCAAAAGAATCACCAGAAAAGCAACTTTTTACTGGATTCAGTTGAAGGATGGCGACATCGGTGAGTTTGTCGAGAAAGTCGTAGAGTTGCTCAATGTCGTACTTGATCACTCTTTCACCCGGGTTTCGTTTCCTCAGAAACTCTTCGTAGATTTTGCAGATGGCTAAAAGAAAAGTATACTGAATGAGATCGCCATCAAAACGATATTTTCGTTTCATTTACAAAAGAACCCATACCTTCCAAGCACTCCTTTAACGATTCGTAATCTGAGTAGGATCGGCTGTCGGCGCGAGAAGTGGGTTGAAGCAAAAGAATTGTATGCATTCTAAAAATTCCTTACAATGATTCCACAAAGCACAAGTGCTATTTAAATTAGGTAATCGTAGCGTATGAAGGTTTAACAAATTTCAAGAAAATCAGGCATTCTCTACGCAATTGAAAATCCCACTGATCCCTTTACAAGTATGTAGTGATTTCAAATCAAAAACAAACATCATTCCAGGCAACAAAGTTTGCTTTATTTAACTCTCAACAACGTAAATTCTTAAAAAAAATGCAAAATAATAGATTAAGCAAGCATAGTAAACATGGGAAAAAAGATAATATCAGGCAAAATGGACCCTGATTACAACAAATAAATTAACGTTAAAGTAAAGGGAATCATTTCCCCCATTAGTGAGGCGTTTTTGCAAATTGAGTCGAGCAAGTCGAAATTGAATCGATGGCGCTTGGACCACCTTAATTAAAAAAATATTTTCCCAATTAAAAAGGTTAAACCGCATTTGAGAAGATCTGCTTGACGTTATCAAGCTGTGGCGTAACATCTTCAGCTCGGAATTTCTAAAAATGCCAGTACACAAAATACTGTGCTGCAAAAGAAACCTTGCTAGCAGAAGCTTCAAGGCGGGGATCCTTTTGCGCGCAACTTTCAAGAATTATCACCTAAACATTTAAAAATGCAGATTAAAAAGATAAAAATAATGCTTACTGAGCGTTCTGTTTTTGTTGATGCCCAACTAGTATTGTATCCTTGAGGCTCAGAATCGTTTGTCCTTTCAAACTCTTGTTTGTCTGGAAAGTTGTCTTAAATCACCCAAATACGCAATAGACTTACAACTGGCGGGAGAATTTCTCTCAAAACTTTTGCGCTCTATCAAGTCTTTCTCTCGTTGAGACGTCGACTTCTCCCTTCCATCTGACCAAGCCTGATTGAAATGAGTTCTAGCCGCTTTTGTAGCATTTGTTGATCTAAACAGAAATCAGTCAAGTTCCAAATTAATAATACCTATCGAGCTCTTTGAACAGATAGTCACTTGGATGGACGTCAGTGCTGTAACGCTTTCGATTTGCTCCCGATCCCCTGCCCTCATAGCGTTCATCCTACAAAAAAAGTTAGTTTCAAAAAAGTTCAGGCAACAACAAACCCTTCGAATTCTAGGATCATTTATTCTAGGATCTTCCTTGTGTCTAAAAAGTACAGGAGTTTTATTAAAGATTCAAGACCACCTCGAATCTTGCCTTCGTTTTGTTTCGAAAGATTCTTGTTTATTGTAGGAACTTCGATCCCTAATGGCCTTTTCTTTTTGCCTAAGCAAGAAAATAAAAAATTTAAACGATAATAACGAACCTTTCCTGAAACAACATCTTTTCCAAAGATTTCTTTTCATCAAGATCTTGTTTATGCCTTTCGCCATTTTCTGATCCACCGTGTCCTTGTTGCTGTCGATTCTGGTTTTGACTCAACTTCTTGTCCTGTTGACGAACGGCTTGGCTGCGAGTTCTAAACTTTGTATTTAATGTTGTATCGTTTTATAAACCCCAAATTCACTGTACCTCGGTGCTGAACGGGGCGACATTTTTTCATTTGGTTCTTGCCTTTTTGCAACCTCTCGTTTCCCAAGCGTGTCGGTCCTAGAATAGTCAGTTGCTTTGTAAACTTAAAAATCCAACCCAGTCAACGAATCCCTGTTCTTCTTTGATAAAATTTCGCTTTCTAATTCTGTAAGGTAAGTGTATCTGTGTAAAATTACCGATTTTGATGCCCGATTTTGCTTTCAAAGGTGTAGCAATACCCGAATCGGCATTGATTGATTTCTTTTTCTCGTCTTGCTTTAGTTTATCTGATCGAGAGTTTTCTTTAGCTTTTGGCTAAAAGAAAATTTTTCTGAGATAGGGATCTAAAAGATAATACAATGGTGTCGTTAATTCCGAATTCGGCAGATGAAGCTTGTTGTGACGATGACAATCCCTCAAATTCTTTCTGGCTTTCCGAAACGCCTAACAATCCAATAATAGTGTTCTTCTAAAGAAATAAAGTTATTTAGGGTTAGGCTCGAAAACAAACCCTAGGTGGCAACGGTGAAAGTGCTGGTTCTGATGCTTCATATAGCATGGGAATATCATCAACTATGCTAAACTAAAGAAAAAGACATTGGGTCAAAGATTCTCTACTTACATTCTCAAGTGATCCTTGAACCTCGCCATCTTGCTTCAGATTATTTGTTTCAACAGCATCGTTAGTCTTTGGTTCATCGTTTTCTTCTTCGACAAGAGTCGCTTCAACGGCATCTGTAGTAACAGCCTTTAGTTCTGCTTCGACAAGAGTGTTCATTTCAATAGCATCGGTAGTGACAGTCTCTTGTTCTTCTTCGACGTTTTCTTTTGTCTCTTCGATTGTTCGTTCGTCCTAAAACGGTTGCAATTGGACTTTAATAAACTCTCAACAAACTTTGCTTTCAATCGATGTATCCATATCGTTCTCTTGAAGGTCTTGTGTCGGTTGCAACAGGACTTCGGCTTTGTTCTAAAACAAAATTGTTCGGACATGCAAAAAAAACTTTACCTTTTCGGGCATTTTGTGAATTTGTGAACATGAATCTTGTGGAATATTTGATGGCTGACATGAAGATATCGGTTCAGCAACGAAAGGCAATGGGTGAGTAGCTTGCTGTGAAAGTGGAACACTAAAAAAAATGGTTAACTCTATCGTCTTTTAGTTGCCTACTTGTTATTTGAGTTGGCGTTAGAAATGACTTGATGGTAATTGTGGGAAGGCAGCTGTTGAAAATGCGCGTTCTAGAAACGAATACGACTTAAGTTTGTTTTAAAAAAATCTACTTGATTCGAGCCCGCGCCGATCAGATTCGTCAAGTTGTTGGATACACTCTTGAGGTGACGCTCTATGTCGACTAAAGATGGATGCCATTTCGGTCGATCAGTGGAAGCAAATTCCTAAAAAGAAAACCTTAGAGAGATTTATCTTACATAAAAATTGCAGATTGCCAAAGGATAGTTGAACACAATAGGCAATGAGACTTTTACAGGGCTTAATAAGACTACCGTATATACCGATCAAAGCTTACCGCTACAATTTGCTCCAACGTCTTGTCCTTTAGTCGATCATCAATGTTGATGAACACCCGTTCTGGCGGTGCTTGTTTGCGGAGAGCTGCAAAAGTTGGCGATTCTCTCGCGAGAGTGTCCATCGTCTGTTGATACTAAAATGAAAAATTACTTAAGCACAACTTCAAATTTGCAGAAAACACCAAAATTCGCTCACTCCTTTCCTTTCTAGATAGCCGTAAACAAGAGCATCAAGTTGCTCGTTTCCAGTGCTGTCATTCATATCTAAAAGAAGAAATATTTGCAATCAAGCGAAAATAAATATAACATGAAAGAGTAATAGCATTGATTTAGATGCTGCAGCGTTTGGGAGGACTATACTGGTCACAATTTTAACTTTTAATTCGGGGGTGGGACAAATGCGACCTTTTTTGCTGGAAAAGGCCTCAGGAAAGGTCGAGCTTCAAAAATGTTTTCATAGAAGGGAATCGTATGCGTAGATTCCGAATTTCGATAAATCAGACCTAGCTGACACGTCAAATCTGGGCTAAAAGGCAAAAACTACGCAACTTAACGCTTTTCCGCAGTTTTTGCCTTTTAGCCCAATTTTGACGTGTCAGCGAGGTCTGATTTGTCGAAATTCGGAATCTACGCATACGATTCCCTTATAAGGAAATATTTTCGAAGCTCTACGGCCTTGCCTAAGGCCTTTTCCAGCAAAAAAAAAAAAGGTGCGCAAATGTCCAGGTGCGCAAAAAAAGGTTGCATTTGTCCCACCCCCTTTAATTCGGCCTTTGATTTAACCACGTTCACCTATTTATGCTTCTTATACTTAGTCAGGGATTGGTCAGATTTGATTTGTGTGCAAAATGATTTTCTCCTCTCCGACGACAAAACTACGGTATTTTCCGACGCTTCTCAAATAACAATTTGCGGAAATTTGCATAGGAATTGTTTATAATTCTAACTTTGTTTGGCTATTGTTTGGCCATTTTTGCAGAATTTCTTCGTTCTAAATGGTTCGTTCCTTTTGTTTCTTGTTTTTTTTTCACATTTTGTTAGTTGAAGACAATATTTTTTGTTTAGATGTCTTTCAAGGAACTCTCGTTAAACTCAAAAATCGATCTCATTAATTCGCTCATCGATAAAACGGCACAACAGGTATTTTTAACAAATGCTTAAAGTTAGGTGATTTCAAGAAAGTAATTGAGAAAATATTGATTTGAATGAGTGCTTATGGATATTGCTATTTTTGGGTACTTTTCGGTTACAGAAGGTGCAGGAAGCAGCTAGATACCTAGCTTTTTTTGGCTGTTTGATTAAATTTTGATAGTATTAAGCTAGTATGGGCTTATTTTTCTAGTTTATCCAGTTGAAAACGACACAGTTACCCTTATTGCCAGCCTTGTTGTTCTCCTGTCACCCTAGTTATCCATAAACTACCCTATTACATATCAAGCGTTTCAATTTTTCTCATTTCCAGCTTTCTGACTCGATGTGCCGTTTGCGTGTCAACGAAGATGGAAACCAATTCTCGCCAATGACCGAAAATTTGATTCGTAAGTTAGTTTTTGTAAAACTTTTTATTAATATTGTGTTCTTAAGACCAAAATCGATATGGATGCACAGACCTACCGGGCGAACGCTCGAGGCGAACAAGTATTCGCTCGGATGACACCGATAATCAAGTTCTTTTGTTTGTAGAATTGCGAAATTAGTCTTTCTTCAGGCTTCGTCACTAGAAAGAGATCCTTCATCAGATGTCACACTTCGCTCGGAGCGAAAGGTAACTTTTCAAGAACTTTTTATTGTTAGACACTATTTTAGACCGAAGAATTGATCACGGCTTCTTATGATGTGAACTCGGTGCATAAAACTCCAAGCGATGCTAAAGAAAGCGTTGACACGGTGGTTTTGTAAATTTTTCTAATAACGGTAATACGTTAGCTATCGTCAGCTAGTTCATCGTGCGAAGCCCGCTCGTGGTATTTTATTCAATTGTTACTCATGCTTGCTTATTATCAGGAACTTACCCACATTTTCAAACCAGAATTCGAATTTTTCTCTGAAGGATCCAACAACTGTCAGTTATGATGTTATTCCCAAGGTGACCACTTTGGCGGAGGTAATTCAATAATTTTTTTAAAGAATTGAGATTTAGAAAAGCCGCAGTTCAAAGGCGAAAACCCCCACTGATAAGGAATTGGAAATGCTGGAGAAACGGGTACGTTAATGTGTCCTTTGTATTTTTTTATTGTTTTAGATAGAGAAGAAACGGACGGGAATTCTTTCTGCACACCGCCGCGGTGAAATTAAAGGAAGGGGAATAATTTAATGATCGATTTAGTCGTTTTGACTTGTAAGTGAATAAATGTTTTTTGCTAGGGTTTAAGTACAAGAAGAGCGAAGTTTTGGCTTGTTTTTGGTATAGAGTTTTATTGCGCCTTTTTTTTAAACTTTATGCATCTAGAGAAAACCTGAAAATATAAAATTTGGCAAGAATTTCAAAGTTTCTTACAAGTAATCAGAGAAAATTTGGCAAGAAATAAAAAATGATAACACGTCTCGAATATCATAAGCTGGCAAATGAAGGGGGGAAAACTATGCACAAAAGTTTTACACATAAACGAAACCTTGTATCCAAAGAGGACAGAAAAAGCACCATTTCTTTTTTTAAATTTATCTCAAAGAATGTCTAGGAAAACTTATGCCAATACTTGAAAATGAACTAAAAAGTCGAATTTTTACAAGGAAAATATCGAATCAGAGAAGATTTTGCATTTTTTTTTGGGGAAAATGGTAATTGATGCAACATAAAATTTAGAGCACTTTGTGTTTTTTCACGAGTAGTACTCGAGTTGTCTTCAAAAGAGTAGCACTCAACTTTCCTTCTCGTGAGGCAACGAGCCAAGCTTGATGATCTGTAAATATTTAGCTTTGCGAATCGAATTTCTTTTATATTCTTTTGGATTTTATTCCTTCAACAAACCTTTTCAATACATTGATAGACGAAATTCGTCTCATTTGCTCCGACCCCATAGAAATGACGTTCTGAGTCAGGGGCCATTTTCCGCTTGATTCGATTCCTGTAAAAAATTGAAATTGTTCATAGAATTCTTTAAATTAATGCCATATTCCTAAAGTATCATAAAATCTTTTCTTTGAAACTTTCTACTTTTACCTTAGCGAGATATTCGGATCGGTGATGAAATTATAGATGACAGCCACCCACGAATTGTGCACTCGTCGATCATTGTAGTACTCGGGGGCAATCTCGCGAACCTGTAAACATTTATTTTGAACCCTATTAAGATGAGTAAAGAGATGCACACTGTCAATAAGACAAGCTGGAATTTTTTGAATCTAGCTCCCGATCATTGAGCGCAGGTATTTGTTTAATTTACAAATGATCTCCGTTTTATTCATTTATCCTCTTTATTGATACATTTTTTTAAAAATTATTTTGATATTCACAAACTTTTGGTAAATTGCATCCGGAGACGAACGGGAAATCGTGATGTTCGACGTGGTATCCCACGTTGAAAGTCACCAAATTCAATGGACCGTGGTAGCTAAATCTTATATTTTTACATAAAATCAATGTTTTTAATGTAAATTTTCTTAAATGCAACAGTGACGGTGATTGGGTGCTCTTGAGATTACTGTAGCTTTGCACGATTTACCTGTACGTTTCTTGTCCCGGTTGAAAAGTGTAGTGTTCAGCGATGAAATGACCCGCAAGTGGATGTGGGCCCAAACCGAGAACAATGCTGAAAAGTCTACAAATTTCATTTTTCACTCTTTCCTCACCCTCCAGCCAGATAGAAGAAAGCTTTCGCACCCCAGAAATAACAAACAGCATAGTTAAAGGATAATTGCAAGACGAGATTAATCAACTCGAGATCGGTCATCGCCTACAAAATGGCTTTGGTTCTAATTGGAAAATCTGGTTTACTTTCGGGTAAATGAACAACGGTCTCAAGGCATAAAAAAATGGTTGTAACACCACCCAGAGGGCCTTTCGCATTGTTGACGTAAAGAATTGGCACTCGAATTCGGTGGGAATATCTGTGTCGATCACATCTTCGCCTGGAAAATTGGATGTTGGTTCGATAGTTTTGTTTTAAAAGTAAGATTATGGTAATAAGTCTAGTGCTTGACAAGTAAGCCCTTTACCAAACCTTGATATCGGTGATGTTCTAGATGATATTTCTTGAATGAGACCGACATCGGAACACCCAATGGGAGATTCGCGAAGAAACCGAAAAATCGATTCTGAAATCCGAATTGAATTATAAATTGGGTTACTTTCCAACTCACATATAAAGGGTTCGTATATCCAAAAGCCTGATTGTGAGAAATCTCGTGAATGGCCAACGTCAATGAATGATTGAAAGTGCCCGAAACGAAATACGTCTGCAGTAGAACCAGAAACCAATCCGAATCTAAATAGTAATATTTTCTACCGTGACCAGTTTCTATTTGGTATTAAACTTTGTCGATGTACTAAACTTTCTAACCTTTCAACAAATATGCGAAACAAATCTGAGCGATCACCATGCAAACGACGGTCAACTTGAAAGCGGGATCTTGCCCGAAAAGGTCTTTGATTTGCGGATACTTCGCCAAAATTTCTTTTCTTCTGGAATGAGATTTTAGAAGCTTGTACCGTCATTAAAATTGCTTTTTTGCCAATAAGAAAGGGTTTCTAATGGACTAATTACAAGATTTAATATTTTAAAATTTGTTCACCTCGTTGCATGTGGTTCCTCGGTATAGGACCAGGCAAAATCCGCCTTCACCACCGATTGACCCATCTCTAAATTTGGAGACTGGATGAAATCCGAAGAATAGGCAAGTTTTCACGGTATAAAAGGTTTAAAATTTTTGAAGCTACGTTCAAATTCTATAAAGCTTTCAAGCCTTACAGACAATGCTTTTAAATTTTCAAGAAAAAGCAGGAAACTCTAGTGAAGTGAAACGAAAAAGAACACCTATTGAAAAATGAGTGGGGTAACCCCGGGAAACTGTTAATTCATGCCGGCACAAAGACTGCAAAAAAATTGCAAACCGCTCTAGGAAATGACTTCATAGAATCAAAAACCTAAAAAATATTTCTACGATCAGATCATTTTCAAGGCAAAAGTACTCGCTTTGTATCACAATTTATTTCAATCAATGAACAAAACAAACAATAAAAACAGATCTCTAAACTAAGCTACCTAAAATCTAAAAACACACAAGGAAAATAACAAATTCTTTTCGGGTGCACTTGTGGGGGAAATGGAAGGGCTGACCCGTCAATCAGACGATAGCAGGCCGAAAGAGAGATAAAGCCGAACCGGCGCAACATTGAACTTTAAAATTTGGAATCTCAAAAAACAGGAGATTGGAAAAAATGGAGTATAAATTTTAAAAATTGACAAATTTATCCACTGGCCGCTTGTTTTCGAGCTTCATCATCGACAGGCAAATCACTTTTGGCATCGCCTCGATCTTTTGCACTCTCTTCTTTCTTCTTGTGCTTTTTGCCTCCTCTACGGGAGTCCATCTGAAAAAAATGCAATTCGTGAAGAGATAAGATGTTATGAAAGCTGATGTCAATCTTTCCTCCTGATAACGTTAGACTTTGAAAACAAGCAATAAATAAGTTCAAAAATTTTATGGATCAACCTTTAATGGGTTGAACACTAATCCGTTTATAAGGGCAAAAAAAGAATGACAAACTTTTTCTAGTTCTTCTTCAGATGGAATCGGTAGCCATTTCTTCACATCAAGAGCAAAATGTGCGTCACCAGGAATGGTCATCATGAGGCATCTAAACAAAAAACAACTGCTTTCAAAAATGGAAAATATAATGGTTTCAAAAAGATTAACAACGAACCGATTAACGAATGAGCCCAAGGCAGCACTTCGATTAGCACACAAGGCTTCAATGATAGCACCGACGTTCGCTTCTATTTGGTCATCTGGCATCGACAACTGAAATTGAAAAATTCTTCCATTCAACCAAAACACGATTTTAATTATGAGCCAAGGATTTTAGACAGTGTTAGTGATTTTAAATGATAAAAACATCAAATCACAAAAACCGACCCTCCCAACAATTGGATCGGATAACCCCCAAATTGGATGAACGGGATCTCCTTTTATCCCCAGCTTGACTCCACTTCGAAAGCGTTCGATGATTTCGGGCAATTCGTCGCCAAGCCCACCTAAAGGCAAAATAAACAAAGCCTAATTTAAAGATATCACCATTTTTCTTTGTAGGGAACTTCGTTCTGAGCAATCCACGAAGCGGAAGAATATGGGAAGACATATCCGTATGAGCCACACAGAAATCGTAATCGTCCATCCGAAATTGTCCCTTGATGACCTTCTTGATTATATCCGGCCCAACCGCCAATTCAGCGCCACTTTCAACCGCCAATTCCTGAACCATCATTTGAAATTTTTGCAAAACCCCTTTATTGCCTGTAGCTTTGGATCGTTGACAAAGGCCAAAATTGTTCTCTTTTCTCGATGTTGAAAAGGATACGGAACAGGCACAATCTCATCAGAATTTGATACCATCTTTGTCTAAAACAAATACATTTAAACTTCAAACAACAAATCGTTGTAACCTGCTTTTCGGTGGTCATATTAAGCTCTATCCGCAGCTTCAGTGGTGCATCTGGCCGGTTATAGATTGAAGGATGCTAAATTTTAATGCATTAAACCGATCGAGCCAAAAGTTTTACCTGTAGTTCACGATGCATTGCAAGCGCTTCAGGCACCGAATAATATTGTGTTTTGAAAGTTGACCTAAAGACAGCAAAAATTAATTCAAAATCATGAAAGTTACCTAATATAAACATTCGTTGTTGGGCTATCGGGTAGAGCGGCCTCTTCTTCCAGATTTAGTCTTCCCGGAAATTGTTCTGACGGAGATAATCTAAAGAAAAGAATTTCAATCGATCTTTTAAATCAATAAAAAAGTTCTTCTATAAACGTACAAGTTTTTCATCCTTCTAATGTTAATTCTTTCCATGAAGGTGTACTGTTTTCGTGCCGCTTCTTTGGCCTCTCTTTTTAATCGTCGATCCAATTTTTGTTGTCGAGTCAGCGTTTGCTTGAGGGCACGCTTTCGGCCTAAAATCACAGGTAAAGTCTAATTTTTCAATAAAATCATGGGCCTAGAATAGTTGGGGGGGGCGCAGTCTGGAACTTGACCCAAAAGCAATGTTTTTTCCACGAAAACTTACAGAGGATTTTGCCTATGCTGAATCGATGATTAATACTTTTATAATTTTTTTGGTGCTTGCACGCATATTGTTTTGAAAATTTGCATATCAACTGTTCGAATGGAATTTGCTAAAAGCGTTCGGAAACACCTCTAACCCTTAGTAGCTTACGTCCCCCCAGCTGTAAAAATGTGATTCGGGGATGGCGCATCACGTGGTTTCCCAGAGCACCTGCGGTGGGCCAATAAAAAAAACACGGTGTGACACAGGTCATTTCTCGGCCACGCATCACGGGCATACGGCAAATTACTCGTATTCGATTTTACTAAAAATGTTATTTAAGAAAATCAATAAAAAAAAGTATTAATAATCGATTCAGCATAGTCAAAACCCCTGTGTGCAAGTTTTCGTGGAAAAATATGGATTTTGGGTCAAGTTCCAGACTGCCCCCTCCCCCAACTACCCTAGCGCCAAAATCGTCACTTTACTCAAAGTCTTACCTCGAATTTGGACAATTTCTGCCGAAGTTGTTCGCAAAATGTTTCCCCATGGCGTGAATCCATTTATTTTCGCGAGAAACATCTAAAAAAGCAAATTGACAAATTGTTTTTGAAGAACAAGAAAAATAAAGCACCGCTGCCAAAGCAATTAAACATTTTTGAAATTTACCAGCAAAAGTTAATTTACTAGTTCAAATAAAGATATTCGGTTAACCAGTTAAAAACAGTTTGGTGAATTTCCGAATATCCAAACTGTTCTGCTTGCGTCATTTTATGTATTGTCATTTTTTCACGCGCATCTTTTGTCAAAAGCTCGTTGAAAATGCGTTGGCACGGCTTAGCAGGTTTTGCTGCTCAAAAAACGGCAACCTTTGGGGGAAAGGGGATTTTGCGGGGGTACAACTACAATAGACAACTCTAAACGATGCAGAAAGCGCCGTAAGCAAGAGAATGAAAATTTCTTGACATGGATCTTGTATAATGCTCATATTCGATGCACAATTTTATCATCCTAAAGTGCCAATAGCAACAACTAGCCAATAGCTCGCCAATAGTTCGCCTTATTAATTCCCCATTGTCTGTTTTTACTTGTTTTCTTATTACAGCTTCGAGCTTTTCCGTTCTAAAATTTAATGTTTAGACAAAGTTGCTGGGTAGTGAAACCAAAGAAAGAACACTTTCTTTGACGTTTCACCATGGCTGACCGATTGATCCCCGCTGTGGTACGAGTCAATAATATGAAAGAGGAACGACAGCATTTGCGTGGGAATTTTGCGCAAGCTGCCCAACAAGCCGGAGCTGGTAAGGATTTTTTCTTAAAGATCAAATTATGGTGTTACTTTACTTGAGGAGCTGGTTGTGATTTGAGGGGAAGAGAGCTCCATCTCACCGGGAGGGGCACAGGACTGATGAATCCTTTATTTCTTGCTACGCATTTACTAAATACATATCTCTGTGGGCGAAGCAAAGAAAATGTCTGGGGAAATCTGTGAGGATTTCCAAGACTAGAAAATAGACAGAATTACAAAACAGAATTACGACAAGAATTCTGTACAACTAACATCTGAACATGTGTTGATTTTGAGTTTGTCTAAAGTTAAAGTTGATTGTTTTAGATATCAATCCAATGGCACAAACGAACCACCGAAATGAGGCCATTGGTCATGCGGTCGGCTCACTTGGTTTACTTGCCGAAGTACTTGCTGAAGAAATTGTTGTTTTGGTGAGCATTTTCGAGTTATATCAATGCGGCAAAATGATTTTGTTTAGCGTGGCAACGTGAGACAGCGAGCAAGGCTCTTCTGTCATTTTCTTGGTGTTCAACTTTCTGGTGTCTGGGAACGTCTTTTGCGTGTGTTTGCTAGGTAAAGGGGATTTTCACGCCTTGACAACCAGTTTTTAGCACTCATTCATACAAACCAATTCGGCTCGAAGGAAGTGCTGCGCTTGGTGTTGGGGCATCAGAGTATCAAGTATGTCAAGTGTTGATTCTTTTGATCAATCATTTTAGGAATCAAAGGATATGCTAGTCTCCTCCTATTCGCTTATTGATTTGGCAAAAATTCTTCTGACAGACGGTGTTGAAGATGGTTTGTTACTTTGTCAATTGTTTTATTAGCATTGTGGTGGATGTAAACTAGAAAATTTTTGTTTTAGGTATTGCTCGCCAATTTCAATTGTGGAGTAAGCCATGGGCCTGCTTACCTGAACGGAAGATCGTAACAGATGCTGATGAAGATGGAACTTCTGAATTTCAAGTAGTGCTTGATTTTTGTATCATAAAACCAATTTTAGCTTTTCAATCGCCCTCTCACATTTGATGACGAGGACGAGCTTTTAAGTCTGCCTTCGACTCAACAAACTGGAACATTGAGAGTAACGATATTTTTTTCGAACAATTTAAATTGCTGACTTTTAGATGCAAAGCCTTGAGGCAAAAATGGCAAAGATGGCAAAATTAAGTCAAGAATTGTCCGCTTTTCTTGCTGCGCAAAATGTAAGTTCTTAAGAGTCTATTTACTTTTTTGAATTTAGGGCACTAGATCACGTGTCTCATCTGGCACTAACAGTCAACAAAAGTCGCCATCTGCTATTAGCAGTAAGTTTTAGCTTTGAACACTTTGCATCTGGAAAGAATTGTCTGTTCTCACGAATTTTAGACATTTCTTCAGACAATCAGATGAAGAGATTGTCTAAATGTCCAAATGTGAAGATGCCAGTCATTACTAACCTATAAATTTAAGTTGACGACGGTGTTTGCATGCAGTCGATGCGCTCTTCTCGTTCAATAAACGAATCTCCAGTTCCTTCTCTTCCATCAATCAAAGATAAACCGCCAACTAAGGTTAGAAAACAAATATTGCTTTTATCCCAGTTGAGGCAACATTTTTGTTTTTAGGAATTGCCTCTAGTTCGTCCACCACCCGGACCTCCTCCACCTCCTCCTCCACCACCACAATTGCCATTGACACCACGAGTGGCAAAGCAAGCACCACCACAGCTGGATTCTGAGAATCTTCAATCAGTATGCTATTTCTAACAAAGACAGCTAATAAAATGCATTTTCCTTTAGGGCACCTCTGTAAAATCATTGGATAGCACCAGTGTTGAGGTAGCTAAAAAATTTTAACAATTTATGCTTTTTAGTCATTAACATCTCCGCGAGTCCAATTGTTGCAGGATATCAAGCAATTCAAGTTCAACAAAACAGTTGCCAAGTTGGTTTTTAAAGACTGACTGGTTATTTGTTTTTTTAGATCACCTGGAGGGACTCCACTTGTAAAGATTCCATTGCGGGAGAATCATCGAAATATAGAGTCTGGAGTGCTTGCAGCCATCAAGTAAACAATTTTATAGTGCTGTACTTAACAGATGTTAAACCCTCAACTTTCAATATTTTTTTGTTTAGATACAAGTTTCGCAATGTTCGTCCATCCATAGATGACGATGATGAAAGTTTGACAAACAACTCGTTTAAGGATGATGAATGGACCGATGATAATGCGTAAACTTTGACTTCCAGCACCATAATAGGCAAATTTTTTAGAGACGCTAGATCGACAACTCAAATTGAAGGAGAGAGTGAGATGGAAGTCGAAAGTGAGCAACTATGTGGAGCCGCTAAATGATTTGTTGACTTCGTCGTTGTGTACTAATTACAATTTTTCCAGAGTTTCTCATCTTGTTTTCTTCTAATGATTGCCCTTGTAAACCTATTCGTTAGATCTCAAACTCATAATTGGCCATCTTTTCGGGGTGCTTTCACTGACATATCATCGCTTTTTATTCTTTTGACTCGAAAAAATTGAATATGTGTAATTTAAACTGTTGCTCTCATATGTGTCTTTCTATTTATCGTGAACAAATTTCCGGTGTTGTTTTGTTGTCCTCGCCGTGTGCAAGGCACCGCTTTTGTTTTATTATTTGCAGTCGCTGCCAATTGGTTAAGTAAAGGTTTATTTAGACTCTGGATCAAAAATGGAAGAAAAACAACAAAAAGAAAGGAATATCTGTCCAAATGTGAACAACCCGTTTAAAGATGAGGTAAAATGAATGGCAGAAAGAAGGGTAAACGAAATTTGGGCGATCTATTTGTAGTGAGCAGCGAGCAAGTCTGTAAGTGCTTTCTGGAATTGCAAAGCGACTCCCATTCCTTTTGTTCGCTCAAGCTCACGGGCTTGCTCGGTGATCAATTGACCTGGAAAAGTATTGGATTAATTTTAAATATCTTTTGGGCAAGTAGATAATGATGCCAGTATGGGATCAAGGTATCCAAAACGGGTTTCAATTTTTAAAAAATACCCAGCAAGTTCCACTTGTCAACGGTTGGCGCTGGGTTGGCGGCAAAAATCGTTGCTGAACTGGCCGGTTGCTGATGATTGATGGGTTTTACGTGTGGAACTGCAAATTGTAATGTTTTTATTGTTTATCTCTTTACAAACCAATTTTTTGCATAATTGGTTGTGAAAGAATTGGGACAGCAAGTGAAGATCCGATTGTTGAGGCTCGTCCACGACTACGCGCCGCTGTTGGGCCAACATTTTGATTCTGAAAGGTTATTTTAAACGTTTCAATTTCGTAAAAGGTGTCAACTTTCGAAAGCTAACGTAGTATTTCTTCTTTTTATCCAATCTATACTTTGGTGTCCTTTAAAAGCAGTAGAGATATGATAGCTTTCGAAAGTTGACACGTTTTAGGAAACGCATGATTTAAAGGATTTTTACGGTAACTATGTAGTTTAGATGATGTTTTAGATGTTGTTACTCATTTATCTTACCTCTAATTCCCCATAGCCTTTCACCATGACTGTTGCCGTGGCTGTGGCCGTTGAGCGAGCCACTCCCGCAGCCACTTCCTCTTCTCGTGGTGGCTGAAAAATGAATTCTTTTGTCAACAAACATTGATCGAATGTTTAAGTTTGACTCATAACAAAAAAAAAGGCACACTCACCACCCAAACACTCTCCCCATTCAGCGTTGTTGCTGTGGGATTAGATTGATGTAAAGCCGTGTTAATTAAATCGACGAGGTTAAGTGATCGAATGGGAAATTGAGAAGTGGATGACTGAAAAGGAAAAAGGTTTCAAGTTTCTATCGATTGAAATTAAAGACAAAAAGTTGGGAGTGAAATATGGCATTTTTCTGTTGATCTATTGACATTGACAAAGAGAATTCCCAGATCTATTATCGCCTAGTTTTAACGTTGAGGACTCTTGGTTAGTTAGTTAGTTGTTAGCTTTCTATTGTTTGTCTATTCTATTGTTTGTCTCATCTACCTGAATCGATTCGCTTGTCGCATCTGTTTCCACTTCGCGTTTCACCTCTTTCCCATCAACGTTCGGTGGAGTTGAGCTAAAATTAAAAAAAATACTTCCAATAATCAGTCTAAAATCTCTCACTATCAGTCTATAAATCTTACATACCTCGCCTCATTTCCGTGATTCGATTGAGGACTCGTTGAGGGGACTGAAATTTAGTTTGAATTTTGAAATTGAGATCAAATGATTTGTATATGTCGTAGCCGATTATGAATGAAATTTTTTGGCAAATCTTTCTAGTAGAGCAACCCTTTAATGTATGAGGACAATATTATATCATCTTGTAGCGAATTCAATTCTGCGTCGATTGGTACCAAATTTGTGAGTTTAGGTTAAAAATTGCTGGCGCTACAACGTTTCATTCAAAATCGGCGGGACCCCCGTAGCCGATTATGAATGAGTGGGTCTAGGAGCGTCCAACCATCAAGTATTTAGTATCATTCAATGCAGAATCATTGATAGTTATGTTAAATTTTAAAAATTAGCTAGATTTGATGAAAAAAAAAAATTAGAGCAAAAAACTGTTTGTTCAAGAGGAAACTTTGAAGCCCCATAATTTTTTTTTTTTTATTCAATCTTTCTAATTTCAAAAATTTAACATAATTATCAATGATTCTGCGTTGAATGATACCAAATACTTGATGGTTGGACGCTCCCAGACCCACTCATTCATAATCGGCTGAAATTCATCATCGGCTACGACATATAAATGATATGTTTTAGGAAACTTTAAATGGATAAACTTTTATTGTTAGCCGATTGCAGAAATGTGTAGACATTTTGTAGCTCGACGCCCAATTGCAATTTCGGTTTTAGTGCGAGTTTTGCCGCGCACACGCGAAGCCCCATCAAGCGATTATGACACTCTTCCGCTGAAATAGAAGAGCTTTTTAATGATGCTTTTTTTCTAAAACATGTCAAAACCACCGTAATCTTGGCTCCGGTTTAGCCATTAATCTACTTTTAGTCCATTCTATGCGAAAAGATTACAAAGAATGCTTCTTCTTCAAGCCAAGGGCCAATGGTTAAAAAAAAAAGTGATGAGGGTGGGTTTGAAGGTTTGTGGGAATTAAAGAATTTTGGTGTTTTTTTCTTCTGGTTAAAAGAAAAAAGGGAAATAGTAGGAAAAATTGCGCTAGTCGAGAAAGTTAGCGTTAGGAAATGGAAATTGCTTAAAAGTACGATATTTTTTCAAAAACCAAACCAGTCAACCATTGTGCATTGTGTTCTTTCTGTAGCTTCTCAGCTAAATTCGTGAGCTCTTTTGTCGTCGTCTCGTCGAGACTTTTCCCGGTCGCTTTCAGTTCGTTCAAAAGGGATTTCATGATTGTTCTTGTCCAGATTTCTAGATATTTTTTATTATATTTCGGATAATTCTAAATAATTCTAGATATATATATTTTTCTAATATTCTAGAAAATTCGAGATATTTATACTTGAATCTTTTGCTGAAATCGTTCCACAAAGACGCTCGAATTCAGCCACATCAAGGTCGTTCTGCGCGATTGGCACTTTTACCTAAAAAGCTTTTATGGTTAAAGATTTACAATCTATACATAAATGGCTAATCCGTTTTCTAAAATACATCTATTTTCAAAAACTACCGTGATCCAGCCACCAGTTTTCATCCAATCAGCTTAATTTTTTATCATTGACTAAGCCTTTTGATTCTTTATCGAATTGCATCAAAATTGGAATGATCGGATGAGAACTGATGATTTGAGTATGGTGGTTTTCCAAAATTGATCCTTTTTAGAAAACGTATTAATCAAGAAAGAATATTGTACTTACATAGTTACATAGTTACTCAGCTTTTGATTCCCCCAAACCCGAGACCTCGATGGCCGACTGGCTAAGAGCCCTGTTTCTCAGTTGAGATTTTAGTCGCGAGGTCAAGGGGTTTTCATCCAATCAGCTCAATTTTTTATCATTGACTAAGCCTTTTGATTCTTTATCGAATTGCATCAAAATTGGAATGGATGAGAACTGATGATTTGAGTACGGTAGTTTTTCAAAATTGATCCTTTTTAGAAAACGTATTAATCAAGAAAGAATATTGTCCTTACAATTTGTGCCTTTTTCTGTTCTGTAATCTGTTTCACTCGACGCGCGTTCAACGCCTCGCGCACTGTTGGCTCGTGGGGATCTTGATGGACAAGCTGGAAAACTTTCTTTTAATTATATAATGGAAAAGCTACAGTGATCCGTTCACTCACCGTCATCGTCGAGTGTCCATTTGTTGTTTGAGGGAATTTTGTCGCTTTTGGGGACTCTTTCATTGGCTTTGTTGGGGGAACACTGGAATTTTGAAAATTTAACGGTTAAAGAGCTAGCTAACCTCGAAAAAGACCTCAATTGGGAAGCTACCGAGCTCGACAAACTGAATATCTCTTTATATTTGATTGTTATTTGTTTGGTTTACTCATTAACGATTTGTCGATATTCATTTCTCATCAAATTGTCTTGTTCGGTTGTCTCGAAAAGTTCACACAAATGATCGAAACGATCCTCGGAAATTATTCTGAAAAGAATGAAAATTGGCGATTAAATAACAGTTACGAGGCCTTTAGTCAGCTTTTGATTCGCTCAAGCAAAAGGCCGCCATGGCCGAGTGGCTAAGGGTCCTGTTTCTGAGTCGCGAGGTCAAGGGTTCAATCCCGTCGGCTGGATTGACATGTCTTTTTCTGATTTATTTGCTTTTTTTCTTTCGTGGTTGTGTTTTGTTTGTACCACATTCTTGTAAATAAATGTTTTTTTAAAAACTTACCCAATAAAAACATTATCCTGTGTGGGTACGGGTTTCATTGCATTCGAGAATCGCCATCTCATCATGCCTATTGTCCTTGCAACCACTTGACTTCGATAGTTCATCTCGCATAACCACGCCCATTTCTCGAGAATCACATTTTCTAGAGTTACATTTTTGTTTTTGTTTTTTGTTCTTTTCTGTGTGTACTTTGTGCTCAAAAATCGACTCTACTTTGTGTACTTTGTGCTCAAATTCTAAACACACTCTTTCCGGCGTACCGAGTTCAACATTTTTGCGAAAGAAAAACCACGCGAATCGTTTCCATAAGAAAATGTGGAATTGGAAGGCGCTGGAAAGAAAGCGTTTACAACGTCGAGCACAAAATAAGCCAACTGTAATCCTGCTTCTGTGCGGGATAAAATCTCTCCTCACAAAAGAGCACTTGTTTAATTGCTCATTTTTCGGTTTGAAATTTCAACTCTACAGTCGAGTTTCCCAAAAATCTCCTATCAAAAACATTAATTTCCTTTCACAAATCCAGTGATCTGTGGCTAATTTTTGTTTGCCAGATATTTCTATGATTTCTAAAAGTGTTCAAAGATTAGCTCAAAAATAACTGCCAGATTATCTCTTTTTTTCTTCAAAGCTAATAAAGAAAAATATCAGCATGATTTGCTCTGAGTAATGTTATAATTTAGTTTAATAAATCTTTTGTTTTTTTGAGTAGGTGCTTTTCAGCAGATGTTATTGAAGAAATTGAATAGATTTTTTGCGCTAATCATGACTCAAAAATGTTTTTCGAAAAATTCTAAATAAGAAACTTGAAAGCCCTTTTCAATGTTCACGAAAGTTGCAACTTTCGTCATCTTCTTCTGACATCTTCTGCAACTTTCCTCATCTTCTGACACTCACCAAAATAGCAAGCACTTCGCGTGGACTTTGTGCTCGAGAATTTTAAACGCACTTATTCTAGTGTACCAGAAAAAGTAAGTTTTTAGAGTTGAAGCTGAGAAAATCTCATTCAGAAATTTCATTTTCAACGATAGATTTCAGTGGGATTTGTTTTTTTTTGCAAAAAATGAAATTCGAAACTCACACACGAAATGGCAAAAGAAAATTCGTCAATTTTTGATTCATGGGGGATATTTTTAGATTTCATTTAAAAATTTGAAGCCCACCCAGCCTTACCTGTCAATCCAGAGCATTTCATCCCATCACCGAGCAATTCGGCTATCGATTTGAACTTGATCATGTTCTTCCCGATTTCTTTCGCTTGGAGAATTTGCGGCGAAGTTGGTTGGAGTTGAGCGACGCTGGAACAAGAAGAGAATCATCAAGAAATTCTCTTCTTCATTCAACAACCTTTCTTTTTGTTGGAGACTGTAGATAACCCTACGGCATAGCCAGAGAAGCTTATTAGTATTAGGAATGCTTGAAAATTGAGTCAGATCGAGATTAGGGTTAGAATGGTTTGACCCTGTACTCGCCTAGTCCATAAAGTACTTGAGCCATGCTTGAATCTTGCTCCTAGTCTAGCTTGGATTAATTCTAGGACCTAGGACTAGGAGTCTAGGAGCTAGAATTAACCCTAGGAGCCGGCTAGAACCTATGGTCCAGTCTTGGCCGATTCAACCGATCCAACCGATTCAACCGATTCAACCAATTCAACCGATCCAACTTGATATCTTTCAAGCTAAACCCTGGCTTATCCTGGGTTTACTATTAGCCTAGCAGGTCTAACCTGATCTGGCTGAGCTAGATTTACTCTGGTCGAGTGTTTACAGGACCTAGACCAGGCTAGATCCAATGCCACTCAGGCACTATCAACCTCAGTCAAAACTCATTCCTGACTTGTCCTGGACAGACTTGGGCTTCTAGCCTAGCCTAGCTTACATAGATCATAAAAACAATGAAGGTTTTATATCCATTTATTCACTTACCCTCTTTGATCCACGAGCGTAATGAGAATTCCACGAAAAGGCTCTGACCATTGTGGATGGACCTGGAATTGTAAAGATTGCAAGGGATCAAAGTTTCCGAGTTATTTTGGTTCTTTGGCTATAAATGGAAGTGGTCATTTAATGCAAATTCGTCCTTGTGTGCCCACCCAAAATGACTTCATTTAATTGAGAGAAACGAGGGAAAAGAGAAGCTGAAGCTCGTTCAAAAAATAATAGAAAAATGGATCTTTGTCTGTGTGTTTTGGTAGATAAGAGTTTTTTAATGAGAATTTGTGGAATATGGGAAAGAAAGGGTAGAGTTTAGTTGGGAAACAGCTAAGCTAAACAGCTAGGTTGACTCCATTTTCTAAAGTGTGAACAATTAGGAAAAAATTCTTCACTAGAAAAATCCGCCTTTAGGGTCTTAGGTGGATTTTTCTGGCCAAGTCCCGCTGTGGCCGTGGCGCAGCCGAGAGCGCGCCTGTCTACAGCCCACAAGAATGGGTTTCTTGCTTTAGATAACCGACTTCAAATATATCAAGTTCACGTCTGCCTACTTTACGACTTCAAACTGGCCAAAACAGTCGCGGAATCCCATCGAGATTTGATCAAAGCATTTGGGAATGATGTATTGTTTGAAAGCCGATGCCGAGCCTGGTTCCAACGCTTTCGGAATGATGATGAAAGTCTTGAGGATGATCAACATTCTCGTCGACCTCAAGCGGTAGACAACGATATTTTAAGGACTGCAATCGAATCGGATTCATGTCAAACGACGCGTGAACTTGCTCAACAGTTTCTATGTTCCAATTCTACTATTGATGGGCATTTCCACGCTATTGGAAAGACGATCAGATGCGGGAAATGGCTTCCTCACGAGTTAAGCAGTGCAAACAAGGCTTCATGGGTCGCTATTGCCGGAATTCCCATCCGCCACGCTAAAGATCATGACTTTTTTGATTCTCTCGTTACTGGAGATGAGAAGTGGATCTATTTTGATAATACTATTCGAAAACGGCAATGGTTAGGACCAGGAGAGCGGTCAAATCCAACCATGAAACCGGGCATTTATGGGAAAAAGATCATGCTCTCAGTAGGGTGGAATAACAAGGGTCTTGTGTATTTCGAGCTTCTACAACCCGGCCAAACAGTCACATCAGACCTCTACAAACAGCAACTTGATCGGGTAAAACTATGGTATTGGGAGAGACGTAGCTGATTGGTAAAGCGTTTAGTAAATGATAAGCATATAAATGGTAAGCAAGAGGTCACAGGTTTGAATCTCATTCGCACATTTTGTGTGGAGCGTTCTCCAGCGTTTAAAACTAGTACAGAACTAAAAGTTGATTTAAAAATCCAATAAAAGTTTCATCGAGTACTCTTTCTCACATAGTAGTACTCTTTCTGTAGTACTCTTTCTGTAGTACTCTTTCTGTAGTACTCTTTCTGTAGTACTCTTTCTGTAGTACTCTTTCTGTAGTACTCTTTCTGTAGTACTCTTTCTGTAGTACTCTTTCTGTAGTACTCTTTCTGTGGTACTCTTTCTGTAGTACTCTTTCTCACATTTCTAATCCCATTAAAAATCCCATTAGGTACTATTTTTATCTAGTTCATCTAGTTCCTGAAAGAATTTAGAAACATTGTTTTTGGGAGAAGACGAGATAGAAAAGGAGAAAACGAGAAAACGAGATCCAAGCCCCGCCCCATTTCCTCTGTTTCTCTCCTATAAAGACCCAAAAATGAAAATGGAAAAGAGAATTTGAGGACGAGTAATTTCGTAGTCCATCTTTTTCTTTAGACTCATTAGAGAGTTTTCTTCGTTGACGATTATTTGAAGCAACGATTATTTAAAGCAACGATTATTTAAAGCTAATTATCCTCGATACAATGTTCAACAAAGTATTCATTTTCTTTGCTTTCCTTATAGCATTCGTAAGTTTTTTTTTGTGACTTTTTAGAATTTAGAATTCTAGAATTTCTAATTGGGGAAGTTAGCGTCACAAAAATCAGATCTTTTTCGTATTTCATTGTAACCATATTCTGTAAATTTAGCATGGGAAATGTTGAAAAATAGACTGACAAGACGGGGGTGGGACAAATGCGACCTTTTTTTTGCGCACCTGGACATTTGCGCACCTTTTTTTGCCGGAAAAGGCCTTAGGCAAGGCCGTAGAGCTTCCTAAGGCCTTTTCCAGCAAAAAAAAAGGTGCGCAAATGTCCAGGTGCGCAAAAAAAAGGTCGCATTTGTCCCACCCCCGACGAGACAATGTTTTTTATGGAATATTCTTTTGAAAGTCTATAAAAGTTTTTCTTAAAAGTTATTGTACTAAAAGGTTTTGTTTTATTAATACAGTAGTATTTCTCATCAATCTAATGGTTATGTTTTCTAATACTTTCTAAAATTGTTTCCTAATTACGTAGCTAGCTTAGCTATCAGTCTAGCTAGCTTAGCTATTGTCTAGCTAGCTTAGCTATCAGTCTAGCTAGCTTAGCTATCAGTCTAGCTAGTTTAGCTACTCTAGTCAAATCTATAACTATATATATAACTCAGTATTCTGATTAAATCTTACAATTAAGCCTTGTTATATATAAGCAATGTTTCCTACCGTACATACTGTAATAGTACGCCACCGACCATAATGACGGTGCGGAGTGTTGCGTAGTCTAGCTTTGGACGAGTTTTTCTTGACACTGGTTTATGCTACAATGCGCGCTTAGGTATCAAAAAATAGCTGAAATTCAGGGCTATTTTTTGAAAGTATAGGAGATTTGAAAAAAGAAATACTAAAAGATTTTGCGACTACGCGACTGTACGAGGGGGGTGGGGTACTATTAAAGTATTTACAGGATGTATTTCTTATCTCTATTCTTTAGTCACTATCGATTGTTTGGGAACCACCGGAGGATCTTTTCCTTCTCAATCCAGTGGCTAACAAAAGGGAAAGTCGATTCGATTTTGTGAGTTTTTTTTAGAGAAAATTCTGTAACTTAAAGCAATCTAAACATGCGAATTTAGTTCTAGAAATCAAAAGAAAAGCCTTTTTTTTGTTCTAGAAGTGGGGGCGGTCCTTAGGGAAATTTTTGAGTAAATTGTAATTCAAAAAACGAAAAACGTAATCAATTCATAATCAAATTTGAGAATTGGGAATATCTTTTTGTTTAATTGAATATTTTATAGATTTGTCTTTTTCCCAGGGGATTTCTTGGGAAAATCGGGGAAAATGAGAAGAAAAGAGACAAAGAGGCAAATAAAAACTGCACTGTTAAAAGATCTGACTGGGGAAAGAGATCTATTTGAATAAAAGATATGAAATAAATATTATCAACTAGTAGACAGTATAGTACAGTAAAAGGGATTGAAAGTAATGAGCTTTGAAAGTAATCAACTTTGACAGTAAGGAACTTTGAAAGTAATGAGCTTTGAAAGTAAGGAACTTTGAAAGTAATCAACTTTCCATTCGATTATCTATTCGACAAAGCTCAGTCAATTCTCACAATTGAGCTGATCAAATGGATCAATTAAATTGGTTACTTTCGAAAATAGTTGTAGCTGAAGTTGTAGCGAAAATAGTTGTAGCACAATTGAGCTGATCAAATGGAAACTGCTTTGGTTACTTTCAAAAAATAGTTGTATTTTAGAAAACTCGTTAATTGAGAGATCTAGGCTTTTTTCTTTTGCTAAAACTTACAAACGCAACTTCTCTAATGCATTGAATTTAAAAAGAATTCAAGTGATTTTTTTCAATTAAATTCTGGAAAAGATGGGCTAAAAATTACAAATTTATGACCTAATTTAGGTCTTTGTCTTTAACAAAAAACACAATTTCTCTTTAACTTTTCTAATTAGAGAATCTTTCTCGGCTTAGGTCTTCTTATTCTAAAATTACAGCCATATTCCCCTGAAGAAGATCAATTGCCCGTCATTCATCGCTGGATCTTCAAGAGAAGCGTCGCAAAGAAAGTTTAAATGAAAATTTGCCTATCATTTACCAATAAAGCATACAAGAGCATAAAAACATCGCCAGTTCACAGAAACGTAAAGTAATCAATTTTTGAAATGGAACTTTAAGATAAACCCCAAACTCATCAGATTCATCGGATTCAACAGACATCAGACTTAACTCCTCAGAAAAGGTTGTTGAAACTAGCGCAAATCCAAAAATTGTGCACTGCCGGGACTCGAACCCGCGACCTTTCGCTTACCCGGAAATCGTACTAACCATTACACCACGACACACTTCGTTTCCCTTACTCCAGAAGGAGTTAAGGAAGTAATTCACACTATCCAAAACATCTTAAGTTATCCAAAACATCTTACGATGCAGTAATCTCAAATGATTTAATCCCAAGTAAAGTAATCAGATACAGTAATCTCAAATTGCCTTTCTTTCGTGTTTCTTAAAACACACCCAAGTCGGTTTCTCGAGTATCTTCGCGTACGGATTCTCGCCTTGTTGAGCGGCCATTCTTTTCTGAAAAAATAAAACTTTTTTGTTTTCAGACGACTAAAAGCAATCTTCTTTTTTGTTTAATCTTTTTAAAATCAAAAACAATCTAAAAGTCTTTCATCAAACTTTTCTCCAAAAATAGCCTCTAAATGAACCAAATCAAATTTCCGGTCGCTTTGAAGTGAGCCAAGCTTTTGAAAACTTAAAATAAAACAAAACAGGGTTTTGAAAGATAAAGAAAAGACATGTCTACTGTAGTTAGTTAAAAAGACATGCCTACTGTAGTTAAAAAGACATGCCTACTTTAGTTTATAGTAATTCTTATTAAAATTCAACTTTCAAAAACAAACCGCCAAAAGAAAAGTGGTGGAAATGTGGCTGGCGGCGTGTTTCACAAAATTCGTCACTTCGGGCGATTGTGAGATTGAAAGGATTGGATTTGATGAAGTGCTTGTCGAGGGAAGTGTCTGAAATCAAAATCGAATACTGTAGACAGGCTTACCCATGTAGAATACATTGCGTTTGCACATGCAAACGCATTCTTTCTGATGTCTTTCTGATACACTTAGCTCTTTAATTCCTCCTATGTTTCTAAATGTTGCTGTGTGAAAATGAAGAATTCGCTGCACCAGAAAGGGTGCGTTTACAATTTTCACATAGTATATAGTTAGATTCCTATTCGATTTTAAGGGACTGGTGCGAAAGCGGCGCGGCACGCTTTCTAAAGAGTGGATGCGCTACCGTACCCCGCGCAAAAATTCCCCTTCTGCCATTCTTTTCATTTTTATTTTTCATTTCATGTTGAAATCGTGAATGTTGACGATTTTTTTATGTCAATCTCGCTAAGTTTTCTTCCCCGCTTCGTAAAATCTATTTTGTTTGCGTTTTTAAAGTACTCCCTCCCCCCCCCTCGTACGTTCTCTCCTTTTTATATTCTTCCGCCCATGTTTCCTGTTTAAATTCCTAAAATTGTTTTTTTTTGTTTCTCTTTGCTCCCTGCTACAGGGTGGCCCACAATTATCCGCACTCAGTTCAGATTCTCCAGCTTTCTCCAGTCAATCAATCGACCTAATTCTTTTTTATTATCAAATTGAATATTTCTCCTGCAATGTGTTTTCTGGATTTGACCAGAAAAGTTTCTAAACTTTTGCTAGAGCACTGCAAAGTTGTGACACGCGTTTCCTATGGCGGAATCGCGATTTCCTGGATTTTGTAACTAGTTTCAATGCCTCAAAATCAAAGAAAACCAGCCTCATTTACTCCTTTTTACTTCTTATTTCTAAAATCTAGCTCATTTTACTAGACAACAATGAATTTCGATTGGGGATCAAAGTTCAAAGTGTGAATTTGAACTGAGTGCGGGTAATTGTGCGCCACCCTGTGCTCTATTGTCTTCGGATCTTTTTTTGTGTGCCGTATAAACTTAGCTTAACCAATTCTCTTTCAACTAAAACGCACAAAATCTACCAAATAAAATCAGCGCGATTTCCTTGGGGTTCTTCGATATTGTGTCTAATTATTTTAGAAAAATGATTGGTGAGTAAAAAGGTATTGGGTAAGGCTAAATGGTTACTAACTACATGGTAAGTTGTATCTAGCTATTCAGTTGTGTCTAGCTTGAAAGCTTCAGTTTGCTAACGGGACTGTACTGGTCCTCTATTTCACTACAATACCGCAATAAGTATTCATGGGTAGAGAATATGCTTTGTTTCAAGAAAAGAAAATCCCCTCCGGAAATCTGTTTTTTCTTGCCAATTCCTTCACTTCTTTATTTTAAGGTGCTCATTTGTTGTTAAAATCTATTCCTATTGATCAATTTGTCCGCTCACTTACCTGTGTCTCATTTTTCTCTTCTTTATTCTCCATTTTGATCTCCACATCAGCTAGATTGATCGACGTTGTTGCTATCTCTTCATTCGTTTCTTTGTCTTCCGTTTTCTCGTTGTCTTCCGCAACAATCTCGTCTTTTTCATCAATTCTCATCATCTAAAGGAAAATTTGATTATACAGTCATTTATAGAGTTTATTTTGGGCTTAAAGTTATTCAGTTAAGACAAGTTCAATAAGATTCGTTAACTACAAAATTTTCCTCACGTTTTCCTCATTTTTCTCTTCTTTCCCGATGCTTCTCGTAGTGCGCAAGCGTTTCGCCGGCGATGGACCGATTGGGGAAATCTGCAAATGTTTTTTACTATGTTTTCCGTCTTTTTGTTGTCTTTTAGCAATAAGTTTTAAGAATTCGTGTTCTTCGATCACTTTTGAGGTGTACTTTGTGCAAACCTGTAATCACACCTTTCTGGCGCGCTCATTTTCTCTCAACACTATGTTTTTCGATATGAGCTGCACCAGAAAAGAGATGTTTATATTTTTGAGGCAAAGAGAGGGATTATTGGCTTAGCTGATCAACGAAAGAACAGTAATTAGCGTTGGCTTAATATGACATCAAAAAAGGGTAATTTGTCGATGGGAAAACTAGATTAATATCTAAAGTAATTTGGAAAGCTACCATAATCTTTAAGAAAAGTTTACGTTAGCATTGAAAAATTTTAAGAAAAATTTTACGGTAGCCTCAATTCCATTCGTTTTCGTCGTTTGTGCAGCGACGGGCGTTTGCTGTGTGGTCGATCCGCTTGATCTTCGGCGAACCATTCTAAAAATTTAAATTCAAAGATTTGGTTTTTGAATTTTGAAAATGTAGAACAGTATCGATATCGATCGATTACCCACAATAAATCAAAATAATCGAGATCCATCAGCATTTTGGTAGGTAAAGAAAAATTGACAGTGAATTTAAAGAAAATTTTTGGGGAAAATGGCAAAATCGAATGGGAAACGGGAGAATGGAGAAAAGAGAAGGGGAAACGATGGGAAAATCGAGAAATTAAAGAAAGAGAAGAGGGGAAGAGCTGGGAAAATCACACGAATTGAAGGGAAAAAGGATCGAGAAAAGCATTCTCGCATTCGAACTATCTTCAGAATATTACCATTCGATGGGAGAAATTCAAATTGAATGGAGAGAAAAGATCTGGACTAATTATTGGTTAATTTCAGTCAAGATCAAGAACAAGAATTTTCTTTTAGGTTTTGAAATATTTTTCCGAATTTGTTTCTTTCAGAATTGTTTCCAGAAACCATTTTTCAGGTCAGACTTTTCACAAAAACTACTTGAGCCTGCCATAAACTAGGCTTGGACCTGGCTTTGGGTCTTGCGTGACTCTGTTTTGGCTGACAAGTCCTGGATTTGAACATCCCTGAATGTTGCCTGGGAAAGGGAAAAGAAATGGAAATGGATTGAAATGGATTGAAAAAATGACTTGAAACTATCTTCGGAATATTGCCATTGAATGGACGGAGGGGCCTTCTTCAATGCAATTTAACGGGCTTGGCTTAGAAAATTGACTTTTTTTGCCAATTCTGGACTGGTCGATCAGACTCGATCGTTACAGTCTAAAAATTTGAGATCCAGTCGATTCAGTTAATTTTCGTCGAAAACTGCAATCAACTGCTCTATGCCTAGTTTCTGTGAAGGCTACAATATATGCAAATAAAAAATAACTGCAGGAACCAGGTCTGCAGTAAAGTTTAGTCGAGAAATGATCAGAAGTCATACTAGCAGAGAATACTAGCAGTTTTGTTCAAACTGAGTCAAGATCCGAGTTTCTGCTATCAGATTTTATTATCTCATCTATCTGCTAATAGTCTAAATCTCAAAAAAGATTGGCAAAAACTCGATCAATTTTGATTTATTCACTCTTGCTTATTTTTTAATCTTTGAGAATCTGGGAGATTTTTAATGGGCTGTTGACAAATTTCGTGATGACAGAAAAAAATGGTGTTGTTGGGAAATTGTGGAAATTGTGGAAAGGGACCGATAGAGGAAAAAGAAAAGTGTTATATATTTATCGGAGTGTGTAGGACTGTGTAAAATAAAAAATCAAAAATCAAAAAAAAGGATAAAATTACATATCAAAATTGGTTTAATTATTTTGTTGATCATAATGCGTCCGAAGTGATTTTGCATTTAAAACATTTAAAACCACTGAATTACGATTAGTGGATAGAATGCAAAAGGAGGGGTGTGTGAAAGAAAGAAAAAGAAAACAAAAAATCCCATTGCAAGCTTTCGTAAGGCTTTGCTCAAAAGAGGGAATGATAGAGGGAATGGATATGACGGTATGAAAATCTTCTCTTCTTGTTGTTGAAATGGATCTTTATCGAAAAAAAGTCCATCTCTATATAACATAAAGAGATTATTTTGTTTTTGGATTGATCTAGTGCTCTAGATAATGAATAAAGGATCATTTCTTAAGACAAAGAAATCAAGTAATTGAAGTAAATGGTAAATGGTAAATGTGTGAGAGAATTTTGTGTGTCACAAAAGGGTATGAGGGGTGGGCGTAGAGAAAAGGGGAAATGGAAAAGAAAAAAGAAAAAGAAGGGGAATCGATGGGGGAAAAATGGGCGGGGTTTTGGGGGAAGTGCAGGAGAGTAAGGGAGAGGCCACGCCCACCCGAAGAGAAGGGTAGACAGCCCTTTCTCTCTCTCTCTCTCTCTCTCTTTCTTCAGCTATGTGAGCCAACACAAACACCCCACATATTCCCATTTTTCTGTTAGAGTGAAGAGATGCAGAGATCGAGAGAGATTCCCCGGGAGGGAACACCCAAAAGACATAGAAATGTCAAGAGATGTGCCCCCTTTCCCCACACTGCCTGAACAACATAGAACATAGCCACACGAGGATTTTTTGGGCAATCAGGCAAAGCTTTAATTAATTCTTGATTATAACTTAATGTTGAATACAGTTCTGGTCTTGAGTTATAAGTTATAAACAGTTATAAACATCAAAATCAATATCAAAAACCATAAACAACTTTGTTGTCAGTCTAAAGAACTTATTTTAATTTTAATCTCAAAACTGAAACATAACAAAGTGTTTTCTTTTTTTAGAGTTGCAAATTGAACTTTCTGGACAGCTAACACCAACAATAAATGGCTGATTTTAACAAGCATTTTAAAAATCAACTCGAATACCGTACCTTTATCCCATGCTTTGCTTGTAAAAACTAAGCTCAAGCGTACTTTTATAAAGGGATCGCAGAACCTTCCCCATTTCTTCCGCAAATCCAAAAAATTCATTCATTTAAATGAGATCAATGCGAAATAAAAATCAGAAGCTCAAGCAATCGTCACAAAAATGCTTTAGAGTAAAAGGCGACAATTCGAAAAGGATAAAACCTAAGAGATCCGTTTTTTCCTTTCCATAAAATTCAATTCGTTTTCTTTGTCTCATTTTCTTTCGTCGACGGTTTCGCCAACAAATCTCCCGGTGAGCACGATCGAGCCACTTTTGCCGTCAGTAGCTTTTCGGAGGTTTGACCCTAAAAGATACCAGTTGCTTTTGTAAATCTTATCAATTTTAACAAGTAAGTTAGAACTAGTATCCAAGAAAAATATAAATCTTACCTTCCTGTCACTGTCACTTCCAGAGACTCGTTCGGAAATAAGCTCCTTCAACGGAATCAGTGGGCTTCTAAAAGGGAACACAAAACAATGTTGATCAAAATATTTTACCGAATCAAATATGAGATCATTTCCGCATGGCTGAACCAGAAATGAAGGTAGAAAAGCCAGAGAATCGTCGGTAGCATCTGCAAGAATACAATCGCTGTCGCCCATCCGAGCTCTGAACATTAAAATTATCAAGAGTCATTACTACCATTTTGCTTAGGTATTCACTTTAAACTAGACAACACATAAAACTTACGATAACAAGAACGAAGCATGTAATAAAGGACCCACATCGCGAACAGAAGATCCACGTAGATGTTGACAAGCTGAATTGAGTAAAGTCGCAAAAAAAAACTAAGCGATTACCTGTAAAACACTGCACAATTTTAGACAATTCAATGTCCGTCGCACGATCATTACCATCACGAGACATAACTAAACGCAAATCATTGTATAGCTTTAGATCAATTGTAACCTGCAAGAAATGAAGGAAAGCTGTGAGTCCGGTAAATGCAGAAATCATACTGTCGATGATTCCGCAATTTTTAATCAAGAGATTCCAAGTGTTCAGCTCTAAACAGAACAGTAAACAATAGAAAATGTAAAAAAAACAATTCCCACTTTCTCCGGGATAAATCGAAGCTCCAATTCGAATCCAGATGGCCATCCGCAATGATAAGTAGATTGTTAGTATAAGGTAAGAGACGTTGATCTCGAAGAAAGACAAACGAACCGAGTGCTCTAAAGAAAACTTTCAGTAAAGTTATTGCCAAATAAACCCGCTTTTCTTTTGTTTAGCCAAATTGAAGAGCTTATTGATTGACGGAGGTTCGAGGCTAAAAGAATTGAGTAAAGCAAGGAGTTATCCGATATAAAAAGCAAATTTTAGAAACTATAAACAAACCCGATTAAAAAGCTCAATTATTTCTATGGTTTCTACAAAATTTTAGTCACTATCAGTCACTATCAATATTTTAGATAGATACCGTAAATACTGTAATAGTACCCCACCCCCCTCGTACAGTTGCGTAGTCGCAAAAGTTTTTTAGTATTTCATTTTTTCAAAGCACCCGTATTTTCAAAAAATGCGTCTTCGGTATCAAAAAATAGCTGAAATTCAAGGCTATTTTTTGATACTTAAACGAGCATTGTAGCATAAACCAGTGTCGAGAAAAACTCGTTCAAAGCTAGACTACGCAACACTCCGCACCATCATTATGGGGGTGGCGTACTATTACAGTATTTACGGTAGTTTCAACTTGCAACTCCTAGAAAACATTCTGGTAAAACTAAAAGGCAAAATAACTACTGAAAACAATTTCATGTCAAGGTTATCAATATCTTAATGTAATTCTAATAAAGTTAAAACTGAAACAAACATTTTCTCAGACGACGCTCGTGGAGTGGACGTTTGATTTTGCGATGAGGACGGTTGTTGAGATAATGACGAATTATTCGTTATCGTCGTTGTTTTCGATGCTTTGCTCGTTCCCGTCTTCATTTTCTCCTGTTTGTTCGTCTTGAACATCTCTAAATGGAAGAAAATTAGGATAGAAGAGTACGAAAAAAACATTAACAACATTCCAACCAACAATTAAAATATCTTCCACTATTATGCAAAAATTTTGGAGCAGCAATGAAGCCAAACGATCCTTTACACGTTTACAATTGCTTAAACAACAAATTCAATACAAAATTTAAGCTTTAACTACGTCAAAATAACATTTAAACGTTCAAAAATGCAAAAACAAATAAGTTTTAGTCAAAGCCAGTCTTTTCAACGTTAAATTTGACACGAATATGCATAAATAGTAGAATTTTAGTCAAAAAATGAAATAAAATGATCACCTCGAATTCTTTGATTGAATTGGATGAAAAATCGGGGAAATGGGTCGATGTGTGAATGAGAAATGAAATAATTTTGTTCATTTAAGGCATGATTTGGCTGTTACCCTAAAGTCTCGAGTATAAGTTCTGCCTTAATTTACATTCGCTTTAATTGCTTTGAATCTCTTTTTGTTGGGTTTTTATACATTTTTATTGTTATATAAACTTTTATTATTGTTTTTGGAGCGCGGGATACTACAGGGTGACAGCCTATCACCATTGCTATTTGTTATGTGCATGGATATATAGTGTTGAAGAAGACGCTGGAAAGCATCTCTTTCGACCGTCGACGTGGACTTTGGCCGGATGAAGAGGCCAGGGAGGGATCCATAAGACTGAGCACCGGAGAGGAGCAGGGCGGACGCGCCGAGCCACGCCCGGAGCAACAAATAACAGCATAAAATTGCTATAACCCTCAACAAATTTACTTCTACTATTGTTCTTAAAAAGCAAAAAAGTTATGCTGCAGCGGGGTTCGAACCCTCGACACACCGCACCGGAGACAGCCGTCAATTTGCATGCGAAAACCAAACAGAACTTATACTCGCGACTTTAGGGTAAATGAAAATTTCGTTGCTGTTTTGTTTTTGTTTTCAAAACTTCAAGAACTCTTTATTGCACACTTTTCTTTAGCATAAAAAGCAAAAAATATCGGTTAACTTAGGAATATTTTATTAAAATTTAAATAAAAACTATATAGGGTTACATAAATTTACATATGATATCACAAATTTGGCGTGAAGAAAAAAAACAAGAAAAGGACTAGGGAATACAGATTTCGTTCGGTAAATGGGTCATTTTTTGAAAAGATTTCAAGTTTTTTTGGGGTTTTTCAAGAGAATTTTGGATTAGATACCGTAAATACTGTAATAGAGCCGTACAGTCGCGTAGTCGCAAAAGTCGCAAAAGTTTTTTTCGTATTTCATTTTTTTCAAAGCGCTCGTACTTTCAAAAAAAAGCATTTTGGTATCAAAAAATAGCGCTGAATTCCAGCTATTTTTTGACATTCAAGCGCGCATTCTAGCATAAACCAGTGTCGAGAAAAACTCGTTCAAAGCTAGACGCTAGCTAGCTACGCAACACTCCGCACCGTCATTATGGGCGGTGGGGTACTATTACAGTATTTACGGTATAACGATTCTGGCAAGTGCTACGATGGGAAAAATATGGTAAATTTTGAGGAATTGGTTTTAAAAGTTGAATAAGCTACCGTATTTTTGAAGTATTTTAATCTGCCGCTACAGTATTCCGTTTTTGTTTTTCAAATAAAGAAAAGGTATTCAGTTAGCTATGAGCATTGGATACTGTAACTTAGAGCATTTGAAAATTTTTAAAAATGAGAAAAATCCCGAGAGCAAAGTCACGTCAAGGCAATCAGCTGGCACGTTTTTTTGAAGGTTTTTGAGTAAAAAGGTTTAAAAAGGAGTGCAAAATAGGAAACAACTTTCTATTTTGCACCAATCAAACACTAAAAAGGCACACTTAATGAGGCTAAAGTAATCCTGTCGTTTTTTTTTTGACATTTACATATTCATGATGAGACGATGTTTCTCCTCGATTGACATATCGATGGCGCCGCGTTGATTGTTTCGTTTGTTGTTTCGCAATCGCTCGCGAGCCTCCTGAAAAAAGAAATTCATGCAATTCTGCGTTAAAATCACAAATTATTCAAATTTCATTTCATTTTCAATTTCAAATACAATAATCCTGTCTTTTTCTATATTCATGTACTTGAAATTGGAATCATTTTTGATTTTAATCAAGAATTGCATAAAATATAGCTTTCTTTTCTTAGCTACGCTATGAAAAGGTAAAAAGTGCTTATTTAAAGCTACTGTATTCTTAAATATGAATTTTCCAAGATCTAAAAGCCAATCCAGGTCAAGGCTTGGCTTTTAAATAAGCTCAAAGAATGAAACAGACCAGAATATGGCTTCTGCTTAGACATGGGCACTATAAACTACAAAAAATGACGACGTGTCACACTATAAACGCTTCTAGCTTGCTTTAAATCTACCAGATTGAGATGATTTATAGCTCAAAAAATAGAGAATATCAAGAGCTTTTGAATGCATCAAAGAACACTCAAAAATATCAATGCTAAAGAAAGTTACAGTAATTTGTAGCCTGACGGACCGTACTACCGTAGTCGAAGGTTACAAATCACTGTAACTTTCTTTAGCATTGATGTTTTTGAATGTGCTTTGATTCATTCGAAAGCTCTTGATATTCTCTATTTTTTGAGTAATAGATCATATCAATTCGGGAGATTTAAAGCAAGTTAGAAGGGTTTGTAGTTTACGTTTGTAGTGCCCATGTCTTTTTTGATCTGGTTTAGGCTAGGCTTGGCCAAGTCTTTAGAACAACCTTGTTCTTGAGTAGTATTCTTTAATCTCTATAAAACTACATAATCTACAGTACTTACCTTAGCCGATAAACGATAGATATCATTAGCGGGAGCTGCTCCATTTCCGACTACATTTTGTCCTCCGTATGGTTGATAGTGTCCATTCTGGTTAAGTGAAGAGTCTAGAATTTTAATGAAACTCGTATTTCGATTAATTTTCATCAAAAATTGAATAAATATCTTATTTAACACGTTGACGACAATGGCGTTTTTGCACAAACAATCGCATGGGACAACGTTGTTTTTTTTCGACAAAAAATGTCACCTGACATCAGGTGACAATGTCCCACAGAGTTCCTTTTCAACGGTTAAATCGCCATTTTCCGGGACCAAGTCGAATACGGTTCCAATATGGTTCCAATATGGTTCGGATACGGTTCCAATAAGGTTCCAAGATGGTTCCAATATGGTTCCAATAAGGTTCCAATAAGGTTCCAATAAGGTTCCAAGATGGTTCAGATATGGTTCCAATAAGGTTCCAAGATGGTTCCAATATGGTTCGGATACGGTTCCAATATGGTTCAGATATGGTTCCAATATGGTTTTTGCTAGTTTAGAGCCGGATAGATACTACCCTACTTGCTTATTTAATATCCATCATCAGCAAACATAAATATGCACAAAAAAAAAATCAATTTTGGTACTGTCACCTGACATCAGGTGACAATGCCCCAGGCGAACGAATATGTGTCAGACAGCATCAGGTGACAATGTCGTCAACGTGTTAATCACTTTTCAAACCAACCAGAATGTCCATATCCAGACGAGTGTCGACTTTCCGGACTTCCAGCAGGTTGTGGGCTGTAGATCTGTAAAATTCGAGATACTTTAAAACAAAACTAGTTTTATTTAGCTAGACTTTAGCTTTAAGCTTCTCAAACTTTATTAGTTGATGATAAAAATTAGATTAAAAAAAGTTAGATGAATGAAGTAAAAGTAAAGTAAAAGTAAAGTAAAAGTAAGTAAAAGTAAAAAGTACTTTCTGCTCCAATAAGCACGCTCTTGGCAACCAGCTTCTGATGCTAGAGGATGTGCATTTATGGAAGCTTAAAGCTATAACAAATGTTTCTCTGTTAGAGAATTTTTTGATTACTGAAAAGTTCTCTATTTGTAAGTACACAAAGATCCTCATGCCGTTATTTCATGCGAGAAAAGTCACACAGAAACTGAGAGAATTCTTTAAACTGAGAGAATGTCTTCTTTAAAACAGAAATACTGATGAACCAGATGGTTAAACTTATTTAGGAATTGATTATAGATTACTATACTAGTTAGCTTTAGCCTTACTATAGCTTTAGCTACTTATTGTTAGTGTTTAAATTACCGTAATCATCTGAAACATTTCAAAAAACTCTTAAAATTCACTCATTATACATTACTATACTATTTACTATAGCTTTAGCCACTTATTCTAAATCTCTAAAGTCTCTAAAATACCGTAATCATCTGAAACATTTCAAAAACCCTTAAAATTAACTCTAGTTCATCAGTATTAACTAAAGAAATTGATTAGTAATGAAACTGAAAAATACGTACATCGTGATGTGCTTGGTTCAATGCAAATTGTTGTTCCTCATCGGGTTTACTCGCCATTACAGCCGTCGTCGTGATCGGCACACTCGCGAAGACGTGATCCAAAAGATCATCACTCAATGGTTCGGGTTTCTCGTGGGAAATCTCGGAGTGTTTCTCTTCATCCTCTTCTTCTTCATGATTGTCTCCAGTGATCTCAGGAGTGATCTCATAGACTGAAGCAATGACCTCTTGAGTCATTCTCCTTGTCACCACCTCAGCATCTTCTTCCACCTGGGATTACGGTAAGTTGAGTGCTATTTAAATCAAGTTACAAGTTACTGTTCTTTACAAGTTATTCAAGTTACAAGTTCTTTACAAGTTACTGTAGTTTGTAGATTGTTTAACTTAAAATCAAAATGAGTATGGGAACGGAATTAGTTTAGATTGTAGCTTTAATCCTCTTTAACTTTAACCACAAATTACAGCAACTTTAATCCTCTTTAACTTAAACTATAGCTTTCCTAGTTTACTGTAGATAAGCTTCGATTACGGTAGTTTAGATGCTTTCTAACTCAAGACAAAGACAGGTTACTGTAGTTTAAGTGTTACTATAGCTTTTCTAGCTTACTGTAGATAGGCATCGAGTAGTTTAGATGCTTTTTAACTCAAAACAAAGACAGATTACAGTAGTTTAAGTGACTTTTAACTAAAGCGTTAGGCTTTGGATTACGGTAGAAGACAAAGTAACGAAGAAAAGAAAACAAGCAAACATCAACAGAACAAACAAAGATGGAAAGTTTAAAAAAAAACTTAAAACAAAGTTTTAAGCAAAACAAACTCTCTAGTTTATTAGCTTGAACTTGAATTTTGATTGTTTTTCTATGAAAAAAAAGCCTTTAAACCAATGCGCTAAGCAAGCAAAATCAAAAGCGAAAGCAAGCGAAAGCAAACAAAAGCTGATAAAACTGAAGAAAATATTTTACTCTTGGCCATTGTTGATATGTATTCTCAGAGTCTTCGTTCACTAGGAAACTCTAAAAGAAAATTCGCTTTAAACATAAGGATTGGATGATTGGATAGTAGGAAAAACACCAAAAAAAACCACAAAAAAAAGCCATGCTTTGACAAGAATTTCTCATGCAAATTCGATTTAGTTTTTTGATCTTTAAATCCTCAATAATTTTTTTGAGTATTTTTTGTTTCAAGAATTACTCAAATCTAGGGGTAGGCTGGTTTCCGCAAATTGTTTTTGCAAACGCAAACAGGGTTATTTGCGCAACTGGGTCATTTGCGCAACTCGGCATAACTTTCTTTTAAGTGGGCCAATCTTTATGATTTTGGTCTCATTTTGTTGCATTTATTGAGATCTACAAAATGAAACCAAAATCATAAAGATTAGCCCACTTAGAAGAAAGTTATGCCGAGTTGCGCAAACGACCCAGTTGCGCAAATAACCCTGTTGCGTAAAACAATTTGCGGAAACCAGCCTACCCCCAAATCTATTCATTGTCTATCTTTTTAGTTGAATATTTTATTTTATCATACTATAAGAAAGAGAGACGACTGAGTATCTTTTAATCCCTGTTATTAAGTCTCTTTATTAAATCTCTATTAAGCGATATCTTTTCTATACTTTTTGTAAATTGTAAAACATCGAATTCTTCATTTTTTTATCATCAAAATAGTGAAAACTGAAGAATTGCGTCAGTGCGTCAAAGAGTGTGTGTTTACGTTTAAGTACAAAGTACACAAATCTAACTTGTTTCTTGAAATCAGTTTAGACTGATAGCTTTTGTTTCAAGAATTATTCAAGAAATCTATTCATTGACTATCTTTTTAGTTATTTTATTTTATCATACTATAGAAAGAGAGATGACTGAGTATCTTTTAATCTCTGTTAATTTATTATCTCCCTAAAGCTATATCTTTTCTTACAACTTACATGTGGAGTCAGTGTTTCATGGTGACTTTGTGATGGTGGATGACTTCTTTCTTCTCTTTCCTCAACAAACGAGAATGAGTATTCCTCTTTGTGCTCCGAGTACCATCTAGAGATTTGATTGTTAAATTTCATAAAGTTCTTTTCAAATTCTTAAGTATAGCCTTTAAAAGGAAGATTGGCTGAACAACAACAACAACAACAACAACATTGCAACTTTGGACTGGCCTCTCTTGACCTCAATCCGATAGAGAATTTATGGGGAATATTTGTTCGCGCTGTCTACAAGAATCATCGTCAGTTTCAAGACGTTTTTGCATTTAAAGCAGTGATCTGTTTGCTCTGAAGCGAGCTCGACGTCTCTGCTCCTTTAAAACATTGTCAGTTTCAAGAAGTTTTTGCTTTTAAAGCAACGATCTGTTTGCTCTGAAGCGAGCTCTCTGCTCCTTTAAAACCTCATCACTTCGATGCCAAATCGCATTTTTCAAGTAATTAATCGTGCGTGTACATTCATTTCGTCTATATCTATTTCGATTTTCACCTTTTATTGCTATTTCCTTCAATAAATGTTTTCATAGTGCGCTTAAGAATTTGAAACGCACTGTAAAAGCTTGACTTTACTACTGTGACCCGTGAACAGTAGTTTACCGTAGCTGGGTTTACCTAGAATGCAATAGATCTATCACCTAGAATGCAATAGATCTAAGCCGGCCGGGGTTTACGATAGCTGGGGTGTACTTTAGAGCGGCAATCGTTGAAAGTCATCTGTTAAACCCTGGGGGTTTACTAGATTCGACTTTTAAGCTAAGCTTTAAGACTAAAAAGCTAAGCTATGAATATTTAGATAATGAAATCAATTCATAAAATAAGATTTTAAATGTTTATCAACTCTCAACTCACTTATCAACATCCTCTCCAGCCACCAACAATTGAGTGTGCATTGGTGAGCGCTTGATCAATGCGACCACATCCTAGAAAACGATGATAAAAGAAAAATTAACCAAAAATCAATATTCTAGATCTTAATATTTTAGATCTTAATATATTTTTTTGATTTAAAAACCTTATGCGGAGTGTTTGGGTAGACGAGCTCTCCATTGACTCCAACGATTCGCTGTCCCATGTGGAGACCGGCCTAAAACGGGCAAATTTGTATAAGGCAAATTTGTTTTCTTTCTAAATTCGCATTCAAAAGACTAAGTGCTTTTAAATTCAAATTTCTTCTACTATTTTACCCGATCTCCAATCCCTCCCACGTCGACCGTCCCGATGAAATGCCCTTTTCCCTTCTCAGCGTGCAAGTTGAAGCCAAACTCGTCATTCGGGCCGATTTTTTTCTAAAATCGAATTACAATATAACATATAATCTAAATCTATTAGTTTTTAGTTCAATAATTTAGTTAAAATTAGTTGAATCGAATCTAAACTCACCAATTCACAGAGACGCGGTCTCGGCTTCATTCCGTCCGATTGAGTGGTTGCCTGGAAAATGAAAGATATATTAAAAGATATATTAAAAGATATATTAAAAGACAAAATACCGTATTTCTTCGAATAGAAGACCGGGTAAAGAGTATCATCGCGTACTCCTGCGTAGCAGCCCTTTTTAAAATTTCTTTTCTGCATAAAAGCTTTCAATCAAGTGCTATAGGGCTGGAAAATGACTCAAAAATACGACATGAGCTAACAGATTTTTGAGTCATTTTCCAGCCCTATAGCACTTGATTGAAAGCTTTTATGCAGAAAAGAAATTTTAAAAAGGGCTGTTACGCAGGAGTACGCGATGCTACTCTTTACCCGGTCTTCTATTCGAAGAAATACGGTAAGCTTTACTTTTTTAAATATTATCTTTTAAAAATATTCAATTATCTAGTAAAGAATCAATTTTCAATCAATCAATCAATTGTTAAAAACAGAAAATTAAATTTAAATCTAAAGGTGATGGTGATCGTTCTTGTGCTTTATTTTGTGCATAAATTCATAAACACACTCTTTCTAGTGCATCGAATTCCCCATTTTCTCACTGCTGCAAGGAAAATGAAGACTCCGGTGGGCTATAGAGGGTACGTTTACATTTTCAAGCACAATGTACAAGTGAAATGTGAAAGATCAATTTTTAAAAAGTTGCAAAAGTAAAAATCATTATTCTAAAAGCTTTAGGTAAGCTAAAATTAGTGAATTAGTGAAATATAGGATGTTCAGTTTTGACGGGGAATGGATGGCTTTGAGGATCTAAACACACACAATCGCGGATTTTCGGGAAAAGAACAAACGGGAAGGAAGGGGGGGGGGGAGGAGATAACAAATATTTGATTCCAAAGAAAAAAAAAAGACAAAAACGATTTGATGAACACATTTTGTGAGTGTTTACTTAGAGAATTATGGATTTTAAAGGATAAAGGGGAAAAAGGGGAAAAGGGAAAAAAGAAATGTGGTTAAAGATGTTGAAATGGTGTAAAATGAATTAAAAATGAATTTGATGTAAAATGAGACCAAAGTGGCTGATTGGGAATTGGGTAACTCAAGTGGTTCGCAAAATTAATCATAATATTCCAAAAAAAATAAATGAATTTTACTCAAAATTCGTATAAAACTTATTTCTTATTGTATTTATTCATTGAATAAAAGAAAAATTTGTTTTTTTAAGATACTGAAAGTCTACGTATCATCGTTTTCCTTAAGATACTGAAAGTCTATGTATCATTACAGTATACTTGGATAAAAAGTATTCAGCTAACTGAAAAAAAACAAAGCAATTCAATTGAACAATAGTTTTTTTCTGAAGTTAAAGGAAACTTATGAAAGTTAACTATTTAAATATAATTTAGATATATATGAATTTCTGAAAAAAACGATAACAAAAAGCGATAACAAAAAGCCAGTAACCCAGGATCGAACCCGGGTTACAAGACTTGAAAGCCAAGCTGCTTTTGAGCTGCTAACCACTGCTAAGAAAAAGCTGCTAATCACTGCTAAGAAAAAGCTGCTAACCACATAACCACTTGAACCAACGGTTTCTTTATCTAAAAGAGACAAACAACAAAAAATTCTAGATTAAAGTTCTAGAAAAATCTTTGAATATTTAAAATGATCAAGATCAAGAAAAATCTTTCACATGAGAAAAAAAGATCGCATTCTTGTTTGGGGGGAATATTTGTATGAATGAATCATACCCATTTCTCCTATTTTTTTTATCCGTTTAGGAAAAGAGAACCGGTTTTTGAGTTGAAAAAAATTGTGTTTAAAGGGTTTCAACAAAAAAAATACACACAAAAAGGCACTTGTAAGGGTGAGCAAATAAAAATCGACTAAAAGGAGCAGGGCAAAATTTTTAGATAGCCTTTCTAGGGCACAATTTGAGCCAAGCGTTAATCGTCGGCTTTGATCTAGCGGTTAGCGCGCTCGCCTATCAGTCAAGACCTTGGGGGTTCGATTCCGGTGGTTGCCAAAAGTTTTTGCTTTTTTTGAATGAAATCCAAATATTTTATGAATTTCGAGTCTTTGCCAAAAAAATTCAATTTTTGCAATAAAATCGATTTCTATGAAAAGAAGGAGGCATTCGAAATAAAAAAAATTTATTGCAAAAATCCGGGAATCTTTTTTGGCAAAGAGTCGAAATTCAAAACGAATTCACACAAAAAAAACCAAAAAAATAGGGATTCTCTTTTTCATTTTAAAAAGATATTCAATTGAACGATTGTTTGTTTATAATTTTATCTAATTCTTTGAAATTTCACGAGTTTTTCGAGAAAGAAGTGGCAAGATTTGGCAAATTCGGTGAAACGGGGGACAACAAAAAAAAGTGAGAGAAATTTTGTTGATCCTATTTTTCGAATGAATGGTTTTTTCGAATGGTTAACATTTTTGAAAGTTCTTGAAATTTTTGAGTGAATTTTTGGGGGAAAAACGAGGATTTTTTATCTAAGGATGATAAGACGAGGGGGAATTACAACAAGGATTTGTGCCGGGTTTGCGAGGGGAAATTCTGAAGCGGCTTTCTGAAGCTATCAAAATGGAAACAGGGGTTTGTTTTCAAAAAAAGAGCTAGCTTGGATTTTTTCAAGTTTCAAACTCTCCGAGAACCTTATTGAATAAGATGGGTTTGCTTATTTGCTTTGCTTATAAAAGGAATCTCTTATTACAACCCTCCTCGAATTATTATTTATTTTTAGGTCTACTGTGCTTCTTTCCTCTCCCCCTTCCTCTTCTAAAATGCATCTATTTTTGAAAACTTTATAATAAAGCCATTATTTTTCATTCGATCACCCTAATTTTTATATTATTTAATGAGAAATGAAAAGGTAGAGACAATGATATTAAAATTGGGCTGATCAAATGAAAAATATCAGTTTGATTACGATGATTTGCATAAAGTATGTGCTTTTTTGAAAGCTCGAGAGGACCCGAGAGGATACTGTAATAGTACAGCCGCGTAGTCGCAAATCTTTTTCGTATTTCATTTTTTTCAAAGCGCTCGTACTTTCAAAAAATGCGGCTTTGTTGTCAAAAAATAGCCCTGAATTTTAGCTATTTTTTGAAGCCTAAACGCACATTGTAGCATAAACCAGTGTCAAGAAAAACGCGTTCAAAGCTAGACTACGCAACACTCCGCATCGTCATTATGGGGATAGGGTACTATTACGGTATTGACGGTAATTCGTAAAAACAATTGGATTAAAGTTTTCTAAAATACAGTAACCCAATTGTCTGCTTTAGATTCAATAATTGAATCCAAAGACAAGACAAAAGACTAATTATCGATCTTTTTACCCCTAACCATTCATTTTTCTTCTCCACTACTACCAATAAATTTTTTTCGGATAAAAGATGAGATAAGAAAAGGAAAATGATGACAAAAAAAAGGAAGAAAAAGGAAGAAAAAGGGACTATCAGAAAATGGAGAGGTTGTAAGCGAAAATAAAAAGGGTTTAGGGTTTAAAATAAAAAAATATAATTTTTCTAAAGCTATACCTTTGATTGCGGGGCGTACCAGGTGGCGGCTGGTGGAGGAGAACGAGAGATCGAGTCCTGGAAGAAAATTTGAATCTGATTTTGAAAGCTTGTAAGTGTTAAACTTTAATTTTCTTCCAATATAAAGGGAGGTTATACAGAAACTGATAAGCTTATTACTGACTTTAGAAAGAAATGTAGATTCTGAAGCAAGGATATTGCAAGAGTCTTGGACTTGGGCCAGGGATGTCCGGATCCGGACCTCTACACAAACATACAAAGAACGAAAAGACGACTACGCGACACTCCAATAGACAGTTCATAGTACTGTTGCGTAGGCGTTTAGTAGTGTCGCGTAGTCATCTTTTTGTTCTTTGTATGCTAGCGTAGAGATCCGGATCCGGACATCCCTGACTAGGACTAGGAGTAGGGGTTAGACTAGACGCCAGGTTTGGTACACTGCTTAAGGCTTAGAAAAAACATAAGGATAAGTCAGGCCTGGAAGTTAGGTTAAGCTTAAAACCAGGTCCATACCAGCTGTTGGAATGGTGTTGACTAGTGTGTTCCTCTCAAATAAGCCATTCTCAAACACAATAACATCAAAAAGTTAAAATTACCATAGTTTTTGCATATTGATAAAATATAAGAAATAAAAATGGCAAAAATTTGGCAAAGTTTTGACAAAAAATGACAAAAAAAACTCGACAAACGATTTATATACCGGCTGACATAAAAGATATTCAGTCGTTTAACTGAATATCTTATTTGGGCAAAGTTTTTTTCAAAAGGCAAACTGCTAGCTCGAAATTTTGCTTCAACATTAGAGAGTTTTTGGACGTTTTTTGTTATTTCACCTTTTTTTTGAACGTTTATTTAACGCATTCTTCAAATAAAAGAATTATTTAAGCAAATTTATTTAAATAATGATTTGTTTAAGAGGAACACACTCTAGTCTTGACTTTTGATATCTTTTAAGCTTGATCTATCTTTACTTAATGTCCTTCCCGTTAAAAAAAATAGTTCAGAACATTTCAGAAGGGTAATTTCTCATGATTTACACATAAATTTAAAAAACAAACCGATCTCGGTGGATTGGTGGGCAATGGATAACCCCTGTCCGTGTACCATTCAGCCGATTTCGGATCGATCACCAATAAAGCACATTTAAGTGGATCGGATTTGATTCGTTCAACGACCTGAAAAAAAAAGAGCATACAAAGGAATCAAAAATCTTTTATCTTTAACCTTTTTATGATTCTCTTCCAAAATACTGGCTCCATTCACGGCCACAATTCGATCACCCGTTCTCAGTCCGCTCTTCTCGGCGAGACTGCCCGCGTCGACCGTTCCTGAAAATGTTTTGAAATGTTTTTAAATGACGTAAAACATGATTTAAATTTTGTAGAATTTCCATTAATTTATCTTTTGGTATTGTCTTTTTGTCATTTTGGCATTAAATCTTTCAAATCTCACCAACAAACTGTCCTTTTCCCTTCTCGGCGTGCAAATTGTAGCCGTACTCCTGGAAAAAAAAAACATTAATTAACATTAACATTAACAACATTAGCATTAACATCAACTATTAATGTATGATAATATAAATTGTTTAAAATTTTCAATTTTAAGGTAGAAATATGGAGGTAGGCTAGTTTCCGCAATTTTTTTTTTGCGCAACTCGCCATAACTTTCTTTTTAAGTGAACCAAAATCATAAAGATTGACCGACTTAGAAAAAAGTTATGGCGAGGTTTCGCAAATGACCCAGTTGCGCAAAAAAAAAAATTGCGGAAACTACCCTACAAATATCTGAAAAGCTTGAAAGACTAAAATTCCGTAAATCTGAAAATTTCAGGAGTAAAAACCCTCTTTCTCGACAATGAATGAGTAAAAAAAATATTCATAATTCATAAAAACATTCATAAAAAACATTCTAACAACCGTAAATACGAATAGTACTATGTACATAGCGTACGAATAGTACTATGTTGTACATAGCGTACTATATTGATTAAATATGTTTAGTTTATTCTTCAGATTTGCTACTTTTCTCACCTGACTTTGTCGATCCTTTGTGAGAACGCAAAGACGCGGTGGTGGGCCTTCTGCAGCCATTTCTGAAAATATTTAGAGACTTAGAGATTTAGAAGACAAATAAATACTGAAGACAAATATTCAAACATAAATTGAAAACAATATTAATCTATAAGAATTTAAAGAAAAGAAAGAAAAATACAAAATCTATGAGTGAAAGTATTGATATTGAGTGAAAGATTCGCCTTTTCTTTTCGATCAGTTCTAAACCAGGTCAACCCTAAGAAAACCAGGAAAAAAAAAGAAAAAAACAACGGATTTCTCTAGATCATTTTGGTTTATTTTTTTTGCCTGATATGATAATAGTATAAATATAATACGAAAATGAATCTGATCTCTCAGTTTAAACAAAAATTCTTCAGTAAATGCTAAATTTTCAATTGAAAGTTAGAAATGAGGCTTTAGAAATGAGGCTTTGGAAATGAGGCTTTAGAAATGAGGCTTTAGAAATGAGGCTTTAGAAATGAGGTTTTGGAAATGAGGGAGAAATTTAGCTGGAAAAAAGTCTTTGATCTGAGTTGAATGAGTGATAATAGCATCTTTTAAATCTAATACTGGAATTGATTTGAATACCTTCCTAGTACCAGTATATGAAAACAAATAAGACAAGCAAACAAAGCAAACAAGGCAGAAAAGTTAAGCCTAGTCTTTGGTTTAACTAGGCTTTTGTGTTAAAGCCAGCACTGAAACCAAGCCAGACAAGGGTCCAAAAATTGATCTAAATGTTGATCTAATTGAAATTGATTGATAAATTGATCTAATTGATCTAAAATTTCGAGCCTGGGTCATAAAAAGTTCTTGAGTTCATCAGAATCTAAAGCTAACTTACTAGTCTTACTAGTAGAGTACTAAAGCTAACTTACTAGTTTAGAGTACTAAAGATAACTTACTAGCTTTGAGTACTAAAGCTAACTTACTAGTTTAGAGTACTAAACCTAACTTACTAGTCTTACTAGTAGAGTACTAAAGCTAACTTACTAATTTAGAACAAACGTTCTTGAAAGTCTAATATTTTTTTTTAAATTAAACATTTTATGACTTAAAAACGTTAAAAAATCTCTACTTTTGGTTAAAATTTAAAAATAAAACCTACTTGAAAAGAAGAAAAAAAAGAAGTCACTATCAAAAGTGTGCCTATCAATTCAACGTGTCACGTATTCTCAAAAAAGATTGAAGTGGAAAGGAGTGGAAAGGATTCTATTCTTTTTGGGGAAATTTTTGGTGAAATTTTTGGTGAAAGAATCGTTATCAGTTTCCCCCCCCCCCCATAATCACTTCAAAAATTGCTTCTTTCCAACAAGCTTTTGGGAGGAATTAGATCCACCAAAATTGCCAAAATTGCCCCTTTCTTTTCCCGAATCATCTAAAGCAAAAAAAGACAAAGAGTTTTGTTCGATTTCAATTCGAAATTCAACATTCATTCATTCCAAAAACAGTTCTCTAACCAATCGAACGAACGAACGAACGAACGAACGAACGAACGAACGAACCAACCACCCAACCAACCAACCACCCAACCAACCAACCAACCAACCAACCACCCAACCAACCAACCAACCAACCACCCAACCAACCACCCAACCAACCAACCAACCAACCAACCAACCACCCAACCAACCAACCACCCAACCAACCACCCAACCAACCAACCACCCACCCAACCAACCAACCAACCACCCAACCAACCAACCAATCAACCACCCAACCAACCACCCAACCAACCAACCAACCACCCAACCAACCACCCAACCAACCAACCAACCACCCAACCAACCAACCACCCAACCAACCAACTTAAACCAATCGAACTCTTTCATTTACAGCAATAAAAAAACCCTCATCGATTTACTTTTAAGAACAATTACAACTAGAAACTAGAATTACAATATTTAAAGTATTTTGTGCGCTAAAAACTCATAAACAGACTCTCTTTAGTGCATTGAAATCAGAAAAATGAGGAATTGTGTGCGCGAGAAAGAGAGCATTTAGTCGCGAGCACATCTGAATCTCTAACAACATCTCAATAGATTTCCGATCAATTACCCAAATGAGATAAAGAGATAAAGATGTCAATTAGAAAAAGAATAATTAAATATTGGAATTGTTTTAACAACCAGATCAATAACTAGATATCATTTTAGGAAAATGTAAATATGAAAAGTTTTTGAAATTTTCCATTCAAAACCCTCGGGAGTGGAAAGGAAAGAGGCAAAGGCAAAGGGGAAAGAAAATAATCGGATTTTGTCCTTTTCGAACCCAATTCTCTGACTGTCGGAAAAGAGAATACCATTGTGGAGCTTCGAGAATCGCAAATGCGAATAGAAAACGGGGAGAAATGAGACAAAACATGAAGATGAACAAATCCTCGTGTCTTTCTTTTGTTTACCCTTTTTCCAGTAAGCTTTACGACTTAACATTCCAAGAAAGCACAAAGAAAACTTAAAATTTTTGAAAGAATATCGATTGAAGCTCAGAAAATGAAAAAATCTAGCTTAGTGAGGGTTAGGGAGCTTAGGGATTAGTTTAGTTTAGGGATTAGCTTAGGGAATTACGTGATAAAGATTCAATTAGGCATCTCCTACAGTAAATTCAACTAAAGAAATCTGCCATGAAATCTAGAAATCAGAATCTCACTTAATCATTGCCTAATTGCTCAAAAAATCTAAACGCATTTCATCTGGCGCATCGAATTCTCATTTTTCTCCACTGAAATAGCTAATTTCTACAAAAGAAAACGAAGAATTCAGTGCGCCAGAAGGGTTTTGTTTAGAGCGAAAAGTACACTTGAGAAAGTGATGAGGTAAATAACTAAATATCGATTCGAGCTCAGAAAATGAAAAAATCTAGCTTAGTGAGCTTAGGGATAAAGGTAAATTGCGTGATAAAGATTTAACTAAGCATTTCCAACAGTACTTTTCCTACAATTCCTACAATTCAACTAAAGAAATCTACTATCAAATCTAGAAATAAGAATCTCATTTAATCATTGCCTAATTTTGCCTAATTGCTCAAAAAATCTAAACGCAGGCGCACTGGATTCTTATTTGAATAGCTACTTTGAATAGACTGAATAGCTAATTTCTATGAAAGAAAACGAAGAATTGTGTTTAGAGCCCAGTGCACCAGAAGGGTTTTGTTTAGAGCCCAGTGCACCAGAAGGATTGTGTTTAGAGCCCAGTGCACCAGAAGGGTTTTGTTTAGAGCCCAGTGCACCAGAAGGATTGGGTTTAGAGCCCAGTGCGCCAGAAGGATTGGGTTTAGAGCCCAGTGCGCCAGAAGGATTGTGTTTAGAGCAAAAAGGAACACTTGAGAAAGTGATGAGGTAAATGACTAAAATTTTACAAAAAAAAAGATTCAAACTTTAGAATTTCAAGACAAAAACGATAAAGTAAAAAGGAAAACATAAAGTAAACATAAAGTAAACATAACAACATAAAGTAAAAAGGAAAAACATTGACCTAATCATGAAATTGGCAAAGAAAATAGTGATAAAAGAAACCCGATTTTGGAGTGATTGTGTGTGTAAAAAAAGCGCATTTCCGCAAATTCTCATGAGAAAATTGATAGATAATGATTGAAAAATCGAGAAAAGAAAGGAAAAGAAAGGAAAAGAAAGGAAAAGAAAGGAAATAAAGAAAAATTTTGTCTCATTGAAGCTTTTCTTTTTTGTTTTCTTTTTCTCACCCTTCCAATAACTCAAACCGGACTTCAGAAAAAGGGAATCGTTTTTTTTTGCCCACAAGTTGAAGGTCAAAGAATTTTTTGACAAAATGTTTAGATTCAGTACACCAGAAAGGGTGTGTTTCTAAAATTTGGGCACAAAGTACACGCAGAATGTTGTGTAATTACTGTAATTAATTACTTGGTGGAATTTGTGCTTGAAATTGTGAACGCATCTCTTCTGGCGCACTACATTTAACGAATTGCTTTTGGGAATTAGCTGCTTATCAGAAAAGAGATTGGCGGATCTTTTCCTTTATTTTCTTTTATAACGTTTTCCCTGTGCTAGAAGATATGCGTTTGCAAATTCTCGACTACAAAGTACACCCAATGAATGGCCGCTTTTGGATGATTTTGAGAGTAAAAGGTGTTTAAATGTGTAAAAGGTGTAAACGCATCCTTTCTAGTGCACTGAAATCCCTATTTTTCTTAGATTATCGCAAAAAAAATGAAGAATTCAGTGCACCATGAAATGTGGGTTTACAAGAGAAAACATCTAAACTATTGTCTTCAAGAAAATCAATCAAAACTCAAATTTAATTAAAAATTATCAATAAAAGACATAAACTACCGTACTAGATATAATATTTAATATAATATACCGTAAATACTGTAATAGTACGCCACCCCCATAATGACGGTGCGGAGTGTTGCGTAGTCTAGCTTTGAACGAGTTTTTCTTGGCACTCGTTTATGCTACAATGCTCGTTTAAGTATCAAAAAATAGCCCTGAATTTCAGCTATTTTTCGATACCGTATTTTTTGAAAGCACGAGTGCTTTGAAAAAAAATGAAATACTAAAAAAAACTTTTGCGACTACGCGACTGTACGAGGGGGTGGGGTACTATTAAAGTATTTACAGTATGTATTTCTTATCTCTATTCTTTAGTCATTGTCGATTGTTTGGGAACCACCGGAGGATCTTTTCCTTCTCAATCCAGTGGCTAACAAAAGGGAAAGTCGATTCGATTTTGTGAGTTTTTGTTCTTCTAATGGTTATGTTTTCTAATACTTTCTAAAATTGTTTCCTAATTACGTAGCTAGCTTAGCTATCAGTCTAGCTAGCTTAGCTACTCTAGTCAAATCTATAACTATATATAACTCAGTATTCTGATTAAATCTTACAATTAAGCCTTGTTATATATAAGCAATGTTTCCTACCGTACATACTGTAATAGTACCCCACCACCCATGATGACGGTGCGGAGCGTTTCGTAGTCTAGCTTTGAACTAGTTTTTCTCGACACTGGTTTATGCTACAATGCTCGTTTAAGTATCAAAAAATAGCCCTGAATTTCAGC